TCCCTGAGTGTGGCCCTCATGGAGGGGCCCCACACCGGCAGCGCTGCAGCGACCAACTGCCTGCCGCGCAACCTCAACCTGCCAGCACTCGGACTGGGCTTCCCAGCCTTCAACCTGTCCAACCTCCACCTCCCGAATCTACCCAACATCAACCTCCTGAACATCAATCTCTCAAACATCAACCTCCCAACCCTCAACCTCCCAAACATCAGTCTCGGCTTCCCGACCCTGGGCCTCGGCCTCCCCGCGCTCAGCCTCTTCACCCAGCCCGAAACCCCCGGCGCCAACTCCGCCGTCACCAACACCCTCACAGACACCGAAGCCTTCGACGACGAAGCCTACGACGCTGCTTGCGCTGAGGAGCCTTCCGCAGGCTATGAGGGCCACAGCGGCTGCAGGGCTGCTGCCAGGAAATGGCAGCATGCGGGCGGTGCAGCCTCCCGAGCCGGCAGCAAGAGCGGCGGCGGCAGCCTGTTCGCGGGCACTATGGCAGCCATGTTTGGCCCCAGCAGCGGCGGTGCCGGCGGCAGCATGGGCTGTGGTCTTAGCAGCTGTGGGGGTGCGGCCACGGATTCCGCGACCATGGCTGCTGCCAGGACGGCGACCAGGGCTGCAGCCAAGGCTAAGGCTGCCGCTGCGGCGGCGGCGCGGGTTGCATGCGTGGACCCGGAGGTGCTGCGGCGCACGCGCAAGGCCTTCCCGCAGCATGCCGACACGGAGGACTTTGGGGAGGTGCTGGGGCATGTAAGGAGGAGCTGGCCGCTGGCACCTATGGCAGCGGTGAGGAGAGGGGGTAAAGAGGGAGAAACTGGCAGCGTTGGGGGGATTAGATAAACTGAGCAGTTGGGGGGGGGCCACGGGGCCTGTTGGGGTCCTCAAAAGGAAGGAAGGAATGTCAGGAATGGATGGTGCATTTCCTACCTCGGTGTCCGTTTCCTGTACCCGCCCTTTCACGCTCCCGGCTAGCTATCCTCACCCCCTACCTCTCATCTGCCATCGCGTAATCTCGTTCCTGTATTTCCTCTCACTATTCCCCATTCCTACACCTCCCCACCCAACCCCGCAGGTGGGCTTCTCCATGGGTTCCAACGTGCTTGTGAAGTTCCTCGGGGAGCAGGGCCAGCGCAGGGAGCAGCAGGCGGCAGCGGCGGAGGCGGCAGCCAAGGCGGCCGCAGCGGGGGCGGCTGCTGCGGCGGCGGCGGAAGCGGCCTCAGCAGCCGCGAGGCAGGCGGTAGCTGACGCGGCAGCAGCAGCAGCGGCGGCGGCAGGAGAAGGCCATGTAGCAGGCGGAGATGAGGAGAGGAAGAGGTCTCGCGTGGAGGCTGAGGCGGCGGTGGCTGCAGCTGCAGCAGTGGATGCTTCCGAAGCGGCAGCGGCTGCGGAGGCGGCAGCTGTGGCTGCTGCTGCTGACGCTGTTGCTGCTGGCGGCGGCGGCGGCGAGGATGGGGGCTGTTCTGGGTGTCAGGTGGTGCAGCGGCACAACCCGCTGGTTGCGGCAGTTAGCGTGTGCAACGGCTACGACATCGTGGAAGGTGGGTGTTCCGGTTGGCAAGAAGAGTAAGCCGGTCGCCTTCCATCCCCCTTTTCCGACTGCGACTCTCACGCCTACCCAAGATCCTAACCCCCCTTCTTTCACGTTCCCTCCGCACCCGTACTCTTAACCTTTCCATTCCTCCTCTCAAGCCGGTCGGGTTTCCCTCCACCCCCATCCCTCCACTTTTCCCTGCTCCCTCGCCGCTCCCGCAGGCACCGCCAACCTGGTGTCCCACCGGCCGCTGTCCGACCGCATCATGACGGCCGCGCTGCACCGCCTGCTGCGACGCAAGCTGCCCGAGGTGCAGGCGCTGTGTGCGGCACATGGGCTGCTGGTGAGGGCCGGGGGGCGGAGGGGGGGGGGCTGCCGGGGGCTGCTGGCCGCACAGGGGTGGAGGAGGGGGGGTGGCTGGCAGCTGAAGCAGCGGGAGTGAAACGTAGATGGATGCATCGGTGCAATGGGGCTGTGGATACTGTGGTAGCTGGCTTGGGTTGTTGCTGGCCTACCCTGTATGGTTGTGCATGCAAGCAGGTGGACTCAGCACATGCTGTCCACCTGTTGTTGGCCTTGACCCTTTCCCCTACCTCGCTGGCCCTCCAATGGCACCTCTCAATGCCAAAGGTTTTTTTTGCCAAGTGTTGATGCTCCCCGGTCCCCCACCCCACACAGGTTGACTTTGACGAGGTGCTGGCGTGCAGCTCCATCCGCGAGTTCGAGCAGCGGCTCATGCTGCCCATCTGCGGCCTCTCCGACCTGGACCACTACTACCAGCACAACAACTGCAGGCATGCGCTGCAGGTGAGGGCTAGGGAGGGATGCTCCGAAGGAGGGCTTGGGGGCGGGATTGCGGTGGCGTGTTTGCATGCGTGTTTGTCCATGAACCTAATTGGGCTACGAATTGAGACGTACTGCATGCATCGTTGTCATGTTGTTTGGGTCAACGCGGGTTTCCACGGGAGTGGAAAACATGCAGGGGGTCGGGCGCTGCGCAGAAGGATGCCTCCCCTTCAGCCCTTTACCACCCCACTCGCATTGCCGCCTCCAGTTACCGGCCCCACCTCCATACCAACCCCACCTGCACTCCTCCCCCAACCGTCTCCCAACTTCCCATTGCCCCCTCACCCCACCCCGCAGCATGTCTCCACTCCGCTGCTGTGCCTCTCCGCGCGCGACGACCCCGTCATCCACCCCTCCCTGCTGCGGTACGCGGAGGCGGCGGCGGCGGCCAACCCCGCGCTGCTGCTGGCGGTGACGCGGCGTGGCGGCCACCTGGGCTGGATGTCGGGGTGGCGGGGCGGCTCCTGGATGATGCAGGTCATCATGCAGTTCCTGGGGGCGGCGCTGCAGCAGCAGCGGGAGAGGGATGGGGAGGAGAAGGAGCAGCGGGCAGCAGGGGCGCAGCGGGAGAGGGAGGAAGGGAAGGAGGAGAAGGAGGAGGAGGACAAGGGAACGAAGGAGGAGCAGCGGGAGCGGGAGAAGGAGGGCGAGAATGAGCACCCTCTGCAGCAGCAGCAGCAGCAGCAAACCGGGGATGCTGCCAAGGAGCAGCAGCAGCGGCGGCAACGGGTGCAGCTGCGGGAGGAGGCTGTGGTGGCCGGGCTTGACGATGTGGCGGCGGAGGACGTCCCAGTGCATGCGGAAGTGACGCAGCCTGGGCCCCATGGGGCGGGCGAGGGAAGCCCAGTAATGGTAGAGAAGCTGGGGGAGGCCGCTGTCGCAGCAGCAACCACAACATTTGAACACGTAGGGCGTGAGATTGGGGTGTCGGCGAGGGAGGTGGAGGTGGTCATCGTGGGGTCGCCGACTTTGGATGAGAGACGGGTGAAACCGGGGCAGGTTGAGGTTCGGGCGGGCAGCGGCGGCGGAGGAGGAGGCGTATTGGGAGGTGCGGAGTTGGTGGGGTGGGGCGCCGGGAACAGGCCGAGCGCGCGTGCAGGCGCAGCAGCGGGAGCGCTGGGGGAGGTGGTGATCGACTGATAGTTGGATTGATAGGTTGGGATCTGATGGCTTGTATAATTTTGACCCTTGGGCTCGTTTGCGACCATGGGTATGTGGGAGATGAATCCAGAGTAGTGTGCTGTGCCGCTGGTTCCAAACATTCCAAACGTATGGGCTTCCTGCCATTGCATATCACTTGGTAAACCAAACTGACAGCCGCATGCGTGCATGCATGCGCACGGTTAGGAAGGCAGCTGGGTGTGAGAGAGAGGCTACGAGTGGGAGAGACATGCTTTGGTGGGCGGCGCGATCCAAAGCGCGCACGTGCAGAGCGGTCATTCTTTTCCTGAACTGTCTGGTCTTGTCATTGACAAGGTCTGTCAGCATGAGCACGTTGGGCGCGTTTTGCATCCCTTCCGTACGTTTTGTTGCGGCGTGAAGAGCAGTTCACGTACGTTTGTTGCACAGTCGTGTGAGCGTTTCTTTGCCATTACGTGAGAGAGAGGGCAACGGGCGTGACATTTTGCTTCACAGGAACATGATGATCGCTACGATTCCAGTATCCTTTTGCCAGCATTGTAGATGATGACCAAATGCGTGACTTGCGTGGAGGCGCAGTGCGAGGATACGGAGGGCCAGTTCACTGACCCGCGGGCGTACGTAGCTGGGGGCGGCGGGTCCGATGAGGGAAGGGGGGAAAGGTTAGGCCAACCACGATGTGTTAAAATAACTGGCCGCGAGGCGACATGTGTATATGTGCATGTAGGGTGATGCCAGGAACAGGGCCGCATGCATCGGGCGGAATTTCAGCTTCAGTGCTTATCTGACATGCAGCGTGTGGGCTGTTTCGTGATGCTTCATAAGAGCAGCGAATGTCAACTGGGCATGTGATGCTGAGCGGCACTGTCGCACTGTCTCGGTTAAGGGAGGTAGGCGACGGGGTACATGTTGGGCTTGCGAATAGGGACGGGTGCGTCCCTAGGCTAGTCCACTGCTTGAGCCGCAACCATGCATACTCTTGTTCTGTACATAGGCGTCTGCGTGTTGTTCCACTTTGTTAGGGTGTGCAGCGCTGCTGGCTGGGCCAGCACTGACCGGGAAATGGCTGGGATGCTGAGTGAGTGGATGGGGAATGAAGCATCGAAGTAAAGCGTCTAATTGCTTACGGAGTTCGCACATGTGGCAGTTGGCGTATTAGCTGCTCCGTTGTGTGCAGAAGCCTGTTGTAATGAGAGTTCGTTGAGAATGCGCGATGTACGCCTCAATGTTTAGAGGCCAGCCCCGCGTGCTGCTTACCATAGCGCGGTAGCGCAGGGAAACCCCGCAATCCTGGGAGCGCCTACTGACCGTCGCAGTGTTTGGAGGCCGGGCTCGCCCAAAGGGGAGGAGCAAGGTCAGCTGGCGATGGAACTCACGCTGTCGCTTTTGAGTGTCTTACAAACGATTGAAGGTTACCGTACTAAATTTGACCCTCGGGACTCCAAGAAGCCGCGGGTCCGCATGCACGCTTATCATTTAAAAGGTAAACGTTCATTAATCATACATGCTATGCCATCGCTGCTTAATGTGGATAACCCTGCCAGTGATATAAGTCGTAACTTGGAGTCGGAAGTTAGCCATGCAACCGAGGTATAATTTATACGCCGGTCGCCGGTATGGTGGATAGAGTACCCAGCCGATATTGCTAGAGAGTGAAGGGCTTGCAGATGTCGACGACTGGTGCATCGCCTTTGGAGGACTCGGCTGCCGATGTGGACGTCGGCGCCTTACTTCGCCTGAGGTAGGCTAAACGTCGCGTACAAATACTGAGTGGTTAATGTAAAGCATAGTTATGAAGCCCGGTGGACGCCCGTGGAGAATTGTTGTCTCGACAAACGGCTAGACCGAAGGACAAAAGGGCAATTAGCGCAGTTTTGTCCTCTTGAAATATGTATAAGTTCTCTTTTTCTATCGGATTGTGCGGTTGGACGGACATTAAGCTTTACATGTTGGGCGCATGTCAATTTCGCAGGCCTGCCCTTCGAACTACGCCAGAGATAAACTCTATCAGGACAGCCTTAAAGAAAATCGTAAGTGATGTGCTCTTCTATAGCATCGTGTTTCAGAGACAAGGTCGCCCTTGACCGCTGCAAATTGCTCCTGTTACCCTTGCTTTCGCAGGCATTCTTCGCTGACTGGGACGAAGATGCGCTTCACCAGATATGCGGCGTTCTAGGTAAACATGAGCTTGGCACCTCTCCGCGCAACCTATTCATGCTACCCCCGGGCTAAGGGACACGGTTAGGCATGTTCCAGTGGGCATACCGTCTTTGCTCCCCGGTCGCCGTTAAGCGGGCCACTGTTGTATTCCAACGATTGCAATTCACGAACTCGGTGGGCTGATGCAAACAAGTTTCCGCACCCAAACCACAGGCTGCGAGAGCTTTAACCCAGGAGATGTCATTTCAGAGGTCGGGGAGCCAGCAAGCAGCATGTGAGGCGGACGTGGAGAAAGGGGTTATGCACGAAGGTTGGGGGGTTAATTAGCAGAATTGGGGGCCCTACCGGTACTGCTAAGTACCATGTCCCATGTGTTGCACTTTCCTTTGGCGGCAGTGTTAGGCCTGGCAAGGATCCCGTGACCTACTGCTACACGAGGCTAAGACGCCAACCTACCTTGAACCCCCATCCCTCTTTTCACTTCCCCTTCCGTGAATTCCCCGCATGCCAACCGCAGTTACATTGCGCTATCCGGCAGCGCTGACCTCTCCGTGCCGCACCCAACTGACCCACGGGTCCAGCCCGAGGTCCGCGTCCTGCACCCCGGCAGCGTCTGCGGCCTGGAGGCCATTCTTTCCGGCGACCGAAGAGTCCGCGAGGTGGTTACCGCGGGCCCGGCAGGCCTGCTGGTCGCTACCCTGAGCTCCAGCGCCTGGTCGGATGTCTGCGCACGTGCGGCCGCATCCGCCGGCAGCACCCATAACACCAGCACCCACAACTCCAGCACCCATCCCGGCTGGGTTGCCACACGCTCCGCGCTGCTTTGCTCCTGCATTCAGCAACTGGCGCTGGAGTCTCCTACGCACGCGGCTCACCCGCACCACCACCACCACCACCGCCACGGTCACCACCACCACGGACATCACCGGCACGGCCACCACCACGGCCACCACGGGCACCACCACCCGCAGGACCTTCAGCACCAGGAAAGCCACCACCAGTCAGCACCTCAACAGCTCCTGCAGCACCCCCATGCGAATCACCTCAGTGACAGCAGCCACAACCTCAGCCTCGGTACTCAGGAGCACCAGTCCTTGCACCCCGCGCAGCATCTGGGTCGGGAGCTCAGCCTGCTCAGCAGCGTGAGCAGCGTACAGAGCCCCGCGCTCTCCGCGTTTCCCTCGTTCAACTACTCGGGCGCGGCACAGCAACAGCCGATGGCGGCTCAGAGCTCGCCGCAGGTGCCGGTGCTCGGGAACGGCGTGCCGGCGCAGCAGCAACAGGCGCCGGGGTTGCTTTCCGCGCCGCAAGTCGCTGTGCCGGGCTTGTTGCAGCCTAACCCGCTGGCGCCGCAGCTAGCAGCGCCACCACAGCAACAGCAACAGCAGCAACAGCAGCAACAGAACCCACTGAACGGGCTGCCACCACCCAATCCCCAGAGCTCTGCACAGCTCCACCCACAGCAGCATCAGCATGGGCAACAGCACCCGCATGCTTCAAGCTCTGACCACCATTTAAACGCCTCCCCCAGCCTGCATCTGCACCCACTCCACCCACTCCACCCTCACCACCCCCATCACCACCACCACCGCCACCACACTAGGAAGGAAACCATACACGAGACAGCCGCCACTGCTGCTGCCGCTGCAGCTGCTGCGGTGGCTGCAGGACACCCTGTGACCACCGTCACAGTGGTAGGCAAGCCGGGCGTTGGCGAGACGCTAACAGAGGCACTGCGGCTCGACCGACTGGCAACCCTGCTGGCGACACTGCAGGTAGGCAAGCAAGGCCAGGGGCCCAGGGGATTACCTACAACGCAGCTGCATGATGGCCGTTGCATGCCCATAAGCCAATACCAACCATTACCAAGCTGCCCCCTGCTCGCTCCTGCCTCCTCTCCCCACCCTCCCAGAGCTCCATGGCAGCCATGCCCCACCTGATGCTGCGGGAGGCCGCCAGGGGCTGCTTCGTGCGCGCCGTACGACCGCACGCGGTGACGTACCACGTGGGGGGCAGCGCGCGCTCGCAGGCGGTGCTGCTGGCGGGGGAGCTGCAGGTGCGGGTGCGGGTGCGGGGGTGTGCAGCAGGGCGGGGTGTTGAGGCAGGTCGGGGACGGGGGCGTTGCATGCTGTAGGGCACAGAGGCGGAGCGTGGGAGACGCACGTTGCCCGGGGGACCCTGCTGCTCAGATCCCCGTGCATAGCTCCGCGGCTTTCATTATTGGAGCATCTCTTCCCCTTTCCTAACCTGCGGGTTGCATTACCGTTATCGGTATGACATGCTGTTCCACCACAACCCCTACTTCCCGCAGGTTCGCACCCACCGGCGCCATCACCACGGTCCCGTCGTACACCACAGCGGCAGCGGCACCCCGGGCTCTCCGTCCCACCCGCACCAGCATCCGGATCAGCACCCTCACTCGCACCTGCACTCCCCCTCCCACCCCCACGACAACAACCACCACCACCAGCACCAGCAGCACCCGCACCACCCGCACCACCACCTGCACTCCCCCTTACATCACAACCACCATTTCCACCGGCATTTGTCCCACAGCCACTCCCTACACCACCATCACAGCCTGCGCCACCTGCCCAGCAGCCACTTGGGTCACCATGCCGTGTCCCTGGGTTGGGAGCAAGGGGGAAGCGAATCCGAGGAGGAGGATGGACTATCGGAGCATCGCAGCTGGGAGAACGGCTCAGACTATATGCTTGATACGTGGGAGGAGGATTTGATGGCTGCGGTTACAGAGGGAGGCAAAAGCGCCACAGATGCGATACTGCACAACTGTGTACAGCATAAGGAGGCAAGCGGTGGCGCTGTTAACCCGCAGCAAAAGGACACTTCAGAGGCTGCTACAGCTGCAGCTGCAGCTGCCTCCCCAACGGAACATCAGCAGGGCCCGCAAGCAGCTGGATCCTTGAAGCCCGGTGAACATGCAGATGCAATCGAGGAGCACCTATTGGAGCGGTTCGGGCCTGTTGTGGCGGCTGCGACCTGCGGCGCGGTGCTCGGGGAAATGCCCCTGGCGTCCATCACGGGGGACCGCTCGCATGCGCGCCGACACAAGCAACGAACCTCCCTCACAGCAGGTAAGGTGCTATGGTGTGAGCGCGGTGCGGCAGAACGCATGGAGGTCAGGATCGTTTAGTGACGTGGCTCACCCTACAGGGCTTCAGAGATGGACATCGCTTGTGCCTAGAACTCCTAGATAGAGGTTTCGCCCCGGCGCGAAAGCCATACATTTTCACACTGCCTTCTGAACACTTAAAGGCGTCTGACTCTCCTGCCACCTGAACACAACCGGTCAACATGGTTACATCCAAATCAGCCCCAACTGCCCCACCCCTGTCCTCCCCTGTTCTCCCCTTCCCTCCCTTCACCTCTCCGCAGGCACCTCACCCGCTACAGTCCTCGTCATCCCGCTCGCCTCCCTGCGTCACGGCTACGACGCCGCTCTGTCCGCCCTGGTAGCCGCCCGCACCTCCGCGCTGCTGACCGGCGTGGAGGCACTGCGGGGGCTGCGGGGCCTGGGGCTCGGCGGGAGCGAGCTGGCGACACTGGCACTGGGTGCGCAGCCGCTGTGGCTGGCGTCCGGGGCGGTGGTGGCGCGGCAGGGGGCGCCCGTGGATGCGTTGTACCTGGTGCAGGAGGGCGAGATGCGGCTGCTGCATGACCCCGACAGCGCCGCGCAGCAGCAGCACCTGCAGGAGGACAGGTCCCACCTGGCGGCGTCGGCATGGGGCTCCTTCGCGACCGCTGGGACCTCCGCTGGGGGAGCAGCGGCGGGGGCGGCCTCCGCCGCTGCGACGTCAACGTCTGGTACGGCAGCCTCGGCTTCGGGTGGCGCGGGAGGTGCTGCGGGAGGACAAGGGGGTGCGTCAGCCGCGGCTGGCGGCTCGGCGGCCGCTGCTGCCGCGGCAGCAGTGGCTGCCTCGCATGCGCCTGCGGCGCTGGCGGCGATCCTTGCGGACCCGGTGCTCGGCAGCGAGCTGGGCGCGCCGGCGGGGCGGCAGGGGCCCAGCGGCGCGGCGGCGGCGGCGGTGTCGGCGGCGGTGTCGGCTGTGACGGCAGTGGCTGCGGCTGGCGGGGCGTCGACGGCGCAGGTGGGAGTGTGGGGTGGGAGGAAGCTCGCGATGTGTTGCGGAGGGATGCAGGCCAGGCGCTGGAGGGAGGATATGCCCGCGTTCACAAGCACCTGGCCTGCTTTACATAAGTCACAGCCATGCGTCAGGATTCTACAGCATCTCCCTTCGTATGATGGGTTTCTGTGTCCTGGTCGCCTTCTCCCGCTAGTCACTCCCAGCTCGCACCTCCCACCGGGGCACCTCCCGCTACGCTGACCCGCTGACCTCCAATAGCTTCAGCCTGTCGCTCTTGTCTCCTGCCTTCCCTGCCACAGGTCCAGCGATCGCTTGCGCACCTGACTCCGCTCATGTCGGTGGGGGCTGGCGGCATGCTGGGGGAGAGCGTGCTGGGGCTGGTGCCACTGGTGAGCCCCACAGCTGCGGGCGGGACCCGAGGGCAGCCGGGAAGGCCTGACAGGGAATCGCATGGCTTGCATGCTTGCTTGCTTGGTCTGCATCATGTACCGGTAACCTTTGCACGTCGCTCTCGTCCCGTTCCTTTCTACGGTTTGTCCCTTTTCCTGCAAAGCCTTGTGATCGGGCGCGCCCTTACGTGTTGTACGTCTAAACTGGCCAAACGCGTCCTCCCCACCCAGGCACGCGAGCAACCAGCCCCGGCCGACCACCACACCTTCGCCGCCCTGCCTCCGCGGGCCTCCATAAGCGGCCTTCCATCGCCGGCGCCCAGCATTTCCGGCATGCTCTCCACTTGCTCCTCCCCGCCCCTGCACCCCTCGGCGGCACCTCCCTTACCCTCTCCTCTGCCCGGCGCTGCTCGCTCGCCCTCACCCGCACCCGGTCACCCGCACGCCCAACAGCACGACACGGCAGGCCACTACCATTACAGGAGCTCAGAGATGGGAGGAGCGATGACCGCAGCAGCAGCAGCCGGGGCGGCAGCAGGTCGTGTTCCCATGCGAACATCCATGTCAGGTATCAACACGACCACCGCCACGACGGTTAATGGTGCGACAGCCTCAGGTGGGATGACATCCGCGGCGCACTCCAGGAGCGGCGGCACCATTTCCGGTGGAGCAGGAGTCGGCGTGCACGCGACTTCCATATCTGGCTTGGCGGCGGACGTAGCAGGCGGTGCTGCGGGTGGTGCTGCGGGTGCAGCGTTTGATCCGGAGGCCGAGGAGCAGCTGCGAGGCGTGTTTCCGGCTACTGCCGTGGCGTCGGGTCCGGTGCGGCTGCTGGCACTGCCGCGGCATGTGCTGTTGGCGGTGCCGCGGTTGCAGCCTCTGCTGGCGGAGCTGGCTCGGGAGCAGCTGGCGATGGTGGAGCGGCGGCGGAGGGACGCGCAGGTATGGTAGGGGAGGTGGTGGCTGAACGTACGGCGCAAGCAAAAGGGCGTTTAGCGGATTAGGCGGACGTCGGGGGGAATTGTAACAAAAAGGATAGCGAAGCGGTGGATAGGCAGGGGCTTGGAGGCATAGAGGTGCGGAAGACGCGTTTAGGCTGACCTATCTCGTTGCTTGCAACCCTTTACCAACGCTCCTTGCCGCTGCCCTTCTGTATGTCCACTACCCGTAGGAAATGCGAGACAAGCTGCCGGCACTCTGCTCCGCGGAGGGTCTGGCGGCGCAGCAGCAGCAGCCAGCAGCCCCCCCCAGGGACCCCTTCTCCAACCGGCGGCGGCGGTTATCGGAGCGGCGAGCCGCCGTGGAGAGCTTTAACGCGCCGCCTGCTGTGATCCAGCCGCCTGAGGTGGTGTTGCCTGAAGAGGCACTGGCGCGACCCTCGCTGCTACTGGAGCGCATGGGCTTCAAGGTGGGGCGGAGGGGGGTCAAAGACCATACCAAACCATAGGAGACCACAAGTTAGGGCAAAGCAATGGGGGTAGGAGTTGGCAGGGCGCCACAAGACAAAGTGTTGGTTAGTATTCCCTATCGATACCGGGTCCGCGGGGGGGGGGTAAAAGAAAACACAGGAGGTAACTAACGAGCTGTATAACAGGGCTCCACCATGGGGCGGGGGGGAGTGCATGGAGGTCCGTACAGCTCTGTAAGGGGTGTGGAAGGGGCTGTGTGAGGCGGGATGAGGGTAAGTGTGGGCTTTCCCTTTCTTATCGTTTTAGATAGGGAGGTTCGTCGTTGTTGCGGCTGCTGCTGTGGCGACGGTGTCGGCTGCTACTCACGTTTCCTGTCGACGCGCAGATCGGTTACGTCTTCGTAAGGGATCCTTATTCCTTTCGCAGGTCCCCAAGGTCCGTGGCGTGGATGGAGGCGGCGGTGTTGCTGCTGCCGCCGCCGCCGCCGGCATAGGCCCGCCACCCACCGTCGGTGCCGCCCGCCGCCGTGTTTCCGTACTAGAGCCCACCCCCACCGCAACCGACGGCGCCCCTCGCTCCTTCATGAACCGCCTGAACAGCCTCGCCGGCGAGCCAACCACGTCCACCACCTCCAATCCCTCGCTGTCCCTCCCGGTCCCGGGCGCCTGTCCTGCCCTTGCTCCGCTGACGTCGCCTCCGCCACCGCTGCAAGTCCCCGCTGGCACCAGCCTGCTGCCTTCCCTCCTCAACGCCCCAACACCGTTTGCTGCTGCTACTGTTGCTGCCACTGCTTCCAACCTGCCTTCAGAGGCCTGCCTGATGCAAGCTAACGGCAGTAGCAGCAGCCCGGGAGACGTTTGGCCCTCAACTCAGCTCCCCCGGCTGTCCCGCTCCAGTGTAGCCAGTACCACAGGTGATGCGATGCTGCAGCAGCAACGCATTCCCGCCGCCGGCGGCGGAGCGGCAGCGGTGGCGGCGCCTCAACCCAGCATCAGCGGCCCCTCGCCGCTGCGGAGGAGCTCCACCTTATGGAACAGCGCCGACGGGCCCCTTGGAGGCGGCGGCGGCGGCGGCGGCTTTGGAAGCCTGGCGGCGCTAAGCGCCCCTAGCTTCAGTCTGGGCATTGGACCCGGACCCGCTGCTCTGAGCTCTCAGACCCCTGCCTGCGGGGCGTCAAGCCTTGCCTCCGGTCCCAGTGGCGTCGCGCCTGCTGCACCTCAGCTAGCGCGCTACTCTTCAGGAGAGTACGGCACTAGCGGCGGCGGCGGCGTGGGTGTTACAGTTGGTGGAGGAGGGGCAAGTGGTGGGGTGCTGGGGTCGCCGAAAAGTCGTCGCAGCAGCTTATACATGCCGCAGCCGTCGGCTATGGTGGCCCAGTTAGCGTTGGGCGCACCATTTGGCTTCCCACAGCAAACGCAGCCGCAACTGCATTTCCAACCGCAGCCACCCCAGCAGCAGCTGGTACAAGGTGCTTTGTCGTCAATTTCCAGCTGCGGCGGCGTCAGCGTCAGCGGTGGCGGGGGAGCTCCTGCGGCGCCTAGGGTTAGCGGCAACGGCATGACGAGTACTTCAGCTGCCGTACTTTTGCCCTCCGCCAGCCGCCGGGGCTCGACATCAATCACCTTTGCGCGCCTGTCAAACCTCAGTGGCGGCGGCAGTAACGGTGGCGGCGACGGCAGCAGTTGCGGCGGTGCATCTCCGCTGCTTGGAACCTCGCCCGCCAGCTCGTCTCTGCTTGCGGCGGCGGCCGTACCGGAGCCCAGTGGAGACTCCATCGGTGGCGTCAGCACCGGCAGCGGCGGCGGTAGTGGCGGCGGTGGCGGTGGCGGAATGCTGGCGGCACTGAATGCCGCAGCCAAGGCTCGTCGCGCCTCCTTACGTGCGTCCATAGAGGATGTACGGTTACCGGCGCTACCAGCGCAGACGCAGCGGGCAAACAAAGCACCGCAGGACGAGAGCTCACGGCTTCTGGCGGCGGCGCTGTCGTTTGGCCCTCGTACGGCAGCAGCGGCGGCAGCGCCAATGGCTGCTGACGTCACCGCTAACGCCGCCGCCGCCACCGCGGATTCCTGGCTGGCTGAGAACGGTTTGCCGCCTTCGGATGCCGTACAAAGAGGCCCCCGACCGCCTCCTCAACCGCTTCAGCCCCTATCACCGCAACCTCCGCCACCACCTCCGCCGCCCGCGCTGCAGGCGTCGCCGACGACCTTACAGCATCAGCACTCGCAGCACCACCTGCGGCGGCAGCTTTCGCAGCCCCTGGTCCAACAGTTGCTGCTACAGCAACAGCTACAGCCTCTGCAGCCGCCGCCACAGCAGCAGGAAATGCCGCCTGCTCCGAGTGGACAGCTGGCGCTCGCCGCGCTGCGGAGGGGTCCAACGGAGGGGCTGAGTGTGCGCTGAGGAGGGCTTGGGCTGGGCCGATGACGCTGGGGCACTTGACGGCTCCCCGGCACCAACATACGGTACGTTCCTACTCGCGGCCAGCTTTTTAAACACACGGCAGCAACGGAGCCAAATGGTGAACGTGAATAGGGGTGAAGTGGCGAACTACTGATGTGAAGTTTGAATAGGATGGCGGAGGGGCCAGAGATCGTGATGAGGAAGCACGGGCTCCATGCAGCAAGCAACACCGGCAGCACTTGTGCATGTGTGCACGTGCACGTGATTGGTTGTGGGGATGCATGGCTGCAGGCAACAGAAGCGCACACAGGCACCTGTTCCTGCTGTTACCGGACGGATTTTTGCATTTGTGTAAATCGTCACACGTTTTCATGGTGACAGACAGCGTGCTTGTTCGTATTTTTTGTTCGAATTTGGGGGAACGGTGCAGATAACTGATGCAAAAGGTATGGGCACGTGTCTGAACTTCTTGCACAAGGTCTTGGGGAGCTGCAAAGCTCACTGCATGGGTATCCAAAAGTTTTCAATAACTTGAAAGGTCAGCGGCGGAGCGTTCACGTGATGCACAGACGACGTTGCCTGCATGTGTTGGGAGCTCGTGGCTGTGCACGCTGTGTGCTAATAATGTTGTTAGCTGCCGCGGGCAGGTTGGCGCTGGAGTATGCATGTGCGCATACGGTGCGCTACAATTGAACAGTAGCTGCAGGTTTGGATGGAAGGAGGTGAACTCTTGACAAACCGGACTCCATACACTCCCTTTGGGATTGCGTGTGATCTTGTAGGGGTTTGGAGGTGCCCTCACATGTGTAGGCCTCATGAAATCAGGGGGGCGTTTAGGTGCCACGGCATTGTATGTGCTGTCGTACCGTGTTTCCCCAACCGCTGAGACATGCGTGGGTTACTTGCTTGGGCGAAAATAGAACAACCCGCTGGAGGGCTGAAAAGCCTCGTGCTGCTTTTCGGCTTAATCGACTTGCTTGCATGCGCGCTGAGAGCAGGTGTCTACGACGTGCTAAGCTGCAGTGCGCCGAGTCCTTCGCCTGTCAGTCCTTTTTTTGTCGTGAAAACATTGCTCTGGTAGGGTCTTGGCGCATACAGTCCTACGTGAGTGCATGTTTGTGTGCGGGCATGCGCATGCGCTGGCTTTGAAGTCGCAGTGGATATATCGATATGGTCCCTTTACCCTTTGCTATCTGTACGGCGGGTCATGTGTTTAGGTCGGCCGTAAGCTGACTCTTGTTGCCGTTCTGCCAATAAATCGCGCGCACGTGTGCAAGCGGACGTGCCTTCAAGGTCAAGCTCCTGACTCGGGCTGTATGTGTGGTGCTTTGCGGTTGAGGTGAATCCCTTTGTCAACAGGAACACCCCACCCAGATGTCGGGGTTCGATTTTTCCTCTTGCCCGGATTCCCGCTGTCTTTTGCTGTGATGCAGAAGCTGTGGTGCAGATGGATTGTGCGCCTTGATCCTCTGCCCTGATTACTTTTCACGCCTTTAGTATCTTTCTTGGTGACTGCTGCGGCTTGCTCAACAGGCCTGTCGTACGACGTGGGTAGTCTTGACGTGTGTCGTGCACTTGCTCGGAAACAGACATACAGATGCACGCTGACGCTGCACGGCACGCATGAGCAAAAGCATGCGTGTTTTGAGGCGTGCGTACGTTCCCTAGCGCTGTCGTACCTGAACCTTCGTGTGCGTGGAACCGCTGCTGGGGCCTCGGATTAATATTACTCCCTGCAGCAGGGCCGCCGACACTATCCTTAACTCTTCCCTTTGTGTTGCTCGGGCGGCGAAGCTCGTTTAGGTCAGCTGGTTCAAACGTCTTGTCCATGTAGCTTGACGAGTGCCTGTGACATCGCTGACATGCCCTTGCCGTGCATTGGGGCTTGCGTGCATGGGTCCGTCTAGATGATAAACTGCTGCGTGCTGGCACACGTAAACGAGGTTTATGCTTGCTGCTGCTGCTGCTGGCCTACTTACTGGCTGTGAAGCTTTATGGATAGCTCGAGCGTCCAGTGGGGCCATCATAATAGGTTGGTGGTCAAGCTTGCTCACATGCAAGAGACACTTGTGGATCCGTTCCAAGTCGCCTGCGTCTCTGCTACAGCAGCCGCTGCGCACAATCAATCCACTCGCGTTGGGGCTCGACTTCGTTCTGCCGTTATACTATTGGTTCGACCTTGGCGCTTATTCGTACACTGTAACGGGCATGCAGGAGCCACATACATCATGCCACGCTGCCGCTACCGGGATCCGACGAGGCGGCGGGCGCTTGGTCTAACAGCATAACGGCCAGATCGTCATCCGTTTCTTCCATCCTCTTTTCTTCACGAACACAAGTTGACAACTTTCCCTGGACTGATAAGAGCGGTCACTGCTATAAGGGCTTGCATTTCTAATAGCATGAAGGTTTCCTTACTGAACAGGCAGGGAAGTCAAGATAGATGGCCTTGCGAACTAAAACCCCTTTGTCCGTTTATGGACGTCACATGTGCGTACCACAACTGCCGATGCTGGCGATGTGAGACAGGCAGATTGCTCTTACGATGGCTTGGGCCGATGTACCATGCAGGTCTCCTGCTTGTGATGACGCGGGTGTTGTCAGGTCCAAAGGCGGTGACAGACTGTCGGCCTTCCTCCTACCAACCGCCAATCGATCGCGCGACTCTCATCATACACTTTTTCCTTTCGCTGCGGCAACCAAGCGACACACAGCCTCCCAAGAGAAGAGTAGTAATAAAGGATGGCACATGACCACGACAGTGACAGCAGCAACAGCAGCAGCAGCGGAAACGCTTGCTGTAGACTGGACGGTACCGGTAATACGCCCGCAGCAGAAGTCTCCGTGCAGCTGTCTCGTTTCCACACCGAGACCCTAGACAACAGCTCTAGCAGCGAAGTGGATATTAGAGGTCTCTGCTTGGGAGTCGGAGACCGCGAGCTGTTACGCGACGCGCATCTTTCACTTCGTCCCGGCGTACGTTACGGCCTTTTAGGTCGTAACGGTGTGGGCAAGAGCACGCTGCTCAAGGCTTGTGCAAACAAGACGATTCCTGGGTTCCCACGTGATTTGAGGGTACGACCGTACACGGCGTACGGTGGCAACAACCCTACAGCGCAAATCGCTCATTGGTTGGAGCAGTAAAGCCTGATAGTGGCCTTATGGCCTCTGTGTTACATCGCAATTGACATTGCTTGTCATTACACGGCACTCCTGGCTTGAAAGTTTCAGCGACTTCCTACTTGCTTATTCCATGCTTAACGGATTTGGTATATCCCACGTGCACCCTCCTCGCGCCTCGTTCTACCCCCGCGCCTCGGACCTCCCCTTCCTCCCAGGTGGTGTATGTTCAACAGGACAATGTGCCGGGCGACGGCCGCTCCGCGCTACAAACGGTGCTGGACGCCGCCAGCAATCGTGGGGCGCTGCGGGCGCAAATAGCTGAGCTGGAGGCAGCGATGGAGGAAGCGGAGCGGGAAGAGGAGGAGCAGGAGGAGCGGGAGGAGGAGAGTGTGGGCGAAGATGAGGGAGCTGCTGAGGAGGCCGACAGGGAGCATGAGGCAGCAGCGGCTCCGGGAAGCGGTGCAGCGGAGGCAGCGGAGGCGGTTGCCGGAGTTGGCCCAGGAAGGCCCGGGTCAAGGGTGAAAGCCAGCCGATTGGTGGCGGTTGTGGGGTCACTACTGGCTGCGAGGGCGGAACAGCAGGCGGAGGAGGCAGGTGCGTACCTAAGTTGCGGTAGCTTCGAGCCAGCAGCCAGGTGCCCCCCATGTACCCACCGTATGCCCTGTACCCAAAGCATGGCCGGCGGGTGAACCCATATCTTGTGTGAGGACGCAGGTGGGTTGCGGGAGCCGCGGACGTGTGCATGGGAGAGGCCGCGGCCCCACCGGGGGCTACGGTGTGTAGCCACGAGCGACAGCTGTGGATGGCCGACGGTACAACTGGTACCACGTGGCTCATTTGGTGTAGTACACATGGGCATGCCGTATAGGGTGAAGGTCTGAAGTGTGGTATGCACTTGTGCTTCTACTACGCTCCATGCATACATGCTACCATGCACCCCTCTGCTTCCTTTGAGGTGTCTCTCAGGCGGCGCCGTACGTACACACACACCTGCTGCTGCCGGATCCTCCCTCGCAGACAAGACGGCTGCCCGCAGGAGCCGTACGCGGGGCAAGGAGGCGCTGCGAGCCGCGGTGGCTGCACGGCAGGAGGCGCGCGCGGTGCAGCGGCGGCAGGTGCGGTGGTGACAGAGGGGCAGTAATGGGTGGGAGGGTAGGCGGTGCGTACCGGTAAGCAGCTGAGTGGGAGCGACAGTTAGCATCGCGAGGTAGGAAATGTGAAGGGGATCCCTAGCGTGGGATGGCGTTAGGGATCACCTGCATGCTAACCTGGCAGGAGTACCCTGGGAGGCGGGAAGAAGCTGGGGGATCACATCCTTGCCTGCCTCCGAGGAATCAGAGCGCGGCCCCTAGAACTCCGTCTCAACCTTCATCCGACAGCCACCCGCCGGCTGCAAATCCTTCCCCTCTGCCTCCGAGATAGCACTGCATCCTGTCCCCATCTCCCATCTTCCCCTCTCCACTTCCTCTTCCCCTCCCCGCTTCGCAGCTCACCCCCGCCCAAGCCGCCGCCCTGGCTCCCCAACTCCTCTCCGAGCTCTACGACCAAATCACGCAGCTAGACGACGACGCCACTGCTGCTACTGCTGCAGCTGCTGCAGCTGCCGGCAGCAGCGCCACCAGCGGAGGTGGTAGCGGCGAGGAGGCCGAGGAGCGTGCTGCAGCTGCCGTCCTCTCCGGTCTGGGCTTCAGCTCGGCGCAGCAGCAGCGGGGGCAGCCCACTGCCGGCCTGAGTGGCGGCTGGCGCATGCGAGTGGCTCTGGCGGCGGCGCTGCTGAGCCGGCCGCAGCTGCTGCTGCTGGACGAGCCCACCAACCACCTAGACCTGCTGGCGACGCTGTGGCTGCAGGTGGGGGACGGGGGGGAAGAAACCATGCTGGTGTTGATCGGGTGGGGAGGGGAGGACCGATGCGATGAGGCTGGATCAGGTTCCACCCGCTTGACGAGTGAAACCACGAACCCTCCTTCCCTGTTCCTCTTCCTCTCATCATCGCCCTAAACCTCAGCCCTCTTGCTCCCTCCCTCTTTCCCCCCAGGAGCACCTGGTCCACCACAGCCCCGCCGGTCAGACGGTGCTGCTGGTCAGCCACGACCGCGCCTTCCTCAACGCGGTGGCGCAGGAGACGCTTCTGATGCGGGAGGGGCGGCTGGAGTACTTTCCGGGCACCTACGACGCGTATGTGCAGGTGCGTGTGTTAAAATAACTGGCCGCGAGGCGAAACGTACTGTGATTGCCGAAAGATGGAGTCCTCCCACCGAAAACGCCACAGGTGAAGTGAAGTCCGTTGGCTATGTTGTAATAGAGCTATCGAGTAGTATCGGAATCAGTGTAAAGCAGTAATAGCAATGTCGTAACGCGACCGGACCTAAGGACCGGAGTAGTAAGTAGGTAGGTATAAGTAACCGTCACTGTCGTGTGTAAACTGGATGTAGAGAAGCTGTAGCTGTCGCTGAACAGGGGTAAAAGCAGGGGTGATGCCAAGACGTCGCAGTGCATGCTCGAGCAAAGCAGGACAGGAAAAACAAGTGCAGGACCACTATGTGCGTATGCGAATATTACCGTAGACTGACCTGCAAGGCAGGTGCGTGTGTGTGTGGGCGCAGGGGTGCGGGGATGTGGGGTGCGGGGTGCAGCAGGGGGCTCTGGTGTGCCGCGGGGTGCAGGAAGGGTGCGGGTAACGCATAGTAAGGTAGCTAGGTAGGTGGGGTATGGGGTGGGCGTCATGCATGCATGAAGCGTGTGTGCGTACGTTACCCGCCGGTGGACGAGGCGGGCAGGCGGGCAGGCGGGTGGGTGAGGGCAAAGTAGGTGTGGTGGGGTTAGGCTGTCAACCTACACGTGAGCATGCGCCATTATTACCATCGCCACCATCAGCATCAGCATCCTTGCCTATTGAATTACTCCTTATCGCTCACCCCCTTGCACCGATTGCACCCCCCCTACCTATCCCCTCTGCTTTGCCCTGACCTGTGGCTTCCTATGGTATGGTATGGTCTTTGTCCCCCCCCCCACCCATTTCTTTTTTCCCCCACCTCATCAACCCGCCCGCCCTCCCCAGGCCCGCTCCGAGGCCCAGCTGCACGCCGAGCGGCAGGTGGCGGGTCAGGCGCGGCAGCGGGCGCACCTGCAGGACACCATCAGCAAGGCGGAGCGGGCGGCGCGGCAGGTGGGGGGGGAGGGCAGTTAGGGGTACTAGGTGGGATGCGTGGGGACAAGTACGAGTCGTAGCGTATGCAACCTGCTTGCCTCCTTTCCGTTCAGGGCGTCCCTCTCACTTCTTAACCCCGCTACTTTAGGCTCCGTGTCCTTCACCCCTCCCTTTCTTCCCCTCCCTCCCGCTGCTCCCCGCTTTCCCTCCTCACCAGGCAGGAGATGACAAGCGGCTGCTGCAGGCTGCCAGCCGCCGCAAGAAAATGGAGCGGCTGGGTGCGGAGAAGACGGCAGACGGCAAGAAGTTCAAGGTGATGAATGAAGAGCATGCAGGCTGTCTGTGCATGACCTGCTGACCGCTAGCACTGTTGCTGCGGTTTGTGGTAATGCGACGATTGAGCACACATCCGCTCGCTTGCTAGCACTGCTCTAGTGTAGGATACCCGTGCGCGCTTTGGTCCAGCCCGGTAGGGCCTATGCTGCTGAGCTCCAGCAAACCCAAACCCCATCACCACCACCACCACCACCAACTGCTTTGCCCTAACCTGTGGTCTCCTATGGTTTGGTATGGTCTTTGACTCCCCCCCAACTGCTCAGGTGTCGTACTGGGCTGGTCGGCACGAGACGCTGCGGCCGCAGGTGCAGCTGGAGCGCCCCGAGGAGCCGGTGGCGCTGCAGCTGCCGCCGCCGGACTGCAGGCTGAGGCAGCGGGGCGGGCCGCTGCTGCAGCTGAGGGAGGTGACGCTGGCGTACGGTACCAGGGGGGGAGGAGGGGGGGAAGGAGGCGGAGGGGGAGGGGGAGTAGTAGCGGCAGGAGGAGCAGGACTGGGCGAGCGAGAAGACGGAGGTGGAGGCAGCGGTGGTGGCAGCGGCGGAGGAGGTGGCGGCGAAAATGTGGTGCTACGCGGCGTGACGATGGATGTGGAGCCGGGAGCGCGGATAGGCTTGGTGAGGAAGTGCAGGAATCTTGGCGTACACACCCTATGCATGGCCTTTCCTCTTTTCCCACCCTCCCGCCCTCCCGTGTCTCCCGCCCGCCTCCCCAGCTGGGCCTCAACGGCAGCGGCAAGACCTCCCTGATGCGGCTGCTGGCGGGAGACAGCCGGGCGCTGGCAGGGGGGCAGCTGCTGGCTCCCGCGGGGGGCGCCGGGCGGCTGCGGGTGGGGCAGCTGGACCAGCACAGCGGCAGGCGGCTGCTGCGGAGGGAGGAGAGGAGGGCGGCGGAGGGGGAAAGGGAGAAGGAAGGGGAGAGGGAGGGGCTGGTTAGGGAGGGGGAGGAGAAGCAGGTGAGGGGCAAGGAGCAGCGGCGGGAACAGAAGGGGCGAAGGCGGAGGAGTGAGGCAGGAGGCGGGGCGGATACGGAAGGCAGTTCGCAACAACAACGTCAGCCGGTGACTGCATTCTCGTGCGTGCAGGTGCGAGGTCATGCTATGGGTGTAGGGTGTATGGAATGCGTGGCGGTGCATGGAGCGGGCGGGAGGACATGGTATATGAGGGCACATGCGGGTTTGTGTGTTAAGCTTCCTCCATTTCTTCTTACCGCCCCCCCTTCCTCCCCCCTCCCCTCCCTGCTGCGATGCATGCCCCACTGCTGCCCAGTCCCGCGCCCCCCAGCTGCGCCAGCAGGAGGTGTACGACTACCTGGGCAAGTTCGCCGTACCCGGCCCACTGGCCACCACCCCCCTGCGGCTGCTGAGCGGCGGCCTGCGCTGCCGAGTGGCGCTGGCGCTGGAGATGCTGGACGGGTGGGTTGCGGCGGGGCGCTACTGGGTGGGCGGCAGCAGGTGGTCGCAGAACTGACTGGGCACCTGGGGGTACCTTGGGGTAGACGGCACTGCAGGCGTGTGCGTGTGTGTGGCGTGGCGTGTGCTAGCCTACTGAGATTAGGCAACAGATGTTCTCAGCTGTACGTGCCTACCTTGTTCGCTCGTTCACATGCTTGCACGCAGGCCGCACGTGTTGCTACTCGACGAGCCCACCAACAACCTCGATCTGCACACCGTACAAGCCCTAGCACAGGCGCTCCAGGAATGGGAAGGTACGGCAGATGCATACATACCGGCATACCGGTCATCGCAGGATCGCAGCAGTCGAACCGGAACGTGTCGCGTTGGTCGGATAGGGCTCATGCGCACCGTGCGGCGCACAGCGGACAGTTGATTTATTACATGCCCTCACATGCTGGCATGCATGCAGGCGCGGCGGTGGTTGCCAGTCACGACCTGGCGTTCCTGCGTGACACCTGCAGCGAGATCTGGCTGGTGGAGGGGGGCGCTGTCACCCGGCAGCCGCAGGACGAGGTGGGGGAGGCGATTTGAGGCCTACGTGGGCCGGCTGATGCGGGGGCTGCAGAGGAAGGGAGGAAGGGCGCAGCTGGATCACGAGGATAAGTAGTGCGTGCGTGCCTTTCCTTTGCATGAAGGCAAGGAGCGGTCATCACTGTCATATGTACTTTCAACTTCACGACCTCTTCGACCTGTCTTGCGACCTGTTAGGCCAACCAATGGCTCAGATACCGGTATACGGCAAGTCAGCCTTTGCCAAGACGTTTGCCCCGCTGGTGTTAACCTGTGCTCCAGTCACATGAAGGTTGCTAAGGGTCGGGGGTGTCATTGCGGGCACCATGGTTGCCGCTGATACAGCAAAGCAGTTGAGGCCGGGGCACGCCAGTTGCTGATACGCAGTGCCGCCCGGTGTACACCGTAATAGCAGAGGACTGCGGGACAGCAGCATGCATGCCGCCTGATAGCTTGCTAAGGAGTAGTACGTGGGTGTCGTATTACTGCTGCTCTGAGGCTAGCACCGAGCGGAGTCAGGAGGGCATAAGTAAGGCGGGCACGCTTTTATACGCTTTGGCCATCCTTGCGACTCTGCGTTGGGTTTTAAATCGGGGGCATTATCACCGTAGCCTGGTCTAGGGTATCCGCCCACCAAGGTCACCATGCTACTAGCAGCACCGCCGCGCGCGCACCACCACCACCACCACCACCATCACCAGCGCCAGGGCTATAGGACGCATCGCACCCACCTCTCGCTGCTGACGCTGCCCAGCAGGGCCCCAGCAGGTAGCATGCACACACACCAGGGGCACCTACCGACTCCCCATACATGTACTCAGAACTTCATAATGACCCGCGGGTCTTTCGCAAGCTCGTCGTACACCATCGCCACAAGCTCGGGTGCTCGTACGGTCACCTCAACTGACACACTGATGTACTTCCCGCCCAACCGCTCCTTTACCTCAACCTGGTGGCGCGCAGAAAGGCAGGGGGCGTCGTGTCGTCAGTGATTGGTCATGCCGCTATGTCGTTGAGAGGTGCCGTCGTGCCTAGAGCTAGATAGAGGTGTCATCGTGCCTAGAGCCCGACTACTGATGAAGAGTTGTAAGTAATGAAGTGAGGGATAGTCGGTCTATGTCTGGTCACTGGCCGCCAAGCAACGGCGTGCGCTGACAATACCGGTGGTTATTTTGCCGCACAGGGCGCTCATCACGTTGAAAGTGACACCGCACACCACACTTTGCACCGGAACTCCCAAGCAAAGGCATCCAGGGCGGTAACGAAGACCCACGGGTCACCTTGCCTCCAATCATCCACCCTCACCTTGTCCGTCGCCACCTCCGCCTGTGCTACTCGGGAGATGCGGGCGATGACGTCAGCCACGAACGCCTCCTTCCCATCGCCGCTGCTGGCCCCGCCGCTACCGCCTCTACCCCCACCACCATCAACGCCACTGATACCTGTACTCCTAGTTTCGGGACCACTACCCTGACTGCAGCTGCGTCCTGCGCTGGTGGGGGCTGCTGCTGCTGCTGATGATGATGATGATGATGATGATGCCGTTGTGGGGGCTGCTCTGCTGGCGGGTGCTGCTGCGCCGCTGGTGGTGGCTGCTGCCGCGGCGGCCGGTGCCGCTGCTGGCTGCTGTACTCGGCCGACTACTTGGAAGATGTAGGGTCGCGGGAACTGGTACAGAGCAGACAAGATGACTCCAGGGGTGCGCTCCGAGTTCTGGTGGGAGCGTGGAAGAAGGCGAGGTGGGGAGCAAGAAAGGGTGGAAAACCCGGGCCTACCTGAGACACAACAATCGATGAATGACATTAAATGACAGCATGCGGCACCACTCGCAGCCACCTCCACCTACCTCCACCCAATCCGGCGGGTCCAGCTCCCCACGTAGGGCCCGTACGGCCACATCGAACCGTGTGGCGCCCATCTCGTTGATCATCTTGCCGGTCTTGGTATCGATCAGGAAGCCATCTTCACTTATGGCAAGATCTGCGTTGACATCGGAAATCCTTGCCGTACATGGAACAGGACCGGGCGAAAGTGGAATGTACAGGGTACTGTGAACGGCGGATTAGATTGAAAGTGTTTAGATGTGCGTAAGGCTTGTGCGGGCAGTAGTGGAGGGGCGGTCAAGGGTTCTTGGCGTTCCCGGCATTTCGCGGATTGAAGGGGGCCTTGGATGGACAGGGATGCACGCGAACACATGGCCCACGGAAAAGGTAGGGCACCAATGCTAAACCGGTAGACGTCCAATAAGAACTCCAGACGGCAAACGTGGTGGGTGGTCACTTGGGTTGCGCCGGGCCGCGACATACGGTAAGCATCGCCCCGACGCACCACCACCACATGCCAGGCAAGGTGGCTGCCAAAGCGCGTGTTCGCGCTCACCACGTAGCTCTGGTGGAAGGTCATCTTGAGGCGATGAAGATCCACTTGGATGGGTATTGTCCGGCTGCTGGCTTGCGCGGCATGCTACGCGAGGAATAGCGGCGAGGACAGGACGGGCGTAGAATTTGCATTGCCTTGAAGCTGGTGTTCGCTGGATGTTATTATGTACTTTTAATTTCAACATGTTCGTTACTTCAGAAAGCTGCCCAAGGCTTGCTATGGCGACTCGTCTTCCTAGGGATTTTGGCGTTTTGCAAGAAACAGTATTGGAAATGCAGTGCCTTGGATGTCAAAATATTGTGTATGGTTCGCGCCTAGTATATGGGAGGACGGGTTGGCTATTACAGTCGGCGGTTGGGACTGTAAACTGTCGCTTCTCCTACGTGGATCGCAGTCTGGCAACTCACGAAGCATCTGGCTTCTAGGTGTGTTATAGATGTCACCCAAGTATTGTATGGATATAAATGGAGCTGGAAATGTTGCTTGACGCCAAGGCTTGACCCAGGGATGCCGAACATCCTAGGTTTACTCAATTGGGGATGGAGTGGCGCCAGGCCGTTGGCCACAAAGGCAAGTTAATTTGGCAGGATAGGACGTCAAGTCTGGCGCTGATTGGTTCCGGGAGCCCAACCAACCGCCCATCCATTCATTCGAGCGCATCTGTTTATGCCTCTTCGTAGGCGCAGGCCCCACTCCAAACCGTACAAGAGCAAGCCGAGCGGGAGCGCTGGGCGCTGCCGCCTGAAGGACCACCCAGCCTAGCCTCGGGTGGACCGGTAGCTTCGCCGTCTTCCCATCAGTACCAATCGGAACCCGAGCCCGGGCCCGATCGCAAGTCCTACCGAAACCTCTCTGGTCGTCCGCTTTCCCGTACAGCCCTTAAAGACCAGCTAGGGGCGGATTACGGTCATGTTCGCCTGCAGGCCGCTGCTGCCGAGGCTGCAGCAGCTAAGCGAGCGGTGTACATTCAGGAGGGGGATGTGGAGCCTGGGAACGACTTCAAACAAACAGTTGCGGATTTGCTTAAGGAGGAAGGTAGGAGGACTAGAGGAGTGAGGAGGGCGTGCAAGTGGGGAAGGGGACTAGAGGAGGCTGGTCAGAAAGGACAAGGCGGATCGGGTTATCATTATGAGGATTGTGACGAGAGTGAGGCGTTTCTGATGACGGATGGCATTCAAGGCACCCACTCTCCTAACCGCCACTGTTGCACCCGTACAATTAGCCTATCCCTCCCCTCCCGTACGTTTCCCTGTACGTTGCCGTACTCCGTGAAGAGTACGGGGTATTGCGGCTGGTCGTACCGCACATTTCGTTGAGCCGAGAGCAGTTTGACCGCTACGTGCGGTGGCTGAACCAGCAGAAGCAGCAGCAGCGGCGGCGACAGCAGCAGCACGCGGCGGGAGGTACAGCCAAGAAGGCCGACAGGTGGGTGCTGTCTGCAGCAGAGGGTGCAAGGCACATACGTACATAGGAGGCGTTGGGTTGGGTTGAATTGGATTGAGTTGGGTGGGCATGTAGCACCGACGGTGGACGAGACGTTTGCGGGGCGTGGGGCGTGTAACGGATATGCCCCGCTAGCACCCTCCTGGCCTCCCCGCCCTCCTGTCTAATTAGACCCGCGTCCCGTCGTCCAAACCAAACCCTACCTCAACCTTTACCTTTCCTCCCCCGCTTCTCCCCCCTGCACTCCTCGAGGCCCCCTCAAACCCCTTGTCCGCACCCACCTCCCCTCCTCCCGCCCTCCCCCCCCCCAGCCTCCCCCGCTCCCTGCTGGGCCTGCCCGTGGTGCCGCCCTACCACCCCCTCAGCCTGGCCTGGATGAGCTTCATGACCGCGGTGGACCTCACCTGGACCGCATTCGGGGTGCCGGTCAACGTGGCCTTCTGCTCCATCAACTACGGACATCTGAGATCCGCCTGTACGGCAACCGACCTGGCGTTTGGTGGGTGTGGTGATGTGTACGGCAGGGGATGAGGGCCCAGGGGACGAAGGGAGTATATATACCGGTAGTAAAAGGCCCTCTGCCTCAGCTAGGTGAAATGAATATCGGTTCCACACGGGTACCACCATTCCCAGGCAGGGAGGCCAGCAGGCATGTGGCACCTCTGAGCAGTGCATGGTGTGCTTCTGAGCGCTTCTGACGGCGCCGCAGGAAACTCCAGGTTTGGTCTGTCTCTGACCCACCACCACCTTCCCAACCCCCTGGCGCCTGGGCCCCCTCCTGCCCTCCCCTGATCCCTCCCGCCTCCTCTGCATCGTACATTACTTCCGCCTCCCGCCTCCCTCCCTCCCTCCCGCCGGCCCCCCCGCCCCCCCAGGTGCCGTGTACGCCGCCAACCTGCTCACCTCCTTCCAGCTGGGCCTCATGGTGGTGAGCGGACACCGCAAGAAGGCGGTGCTGGACGGTGAGGGGGGGGGAGGGGGAAAAACGAAATTCCGAAGTGTGGTGTGATAATAAGGGGGGGAGGGAGGGAGGGAGGGAGGGAGGGAGGGAGGGAGGGAGGAGAAGGAGGGAGAGAGGGGCCCTATGCCGCTTCAGCCCTTCGTCCTACCTCCTTCTCCATACCTCCTTTGTTCCTTGCCTTTACGCTTCCCGTTGCATCCTAATTCCACCCCCCGCAGGTCGGCGGTTGGCCCACTACTACGTGATGTACGGCAGGTTCCCTCTGGACCTGGCGGCTGTCGTACCCTTCGTGTACCTGCTGGTGGTGCTGGGGCTGAGCGGCGGGCAGGGGTACCGGGTGGGAAGGGAGGGAGCAGGGGGGGACAGGGGTGGGAACAGGGGGGGCGGGGAGGCGGAGAGAGATGTACAAGAGACGGAGGTGGAGAGAAACGACAAACCATAATGTTGAGGTTGGGCTCCAGGGGTGCTTGGAAGAGTCACTGGGTGTGTTGAATTGGGTTGTTGCTGGGCGGCGGGGTGGCGCGGCGCCGGCGCCTGCTCCCGCTGTCCTCCCTACCGGCCAGCCGGCTAGCACGCATGTCACCCCTGACCTGCCCCAGCCCACAGCCGCCCCTAACACTCTCCCCTCACGCACACACCCCTCGCCTCGGTAAGTTTAGCTCGCATTGCTTTAACCACCATTTCGGCTCGACTCACGGTTGATTCCACCAGGGATTGTCAGCAATTTGTATCATTATCACAACACACTTTCGAATTTCTTTTTTCCCCCCGCCCGCCCCCTCCCCCAGTCCAAGTGGGTGAACGCGCTGTCGCTAATTCGCCTGGTGCGGCTGCTGCGGCTGGTCAGCGTGTCAAAGGTATGGTTCAGTAGCGGCTGCTGCTGACGCTGCGGCTGACGCAAGAGGGGGAGGTGGCAGGCGCAACCTTACCGGGATCTGGGAGCAGTAACGGCGGCGGGGGGTGGCGTGCATGCTTGCTTGCTGGCTTGCTTGCGTGCATGTTTGCATGTTTGCTGGGGCGCGAATGGAGTGTGGCAATCCGAATCCGAACAGTGTTGGGGACCCTGATCCCCCGCTCCCGAACACCCCAGGAACCCCGTTCCTGACCTCCCTACACCCACAGCCCTCAACCCATATTCCCCCCCACCTGCTCGCATGCCTTGCCCCCTCCTACCCTCCCTAACCCCCTGTGGTTTCCTATGGTTCGGTATGGTCTTTGACGCCGCCCCCCTTTTCATTGTTTTCCACCCCTCCCCCTATCGGAGGGATTGGGAGCTATGCATGCTGATTCGCCCGCCCGCGGCCTTCACCCCGGCCTTCACCTCCTTCATCATCTCGCCTGCCTTACCTCCCTCCCTTAACCCCCTTCCCCTTCCCCGCCCCCGCCCCCAAACCCTCCGCAGGTCATCTACATTGACTCCGCAGTGGGGTCGGAGGGCTGGCTGTCCCGCTACCTCAGCCTCTCCCGCCTCCACGTGGCGCTGGTGGCATTCCAAACCATCGTGCTGATCAACCTGGTGGCCTGCATCCTGGTGCTGCTGGCGTACATGAGGGGTGGGGGGGCGGGGGAGGGGTAAACTCGGGGGAAGCGTGTGTGTTTTGGGGCGGGGAAGGCGTCGTGTACGTAGTGCGTTGCTCTGCCGTACGGTATGGTGAGAGATAGGAGGAGAGATTCAGGAGTTCCCCAGGTAAAACGTGTGTGTTTTTGCAGGGGATTAGGGGGAGGTAGGAAGGCAAGGGAGATTCGAAGGGGAGAGGAGCGGGGACATTCCATTTGCCTAACACGCGTGCAAGCACCCCGTTCCCCGCCCGCCCCCTTCTCCTCCTTCTCTTCCGCCCCCACCCCCCGCAGGTCTGGAGCACAGCTGGATGACGGCGGTCAGCTGGACGGACTTGGTGGACGCATCGCGCGCCTACCAGTGGTACTGCGCCATGTACTGGGTGGGTCGGTGGGTCGGTGGGTCGGCAGGAGGGAGGTGACCCGTGAGTCGGAGTGGGGCTTGTGGAGGACCCGGGCCTATAGGTAGGTCCGACGGATGACTTCTCACCTTCCAGGATACCCTGGCTATAACGCTAGGTTCCCTGCGGCTGTACCGCAACTCACAGCAATCCCTCAACCCTCCCCCCACCCGCCCCGCCCCCCACCCACAGGTCATCACCAGCGCCACCACCACCGGGTGAGTCCTGGTCGCTCCCCGCCACGCAGGTGCCAGCAGCGCAGCAACCGAAGGCTGCAAGGAAGAGAGCAACCTTACCGGTACCTGCCTGCCTGTGGGAAGCGGGTTCGGCTGTTCAGTAGGCGAAGAGGTGCCCTTCCTTACCGCTACCCTCCACTCCTTCTCCCCCCCCCACACACACGCCTCTCTTCCGGACCTCCCTCGTCATCCTTCTCCTCCGCTCGGCTTGCCCGTTCCTCCTTCCCCTCCACCCGCTCAGCTCCACGATGTCATATCCAGTCCCTTGCAATTGGCCCCTATACACATTTCCCGCCCCACCCACCCCTCCCTCCCCCCCATTCCCATCCATGCTCATTGCCATCCATGCTCATTGCCTTGCTTTGTCTTGCCTTGTCACTGCTGCCCCGTGCCGTGCTACCCCTGCCGTACATCCACCTGCCCCCTGTCGTACCGCATGTTTGTCATCGCCCATTATATATTCGTCCCTTTTGTTTTGTTTCCTTTAACTGCATTTTTTAGTATACACCCCTCTTTGCATACTATCCTACCCTACCCTTAGTCACCAAGGCCCCTTCGCATATTTCACACATTCATTTCGCATTTTTTGCTTTCCTCACAACTCTCGGTTTTCTATACACCCATCCTAACCATTCGTGTTGCCTGTCCCTATCCCCTCCCGTGGCCCTTCCGTCGCGACATTGCTGGCGGCTTCTGTGGCACTCGCTTCCGTACATAGGTAAATCAGCTTCGTGATCCGTTTGTTGTTGTTGTTGTTTGCTTACCACGTCACACACGTTTCACCCTACTTGTTTTGCCATGTCCGAGCGACATCCCATGGGGCCTTGGTGACGACGCTCAACACTCAGCGACGAGTAGACTACTCCATAGTTGGCTCTTTACAGCACACCGGATGCAGCAAAATCGCTTCCTCTGGAGCATCGGTATCGGTAAGGACTGCTAACCCTCCCATGTTTTGTGGCTCCCTGCCAACAATACCCATTGCTTTTGCCCTAACATTGTGGTTTGGTTTATTCTACCCCCCCCATTCCCCCCATTCCCCCAGCTTCGGTGACTTCTCCCCCCGCTGGTGGGCGGAGCAGGTGGTGATCAGCGGGACCATGGTGGGCGGCATGATCGCCTTCGGGGTGCTGGTGGCCAGTGTGGCGAATGCACTGGCGCGGGCAAACACGGCGGCTAACAGGTGCAGGAGGGGGGGGACGGGGAAGGGGGGGGGAGGGGGATAAGGATAAGGAAAGGGGACGGGGAAGGGGTGGGGGCTGATAGCGTGAGCTGCGAGGGAAGGGGCGTAGGGAGGGGGGGGGGCAGAAATCATTGAGAGGTGCAGCAACTGGAGGGGGGTAGGGTGGGGTGGGTTCAGCCCGCACTGTTATGGTATCCGGGTTGCTTGGTTTGGGCATGGCAAACTGGCGCCTCCCTCCTCTCCCCTTCCTCCAGCCCTGACACCTTGGTCTGCTCCACTCCATGAGACGAGTTAGCTTTTTCCTCTTTACACCCCCGCCGCCCCCCCCGCTGCAGGCTGCAGGCTCACATCAAGAAGATCAGTCAGGTCAACCGCTGGCTGGGCGCATGCCGCCTGTCACCACCCGCCAAGATGAGGATACAGGTAGGTAGCTGCGGCCGTAGACAGGAAGCCACGCGACGCCCCCTGTTCCTTGCCAATCACAGCCATGCCGCCATGCCCCTCCCGCCATGTCAATTCTCCCCTCGCCTCCCCCCTCCCTCCCCCCGCTCTTCCCCTCCCCCCCCCTCAGGAGTACTTTGCGCAGGTGTTTGTGTCCAAGCAGGCGGTGCGGTACGGCGAGGCGGAGCTCTTCACCGACCTGCCGCCCTACCTGAGGTTTGAGGTGGGGGCTGGGGGGGTCAAAGCTGTAGCAAGGCGGGCATACATGCTGGGAACAGGACCCGCGTGTGGTTTTTCGCATGGCACCCGCTGACCCATGCATACCGGTATGTATGCTCCCCTTCTCACGCCCTCCCTGCCCTCCCTGCCCTCCCCCTCCCTCACCCCAGGTAGCCAGCGAGCTGGCCCTGCCGCTGGTCCGCTGCGTGCACGGACTGCGCAGCCTCAACACGGACGCGCAGCAGCTGCTGGCGGCGCACCTGAGGCCCGTGAGGGCAATCGTGGGTGAGCGAGGGACGGCGGGAGGAGGGCAGTGACCCGTGGGTCAGCGGGCGGACTGACGGGGCCACACGCACATGCACACCATTCGTGGAAGGACAATGAGCTTAAGCGGCACTGCTGCCCTTTCTCCAGGGCTGTAACCATGCCTTAACCCACTCCCCCATAACGCACACACACGCTCCAAGACCTCCACGCTCCCTCCCTCGCCTCTTCGCCCTCTCCTCCCCTCCTCCTCTCCACCCCTCCTCCTTCCCACCAGGCCAGGAGCTGTGTCGGCAGGGCGACGAGGCGGACCGGCTGTGGCTGCTGGCTGCGGGCCGGCTGGTGGCGCTGCGGCACAAGGAGGCGCCGCAGCACGTGGCGGGACCCGCGCTGGTGGGGGAGTCGCCCGCACTGGCGCTGGACATACCGCACTGCAGGTGCCCGGGGTGGGGTGGGGTGGGGGGGTAAAGTGGAAGGAACTGAGGAGCTGTGTGACGAGGGGCTTCACCGGGCTGGGGGTGCTGCATGGGGGCCGGGGGTGAGCGGGGATGAAAGGGTCTCCCTCGTGCTGCTGTGAGGGCGGAGAGGAGGACCAGTTTACACAAAAGCCACTTTATGTGCATGCGGTGCGATTAGGATAGATAGGAAGATGCACATGCATGCATTGCTACATGCAACACGCTCCCACCAAACACCGTACTCAACCCCAACACGTTTGTAACCGCCCCTCCCCCCTCCTCCCGCCCCGCCCCCAGGCACCGCCCCTGGACGCTGCGCGCCGCCCTGCCCTGCGAGCTGTGGGAGCTGCGCCTGCACGACCTCTCGCGTGTCGTACAGATCTACCCCGCCGTACGACTGTGCCTGCTGGAGCACCTGAGGGGGGAGCTGGTGGGTTGGGGAGGGGGTGGAGGTGTAAGAGGCGGGAAGTGTGGGGAAAAACACATATCCTTTCCTGTTGGAGGGCAGGGTCGGGGCACCGGCCGCTACCGGTAGCAGCCGCAAGCGCACGTCGGAGGGCATAGGTGGGTGTCTGTCTGACACCGCCCTCCTCCCCTCTCCCTCCCGCCCGGCCCCCACCCCGCCAGGTGAAGCACCTGTTCGACATGGCTGCGGCACCGCCACCAGCAGCAGCAGCAGCGCCGCCCTCGCACTGGCAGCCGCAACAGCGCCACCCGCCAGGAGCAGGAGCAGGAGCAGGAGCAGGAGCAGGAGCAGGAGCAGGAGGGGAGGAAGGGGGTGCAGAGCCCTCGATGCAAGCGGTGGAGTCCGTGTCGGTGAGTAAGGGGTAGTAGGGGGAGAGAGGGTTCACTTCCGCCCTCGCTCCTTTCGGTGGTTGCTCTATCTTATCTACCCGCTTCCCTACCCTGCCCCTGTCCTCTGCCCTCCCGTCCTCATCCTCACCCACCTGCCTCCAACGCCATCCCCCCTTCCACCCTCACCACCTACCCCACCTCCCTTCCCCCTCCTTTCCCCCCCCCCAAACCCCGTGCCCCCAGGACTGGTGTGAGCTGGTGGCGCTGCTGCGGGGCGCGTTGGAGGGGCTGCAGGCGGCACTGGAGGGGGCAGCAGGGGGGGCAGCTGGGGGGCCGGGAGGGGCGGGAGACCACACGGGGGCAGCAGCGGCAGCAGCAGCAGCAGGGGGAGGAGGACCGGGGCGGGCGAGTGCGGTGCTGGATGAGCTGTGCATCCAGCTGCAGAGGGTGAGGGGGGCAGTGGGGTGGGGGAGGTGGGAGGGCAAGAATGGAGGTTGCTTTGTGGGTTGGGGGTTAGGCTGCGGGTCGGGGAGGTGTGTGAACACTCGACACCAGCAGCGGGAGAGATAGCCGGCGCATGTGCGTGTGCATGTGTGTATAGTTGAGTAGTGTGTAGTTGTGTGTGTGTAGTTGAGTAGAACAAGAGCAAGAGTGTTTCCAGTCGCAGCATCTGAGGTTCTGAGCCCGCCTTCCACAGCGTGCGGTTCTTGCATGCGGACACCCACCTGCACAGCACCTCGTACCATCACATCCCCCGCTCGCACTCCTCCCCCCCCCCACCTGTGCCTGTGCCTCTCTGCCGCTGTGCCTCTCTGCCGCTGTGCGCCTTCCCTTCCCCGCCAGGCTAACATTGAAGACGGCAGCTTGCAGGTGGGTGGGTGGGAGGGTGGCCAGCGGGCAAGGGAGCAGCTTCTTCTCGGTCGGGTACGAGCCCCCAAACCACCCGTGCGAAATGATTACTCGGCCATCCCCACCACGCCCCACCAATTGCTGTACTGCCGTGCAATGAGAGCGCACACGCTCAGGCCGCCAACGCTGCCGGTACCTCTTGTATTCGCTTGATGCCCGCCCGCATGTCATTGTGATACCCGCTTGCACGCAACCTTGCTGGAACCCCTCACGCACGAAAATATAAACAGCCAATCCCCCAACCCCCCCAAACCCGCTGCAGGCGCTGTTGTCAGAGCTGGTGGAGGGGGCGATGGTGCGGGACGGCCTCACACTGGAAGTGAGAGGGGGAGGGAGGGAGGGAGGGCAGGCAGCGGGGCTGCGGCTAGGGGGGCAGTCGGAATGATATGTGGGAGGTTGCTCGAAACCGGCTGGTGAAAGTAGAGTTCCGTGGAGGGGCAGGGGGCGGGAACCAGGATTGGGAGGGTTGGAATACAACGGCCGGATGCAGCAGTACGACGTGTGTTTGTGGACCCGTGTTTGTAACTACCTATCTATCAGATGTTTCCACTCGCCCAGGCATGCGAGCGTTAGGCCCAAGGCCACCCGCCTTCACCCGCGTACCTTCTCCCTAGCTTTGCGCCCTAATCCTCTCCTTCCCTCCCTTCCAGGCCGCGTTGGGGCTGCCCCTGCTCGTCCAGCAACAAGCAACAGTGCAGCAACACGAGCAGCAGCAGCAACCCCAGCAGCCACCGTTCAGCCGCCAGCCCTCCAACGGAAGCACCCACAGTCTGCAACGCCCTCCCCACAGCCGCACCCCTACCCCGCCCGACCCCTCCACCGCCACCGCCCCAGCCGCTGTGGGCCCCCCAGGCCCAGCCGCAGCCGCCACACGACCGCCCCTGCCGAAGTACCAACGCAGCCTCAGCAGTGGTGGCTCCCCCTCACCCCTGCGGCCCAGCCACCACCACCACCTCCTCCCCACGCTCCCCCGCGCGCTGTCACCCCTCTCAAGATCCGTCGGAGGGGCTGCGGAGAGAGGTCCCTACCCTGCAGCGACAGCGCCCCTGCCGCTGCTGCAGCCCTGGGCCGAGCGTCCAGAGGAAGCAGTTACGGAGGCGGCGGAGGCGGCACCGCCGCATGCCGGCTTGCACGCCGGCCAGACACTGGCGACGGCGGCGGCAGTGCCGCATTCGTCGGAGCATGGGCACGGGCATGCGCTGCTGCCGCTGCCTCCGTCGATAGTCCCGGGTGGCCGCGGGCTAGCTGCGCCGCTGCGGGAGCCGGCGGCGGCTACGGCGCCAGTGCTGTCCCGCAGCGGCAGCGGAGCCTCCGTGCTGTCACAGCAGTCGGCGGAGCATGGTACGGCAGAGGGACTGCAAACAGCAGCGGCGGCGGCGGAAGAAACGGCGGCGACCGGCGTTGCAGCGCGTTGCGACGACGGCGCTGATGGAGGTAATGGTGCTGGTTCGACGACAGCAACCAGTGTACGGCGGCGGGGTGAGCGGCAGGAGGGTGGCGGACCGGAGGCTGGGGAGGAAGATCCCATCGCAGCTGAAACAGGAGTCCCCGCTCCGCTAACAGACGGCTCACAACAGCGTCTGCCGCTGCCACATCCACCGCTGCATCAACTGCCGCCGCCGCAACAGCTGCCGTACCACAGGCATGGCAGCAGCGGCCGGGACGTCAGCGGCGTTCCCCCTCGTGTTGGGGACTTGCAGGTGGCTGGCCGTGCGTCGCTGCGCAGCCGCCTGTCGTCGCCCTTCACCACCCCGTACGGCATAACGCCGTACCCGCAGGACACTGCTGCAACCGCCGGCGGCGGCACCGCTGCAGGGGCTACCAGCGCCACTGGGCTTCCGTCCGCCTTCGCCGCCGGCGGTGGTGGTGTAGGTGGTGCAGGTGGTGTTGAGCACTGCTTTCCTCACCCTACATGGCAGCAACAGCGTCACGAGCAGACACCACAGCAGCCGCAGCAACAGCTCCAGGAGCCCTGCTCCTTTTGCGGATCGACGATCTGCCCCGTGTGTGGTGCACGACAACCGCCTCCGCCCCCAGCGCCAACACCCCTACCAGACCCTTCCACAGCAGCCCCCGCCGCCGCTGCTGCTGCTGCTTTTGCAGGTGGAGCCCTGCCGGGGCGCCAGGGAGCCTCTAGTCCCAGCCACCTCCATGGAACCCCGCAGCCGGCGATGTCCCTACTCGACGCCATTCGTGGCGGCGGCGCCATGCAGTACAATTACCGTACGACTGCGGGCGGCGCCGGTATGGGAGGTGGCGGTGGCGGTGGCGGCGCTGGCGCGCCGCTGCTGAGCATGATGCCGTCAATGGCGACGACCATGCCGACGGGCGGCCCGTCCCTGGCGGCGAGGTCAGTGGAGAATCCGGCGGCGGCGGCGCTGAGTCGGCGGTCGCGCATGTACGGCAGGAGCTTCGCGGCGACTGCGCGAATGGACAGTTTGGTTCGTACGACACTGATGCGTGAGACGTGGAACACTGCTGGGTTTTTGTCGCATAGGTGGGGGGAGGATGAGGAGCCGCTGGGGCCACAGCGCTCGTCGTCGCTGCGGGACAGTGCTTCGTCGGCTAACTGAGTGGTCACTCATGACGCTACCGGTATATGACCCATGGGTCGTCATGTCTTGAAGAGCCTGAGTTCGAATGGTGCTGCCAGGGAGGATGATTGCTTCCATGCCCTGTTCCGTTACCGTTACCGTTACCGGTACTAGTGACGTTTCCGTTACCGTTACCGGTACGAGTGACGTGTATGTACGACTATTAGCACAACACCAAGTATTGTGTCCTCCTTATGTTGAATAGTTGCTCGAGGGCTGAGGATTACCGGTAGGTGTTATATTTAGGCGAATCGTAGGGGAAGTATGTGTTGCCTGGTGAAGGGCTGAGAAGTGCATGTGGACGAACGGAACGCAGTACGGAGAGTAGTATGGCTGAAACAGCCTGGAAGGACGAGGTGCGCCCGCACGTACGTAGGCACGATGCAGGTCATGATTGAACACATGAAGAGAGCTGGTGACGCTGGTGTCGCAGTTGTTGAGTCTGAGCGTGTCCGACAGTGTTTTTGCCTTACACCTCTTACTAAGCATGTACCGCTTAGGAACACCTGAGGTGCTTGTTAGACGGATGGAGTTACCGGCGTGCAGGACTGCCGAGCCCCGCCGCTGGCGTCAGTTGGGAAGGTTCGTTGACGACATGTTTAGGCGAACCGTGGATGCGCACTGTAAGCATGTTCCTGTTGTATCCTTTAGGTATATGCAGGACAAAGAGCTACTTATTGCCGCATCGCACGCACACACGATGGGAAGATCGGCTGCAGCAAGCAAATCGGGTACGGATTTGAAACCTACTTTCGCCATTCCATGGGTAGAATTTTCATCCCTGTCTTTACTGCTGTAAACATCCGGACATCATACAAGTTTTCCGAAAAGCTGGACACAACCTTTGCAAGCCCTTTTTTAGCTGGTGTGGCTTTTGTGCTTGCGGTTGATATCAGTTAACGCAAGAGCCTTGAAACACTTAGGGTTTTGGTTATATAATGCGCGCCGCTGCAGGCCGCTTGCGCCACGGTGTGGCGACGAAAAGCGAAAATGCCATCCATGGCCTTCCACGAGCGAGGCATACATTCGCGCTCGGCAGCTCACGCTCAAAAGCCGGTGCCTGTAAGGCATACCGAAGATGTTTACAGCGTCGATGCAAGGCAACCCTCTTGGTCCAGGCGACTGCATCTCCCATGGTGACCAGCGACCTTGGTCCTGCACCAACGCCGGTAGGGTTCCTGGGAATAAGAAAGGTCGCGTACAATGAAAAACATAATGTAGAGGCTATAGCTCACTTTCCTTTCCGCAACCGTCGCAGCTTGTTTGCTTGCTCGATGACAAGTCAGCATGCTGCAAGCTTACTTGCAAATAACGGCACGATACACTCGTATCCATGTTCGAATCCATGTCAACTTAAATTGTTATGCATCTACAAATAAGCCGCAATAAACTTTAAACGCAAGTTTCCATTTATTCGACCGTTCCGCCAGCATGCAACACCTCCGTCCTGCCCATGCTTCCCTCCTTCAATCCTACCAGCAGACTCCATGCCCCACTCCCTATAACTTTCTGCCAGTCCAACGTAGGAGCCCACAAAATGCCTCCCACCCCACATCCCGCAATGCCGCTAAACGTACCGTATCCATCCAATGCCACACGCACCCCAACCTCCATCCACACAGCCCCCCACGGAGCCAGTGGAAGTCGAGTACGACACCTTTCAGGTGGCTCCCAACGTCCAACTGCTGCGCGGCAGCTGCCGAGCTGAGCGCCTCAAGTACGAAGTGGAGTACGGATTGAAGCGCGGTACGACAGATAACTCGTACCTCATCACGGTAAGAGCGAAGATCCTAGGTGTGTTTTGCGACTGCTGCTTTCTGCTGGTATGCTTTCAGTCGGACGCGCTGAAAGGAGTATGCGGTGTCGGCTGACGACTGTTGACTAACCGCACGATTCTGCCTTTTGCCCTTCCCTCCCAACCCCTCTGTACGAACAACTGCCAAACGAAACAACCAACAGTCTCCCGGAGCGGTGGTCCTGGTGGATGTGCCGTACGAGGCGTATAAGGAGAAGTTCGGTGAGCTGCTGCCGTACTTTGTGCCGTACGGAGGTCCTACTTGCATGCACCATGGCCCTACCATACCCACACACCACTTTGGCCCCCGGTGACGCTACTGGTGCCGGCCGGCGTTTGGGCGCGACACCCGCCGTCGCTTGGCGGGTCATCTTGGCTTGCACCTCACCTTGCTGTGCCAAGTTGTTGTGCACTGCCCCACCCACTCACGCTCTGCTACCGCACCCCTAACTTTAACCGTACGCCTCGGCCCTCTCTTAGCATCTCCGTCCCCTCCTGCTTTTTTCCCCTCCCTCAAAAACACCGCTTCAAAGGCCGTATCCGCCATCTCCCAGAAGACCATGCCTCCCACCCGCCGCCAAACCCGCCATATCCTCCTGCCAACCATTTATTTTCCTCCCCCCCCCTTCCCCCTTGTCCACCCCTCCTCCCCTCCCCCAGTGGAGGCCCTGTCCGCGCAGGCCCCCCTGCCCTCCCTCACGCACCTGCTCATCACCCACCTCGACCCCAAGGCCATCCCCACCCTGGAGCTGCTGCTGCTCACACGCCGCAATCAGCAGCGGCAGCAGCGGCAGCAGCTGCAGCAGCAGGAAGGGGGACAGCAGGAGGGACAGGCTGTGGCGCCTGGAGCAGCAGCAGCGGCTGGGTCCCCGGGCAGTAGCAGCGGCAGCGGCGGACAGGGGGAGGCGCCCCCCCTGCCCCCTCTGCAGGTGGTGCTGTCCAACCCGGCTCTGAAGCTGCTGGAGTCCACTCTGGGTGAGGAGGAGGGGGAGGCGGAGGAGGAGGAGGGGGAGGGGGAGGGCAGGGGCAGGGGTATAGGTGACGGGTGTGGGCCTGTAGGACACGAGGAGGAAGAGGATGGTGGATGCGTGCACTAGGCGTGGAGTACCCCCGTACCTCCTCGCCCTTACCCCTACAGTAGCACCGCAACTCCCCTCCACCCGCCGACCAGTCCCCCCTCCCCACCTCCCCTCCCCCCCGCAGGCTCCCCTCCCCCCGGATCCCCCTCCCTGCTGTCCGGCGTGCAGCTGCAGGTGGCGGGCAGGTCGGGGGCGGCGGTGGCGCCGTGCGGACCGGAACCGGGCGACCAGCTGCAGGTGTGTGTGAGGGGAGGGGGGGTCGAACTAGGCCAACCATAGGAAGCCACGAATTAGGGCAGAAGAATGGGGGAGTAATGGTGGGAGGGGGTGCGGGTGCTCCCTCTGTTTGCCTGTACTCGCGGTTCACATGCGAACCTGTCCCAACTGCTTGCTCTTGTTCTACTCAACTACACACACATACACACTTGGGCCCAGGGTGCGGCCCAGGACAACACGTTAGCTGGTTGCACCTCCATACCGCAGGTGTTCCTGGCCCCCACCCCCCGCTGGCCCGACCTGCTGCTGTCGTACGACCCGGCCAACCGCATCCTGCTCTCCTCCAAGCTCTTCTCAGCGCATGTGGCGCCCAGGGACAAGGTGCGTGCGGGTGCGGGTGCAGGAAGGTAGGGCAGCGGTTGGGGAGGTGGGGAGGGCGGGGGTAAACAACACCAAACCCGTTCCGAGGAACGGAGCGATCAGGCCAAAGGTGTATGACGGCCCCACCGGGAGTCGCGGATGTGGCCCTAGCTCCCGGACGTTCACGAACCCGCTCCGGCTGCCCTTCATCAACACCACCTTCCACCACCACCCAAGTGCAGGCGGGCACGCATGCGGGGCTGTGCCGGTCGCCCACACACGACATCTGCAGCCCGCACCCCAATGCCTCTCTCCCACCCCTTCCCTCCCTCTTGCCTCTCCCACCCCCGTCCTCGTTCAACACATTGGGTACTCTTCTTTTCCCCCCAACCCCGGCATTCCCAGCCCTACGACGAGGGCGGGTGGGAGGCGCTGGAGGAGGACTGGCGCTACTACTTTGACTGCATGCTGGCGCCGTCCGCGAAGCAGGTGGGGGGGCGGAACTGGGGCTTCGGGCTGCCGTGCGCATGCTCGGCCGCAACGTACACCCCCTACCTCCGTTTCCCTACCTTCCTGCGTGTAAACAAGAGTTCAGTCCTGAAGGAGCGAAGCGAAGCGGTGATAAGAATCCAAACCTTATCGCACACACCACCCCTTTCCCACTCACTCCCCCCCCCCGCGGCTCCGCTGCCCTCCCCGCCCCCTCTCAGGCCGCTGCCGCTCTTGACAAGCTGGACCTGGTGCCGGTAGCCCGCCAGTCGGCTGCCCAGGAGGGGGAGCTGGCGGCGGCGGGAGGAGGAGGTGGAGGGCGCCCTCGACGCGTCAACAAGACCAGTGCCGCCCTGCGCAGGTGGGTGGGCCCCAAGAGGGAGGCTGCGCGCAGGAGGCGGGGGGGAGGGGGTGCTTCGGGACACCAGGCAGGGGCAGAGGCAGGGCAGGGCAGGTGGCTAGGGATCGGGCTTTGCCAAGACCAGCTCCGGTGCTGACCCGTCCCGTCACGCTCTCTTGACGAGAGTTCCCTCGCTCCCCTTCCCGGCGGCCCCCTATTTCCTCCTCCTCCTCCTCCACCCGCCTCCGCAGCTTCTTCCGGAGCCTGCTGGGCCTCCCAGCTCCCAAGCTCTCCCCACCTGCTCCTCCCACCGACCCGGCCTCTGAGGAACAATCCTCCTCCACTACCGCCTCCACCGCCACCGCCACCTCCTCCCTCCCCCAGCTCCCTGTATGCCAGCTACTGCCCCTGCACGGCCCCCTCGTGTCCTCCTCCCTCGCCGTACTGCTGCTGTCGTACCGCAACTGGATCCAGCAGCAGCTGCAGGCGGCGGCAAGCGGCGGCACTGCAGCGGTGCTGTACGCCTCAGCGTACGGCAACACAGCAGCCCTGGCGCAGGTGTGATGAGCACCATGAGGGAGGGGTGTTGGACGGAGAGTTATCCAGCTGAGCCGCAAGGAAACACTGGTAGTGATGGGAGTAAGGCCGTAGCAAGGCTGTAGGATTGGGTGATTGGGGGCGGACTAGATACAGCACCCGCGTGCCTGCATGCCCTCTCATGCCCTCTCATGCCCTCCCATGCCCTCTCATGCCCTCCCATGCCCTCCCATGCCCTCTCATGCCCTCCCATGTGCCCCCTCATGCCCCCCCATATGCTCCCCTCATGCCCCCCCATATGTTCCCCTCATGCTCCCCTCGTGCCCCCCTGCAGGCCATCTCCCGCGGCATCAGTCTGGGCGGAGTGGCGGTGGAGGCGGTCAACCTGGAGACCGCCAGCCTGGAGGAGGTGGCGGCGGCGGTGGGGCGCAGCCAGGGGTTCGTGCTGGGTGCGTGGGATGGGGTGGTTGGGGGAGGGAGGGAGGGAGCCAGTGGGGAACGAACGGGCTGAAGGTGTAGGGCCCTTCCTAAGCTGAGATGGGAGGTTGGGCAACTGTCAGCTTCACTGAGATTGCACGTGGACGACGGAAGCTGCTTCCCCGCACAGCACCTCCGCACCGCCCCTCGGGGGCCGAGAGGAGGTTACAAAGGAACTCGCAAGCTGCCTTGCCCTGGAGCACCCCTAATACGGTGGTTACCTTACAAACCAGCCATTACCCTGTCCTCCTACCTACCCTTACCACCACACCACCCACCCCACGCCTCCTGAGTGCACGGCACCGGCACCCCGGCACCCCCCCTTTGGTATGGTCTTTGACCCCCCTCCCCATGCGTTACGCCCCCAGGCAGCCCCACCCTGGGCGGCCACATGCCCACGCTGGTGTCGCTGGCCATGGGCGCCATCCTGCGCGACCCCGGCGCCCGGGGGCTGCCCTGCGGCGTGTTCGGCAGCTTCGGGTGGAGCGGGGAGGCGGTGGATGAGATGGCGGGGAGGCTGCGGGACGCGGGGTTCGGGTTCGCGTTTGAAGCCATCCGAGTCAAGTTCAAGCCCACGGCCAAGGTGAGGGGAGGCGTGTGGAGAAGTAACGATGCGTCTGCGCTGTACGGTAGTAGAGGAGGGGGTAGCAGAAGAGGGTAGGCCGGTTGTCTTCCCGGCTTTCTACCGGTTCCCCAGGCGCCCGCCCTTCCCTCTCGCCATGGGACTGTGCTTCACTCCTCATTTCTTTCTTCCCTCTCCCCTTACCCCTCCGCGTCCCCACACCTGCCCCTCCCAGGACCTGCTGCTATGCGAGGAGAGCGGGCGGGCGCTGGCAGCAGCCATCAGGAAGCGAGCCAGGAGCCGGGAGATGGCGGTGGCGCCGGGTGGGGCGGCTGGGGTGCGGGGCGGGGTCGGGGGGACGGGCGATGTGCTAACAGGACTGCTGCTGGTGGTGGTGGGGACTGGAAGCAGGTTGTGGCAGCAGGGCGTCAGGAGCCAGCAGTGTGCGGACCGCAGCCCATGCGGCCGCATGACAAAGCAAGAAAGCATGCATGCCCCGACCAGGGGCCCGCACTTTCTTCCCCCTCCTTGACCCCTGTCAGCCTTTACTCCCCCCCACTTAGTGTGTCATCATATTTTACCCCCCCCCCCCACTTACACTCCCCCCACCCTCTCCCCCTCCCCACCCCCCACCTCCAGGTAGTCGCGCGCTGACCGCCAGCGGCCCCCAGCTGGCCATGGGGCGCCTGGTGGGCAGTCTGGCGGTGGTGACGGCGCGAGATGAGGACGCAACCGCAGCCATGCTGGCCAGCTGGCTGGCGCAGGTGGGGAGGGGAGGGGGAACTTATATAATAAATGGGGGGGTAGGGGCGGGGGGGGTGTATGTGGGGCAAGGTGTGCAATAAAGGGAAGAGCGAGGATGGGCAGAGCTTACGGAGGAGGAGGAGGAGGTGGAGGAGGAGAGAGATGACAGGCCGCCTTGCTGACAGCCAGCTCTACCCTGTCGCCGCTTACCCTCCCTCACCCCGAGCACCGCTCCCTCCTGCTCCTCTCCCCTCCCTTACCCTCCCTCAGGCCAGTTTCGACCCTCCTGGCATTACCATCGCCGTCAAGCGCGACCGACCCCTGGGTCAGCTGCTGGGCGGCGGCGCGCGCTTCGTGGTGTCGCTGGTGTCGGAGGGGCGGCAGCGGGAGGTGATGCGGCGGCTGAGTGGGCCCTTCGCGCCGGGGGCCGACAGGCTGGCAGGTGGGAGACGCTCGGGGAGGGAGGGATGGAGGGTAAGTAAGGAAACTGACAAGGCAAGGACCAGGACGGAGGGTAAACGGATTGAACACGGACGCCCGTCACCACCACCATCCCTCCGCACATGCGCTGATCCCTCCATGCCTCACCCCGCTGCCCCTCCCCCCTCCCGGCAGGTCTGGACACCTTCCCCTCCCCCTCCGTGGGCGCCCCGGTGCTGGCGGGTGCTGCCAGCTGGCTGGAGTGCGAGGTGGCGGGGCGGCTGGAGGCGGGGGACCACACGGTGCTGTACGCGCAGGTGGGGGCGGGGGGGAAAAATTATATAAAAGTGAAACAACGAATCCCAATCCCATATCCCGACTCATGCAGTGAGCGCATTCGGAGGCACTAATAACACGCATCTCAAATTACTTACCGAATCGTTGCTTACCGTAAACCGAGACGACTTGAGGAAGAAGCCGCCTTGCGTGGTAACACTAGGGAGACATGCGCCGCGCCGCCGGTCACGAAAAGCAAAGCAACACGCATATGGGGTATACGAGCACACATGTTATCGAGACGCGTTACGGGAAACTTACCTGGAAAGGGAAAGCCGGCGGGGGGGGAGGGGGGGAGGGGGAAGGGGGGGGACGTGTGGGTTGCGCAGGGCAAGACCAGGATATGCAGGGTTGCGCAGGTGGGGTAGAGGGGACCATGTAACCATGTGACAACGTGCTCCTCCATGGTTACAGTTGCAGTCTGTACGTACGTGGGGTTATTCCTCATGGGTACAGGCTGCGGAGGGCGGTCATGGGCTCGTGCCGCATGGGGATGGGGCAGTTAAGGGGAGTGTGGGGGCGCGCAGGCGGGTAACGATGCGATCCTTGCATCCCCACCTACCCGGGATGTAACGTGAAGCCGTCTGCGGGGGTGCACGTCGTGTGCCCTGCTGGGCGCCGAGGAGCGGCTCAGTCCTGCTGGCGTGGTGGCAAGCAGCGGCAGCACCACTACCAGCCGTGTACCCGCTCCTTCGTCCTGCTCATCCTTGACATACGTGATACCTTTATCCTCGCCCTGCTCACCCTCCTCATTCCCCCCTGCTCCCCCACCAACCCTCCCTCACCTCACCCCGGTGGCTCAGGTGTTGGACGGTAGGGTGGTTGACGAGGCCGCCTCCACCGCCGTACACCACCGCAAGGTGGGCAACCACTACTGAGAGGGGGGAGAGGAGGAAGGAGAGCCGGGGAGCTGCCGGTAGGGTGCAGCAGAGCTGGAAAGGCAGTGGCGAGGGCTACAGGGAGTTACAGGGAGGCTGCGTGGCGGGTGTGGTCGGCATGCCAACTGACCGGCGAAGCGGGGTGGGGGGGGGTTGCTGGTGTGGCATGAAGCGGGTTGCTGCAGGGACTGTGCGGCTAGGGGTTTCTGCGGCAGCACGAATGCGTGGTGGTGTCAAAAGGGTTAAGGCAACGGGGTAAGCAGATTATTGCCAAAATGCTCGCAGGTTGGCATTGCAGGCTGTTGTGAGATGCTGAGTGACTCGTGAGGACGTTGGAAGCAGTGAGGGGCAGTGCAATGCACTATATATAGCAGTTTACCAGGGGGGGTTACGTACGGCTGCAATGCAGTGCATGGAATCCTGGGGTTGCGGCACTTGGCGCAGTAGGGGTGGGGTATGCTGGCGGCTTCAGTGGGCAGAGGGGGTCCGCGACACACTGGGAGGGTTTGCTGCAGGCGAGGAGATGAGGATCAGCGTTGAGCATGTTGGTTGGTCAACTGACGTGGATAATAAGGAGGGACCGAGGTGTTACATGCTGTGTTGTATGTACTATTATACCTTGTATCTTACAATGGGGATGAAGGTGTGCACATGTGTGTTGCTCGTGTGCGTATCGGGAGCAAGCCGAGGACATGTGAGATGCACGCGTACCATGGTGAGAGCAGTGAGGGAGGATGGTCAAAACACTTTGCTGAGTGGACGTGCATTGCTGCATTGGCGTCTAGCCAAAGTCCTCGGCTATCGGTAATTACTTGCTCTTGCGTACGTGCGTAGGGCCTCGCGTCAGAGCATGGCAGGAGTGAGGAAAGCTATTATGCTCCAAGTAGCTACGGAAACCTTTCAATATCTAGCTATACAGAAGTTCGCATTTCGAGCAGAGTAGCCTTGAGGTGAAGAAAGAGGGATCACGTGTGAGATTGCCTAACGTATTATGAGGAATACGTTGTCCCTTTGACCTTGCGGGTAAGGGCCGTGTGTGACGTATGCCAGGCAGCTGCCAGCTTGTGTGAGGTGAGGGTGTTGTTGGTTGCAAAGGGGCCCGAGAAGGTTTGGAATAAAAGAATGAGCCACTGGGAACCGAATAAAACACGCTTAGTCGGCGGCACCGTGAGAGGCGGCAGAGGAATCTCATGGGCTGAACCGTGTGTGTATGTGTGTGTGTAGCTAGCCCCGGCTTGCCCCAGAGAGCTAGCATATTGTTCCTTTGAATGGACTTGAGTTAATTAGCATAGCTCTACAGTAAGGGGTTTTGTCTACGGGAATCTTTCAGGTGAGGTCAACTGAGGAGGTTGCAGTTTGCATGCCCTATGCCTACTTACGGCTGGATGTATGCCGCAAGGGCTGGCAATTGGCTAGCAGCAGAGAGTTTCGATGATTGAATGACACATAGCTACTGAAACCTTGCTACTGTCTAGCCTTGGAACGGCGGCCGCGTCTATCTGACGACACAGGCCATGCATTAGGCATCTTCTGGCCGTGCGGGACTCATTAACTTCCTTGCCGTGACTACATGACATACAAGCGCCTGGCCAAACTTAATGTGCAATAGCTTCCTTCTATTTAAAAGCACAGTACACAATACGCTATCTAGGGCTGCAATGCGCAACCCTGCTGTGTAACAACATGCGACCGGACGCTTATAACGGTCAACAGTTCGCCACTGTAATAATTTGAAGCATAGGTTTTCCAATTGGATATCCAAGATGCCTGGAGGTGACTCTGACCGGCATCAGGGCTTCATGCTCCCGGTCCCTCTTTTGTTAACGGAGGAGCCCGGAGATAAAAGCATTCCGTCGAACGGCAGACAGAGCGCAAGCATTGTAGCAAGCAGCGAACTGCGCCTTAACTCACCGCGTTCGTCACTCTTAGCACCCCATCCACCGCACGGCTCCGGACCAAGCAGCCCACGAATGGTATGTGTTGCACTGGAGATGAGTTTCTGGAATGGGTTATTCCCGTTTCTTTTTACGCAAGTCGTTAGTATCCCTAGCTAACGGCTGGACTGTTTGTTGCTATGTCAATTAAGGATCTCTGTTACCTAACGGGGACAGGATTCCACTTCATTGAAAGGAAGCAGAATACTGCCATGTGCTTTTCTTGGTGCCCCCACGCCAAGTGACCAACCTGACCCAATTCGCTTCCGTGTGCCAGCCCAAAAGCCCAATTGCCTTTTGATATCCACGCAGCAGCACATCATCCCATAGCTCTTTCATAATGGCGAGGTTCTCGTAGGCGGCCTGTCACTGCGTTACCCACACTCGCATTCAATTTCGCCCTTCATCGCCCCACCGCGCAGGGCACTCCCTCCAAGTTCGAGGACCCCCTCCTCTCCATGCCCTCCTTCCGCAAGAGCTCTCCGCAGTCCATCTGCGACGCCTCAGCCCTCGGCAGCCCCAGGCATCAGTCCCCCTTCCGCAGCGGCGGCCTCGCCTCGCTGCCCATCACCACCACCAACAGCTTCTCGGCCCGCCACTCCAGCGCTGTCGCAGCCGCCGCCGCCGCAGCAGCAGCTGGAAGCAGTCGCCGCTCCCTGCCCGGAGGTGCGGGCTCCAGCACCGGCCTCCTAGTAGGCTCCCTCCCTGCTGGCACCGGCGCTGGCGCCAGCTTTGGCGGCCGCGCCGGCAGCGGTGGCGGCAGCTGCGGTGGCGGTTTCGGCGGGGGCCCAGGCGCCAATGGCAGTATGGGCGGTGGCAGGGGCAGCAGTCCGGGTGAGGTGTTGCAGTCGGGAGAGCTGGGCCTGGCGCGGCGGAGCACCGGCGGGCCGCGGGAGCACAGCAGTGGCGCCATGGTGGCAGCAAGCGGAACAGCAGGAGGAGGTGGAGGAGGAGGTGGAGGCGGTGGGAGCGGGTCGCTGCGCGGGTCGCTTGAGGATGGCGCGGAGGTGCTGTTCGGGCGGCCGGCCTCGTCCTGCGTGTCGCCCTCGGGGATGTCGGAGTCGGGGGCGCATGGAGGTGAGGCGGTGACGGGGCTGGGAGGTGAGGGGCTAGGGTGCTGTTGCCTACCGGTATCTTTGGCTGCCATCGCTCTAGGGATGAGCGGGTGACCTTTCTTATCAGCCGTGATGTTGCGTTCACATTGTTGTGACGCCCACCCGTGCGGCACTCCCTGCCGCACCTGTGACTTACCCTGGGTGCCCCCTGATTTATTCCCCCTAACCTCAACGCAGCGAGCCTTGAGTTTGAGGCCCCAGAGCAGCAGCAGCAGCAGCAGGAACCCCACCAGCAGCAACCCCAACCAGATGACGCAGCCGAGCTCACCCCACCCCACCTGGCACTGGCGCCCCGCCGCCACTCCTTCTCCACTGCCACCGCCACCGCAATGCCGCATCCACCACACCCACCCACAGTAGCCGCTGCAGCTGCCATCAACCCCGCCGCCTCCACAGCCGCTGCTGCTGCTGACGGCCCGTCAACAGCGACTACGTTTCGTCCGCCTCAGCGCCTCACCAGTACCAGCCAGCGGGGGTTATCCGCAGCAGCAGCAGCCTCAGCAGCAGGTCCTCATGAGGAGGAGCACGAGGAAGCCATCCGGCGGCTGCAGGCCAGCAGCAGCCGCATGGCGTCCTGGCGGGAGCGCTGCCCCCGCGGCAACAGCGTGTGTCTGCCGCTGCAGGGCAGCTCTGGCGGAGGCGGCGGCGGGGAGGGGCTGCAGAACCAGACGCATGCGGCGCTGGAGCAGCTGAGGGGCGAGCTGAGGTCGCTGTCGCTGAGGTCCATGGGGGCACATGCGGGAGGGACGGGGGCGGGGCCGCATGCGGCGGCGGCGGCACCGCAGGCAGGCGGGTGCCACGCGGGTCCCCCTGCCAGCGGGGGCGGCGGTGGGGGGCATGCGCATGTTGGCGGCGCGGCTGGCGGTGTCGGCGGCGGCGGGAGGTCCAGCGAGGGGCAGACGCAGGTGTCGCCGTCGCGGCTGTCTCGTGTGTACGGGAATGTCGGCAGCGGAGGCGGTGGGAAGGCGGCAGCAGGAGGCGCGTCTGGTGGTAGGAGCAGCGGCGGCGGTGCCAGTGACGGGAGCTGCTCCGGCGGAGGCGCTTAAGAGGGTGTTTCATGACTATAGATGGTGTACATAGGCTGAATATGCGCTTGGCTAAGCGCCTGCGCATCTGTTGATTAACACTGTTGACTGCGATACAGTACTGCCTGTGACCCTTGCTGTTAATCCACTTTGCCTTACCCTTGCCTGCACTTGACTCAACTGTTCACCTCACGGCAAATAAGCGTGCATATACAGTATTTTCTATTGTGGGTATGCGAACGGTCACTATATGGTATCCTGAAAGCTGTGATAAAAATATTACACCATCCTCCGCTTGTGTGTGTGACTGTAGCATGTTATTAGCGGTACTTGGTGTGCGCCGCCGTGAGGTGGTCTCCAGCCCCTTCGCCATACCCTACTCCGATGGCGGGCAGCTGTGGTGCTGTCAGGGCCTCTGGGGGGCTGTGTTTTTACTGCATGCTGCGGCGCCTGCGCTTCCTAAAGGCGATGTTGTGTTGACTACTAGTACGGGTCGGACGTCCTTGTGCGATGAGGTACGACACCGCTTACTGGGGGCGAGATTACCGATGAAATGGGTAGGGGTAGTTTGGGAGCGGCTGAAACCCCTAGGCTGCCAGTCACCCGAGGTAGATTCCGGTGTTTGTGCTGCATAGGCACATGCGCATGAGCTTTGTAGCCCTGTGGCCTGATGGTTGGGCGAGAGGGAGTATCTGCCTACCACCGGAACGGCTGTGTGTGAACCAGGGATCATGGTGCGCTGTTGCTCTTGCCCCGCCATGCTACCTCAATGCTACATGAGCCTGCGTGTGCAATTAAGGAAGCGTACAAACATACCACCGATGCCCCGTTGATCATTTCGGGCAGTAAGTTCGGACGTGCAGTGTTATAAAGCGTGTCGTGTTATGAAGTGTGTTGTCAAGCGGCGTCGGGGGGGGAGCATGTAGAGTCCCTTCGGAGCCGCCTCCCCTTGAAACACCCTCATTGGAACACCACATGCACACATCAGTTTTCAAGAATACACCTCCGACCCAAAGCATGTGCGGTATACATAGCCCAGTCACGTCGTTCTTTCCTCAGCGCGCCAAGACTTTCCCACGACAGTCAGGTTGCTTTCAGTAGGACTGTGTATTGCCCGTTTTCCCTTGCCTCACCGTTAGCAATAGTGTAGCTCAGTGTAACATCCTCATGCACACTTAGTGCAAGCCGGTAAGACTCGCGTCCTATCAAGCACGACTAGCAACACAGGACTCCACTCCAACAACCGGGTATGGTAGCAAGTCGAACCTACAAGAACCGTAATCCATAAATATCCTTACATTGCATCTTGCAACCAACAACACGACCCACCTTACCGCGGCGCACCCAGCCACGACACATCATGAGCGTTTGGAGGCCTTACGCCACCAAACTCCTATGTACTGTTGGGTCATCCATACGTTTACAAACACGCGCACACGAAACATGCATGTCACGGTACGGCATGCCACGGCTATCTACTTGTATATACGCACGCGGATCTTCATGCACTCCTCCGTCTTGTCCTCGTCGTCATTGATGAACACGAGCGCGTCCACAATGCCCGCCGTCGCGGCGCGTGCGTCGAAGGTAAGACCCACTGGTCGTGTGGCGCCTGCCGGCATCTGCAGCCGCGGCGGCGTGAAGTGCACGAGCCAGGGCTGGTTGGATCGCAGCGTGAATACGCGGTATTGCTGGTAGGGGTTGGTGTAGGTTATCTTCTTGTTGGCCACTGCGCCCACCGGCAGCTCCACCTCGAAGGTCCTGCGGGAGCAGCAGGGAGCGAGGGGGGGTCGATAGGTGCAGCAGCAAGGCAGCAGGCATGGCACACACGCAAGGAATGTATAACGGAGCATTAGCATGGTCGCCAGGCCAAGCAACGCAAGACTTAACCGCGTCCGATGTGTTGCTCCTTTGCCGTGTCAGAAGAACCGCAAGTGTGGCAACTATACGAGCACCAGCAGCATCCCATCCCATCCCAGCAGCAACCACACCAGGGCGGGAGGGAGAGTTACCTTCTCCCCGCCCTCTCTCCCTCGCCCTCTCCCATTCCCCGCAGCCCTAATCCACAAAACGACACACCCCTCTGCACCTGCTGATGAGCGGCCCCTGCGCCTCCGCCGCCACCAGCAGCGCGTACACCAGCTCGCGGCTCTCGCTGTCCACCAGGTTGACCTTGATGTCGCGCAGCCCCGCCGCCACCGGCCGGAAGCTCAGCAGCAGCTCGCTCAGCGCGCCGCCCACCAGCACGAACGAGTCGGGGGACACCTGGCGGGGCAGGTGGGGGGGGAGTCAAAGGCCAGGTACCAAACCATAGGAGACCACAGGTTAGGGCAAAGCAATGGGGGGCGTAGGGGAGGCGGGGAGGGAGCAGGGTGCTCAGAGGCGAGTGGCGGCGTGGAGTGGACTTGGTTTACGCAATTGGAATTGTGCTGCAGCACTAATTTGTCCAAGAAAGCACGTGGCACATGGCTCCCCAACCTAACAATACTGTAAGGATGCTTGCTGCGACGGTCAAACATGACACCAGGCTGGGTCTGTTAACCCAACACCCAAAACACCACGTGCAATACCGATGCATAACTCAGACAAGACCCTTAGAAGCGCCCTACAACCCCTCCCAACCCCAGCCCCAGCCTCCCTCCCTCTCACCGTCAGCTCATCCGGGTGGGTGGTGTACGCCGCCACGCGCCGCGACACCACCCCCCGCACCACCACACTGGCCTGGCTGGTCTGCCCGATCATGGCGCGCATGTCCACCTTGCGCAGCGCATGCACGAACACCTGCCACACCTCCACCGGCCGCGCCATCAGCCGATCAAGGTACAGCAGCACGTAGAAGTGAGCCACCTCGGGCGCAGCTCCGACCTTGTACTTGACGTACACCTCGTCGCGGTCGGGTCCGCCCGCCAGCGCCGAGCTGCCCACCCCCAGGATGACGTCCGGGTGGCTGCAGGCGGCGCAGGCGTTACGCAGCGCGCCGGGTGCGGCGGTGAGGAAGGCGGCCTGGGAGCCGGGGAGGTTGCGGAGCTTGATGGTGGTGCGCAGCAGCTGCCGCTCGGACTGGTAGTACCTGCGGCGGGGGGGAGGGTGTTGGGGGTGGGGTGAGACGGAGGGATAGGATGCCTGGAGAAGGGTTGGAAGGAGGAGGCGAAGCTGGGTGTCCGGGCATGGAGCTCGAATGAGCCCCTGTGCCAACGAACAACCGCCAGCAAGCAAGGGACCAGTCTACCGCCACTGGCAGACGCAGCTGGACACACACCTGAAGGTTCGGTCGATGATGAGCGGTCGCGGCACGACCTCCAGCTCCAGCACCGCCACAGGCACATCGTCCTTGGTGCTGATCAGCTCCACAAACACCGAGTGGCCCGCAGGCAGGGAGGACGCATGCGGGCCCGCACCGCCCCCGCCGCCTGCTGCGGCGGCCCCTGCAACGCGCTGCCTGTGCTGAGGGCTCCGCAGTCCGGCGGCGGCCGCAGCAGCGACGCTGGCGTTGGCGGCTGCTCCACGTAGCGCCGGGTCGTGGGGCTGGCCGGGGGTGGCTGCGGCGGAGGGGTTGGCGGTCTTGTATCCCTCCGGCGGCTCGAAGGATTGCAGCCGGAATGGCAGTGTGATGCGTTCGTGCGCCTGGGGGGACGGACACGTGAGGAGGAACAGTCAGCCGGAGCAGCCAGTGCTCAAGCAACAGCGCAAAACTTCTAAGCAACGCCCTACGCGCCCTCGCCCTGCTCTACTCCAAACCAACCGGCCCCCCAACACCGCTCCCTGCCAGCCTTCCCCGCCTCTCCTCTACTCCACTCCTTCGCTCACCCCACCTGCAGGTATATCCGGTTGCCGCTCATGATCTCCTGCTCCAGCGGCCCCACCGGCTGCGACACGACGCCCAAGAAGCGCGCGTTGGCAGCCCGCAGCGCGCGGTAGTCCTCCTGGCGGGACAGCACGCTCACCTCGTGCGGGGCGCTGATGCGCAGTTCAAATGTCTGCAGGCAGGGAGGAGGGGAACATCTAAGTTGAGCCGCGGAAGGAGGGGAAGGGAGGCCAGGTTGCAGGTTGCGGACTGGCAAACATAAGGTTTGGGAGTGCTGGGAAAGGTCTTAGGGAGTACAACGGTGGCAATAGGGTGTAGGTGGAAGACATTTTCTACACCACTCACCACGTATCCTACAACACATGCATCGCTACACATGGCTACGCATAAGAAGTGGAAGGCATGCTGTCGTCGAAAACATGCGCTAAATCCTCCATCCCAAGGCAACCCCTCCGCCCACACAAATCCAACCGCGTGGTCTTCTCGCATGGCTTTCCACACACACGCGCGCACATACACCACTCTTTTAACACACCACTTTTTTACACACCAGTTTCCTTCACACACACACCTGTTCATGGCTGTAGGGGTTCTGGAACTCGTATTCGTACACCAGCACCTCGCCGTACGCCGGCCGCACCACCCGCCGCGTCACCATGCTGCGCCGCAGCTGCTCCAGAATGAACTCGTGCTTGCGGCGGCTGCGGGCGGCCGACACGTCCGCCAGCAGCTGGCTCTGGACCCGCCGGAACTGGTCGTCTGCGCCGCGGTAGGCGCCGGCGGCGGGGGCAGACGACTGGCGCTGGGAGGGAGGAGGAGCGCAGGAGGACGCAGAGCGGGTGAGCATAGGTGGTGCGGAGCTGGTGAATGCTGTTACGTGATGGGCCATATATGACGGTGACAGAGTGGATGAGGAAGACAGGATGCTGGCTTGGTAATGGCATGGCGTGCATGTGCCGCATACGTTGGCTGAGCAGGCTCTACTTGTACGACTTTTACTGCTTCTGGTGTGCGCAGCCTACCGTGTCCGCCTTGCCGTCCTCCACCGCTGCAGCCGCAGCCAGCCGCTGGTACTGCTGCACGCGCGCGCTCTTGCGGTGGCTCTGCTCCAGGATGCGCAGCTTCACATCCTCCCCCGGCGGTGCCAGGCCAGATGAGGCGGAGGGTCCATGGGCGGCGCCTGCCGCCGGGACTTGGTCAGGCGACAGGAACCCGGCATGCTGCCCGCCGGCTGCGAGAGGGGGAGAGTGCGAGGGAAGTGGGAGGGGTAACGGGGTCCTGTTACTCTGAACTAAGGGCTGCAGCAGCTTCGTGCGGAATACTGAAAGCTAATCTCACAGTGCCATATCCAGCATAGCTTCTTTTCGAAGAGGGTGTCCAACAATGGGCCGTCACTACCGGGGTAACAGCCCTGCCTTGCCCCTTGCCTTACCACAAGGCGAGAGCTCCCCTGTCCACACCGCTGCCCCCGCATCCCTCACCTGCCGCCCCCGCCACTAGCTCCCGCGCAATGGCCGACTGCGGCACCTCCCACGCCGGCTTGGCGCGCACTCGCTTCTTGCTGGGCCGGTTGTGCGCGTCGTCGAACTCGGGAAGCTTGGCATCCGCGTTGCGTGAGTCGCGGCCCAGATTGAGCAGCCGCAGCACCAGCGAGCCGCGGGAGATGACGGTGGCCTTGGCGTCGTTCTGGCCTGCGTGCGGTGGTGCATGCGTGAAAGGACGGATGGTGTAAGGACAAAAGGCAAGGCGGGTCACGTGTAAGCGTGTCGCCATGTGAGGTAGTTGGCGAGCACGGTGGGAGGCTCATAGCCGCACCTGCTACGGTAACTCACTCACCCGCCCACCTCTCCCCATGTATTACGTCAACCACACCTAGCCCAGTGCCGCTCGTTAATGCGCACCGCGCCATCCCGAGCTTCTCACCCGTGTTTGCGTTGTACGCCGCCTCTGCGAAGCTCTGTCCCTGCAGAGAGGGCGCCACCGCCGCCTGGTCCAGGATGGGTACCTCCAGCAGCAGCTCGGAGAAGTCGCGGCCCTGGCGCAGCAGCGGCTGCAGGTCCACGGAGGCGGTGCCGACCTGCATGGGAAGGCGGGGGCGGGGGGTGGCAGGAGGTGAGGTAAGGGGAAGATGGAATGTGGGAAAGGGGGGAGAGAGAGGTATAGACGTTATGCAGCGGACCTCCAGGGTAGGGAGCATGCCTGTACCTACCGTACCCTTATATAGGGTTCCAGGAAAAGCCTTGTTACCCACCTGCAGAAGCGACTCGCCGTCCCACACGTCCAAGTGCAGCGTCTTGTGCGCCAGGTACTGCGCGAACGCCATGGAGGCCTCAAAGCCCGCTTGCTGCGCCGTCTGGCCGGAAGGCACCGCCTCCGTACCGCCGTCCACCTCAAACTTCATCACCAGGCCCGCACCCTTCTTGGAAGGGTCAGCAGGCACCAGCACGCAGGTGCCGTCGGGCGCCGCCGCCTCTTCGGTGAGCCGTACCGGCAGCAGGAGGGCCATTTCGCTGGTGGTGGGCGGGAAGTGGTAGAACTGGAAGGTGAGGTAGAGGGACTTGAGGTTGGCGGGCGCGTTGAGGGTGTCGTGGTGGCGGTAGGCAAGGAACTGCAGGACGACGTCGGAGGCGACCCGTGGGTCACGCGCCTCAATGGCGAGGTCGAAGGGCGTGGTGGAGGGCCCACGTGGCGGGCCACGGCGGCGTAGGATGGCTTGTACATCGGCGGGAAGCGCGTCGAGCATACCTGTGACCACGGGGTGAAAAGGAGGTAAACGCCAGGAATACGTAACAGTGCCCCCAAAGCTCGCGCCCTTCCAGCAGTAAAACCACGGACACAGTTCAGCACAGCGCCCAAGGCACCTGCGTCATGCAGCTGCTGCAGCAGCACCCGAGAGGGCGCCGAGCCGGGCTGCTTGCCCTCGGGCGCCTGCGCGCCGCTGAAGGTTGCCTGGTCGCCGAAGTTGCGGGTGGGCTCCATGTCCAGGAAGCGCTGCAGCTCCTCAGGCGAGGGCTGCATGGGGAGGGCGGAGAAGGGAACAAGGTCAACGAGATGACGGGTGAGGGTGCTCCGGCGGCGGGGAAAATTGTGCACAATTTTGTCACGGGATCAAGGAAAGAGGAATCAGCCGCGCACCTGCATGTTGGCCTGCCGGGCGCGCTGCGCATCGTAGTAGCGCTGCACGCTAGCGGCGGCATTGTCGCGCATCTGGCTGACGTCATCGCCGGCGCCGCCGCCCCTGTCCGCCAGCGCCAGGAAGGAGTTGCGCATGGACTTGCGCTCCTGCGGTGCAGGTTGGGATTGAGGGGTGCGTAGAGGGATGGGGCAGGGTTGCATGCACTTCAACCGTCAAGGAGGGGCGCAGGGCATTCAGCTCGGACGGCAACTTGGGAGGGCAAGGCTCAGACGCGTGGTTGCAGGGCAGAGGCTCTGCCCATGCTAAGGCAGCAACTGTGTGTAGGCTCTTCACGCCCAGTGTGCGCTGCTGTTGCGGCATTGTGTCACGGCACACTCACGTCCTTGAGCTCGTCCACTGCGCGCGAGAGCAGCTCCAGCTGCCGCTGCATGGCCGCGGTGAGCTCATGCAGCTCCGGCGGGATGGCGGCTACCTGGGGAGCCTGGGCTGCCCAGTTGTGGGAGCCTGCGGCACAGGGGTGCAGGGCGTGCGGGTGTTACCTTGCATGGGCTTGCCTGAACACGCGTGACCGGGTGTTGGGCACCATGCGGTAGCTGCTCGCTAACCCTTGCTTCCGGTATTATTCGCCCGCAGCGATTAGCTCTGCGTCATCCTGCCAACCCTTATCCCGCCCCACATAACCGCCCCCGCCCCCGTGCCTCCCCCCCTTACTCGGAAGACTTCGGGCTATGCTCCTGCTCGGCAGCCGACCCAGGTCCATTGACGACGCATGCTCCGGGGGCGGCAGCTCCTCAGGCACGAAGAACTGCTGCGGCTGCTGTGGCACCAGCGCCTGCTGCTCATGCTGCAGCATCGGCTCCAGCGGCAACTGTGGTGGCGGCAGCGGCTCCGAAACCACCTCGTTGATTTCGGGCGGCGGCACGATCTCCTGCGGCACCGGCACGGGCTGCAGCAGCTGCTCCAGCGGCTGGTCTCCCAGCTGCGCCTCGTCCTCGCGCTGGGCCTCAATGACGGCAAAGACCTTTTTGAGCGGCGGCAGGATGGGCGTGCGGGCTGCGCAGGGGCAACATACGTAGTGGAGGTTGAGTTGGAGTGGGTCGCAATATGCTGGCGTATGCGTATGTTAGAGCCTAGCAGTACCCGTTTGAGGCATCCTTCATCTCTATCCATGACAGCCATGGATGCCACTGCACCACTAGTCCGTTGCTTTCGCCCTGCACCATGCAATCCCTCATGTACCCAATACCTCAACCCGGCAGTCCAAACCTCGCACCCCACCCTCCCACACCTGTCTCAAACAGCTGGAACTCCACCATCGGGTCGGGTATCTCCTGGCTCATCATGTCGCCCAGCAGCGCCCGCCAGTTCAGCGGCGGCTGGTGGCGCAGCAGCAGCGGCTTGGGCGGCCGCAGCGCGTAGCGGTGCACGCCCACCGCCACGCTGGCGCCGCTGCCGTCGGGCTGCAGCTCGGAGAAGGGCACGAAGGCGGTGTATCCCACCAGGTACTGCAGCGGAGCCATGCCCGGGGGCGGCTGGGGCTGCGAGGTAGGGAAGGTAGGGTAGAAGGGTGCAGCAGTGGTGAGGGCGGTGTGGTAACAGATACCGGTACCTAGCCTGGTTTTAAGGTGGCATGGTTGTAACTTGTAAGGAGTCATAACGGAAATTGCTCGCCTGACATGATCTTAATAATGGGATTGGAAAGGTATCCATCCGTAGCGTGCTCCCACGTCCTTCTAGACGCATCTCATTTCATGCCACCGGTACCGGTGGCAGTGCGTTCCAAGGTCGTCGTACCTGCGGAGGAGTGGCCATCAGCTCCACCACAATGGTGACCAGCGAGTCCGCCATGACATAGTCGAACACGGGGTGCGGGGTGGGCACCTGCAGCACCTTCCAGCCCGGCACGTCCAGGTGCGTCAGCCCGTTCAGCTCGTACGCAGGGCCCACAAAGCTGCGGCCGTTGTGCACCGAGACGCGGATGGCGTACGACAGCGTGCCAGTGGAGGGTGTTTGGTAGATGGGCGCCTGAGAAGCGGCGGTGCCTGGCGGTGGAACGCTGTGGAAGCGGGGGCGGGAGGGCGGCGGCGACCCGCGGGTCAGTCAGTCCAAAGTTTCGCCAACAAGTGCAGGTGTCACGGCCGAACTCCGACACAAAAACAGGCGGACGCACCAGCAAGCAGCAGGGAGGTGGCCGTGGACGCGACACGGGAGGTTTCTGGCACACCCGCCTTAATACCGCACATGCAAACTTACTATCCGGTAGCCATGCCGCTGCGTGCATCCAGGCCCATCAGTAGGTCATGCACGCGCATGGGCAGCGCTAGCTGCATGCGCCGCAGCATGACGGAGTAGGTGGGGCTCAGCATGGGCGAGGCCAGCGTGGAGATCACGGTCTTGGTGGAGGTGGACAGCAGGCCGGCCACGTTGAAGCGGCGCAGGCCGGGCACCACGTCGCTGTAGGTGACCAGGAAGTCCTCGGGGAGCAGAGGGATGTAGGGCTCCATGGCGGGGTACACCTCCGCCTGGGTGGGCGGGTGCATGGAGGGGAAAGGGTGGCGGTGAAGGGAGCTTGGCGTCGGCAAAGGGAGCTGGGGGCGTGTGTGTGTGTCATGCGCGGAGGGCTGCGTGGATTGACGGCCCATACACACACAGAGGACTTGGCTTGCACGGACAGCATGGCCTAGCGCAATCACGCATGAACGTGGTGTGGCAACGAATACCGGTACAAGGGGATGCCTCTATTCTGGAGACAACGGGTACCTGGAAGAGGATGGAGGCGTTGGGAATGACCTTCGGCGGCCTCAGGTCCTCGTTGTAGACGTTGCGGAACAGCAGGTAGCGCGGGGTGCCCGCCATGAGCGGCACCGCCAGCGGCCGCCCCGGCGCGCTGTCCAGCTGCATGCCGCTGCTCAGCGGAGCCCCGGGTGACACGGCACCTTGGGAAACCTGTACAGAAAAGGCACCGGGAGTGTGATACAGCGTCAGGGTTTGAGCGCTTGGTGCACATGCCATATGCCGACATGCGCTGTCCATAGCATTTGCATGCGTTAATGACAAGCCAGTCGCGCGTACCCGGAATAGCGGCAGCAGCGCCCAGCCGAGCGAGTACTGCCCCTTGACCACTCCGTCCAACATTCGCTCCAGCATGATAACTTCAACAACCGCCATGCAGCGCGGATCCGAAACCGTGGTGTGGTAGTACACGTCAAAGGTCATGTCCAGATCGATGGCGTTGCGCGCCTGCGCACGCCCGCGGTCGTACGTGTCCGGCATGCTGTAACAGGTGTTGCCGTAAAACGTGCCGTACGCCTCGTCGTACAGCGACACGCTCAACTGGAACTCGAATGTACGGCCGTCGAAGGTGGTGTTGATGGGCATGTCGGCGACCTTGAGGATGCGCAACCGGTAGCCTAGTCTCGGGAGGGTGGAAAACCACGAAAAAGCGCAGATCTTAAGGGCAATGGCGAGGTTTACAGTGCCGTTGTCTCCTCCCCATGGTACCGGTAACCAAGCGAGCTTCAATGCCCAAACACTCCGTAAGTTCGTATATGCATTGACCTTCCGCTAATCGACTTCCACAACGCACTAGTCCGCCCAGCACCCACCCTGAGTCTCAGGCAGGATGCGGCGATGCGCATCCGGCACGATGGGCACGTAGCGCTGCTTCTGCCGCCCCGTGAACTCCGCCCATTGCAGCAGCGGCCGCTGCTCCAGGTAGCCCCGCTTGTGCTCCAGCGCCTCCCGCAGGACGTCGCGGTTCTTGACAAAGGTGTTGGTCTCCCGGTTGAAATCGATGAAGGTACCGGCACGGCGCTCCGCACGAGGGAAGGGCTGAGCGAGGACGCCGTACTTGGGCATCTTGTCAATGTCGATGATAGGGACGTTGGGCAGCGCCTGGTGGTGGAGGAGAGCGGGCAACATGGTGCCGGGGGCCAGGGCAGGGTGAGAGCGGGCTGCTGCACATGGCACCGGGGGCTGCTCCGGTGCGCGATATGGAAGGTCAAGAGGGAAGTTGAGGGAGGCGGCACTGGGCATGAAGAAGGCATTGTCCCAGTTTCACGCTTCCATGCAGTGAACGCCGCTACTCCGCTAACACACCGGCCTCCATACACTGGCCACTGTCCGCACCTAGCAGGCAACGTGGTCCCGATGTCCCAAATTCAAACCAGGGCACGTGGACTTACCCTGCGCGGCTCAAAACTTGTTTCCGGGTTGAACCGCACCCTTCCCAGCAGCTGCTGGTCGGGTGTGGCCCCAAACTGCCCTTCGACAACAGCCGGCGCCCCAGCTTCGTACGGCTGTTGTGCCCTCCGGAACATGGGAGCGCCAGGCGACAGCGTCTTGCGTACCCGGTGTCCACGATAGTAGCGCTGAATCGTGGTGGCCGCGCGCTCCAGTTCCTGCACGGAAGGTTACCAGTGTGCAGCGTCATGCAAGGCTGGGACGACTGGTCCTGCTGTGTTGTGCTAGGCTGAGCAATTCCAACTGCTTCGACGCACATGTTGCGGGAAGACGATGCTGCACATTGCGACCCATTAGAGACGAAGCATGCATGACGCAAAGTGCAGTCCTCAAGCAGCACCACTCGCCTCAGACTCCAACAGCACTACAGCTGGCCCCTTGCGATGTGAACTTTAGGACTCTCACAGCCACGCATTTGGGTTACGCATGCACGGTACCAAAGCTGCCCCAACGTCCCACCACAATCGCACCTGCTGGCTAGGCGACCCCAGGGCCATGCCATTCACCTGACGGTCCAGCTGCTGCTGCGCGACGCGAGGTGCCGCTTGACGGCTAAGAAGCTTCTCAGCGCGCTCCCGTGCGTACCGGTCCGCTGGGTCCTCAAACGTTTGGGCCCGCTCTCGCGCTAGCCGTGAAGCAGGGCCATCCGAAGGTACCCTGCATGTCCCATGCGTCCCAGGACGTCACGAGGTGGGATCATTGGCGCGAGGGCAAAGCACAGTTGGCCATAGGAGGACAGGTGTGGGAGGACATGCGGTTCTCCTGCATCTGTCGGCAACACTTGCCATGCCAGTGGGTAGGGCGCGATTCGCTGCTGCTTGATAAATGTAGGTGCAGGTGTACTGCCGTCACAACTACGAAAGACATCCCCTCCACCTTCATGCGTGTACCGTTTCCATGTAATGCGTAACCCATCCGACGTCTGCTGCCCTGTTAAGTTCGCCGTGCTAGTTGATGTACCCCATGCATTCATCCCCACGGCACTGTTTGTCACACCTTGGCCCCAGTGCTGGGACATCTCCGCCCAGGTCATCTCCTGGGTACAAGTTCGGTGGCGGCAGCTGCTGTGGCCGCCTAAAGTTGTCCCGCTGCGGCCCAGAATCCAAGTCCGGGCGCGCTGGTAGAGCACCCGGACGCAATCGGGACTTGGAGCTGACGGGACCTGGTCGCCTTGACGGCCCCGCCAGCGGCTCATTATCTACAGCTTGCACCGGCGGCCTTCCATTACGCCTCGAGGTCGGCGTATTAAACACTGGGTCTTCATCCTCCGCTATGCTACGTGGAGCTGAGGGCGCTGCCTCCGCTGCCAGCCCATATCCATCGCCGGAGGGCGGCCTTGGCGGTGGAAGCTGTGCTGCGAGCGCTAGGTCATCCACTCTGGAAGGGGGGCGCTGCGGTTGGGCTGATGAAATACCGCCACCAAAGCTGTACTCAGCGGCAAAGTCCGAACCAGAGGCTGAAACCTGCGGGGGGATGCAAGAAAGGTCCTAGAAGCTATGCTTTCTATGCCAAGAGTGTCGGATGCAGCCCCGACTAACAACGAACCCAAACCACTACGACCAACGCATACCAACGGCCACCCAAAAATAGGCTTAAGGACTTACCTTGCTCCCGAACCTTGGCGCTGGTAAGCCCCTGCGAGAGGTGCCGTGGGTGTCAAATCGCGAAAGCTGGAGACAGCTGGCTCGGGCGAGACTAGCGCAGCGCACCCATTGTTGCCGAATTCAGCAGATAGTCCGAATCCTGACATTTATGCCGGTGATGCCGGCACAAACAATCCGGCACGCAGCGCCGGAGTCAACTTATTAAGACCATGTCAATGGACTTCGCTAGTTATTGTTGTAAGCTGAGCGCCGTATACTATGCGTTAGGATTTACTTTGGTTTCCTAAAAGGTGTTTTTCGTTACGGTAATTGTCAATCGTTGAGACAACTGCGTTGCAGTGAATTGATAAGTGCAGGCTTTCCTTAATAGTGGTATGCCTGTGCGGACCAATTATAGCATCACAGAAGCTAACGAAGTGTTATTAAAATCTTCGCAGCAAAATTGGATAGGCGAAGCCCTTGGCGGTCGTACTTCGGCAGCGCTGCGGTCCAAGTCCGTGAAGTCCACAAATCAGTAGGAACCGTCTACTAGACGTGTACACAAGGACAGTCCAGGGCACTCCTTCCATTTTTCGTTCAGCAAAGGCCTAGCGACCTAACCGCTCTAACCTACCGTCGTCTACCGTGCCACAGTGCCGAACTTGCAGCAGGTCAGCCAGCTATATGGTATAACGTACCGGATCGCAAGTCCATAACCAAACAAATGCGCATAGCTGTTTAGCAACATAGCCTCGAAGTTCGACTTCACACCAGGCAACCCACAGTACCATACACACCTGATCACAAAATCGACAGCAATTTCGCCCCAAGTCTCACGTCCCGTCAGGTACGATATTCCCAGCCCACCCATAAACTCCACTCCGTTCACATACATCCAAGTCGATTGCATCCTTTCAACTTAAGTCAGCACCATCGCCATAACGCCAATCCATCGCCTGCTACTAGAGCTAAGTGGGATCAGCGGGATCACGCATCCGAGCGTTACGTGCGCTGCGGCGCATTCGACAAGTCGGGAAGCAGTGCAATCGCCTTGTTCATTTGGCCAATCATGGCCGTGTTCGTCTCATGCAGCTCCTTGGTCACAGGCAGGCCGTCCTGCAGCACCCAGCCCTCCTTCCACGGCTGCGGAGGCATCTTCAGTAGCGGCACCTTGAGCGCCACCTCGCGGGATGTGAAGTCGCGCTTCTCCCACCGCCAGAACTCCTTGCCATTCTCGTGGTAGAGCGAGCCCCTGAAGCGCAAACCAGACAGATGGTTACCTTTCCCTGCTCCACGTTGGTCTGCCAGCTGGAATTCAGTCCTGCTCCTTATAACATGATGCCGTCAGCTCCGGGGTGAAGCATTGTGTGAGACCCCAGCTTAAGGGACAAGGGCGATCCAACGCATGGAGGACGTCACATCACCCCCAACCAGCCCGCAGCCCCACGCCCTTGCTCGTGCCACACGCGCACGTCACTGTCACCCCTTGCCCGCACACATCCCTCCTCACCAGGTGTAATGGAACATGGCCGCATCTCCAAGCGTCAAGTCATGCGGCGGCTGCGCGATGAGGTGGCTGTGCGGCGGCTTCTCCGTCACAATGCTCACGTTGCGCAGCGCCACCGCAATGTCCCAGGCGTACATCTCGCGCACCCAGTCCAGCTGCTTCACCGCCTCGGGGTCAGCCTCAATGGCAGCTGCCAGGCGCTCCCATTCGGGCACCACACCCACAAGGTCCGTAAAGCGAATCAGCACGGGGGCCGGGCCGGATGCTGGGATCTTGTCAGTAGGCACCCGGCCGCCCGATAGCTTGTTCATATGCGGCCTTGCATCTGTAGAATGGATTCGTGGGTGAGGAAACGCCGGGTAAGGCGAGGTCTTCCAGTGCGAAGCGTACATGGTACTTCGGCAGGAACACGACCTATTTGTCCTCTGATAAGATCCAGAATGCGTTTGCCGACTGTAGGCAGCACGCACAGGTACACGCGTGCAGTATGCAATTTTATACTCGGTTACGTCGCCCAGGGATTCTGGCAGCGTCACCTACTTGGATGGTCCGGCATGATGTAGTCGAAGAAGAACTGGAGCCCAGAAGATCTGTTTTTGGGTAGCAGGGAGGGGGCAGTAGAGCGGCAGTCAGCGACCGAATTACAATAGCGGCGGAATCCAATGCATGACACCGCCCATTTTGCTACGCCAACATATCCGCAGTTTAAGTGTTAATGCGATTCAAAGGTTCCATAACGCTGACCATGGATATGCCGCGACGTACGCATACAGATTGACATGCTATGACAAGGCCCTGGCTGACGCGAGTCCACCTACTTGGGGTCGTACGCATTGGGCGCCTGCACAGGTCGCATCCACACATAGTCGCACTCCAGCAGCAGAATCCACGCTCCCTTCACCATGCTGGGGTCCTTCTCCACGGCGTTGATCCACTGCTGCACCGCGTTGGGCCGGTCAGCCACCGGGAAGTCGCACCACTCGTCGCACTTGGGGTGCAGCGGGTCGGCGCGGAAGGTGGGAATCTGGGGGGGACCAAAACACGGCACGGCATGTGCAGAGTACGCCTCGGACATTAAACATCCGGCAGTTTACCAGCCATTTCAATGGTTACAAGCTGCCTCCCATGCAATGCGTTGAGTACGCCCCTGCCTATTACGCACCAATACCTCTCCATGCAATTGTACCCGCAATCAGGACTCCCATTGGCACACACCTCGTCCATGAGCTCGTCCGGCTTCATGCGGTGCAGGATGCGCGTGAAGCCAGTCAACTTCTCTCCACCGGGCATCTTCTGTACGAGCTTATAAGTGCCGTACCTGCGCGGATCATCATGACGGGGCAGGTTGGGTAAGGTGGCCCCACGTGTCTAAGTAGGAGACACGACACCGGGTGGGCATAAACCACATTAGGCAGCACATCCCATGCGTCCGTGATTTGCGGGTTGACTTTCGGGTGTGTAGAGGCAACGGAACCTTTAAAGGTGTGACTCACATAATGCGACTTTGAAAATCCTGGTAATAGTCCCCACCACATGTAAAGATGGAGTGTATTGTGTCGCCCGCAAGCTTAGACTCTTTGGGCCTGCTACCATGCAAGATTCAGGGCGGGACTGTGGTGGGCGCAAGACGGAAGCAGGCTACCCGCTTCCCTAATGCAAATACAGCCATACGCCAACGCATACCTAGAATACTGTGCAGGGACCCGGAACTTACATGATCCGCCCTTGGAAGTTCTGGTAGGGGCTGCCGTTGCTGGTAAGCACTGAATGAATGGTGTCCCCAGCTACCTTCGCCTCCTTATTCTCTGTCCAGGGAGCGATGGTGCATGCGTGTCAATAAACCCAAACTGGTTGCAGGCCACATTCAGTTGAACCTTACTGGCATCATCGTAGCAACGATAGCAGCCATGCTACTTCATGCCACGTGCACATACCGTGCATGGAGCATAACTCACCTTGGGTTGCAGCCTTGCCGCCCAACGTCACAGCCGTTGGTGTCACCGGGGTAGAATACAGCTGTTGGAGGCGAGGGGATGTGGAAGTGCGTTTATTGGTTGAAGAAGTGCAGTGCAACAGGTTGGGTACTTGATGTGCCCCCTCGTGTGGCACATCAAAACATGCCGTGGGGTAGTTTGTGTAGTCCAGCAAAACCTGATACCGCTGTTACTTGTACCTACCAAGTCCGCTGTTTCCATTAACACGCCACCCAAGAGGTAGCCCGCAAGGATGCCAACGACGACAGCCAGCGCCTTATGCCAACCCCTGATGACATCAGCCTTCGATGAACTCCGCCGTCCGTGCATTTCTACTAATTACCGTGTGTGCCCGCTGCGCTGTTGCCTTCGATCGCGTCAGAGCCTAAAACTAAAGCCCACGCTGTATAAGCAGTCGCACCATATGTTATGCGCCGAACCTAACGTATAACCAACGTAGGATCGTTTTGGGGGTCAACGAAGAAGAGCAATCAACTGGAGTCACTGCTCAGTGTCGGTGAAGGGCCCCGTCTACCTAAGTTAAGTGGATCACGTAATTTATGCACTATGAGGAAGAGGCATTCAAAGAGCATAAGACGAGGCACGCCGTGGCTATTGGACTCAGGCAAAGTCTTGCCGTACGATGCACCTGTAAACCCAATGCAACCTGCGCCGTGATGGTGATGGGCTCATCCAAGGCATGCCGAGTAGGCGCAGTAAGGACTCTTCCAGCAACCCGTTCGGACAAGCCTTGGTTGAGCTGTGCCGTGAAGCTGAGCTGCTTATTATGAATGGTCGTGTGCCCGGTGATATGGAGGGTGAGTTCACGTTCTATCACGCCCACGGCCTGGCCTGTAGTATGATTGACCTCTTTATCTGCTCGCCTGCTTTGGTTTCGCGGGCATCGCAACTGCAAGTGCTGGGCATTCCCATTGCTACGGAGGGGCCCAAAGTGGGATCGAGGCTCAGCGATCACTGCCCGGTGACACTCACTCTGGACGTCGGATTAGGAGGAACGCGTAGGGGTGGTATCAGGGATTCCTCTCGCATGGGGAAGCGTGAGTGGGAGCGGTTCACGCGCCTGTTTGAGGTAGAGGATGCTGCTGTCGTACAGAAGATCGACGAGGCTGTCAACCAACTGGGGCATGGTCTCAACAGCACGGAGGTTGTTACTGTGGTCTGTCGGGCTCTTAAGAAGGCTATTGACGCCGCGTTTCGCCTGGATAGGAGGCAGGGGGCCAGTTCTAGTGCAGGCAGGACGGACAAGGATGCGCCTTGGTGGACACCTGAGTGTGCGGAGGCCCGGGAGGCTATGTTTGCTCAAAAGGCGCTCATGCGTGCTAACGGTCTGCTGGGGGATCAGGATGCCAAAGCTGAGTTCAGTCGGTTGCGCACGAAGTATCAACGTCTTCGCAGAGAGGCTAAGGACAAGTTCCGGGTCATGCATTTTGAAGGAGTTATCGAAGAATGTCGGGGGGATCCACGGGCGCTTTGGGGTCGGCTGAATAGTAGGCTTAGTCAGGGGTGCCCTATCACGGATGTCAATAGTTGGGGAGCCTATTTCAACGCGCTGTTTAATGGGGAAGTCAATGCGTTTAACGAAGTTTCCGCGGACACCATCCTTAGTACCATCAACGGTGTGCCACATGGGAGGGGGAGAGGATGGGCCAGGGCGACAGGCGATCGGGTAGCACGAGTCACTGCTGCTGCCGCACTTAACGTTCCGTTTACTTTGGCTGAAGTCATCGCTGCGCTGAAGTCCCTGCGTAATAACAAGTCTGGTGGTTTAGGCAGAGTGCCGGCTGAATGTTTCAAGTGTGCGACGAGAGAGGTTGAGGGTAGGAGGATGTACGTTTTAGCTCCTTACCTGCTCAAGCTACTAGAGCATATCCGCAGCACGGGGGATTACCCTGAGCAGTTTGAGATCTCTGCGCTTACGCCCATTCACAAGAAAGGCGATGTGATGGAGAAGGGTAACTATAGGGGATTAGCAGTGGGTGGTGTTTTGTCTAAGCTGTATGCGTTTATGTTGGAGCATAGGCTGTCTCGTTGGGGCGAGCTGGTGGGAGCTAGGTCGCCGTATCAGGGAGGTTTCCGACGCAAGCGGGGTACCTGCCACAATCTGTTTCTGTTACGTCACCTGACGGACAAACATAAGGGGGGGCGAGACGCAGTTGACCCCCTGTTCGTTTGTCAGATTGACTTTGAGAAAGCGTTTGACAAGGTGCCACGTGATCTTTTGTGGTTAAGGTTGGAGGAACGGGGTGTACATGGCGCTATGTTGGAGGCTCTCAAGACTTGTTACAACAAGGTCATGATGCGTGTCAGGGTAGACGGAGTGACGGGGGATCCTTTTGAATCTTCGCAGGGAGTCAAGCAAGGTTGCCCTCTCAGCCCTACGCTTTACGGGATTTTTGGCGAGGGGTTTGCTGACTATGTTGACGCTAAGGATAAGTGGCTCCCTGATGCTATGCGCGCCAAGCAGCAGACTCCTCATGCGGATGGCCGGCGTATCCCGTTGGAACTGTATGCCGACGACCTCAGCCTTTTCGCTACGACGCACAGACGGCTGATTGTGTTGCTCGCTGATTTGAGAGAGTGGTGTGAGGCCTTTGGGATGCGGGTGAATGTTCGTAAATGTGAATTGATGGTTTTCCACCCTCGTGCCAATATCCGTGAGGCTTTTGCTTCCCTTTGCCCCGTGGTGTGGACTTCTATTGAGGGAAATGCGCGAGTACCTATGGTTATTCCCTGGGTACAACGAGCCCGTTACCTTGGTTTGCACTTTGGTCCTGGCACACCTTTTGTTTCCTGCACAGAGGAACTGTTGACCTCTGGCCGACGTGCTATGTTTTCTCTTCAGCGTAAATTAAAACGCCTAGGTCTCTTGGTCCCTGCTGTTGCAGTTAAGTGCTTCGACGTGCAAGTCCGCTCCATCTTGTCGTACGGTGTCCAGGTGTGGGGGCCTGATGTGGTGCTGAAGTTAATGACGGACTGCGAGAATGCCGCGAGGTACTTTGACAGATCCTTGCGGGACCCAATGGTGCAGTTACAAAGGGGATTTCTTCGGGAGATTGCGGGTGTTAAAGTCTCGCCGGATAAGTTGCTGTTTAAGGAGTTTAACCAGCGCCCCCTGCATGTCTTTTGGTTGGAACTGTTTCTGAGGTTTTGGAATGACCTGGTCAAGCAGAAGGACACGGTCTACCACCAGGCGTTGCGAGGTGAAATTCGTTCGGCCCTCAGTACTGAGCATTATGATGGCTGGGGTTCTAAGGTGCTGAAGATTCTGAAAATGTTAGGGACGGATTTGACGGCCTTGGGGGGTGAGTTGGACTTGAATGCGCGTGTGGAACGTATTGCTGGCACGGAGCTAAATGTGTCTACTCTCACTAAAAAGTTTGCTGATAGAATGGATGCGGATTGGGAGGATAGGAGTTTGGAAGATGACCCGCGGCTTTTCAACCCAGTAGACCCCGTACCTGGGGTTGGAGTTAAGATGTGCAGGTACAAAAATTGGATGGGTGACCCGGTTAACAGGGGGTACATTACTCAGCGGCAGCATGTGAACCTGATGCGTTTTCGGCTGTGTGTGTGGGGCATTGAAGCCAATCGCCCTAGGGGTAGGCAACGAGTAGCGCGTGTCTGTCCTATGTGTGCCGTGCAGGGGTCGCCGGGGAGAGTGGAAGATGAGAAGCACATCCTCATTGAATGTCCCGCTTACGATGATTTGCGTGACAAGATATGGGAAAGTGGTGTCTCACGGGATGCTGATATGATTGCTGTCATGGGCATGGAGAATCAGGCATTGCTTGCTAGTGTAATCACTAGCATGCGAAGTCGCAGGATTGCGCAGACAGGGTTTATCATATGATTAGCGTTCTGTTTGTTGTCTCTTTTGTTTGCTTTTTCTTCATTTGGTTGTTTTCGCGTTTTGTGCTCGCGATCCATGAGCCTTCTGGCTCGGACGGATCTTACGAGCTCGGTACGAAGCTTGTAACACATACATACATACATACCTGCGCCGTTGAGCAACAGCATATGTTGCTTGGCTTCGGGAGGATCGCATAACTCCATCCGGTGTTTGGGTCTTAAGTATTGCTGCACATCGTATACGTCGGACCAACAGCCCTGCTTACCGAGTCCACCAAGTCCTAACAGCTTTCTTGCTCGTTATACTATATTATACCTAACAAAGAGGAATTTACTTAATGTAACGCAACCTGTGATATAGTTACGGTTGAGGGACGCGGCAACGAAACATGCCGAGCTTAGAGAGGCTAATTGCTGAGGTGGAGCCCAATGTCATTACAGAGGGGCTCACGAGAGAATGCATTCAGGTATGCTGCGCCCCTACCCATACCGCCTGACCACTTGGATGTCAGCAAGCACGACTTATTCCTGCAGATCCAAGGCGGCGAGCCGGACACGGCTGCGAACAAGAAACGCAGCATGCCGTTCCGGGACGTGGAGTGCTTGGCGTTTAGCTTCAAAAACCTGGCATGCATTGACAATCTCCGAGGCCTCGACAATCTAACCAAGTTACAACTCGACAACAACCAAATCACGAAGATTGAAAACCTGGGGCACCTGGTGGGTGGCAAGGGGAATGAAAAAGGTCCAGCGTTAGAGCGCGGGGCTTAAAAGGGCCAGCGGGTTTCGACAGCAGGGGGAGTGTGTAGACCTGGGTTTGCGAAAGCTTTCCAAACTCCTTATGCGCAGTGCCAAGATTTAAGGGCCTTAGCGCCAACGCTGCACATGGAATATGACCTTATTTGATCCCAGCTGTCCTTTCTCACCCGTTTAGGTGAACCTCACCTGGCTGGACCTCTCCTTCAACCGCATCAGCACCATCAGCGGCCTGGACACGCTCACGAAGCTGGTGGACCTCTCACTGTTCAACAACCAGATCTCAAAGATAGAAAACCTGGACACGTTGGTTAACCTCAATGTGCTGTCGCTAGGTGGGTGGTCCCTGCTCCCTGGGTTACAGCACTTGTTGTGAATGGCGCTGAAAGCCAAGCCTTGACCTGCAGAAAGGGACTGTCAAAGCGCTGCCAGACAGCCCAAACATCATCCTGAGCCCTCTTTGTGTCCTTCTTCCACCACCTCCTCACGTTCCAACATGCCGTGCGACCATCCACCGCCCCTTTTCCTTGCCCTCGTTGTGTTCGAACCGGGTTGGTACTTTTCCCCACCTCCTCGCAGGCAACAACCAGCTGTCGGCGCTGGACAACGTGATGTACCTGCGGCAGTTCAAGCAGCTGCGGCTGGTGAACCTGGCGGGCAACCCCATCTGTAAGGACCATGACTACCGCTCCTACGTGCTGTCGCACATCAAGGACCTCATCTACCTGGACTACCGCAGGGTCAACCCAGCGGACGTGCAGGCGGCCCGCGAGCAGCATCAGGTGGGGCCAAGAGGGTACAGGAATCATGTGGCGAAGGGTAGAGAACGGGGATTGCAACGGGGAAGGAGCACGGCAAAAAGAGGGCCGCAGGGGGGATCCTCGGAGAAGGAGGTGGTACATAAATTGGTTGCAGCATGGGAGTGAGCTGCATGGTGAAGGGGCACGGCGCGAGGTCCCAGGGCTTATTAGGCAGCTGGATCCAGGTACCAGGATGGCGTGAACTGGCTCTTGTCGTCCGGTAAACTTCCCTTCAACAGCGTTTGACCTTGCGCTCTCAAACTTGGGTTTGCTGGTCTGTTTGCGCCTGCAGGACGAGATGATCGAGCTGCAGGAGCGTGAGGAGCAGCAGGTGCAAGATGAGAAGCTGAATGCGGAGCGGGACGCGCACAACAAGCTGATGACGCAGGCCAACCTGGAGGGCGTGGAGACGCTCATAGACGACATGGTGGGGATGGGGCTGGGGCCGAAGCATGTTGGGTTGTTGGTACCATGTGGTGTTTGAAGCATTAGCAACCCGTGGGCAAGGTCCCAGACTGGGATTCGGACTGGGTGGGTGCAGCATGATGACACTACCCTGAGCGGTGAAGATGGTGCTACTACTGTGTTATGTTGGGTGGAAGGCACACGTGAACGCATGGCTGGGTTACGTGGCACATCGGGCGAAGCCAATGTGCGCGTCCTAACCAGCTTTTCCTGCAGGCCGCTGTGGCCATGTTCCGGGAGTACTGCCCGAGGCTTAGTACTAGCTTTGGAAGTCCTGACGAGTGTCCGCTGTGCAGGTCAAGGAAGACCCTGAGTGGCCGCGGTTGACGCAAGTGCCCAACCTGCTGGACCCCTGGAACGACATTCGTGATAAGTTCAACGTCTCCACGGACGAATTCAAGGTGGGCTAAGCGCCGTGTTATCTGCAGTCGTGTAGATTGGCTTTTGCTGCTTAGCCATGCATGTCCTGCCAGGGCTCCATCCACTCTTCAGAGGGCTCACGAAATCGCTCTATGTATTTTGGTATCCCCCTTGTAGGTGGCTATTCTGGAGCAGCACAGCAGGAAGAAGGCAGAGTACGACGAGTGGCTTGGTGTCGTACGGTCGTACCTCGACGAAAAGGACGCGGAGGCGCGGAAGCTTATCATCGAGTACGAGAAGGCCAAGAAGCACACGTCCCGGCAAGTAGTCGACAACCCGGCGCTGGCGGATACACAGATCCTCAACCTCAAGGTGCGCAAGCTTGCCGTCTTGTGCGGTAATGTTAATGGGCGGTGCCTGGACACTGCATCGTCCGTATCGTATTAACCTCACATTGCGAAATAATTGCGGTAGCGGTTAGGACTCGAAATGCGAGGACTGGATCGAGGCCGTGGACCCGCTGGACCCATGGGTCACTTTGCACTTTAGCGTATTGCCTTCTTACTTCCCGTGTCCGGTGCACAGGTCAAGCTCATGGCGCTCAAGGACCAGCTCATGGCCATTGAGATGGAGGCTGTGGAGGTGGTGGATGGGCTGGTGCAGGAGTTTGACCGTGCCTACTCGGAGCTTGCGGAGATCAACAAGGGGCAGTACAATGGCTACTTCACGCAGGTCCGCGACTTGCAGAATTCCTTCTTCAACCAGCTCACGTCGGTGGCCATGACGGTGTTTGAAAAGTACAACCAGGAGAACAGCGACATCGACAGCCTGCCGGAGGACGCGCGTGTGCTGCTGCAGGTATGGCGGCAGGCTTTGGGAAGGCCTAAGCCAGGCTTACTAAGAATAAAAGGGCACACTTTTGTCGTCCTGGCTTTGTCTATACGTCCCGCTGTACGTGCATTGCTTTACGTACCGCCTTGTCACTAGCAGATACAACATGCATGTTTCCTTCCCACCCACAGGACAAGGACAGCCTCATGAACGCCCTACAAGCCAGCCACGACGCGCATATGCAGAAGATCGACGCGCTAGAGGACCGGCTAGTGAGCCAGGAGCTGCGCGGTGCCAACGACCTCACGTCTTCCAACGCAACGTGGGCAACACGACGCAACCGCGACCGCATTTCGGAAATCATCAACTATGTGGAACGCAACATGCTGGAACTGGACGAGCTAGCAGGGGAGGACGACGGCGGGGAGGCGTAAGGGTCATGATGTGGACGAGGTGTTTGGGTGCTGCCATGCTGTGTTTGGTACGGTTCTGTTTTCTTCGGTGCGTGAACTGCTGGTGTCCGGTACATACATGGATAGGAGGACTGTTTTTATCTATGATTGTTGGCAACCGTTGCAGCAATGCGAAACGGGGCCTATGATAGACCCATGAGACTCGGAAGTTATACCGGGGTGATGTTATATGTGGGACGTGCGAAGCGATTGACACTGCTAAATTTGGCCTCAGTCCCTTAGATGAAAAGCATCAAGGTGATTCAGTAAGTAATTAGGTCTGTTTCATGTTTTCGTCATAGGCCGTACTAAAGGATGCAAGTGTCAATCGTCGCGCGTGCATGACAACGTGCAATGCCAATGTGTGAGAGGCCTCATGTTGAAGACTGAAATTGTGGTCAACCCCGGAACCATCGTGTGATTCCGGGTCCCTCCACTACTTTATAATGAATCATCGGCCCATGGAATGTCATATAGATGTCACAAGCACTAATTCGTCCATGATCATTAGTAATCACATGGACGACTCAACAGTTGCGTTTGATTTTGGCTCAAGGTCAATTACCTGCACTAAGGCGACGGCAAGATGCAATCCTGCCAAGCCGCAGGGCAGGTCAGTAAATTCCAGGAGCCAGTCAATGCAAAGATTAATGGCGGATTCGCATGCACAACAGGAACCGTCAGGCAGCCAGTTCTCTTCAGAAGAAAATCAGACGGTAATTCCATTTTATATAAGATAGATCATCACCCGGTCCAGTTGTGCAAAAATCCTAACAAGTGTATGCGTTCATATAAGACATGCACAGAGATTTTTTAGTCTCAGGACTTCTTAGAGGGTTTGTCACATCAGGCCCTTACGAGCTCAGTGGATTGACAGATAAAGTCTCATCATCGACATGAAGAAAGTGGCACATGCATGCACATTATAAATATTGGCACTGCTTGGCACCGAATGGGCTACATGTAAAAGCCCCGTCAGTTTCCTATGAGTGCGAATGCGTTGATGTGCCCTCGCCCTTAGACAGCTGCGGTCCTGGCCATCGTGATGGCTACCGCAGCCGTGGCAAGGGGGGGTATGTCAATAGATAAATGGCAGAGGCATCTTGACGCAACCAGGTAGCACAAAGCCATGCTGCAACACGTGTCCTCTTGCGGTAAACCGCCGATGTAGCACACATCAATGGGACGCACTAATCCACAAGCGGGACTGCCGCCCGGGGTTGGTGAGTGTGCAGCAAAGCTCGCATGCAGTATCAGCACCTATTCGGTGTAAATAGATGTGCCAGGAGACAGGTCAGCACAAGACCTACGGGTGGAAAAGGTCGGTGCTGGTTTTAAATCTGGCGTTGGCTCTGTTCGCTTCCCATGACACCCGGTGCACACCACACTTGCACACCGAGTAACGCCTTAAGAAAGCAGAGCATGCAAGATATGCAAGGATAACAATTTCATTCCCAGCGAAGTAATGCGCCAGTGGGTGGGCAATGGTATAGTAGATGCGCATGAGTAACTTACCTTTTATCGGGTGGCAATAGCAAAGGGACTAGCCGGCCGCCGGCGGCGGCCATGACACCATCAGCTCCAAAAGTCGAGGCGTTGAAGGTTACTAGAACGCCACCAACACACTTCGCATATGATGCGTCGGTGCGAGGCAAAAGCTCGGTAAACGGGCTCGAGGATTACGAAGGTCACAAGTTCCGTAAGAGGGACGCGCCTCCAAAGGGAAGAGCCGAAGCCTTCTTGTTGAAGTCCCAGCCATCTGAAGACTTCATAGAACCTATGAGGGAATGAAAAGCTAGGCAAGGATTTCGGCTTATATAGTGTTGCGGCGGCGGCCTTGCGGGCCCTGTGAGTCTTGGCGCAGATGCGAGCTAAAGCGTTTTGCCGATGCAATTGCTACGTTTGGCTCTTGCAGAAAGCTATCTTATTTCTATTTCTACCATCCTGCTGAAACTTCCTAGCTTACCTGGCATCGCAGCCTGAAGACAACACGATGGCGGTGAGCAGTGTTCCAAAGTCCCTACGACGAGCCCAGCTAGGATCGGAACTTACTAGATATTCTATATGTTGCAACAGGACGATGAAATTGAGCAGGCAACTGAGGCTGTGAAGGAGCTTGAAGGTAATTTACAGCCTTTCTTTGCTAGTTGTCTTACATAAGGAACGCTAAAATGGCATTTGTTTACAGTGGACGACAACATGGAACTAAGCCTTGACCTCGGCAAGAAGAAAAAGAAGAAGAAGAAGGACCTGGTGCTCGATCTGGTGCGCTTGACGGCCGGGCTCGTGTCTTGGGGAGTAATAAGCACAGTTGTCACCTGATGGTAGAGGGTTTCTGTTTGTGAAAGTATTCATGCGGTGTGACCTCGGTATGGGTGCAGGAGGGTGGTGATGCCGCCGCGCCATCTGCGGCACCAACGGGCGAGCCAGAGGACGGCATGGAGATGTCGCTGGACTTGGACCTAAGCAAGAAGAAGAAGAAAAAGAAGAAGGCAAGTTAACACGGTTCCAATTCTTGTTACGCCTAACACCCACACCTATCCCTGTCGTTGGGCAACACCTGACATCCCCGACTTTTAATATGACCTCTTACCCATCCCCCTCCCCCACTGCTGCCGCCCCACTATTTACGTAGACCCGGCAAGGAGAGGGCGAGTTTGAGGAGGGAGAGGAAGGAGGGGCAGCTGGTCCAGTGGACGACGGCCAGGAAGCGGCGGTGGGAAAGTTCCCATGGTCTGGCACCGACCGCGAGTACGACTATGAGGAGCTCCTGGGTGAGTAAAATGAGGTTGGGAAAGGCGTGAGAGAGGGCAGGGTAGCAGAATCCGGAGGGGGAGGATGGGGTTATTGCGTGGATTAAGTATTGGCTTTTCCCAAAAGAAAGGACATGTTAACTACCATTACTACTGGATCTTGGTTTTACGGCGGCTACGATGGTTCATGCACTGAGCGTACCTGCTGTTGGTCCTGTTCATGAGGATGACGCGGGTGTCAGTATGCCAAATTGGCACACAAAACCACTCTTAGTCCACCCCTTCCATCGCATCCGCACCCCTGCCACCACCCCACACACTACCCCCAACAGAGCGCGTGTTCGGCATCCTCCGCGAGAAGAACCCGGAGCTCACAGGCGAGCGCCGCCGCACCGTGCTCAAGCCGCCCCAGGTGGCGCGTGAAGGCACCAAGAAGACGGTGTTCACCAACTTCATGGACCTCTGCAAGGCCATGAACCGCCAGCACGAGCACGTGTCGCAGTACCTGCTAGCGGAGCTGGGCACGAGCGGCAACCTGGACGGCCAGCAGCGGCTGATCGTGAAGGGCCGCTTCCTGCCCAAGTCGTTCGAGACGGTGCTCAGGCGTTACGTGAACGAGTGAGTGGGAAGGAGACGTGGGAGATGAGAAGGAATCGGGGTCAGAAGCAATATATGAAAAGCAGTAGGGCTTTTGGGGGGATGGGATAGAGGCATGGGCAACGATGCGAGTCAGCAAAATCTTGACGGCTAAGCCATTTTGGACATTTTGGAAGGGGCGTATGTTTCGGGCGTGCTAATCTACTGTATTGGTTCGACGCAAGCCCTTGGCATGCCGCTTATCGCTTACGGGTGCCGCTTCCCCACTCCGTTAACCCCCTTGCAGGTACGTGCTGTGCCCCGGCTGCAAGAGCGTGGACACGCTCCTAGATAAAGACAGCGCCACCCGCCTCATGCACCTGCGATGCCAGCAGGTAAGGGGGGTTCAACTTGGAAAGACGCCTGAGAGTCGTTGCCAACTTTTAAGGATCGGCAGTCATGTAGGAACCGCATGGAGGCGTACATGCGGACGATGTACTGATTGTCCCTTTGTTATATGTAAGCAGCCCGTGACAGCATCTCTTTCCGGTGCCTTCCTGTCATCGTTGCGCAGTGCGGGGCGTCCAGGACGGTGCAGGCCATCAAGGCCGGTTTCGTGGCCCGTGTCACGAAGCGTGTGGCGGACGCCAAGTAAGCGGACAACGTTTCACCTCTCCAGGCGCAGCGGCCATTACAGCACCGCATAGGGTCAGTGTTCTGCTTAACAGCAGCTTGAACTATGGACTGCATGCTGGATGCTACTGCTGCCCGGTGATTGGTTGGTGTCTAGCGCTGGGTGGCTTAGGAGGGCGCATGGATGCAGGACTAGGGCGTCAAAGAGGGAAATGCCGCTTTTGCATTGACAGGACGGGGGCATTGTTTGCGCGTGTAGGCAGTTGACATGGAACTGACAGGTTTGCCTCTGGTGCGGGTTATAGGCTTTGATTGTTACGGTTTGGCGGATTATGGTGTCTGGTCCCCGTGGTGCCTAACGACGGTGACTGTATGGCTCTTCTAGCGGTGTGCAGGATGCATGTTAGGCTTGCCATTGAGCGCCACAAAGCAGATGGTTGTGCTGGCTGGGCTCGTGCTGTACGGCGCGTCTGTACATTTGCTGTACGCATGTAACCCAAAGATAGGTGCATGGCATGTAAGTGTTGCTCAGATAGGAGCCAGATCTCTCGCGATGCCTGCGTAACTGTTACTCACCCAAAGACCTCCAATGCCGCACCGGCGCCAGACCATAGGGCGCCGTTTACTCGCAGCGACTTTCATGTGCGGTAGGCTCCCACGCGTGGCAGTTGCTGTATTGTTATGTGTAGCGATCTTCCAAGTATTTCTCATCCATCTATGGCACCGGTTTCACCAGAGCCGTGACCTTATGGGCGAACTGCCCCGACTGCAGTCAGCATTTGCAGTCCCACGGGCTGGGGGATACTATACAATGACCACAGCTACAGCCACTTGTGAACGTCTTGTTTCGACTTACGATGAAGACAATACATTAGCGAAGTTATTTCTGCTAGCGCGGCAAGCGGGGATAGTCGTGCCATGCCACGACTCGGCGCTGAGAGGCCTCAACTTCTCCGTGTGTTCCAAGAAGTGCATCATAGCAGCCAATCTTCATAATTCAATGGAGGTCATACCAAACATGATCGTGCAGCTGATCTGGACAGCGCACTTGCTGGGCCCCGCCAACATCTTAGTTTCGATCTATGAAAGCGGGAGCAAGGATGCCACAGCCGACTGGTTGCAGTTGCTTAGAGCTGTACTAGGTTACCTCTCAGTACCACATATCATAACTACGGGCGGCATAACGAGAGAGCCTGGCCAAGATCGCATTGCCTACCTGGCATCCGTGAGGCAAGCGGCAGTGGATCAGGTGTTGGCAAACTGCAATAAATATGCGACCAACTTTTGCAACTCTTCTCGCATAGTCTATGTCAACGACGTCCTGTTTAACGCGCCATCCATGGTACGGCTTTTACAGTACGGCAACGAAGACATGGCTTGCGGCATGGACTTCGAACCCATCCTTGCCGACCACCCGATGTCCGAACAGCGCAGCTATATGACAGGCCACCTTCTCCAAACCTGGCATCTGCCACGGCCTCTAGCATCCAGCCTTGCCTCCTCAACCCTCGCCTTTCGCCTATGGAAGAAAGCCTATCGCCGTTCCGCAACCCTACTACGCCTCCTGCCCCTATCCTTCTACGACATCTGGGTTGCACGCGACGTAGCAGGCGACCGCTTCACCCGTCCCGCACCGTTTACTCACCACGGCCCTACCGCAGCTCGCATCCAAGCCGGGCTCCCTGTTAGCGCCTACTGCTGCTGGAACGGCCTGATAGCCCTTGCAGCCCAGCCGCTGCTAAGCCGCCGCATCGCCTTCCGTGCGCACCGGCCCCCGCCGCATCGCAATGGCCCTGCTGACGACGGTGGTGGTGTTGCTGACCGTGCTCACAATAGCGGTGGCGACAACGAGTGTGCGGCGTCGGAGTGCAGTCTCCTGTGTGACGACTTCCACCGCCTGGGTCGTTCACGTATCGTCATTGACCCCTCAGTGCGCGTCGCCTACCGTGCCGTAGCCGCGGAACGCATCTTCCTAGGCAGCAGCAGTACCAGCATTAGCAGCGCCCTCAGTAGCAGTAGCAGCAGTGGCGGAGGGGGCGATGACCCACGGGTCACTGCTGAGCCTGCGGACCTTCTTCCTCACGTGGAGTGGAGTCCGTGGCTGATATCGGATCTGGAGGCCTGGCGTGTGGAGCAGGGCTTGCCATCCACTGTGGAGTGCTGCGGCTTGGAGCCGGGACGTGACGGAGTGGACTTTGAGCACGGATGCGTGCGCATTCCGTCTCTGGCAGGAACAGTGGTGTCGGTGGTTGCGTCCAGGAATGGCGGAAACGGCAGCGGCAGTGATGGCGACCGGAAGTGAGGGGCTGGTGGGCGCGCGGGGCAGGCGTGGTGGCTGGAGGCTGTGATGACTGGCGCCTAGCAGGTCAGCAGGGAGGCCGTCTGGCAGGCGCAGTGAGCATGGTCGAGGAGGGCGTAGATTGCCCCAGGGCTGAGTACATGTAATGTGACCGGTGTCTTGTGGGACATCAACATACCGCTGTGCTTGGCTCGTTAGCTACCAGACTTACCGGTATGTTGCTACGTGCGTTCGGCGCCCTCCTTGCCCAATCTACAGGCCCTGGAAGCCGGCGCCCAGGAGTGCTGCTGGAGGGTTGAGCTGCGCGCTGTTGAGCTGCTGTTGGGGTTGAGCTGGGGGCTAGGGGGTAGCAAAAGCAGCCAAGGATGCATGCATGCGGTTTTCGAGGGCCCCGAACAACTATGATGTTGCGTGTTTTCAATATCAAGGATTCGCTTCTGCGGAGGTAGACCTCGCGGCGCTGCTGACGTGTGTTCTCCCGCTTGCTAGGAGGTTGCGGGGGCTGGAGTGGAAACCGCTCCGTAAACCTGGCACTGCAGGACGGTGTTAAGCGGCCGGGGTATCCTAAGCAGTGCCGGTGTGGGTTGGCTCGTTGTGTTTTTTCTATTTTTTATATTTTTTAGTGAATTGGGAGTCTTGACTGGCGTCAGGGATGTCATTAGAGTAGCTGTTAGGTAGGCATTGCTGTCGATGCTGCTGCCATGGCGGTGGCGTTAGACTAAGGAACCCCACCTTGCTTAGCTAGCTGAGACCTGCTGACAAAGGGCTTGCCCTTCGTTCCGATGTGAACAATACATACGTGGCTTTGGGGTTACACGAATACTCTTAAAGCTGCAGCAGTAGCAACAATAGCGACGCTCTCGTGCTAATGGTAAGCCGCAAGCAAACCCCTTGCACGCCCAATGCTTTAACTGCAACTACAAAGAGCCCATCGGTCCATGCCTTCCCGCTTCCAGGCACCCGCGCTCACAAGCCCGAGACGACAAGCTCCACGGTGTTAAACACCGGAACCACCATGAAACACTCGCAGCAGCATCACCCCCTGCCGCTCATCGCTCGCCCACATGTGCTTCAGCTCGCCCGAAGCCACCAGAAGTCCTGCCCCCACCCGCTCATTCGCTCTCCACACTCGCTCTCCTCTCTCGTCCTTTACAGCCCCCTTCCCGCGCTCGCAACCGCCGGCCAGTCAACCAACCGCTGCTACCTCCCGGCCCCTCCGAATCCCAACCCTTTACTTCCCAGCCCCCGCTCTCCCAGCCCCCGCTGCCGCCGCCGGCACAGGAACCGCTCCCGGCCCCGCCGCCGCCGCCCGCGCCTCCAACCTCGCCAGCCGCTGCGCGTCCTCCTCCTCCATCATCTTGCGTGCCTTGGCCACATCCTTCTTGAAGTAGTAGGCGGTGGTGGACAGCATGCCTGCCATGGCCAGCAGCGTGCAGTAGCCGCGCAGGCTCATGAACCAGGCGGGCAGGTGGCCGGACCGGTAGTAGGAGGCGTCGGAAAGGTAGCAGATGCCCTGCAGGGTGGAGAGGGGTGGAGGAGTTGGGGGGTTGGCAGGGGGTAAAGTGGAAACCACTAACTGACCATGTGGTAAGTCGCCATCAGGGTGGCAGGGGTGCTGCTGTAACGAGTCATGGGCGATACAATATTTGGGCATGGAAAACAGAGGCAGTGGCACTGTGGAGGAGCCCACTACCATGGAGCTGGACAGCTTTTGTTCCGGGTGTCGATACGTCTTGGCAACGGAAACTGAGTGCGGCCCCCGGCCCGCCGGAGCCTTCCGCCCCTCTTCCTCGCGCCCTGCCTCCCCCCTCCCAACCCACCAGCAGCACCGCCACCGCAAAGCTGCCCTGCGCCGGCTGCATCATGAGGGCGGGCACAACGCCCAGGGCGGGCACCACACTCCACACGTACCGCTCGTTCAGCGCTGCGGCCGCCTTGCTGCCCGCGGCTGCGTGTTTGTAGGTGAGGGATAGGAACATAGGATACGGTAGTATGAGCCCAGATATGCAACAGATAGTAATGCATGGAGCGAGAAAGGTGGCGGATGCGAACAGCAAACGACCCATACATGCAAGCATGCGTGCCTGCATTACATCATAGACCATACGGTACTCGCATGGGTGGCAAGGTATGGCCGTATTTGCACGTCACATGTTGACCTGCTGGTAGTGTAACTTCAATCATAGGAAACCACACCAGCAGTATCCCGGCACGAGCGGGCTTTACCTGCATCATCCCTTTACTTCCTCTCAACCCACACCTCCCCACCGCAACCAAACCCCCCTCCTCTTTACCCCCTCCGCACCCGCCACAGTGGCGCTGTTCATGGCCATGCCCCAGTGTACGGCGCCCAGGAACGACACGATGCTGCCGCCGTACGCCAGCTGCATCTGCGAGCAGTAGTCCACCAGATGCGGGAAGCCGGCGGCCTCGACGAAGGCGGGGGTGAGCGTCATGAAGGGAAGAGCGCCTAACAGGGGAGGGGAAGGGAAGGAAGAAGAAGAAAGAGGGGGCGGGGAAGGGCAGCAGGGAGGGAGAGGGACAGTGAGGCGTGAGGCGAGGTCAGCAGCTGGCGGTGCGGGGGATGACGGGATGCCAACAGGGCACCATGAAGACTCCGGCCACATGCACCATCCCCAACCATCCCCGCCAACCCGTCCGGCTGCATGGCTGTGTGCGGGTTCCGGGCTAGCGTCCCAGCCCCCGGCACCCCCCTTGCCTGCAAAGCCCAGCATCTTGGGATAGAGCGGCATGGACGCTAGAGACTGCTGTTGCCGGGCAAGAAGCGACAGCGGTGTCTCATTGCTGCTGCTGGCACTGCTTGAGCTAGCTGCAGCCGCTGCTGCAGCCGCTGCTTGCTTGCTAGCATCGGGCCTGGGTCCCGTTGGGCGTGTTGAAGAGGAGGCCGCGCACCGAAAGGATTGAGCACAGCACGACGGCAGCTGGCATGCCGTGGGAAGGCCCTCGCGTGTGCTTTCAAGGGCGGCTGCTTGTGACACCTGCGTTCATCATGATAGATTGCGACTAGCTGTGTTGTACTATGCCTAGTGCAGGGTAAGGGTAAGACATTGATGCGCACCTGCTGCTGCAGGAAAGACGCCACTGCCCTACGTACTCGCAGCATTGTCTTTTGAATTAAAGCAGTGAAATAAAGCTGACTAGCCAATAAGACACACTTATAGCGGCGGAGGATGAAACAATGTATGGACCGGTTACGAAGCAATAGCCTATTGGCACCAAGCAAACTCTGCTGCAGCAGAAGTGTTATGCTTTTCGTCGCGTAGCCCTGCATTGCGCAGGTACGGACCAAAGCACGGATCGATCGTCGTGCAGTTAGAGGATTAGGTGACTCAAAAGGTTTTGCGCAGCAGGCGAAGGGCATCTCTACGCAGTAAGATGTAGTCAAGCCACTGCACTCACGCTTTGCAAAGCGTTCTTGCACACCCTGTATAGGTGTTATAGTCAGCCTTCCTGCACAAGCTGGGGCCCAGTCACTGCGCACAGGGCCCCTAAAAGCAACCTCTATTGTCCTATATTAGGTTGTCCTGGGACCCAAATCTTCTGGCAGCGTCTCTTGGATTCGTCGTCCGGGGGGATGTCGCGCATGCCTGTCCGAGGAAGCCTGCCGTGCTGCTTGAGCGGGGGGCGCTTTCTACCCTTACCGTCTAGGCGATGTGTTCGGACATGCCAACTGTCGCGGCGCCACCCGCTCACGACGACTCCATTTGCATGTCGGAGGGCCGCACTGTGCATCTTCGCCAGTTCTACCAGGCAACAACACAATCTTAAGGTATGCCTCCTTCTTTGTCGCTTATTCTTATAACAGCGCTCTTAACGCTTTGTCTTCCCCTCATGCGCATTGACCTTTCCCCTTTTTTAAGGAGCCGTCCTCTGCACCATCGCTTCCACAATGGTGTCATCGCGTGGCTGGGGTAAGCAGGGTAGAGCTACGTTATCTGATGGTTACGACTGGTGCCTCGGTAACACCCGCTTGCATGGCTCGTCCTGATGGTTATTCGCCATCTATCGCAGGCCTTCGCACTCGCGCCATTTCTGCTACTTAGTGGTAATCGACATGCCCACGCGTACCAAGTGCTCACGGCGGTGCTCCAGGTGCGTCCAACGCAGTTGCCTAAAACGGAGCAGATAGCGCTCCTCGGCCTTTAATGAACATTTGCGATTTGTGGGTCCCCGGCCTTGTTTGGGCTACAACCAACACATTCCCCACATTCGTTATGCAACCAGTCCCCCCTATTCTTGTTTTCAACCGATCACCCCTGCCAACACGCTCTACTTGCAACAGGCGCCACGCGCGGCAGCCTCGGCTCGACCCAGCGGTACGTCAACACCCGTCGATCGCGCGCCTAGTCGGTTGTACGACATTGGTGCTATTCGAGAGCGCAGCTCTCCTTACCAGGTGCGCCCGTGCATGCTTGTGCGATATCGTTACCTGTTCCGTCGCTACCCACGAGAGATGATGTCAGACCTGACCTTTCTTTGGGCGACGCAAAAGAAACGCTTAATAGCGCTTAAGCGCCCAAGAGCACGGCAGGCGTTCCATCGCCGTCTTACTGTCAATAAGATTACCGAATCCAATACTAACATTTGACAAGACAAGGCTACCGAATCACCATGTACTACTAAACTGCTACTGACCCGTGGGTCATGTGTATAGGCTCGGATCGCGGCGGCTCTCGCCACAGCTCTTGTGGGATACGGGCTAGCACGCAGCGCTGCTGCCGTCGCCGCCGCTAGAGCGCATAAAAGTGCAATTGGCACCACCACAAGCGGTAGAGGCGGCGACGGCGGTGGGAGTAGCAGTAGCAGTGATCGTGCTTCTGTTGTGGCCAGCGCAGTTGCAATGCCGGAGGTGGCTACAGCTGCAACCGCAACCGCAGCAGCTTCCACGTCCGCTGCCAATGCTCGTCCCAGATCTGGATCCGAGCCGGGATATGGATCCGGCAGCGGCGGCGGATTGCCTGGAGGCCTGCCAGCCACAGCACAAGCTCGTTTGGAGCGGTTGGAGAGGCTGTACCTGGAAGTCGAGGATTTGAAGGTGGGATAAAGAGGAAACATCTAACTGACCGCTGGGTGGGAGGAGAGGATCAGAGGACCTCTTGCGTCAAATTCACCTGTCTGTAGCTGCCACCTGCATGCCAATGACAGCATGTGGGCTGTAGCTCTTCTTTTCATGGCTACCCTTGACGATTTACCTTGCCTTGCCTGTCTTACCTTTCATAAAGTATTTGGGGTGTGTGCTGGTGTGTGGCACCAAAATCACCACAGGCGCGTAACGCACGGGTCTGGCAAGAGGCCATGCGTCTTATGCAAGCGGATGCCTCCCTCACCGTGGCCACCGCTGCCGTCAAGGCGGCGCAGAACATGGACCTAGACAACCCGGCGGGGGCCGCCGCCACCGCCATCGCCGCCAACCGTCGTACATCCGAGCGACTGGCGTCGCCGACCGCCGCTGCTGTTGCTGCCGTACAGCCGCCAGCTCCTCTGGAGGCGGCGGCATTGCCGGTACGGCCCTCTGGAGGCGCCGCCAGGTCGGCTTCGAACCTGGCGGCGGCAAGCAGTACGGCAACGGCGGCGGCGGCGGCAGCCCTGGAGGGGGCGACGGAGGCGGGGGTGCCGCTGCGCCCTAGCGGCGGCGCCGTCAGGGGTTTTACTGGCAGCAGCGGCAGCATCGCTAAGGTGCCGGAGCCGGTTGAGCCCATCCGGCCCAGTGGCGGCGCTGCCAGGGGCTTTGTTGGCGGCGATGAAGGCAGGAGCCCCAACGCGATGGAGCCTAGCGCTTCGGAACGACCCAGCGGCGGCGCCGTGAGGGCCGTCGCTGCTAGCAGCGGCGAAGGCAGGATCCTACAAGTTACGGAGGCAGACGTGCCATTGCGTCCTAGCGGCGGCGCCGCCAGAGGAGTCGTTGATAGTGGTGGCGGCGAAAGTGTTGCGAGGGTGGCGGAGGCGGTCCTGTCGGTACGGCCCAGCGGCGGCGCCGCCAGGGGTAGCGGTGGCGGCATGGCGGCTCCGTTGATGTCGGACACGCGGACCCCGCAGGTCCCCATGCCTCCGCCGGTACGTCCTGGCGGCGCGTCGGTACGCTCCGGGCCTACGTCACCGCCGCTGCCGTACACCTCTATGCTGCCAGCGTCCTCATCGCCGCCGCCGCCGCCGCCTCTGCAAATGCCGCCGGACAGTAGCCGTGTTAGGGTGTCAGGAATCGAGGCAGCCGCCGCTACCGCCACCGCTGAGTTGGCTGCCACGGCGCGCCAGACTCCAGCAACAAAGCAGGAGGTGGTGCGGCCTAGCTTCCGCCCAACACGTCGCGGCGCGGCGGCACCCGCCCGCGCTCAACGCACCTTCCGTACGGTGCCGTCGCCTCCGCCAGCCATCGTCAACCCCTCCTTCGACGTGCCGGCCGACGCGCCGTCGCCCCAGGACTACCTACAGCCCGCTGACGGCCGTACCGCTGACGGCCGCGTGAACCCCAGTTTCGCATCCGTCACCGCCGCCGCCTCTCCTGCCGCCATTACCCCCGCCACCGCTGCCGCCGCTGTCCCCGCTCCCGTCGCTCCCGTCGCCGCCGCTCTCTCCGCCGCCGCTGCCCCCGCCACCCCTGAAGCTGCTGTTGCATCCTCTCCTGGCGCGACGTCAGCAGGCCCCGATACCACACCTGCGACGGCGGCAGCGACGCAGCCCGCTTGGTACAATCCCCTGTCATGGTTCTCCACGCCGGCACCTTCGCCGGCGGAGGTGCAGGTGGGGGGCACTGCCGCCTCCGCCTCCACCTCTGGGCGACGAGGCAGGCGTACGAATCCGAGCTTCGACGCCTCCCTGGCGGTGGCGAACGACGTCGAGGTGGCGGCAGCGGCACAGGCGGCAGCAAGTGGAGAGGAGGTACTAAGCGAAGCACTTGCGTTGGAGGCGGCGGACAAGGGGACGGCGGCAGTTGCGGATGCGCTGCCGGACAATGGAGATGCGGAAGCGGTGAGGAGCGAAATTGCAGCGGTTGAAGCAGGGGTCGTGGCGGCGTCAATGGCTGCTGAGGAAGTCGGTAACGTGAAGGTAAGCTATTCGCTCTCCCCTGTTTGCCGTGTCTTCAGCCGTGGCAATGCAACCATGGAATGGATACCATGGGCTCCTCCACAAGAAAACCTCCTGCAATACGTTCCCATGAGTCCCTCGCATCCGCGTGCGCAGGGGACAGCAGGGAAGTACGATCCTATCCGGAACTTCATCGCCTCCGCCGCCGCTCCCTCAGCCTCCCGCTCCCAACGCGCCAAGTACGACATGCTGGACGAGCTGCTGCTGCCGCTTCCCCCGCAGCTGTCCCCCGAGCCAGCCATGCACTCTAAATATGACATGGTGGGCTCCCTGCTTAAGGATGCGCTGCTGGCAGCACCCACCAGCCCTCCGGCTCCCAGCCGCTACGACCCCTTGTCCGCTGTTTTACGGACGCAAGACGCTGCCGACGGCGGGGATGTCATCGGAGGCCGCGGCGGTGACGTCAGCAGCCCTGGTGTTGGCAAGTACGACATGATTGGGCAGTTGCTGGCGGCGGCGGCGGCGCTTCCGGAGGACTTGGCCAGTGGCAAGTGGGCTGCTGCGCAGGTGCGATGGTTGGTGCTATTGAGCCGCAAGGGCAAGTCAGCCATAGGTTGCGAAGTGTTGCTTCTAAATTGGAAGCCTATGTATGTCAGAAACACGGCTGGGATGGAGCCAGGCTCTTATATCTACTCCCATGTTGTCTGGGCTGCCTATCGTAGTCTAGCTCTGGCATGCACATTCACTCCTGCCACTACGCTGTCGCTTGTGTCGCAAAGTCGTCCCTCTCCTTTCCTCCCTCCATCCCCCCCAGCCCCGGGACCCGCTGCTGTCAGCCCTCGGCGACTTCCTAGCGCACCGCGAGTCCCAGCACCAGAACCAGCTCCTGCTGCCCCCCAAGTCCCGCCAGCCGCCCGCAAAGTACGACATGGTCGGTCAGATGCTCCAGAGCCTACAAGATCTGCCGTACGATCTCGAGAACGGCTCCTGGGCCGCATCCCACGGTCGAGATCCGCTTCTGGACGCCGCCAGCCGTGCCGCTGAGGGCATCGCTGAAGTACGGAAGAGGTTCGTACAAGTGAGGATCCGGTCCAAGTCGCGGACCGGCGGCAGCGGTGGCGGTGATGATGGCGACGCCGGCGGCGGCGGCGGACCGGGTGCCGTACTGCGGGGCATCCGCGAAGGCGGTGCCAGGGCTCTGGCTGCCGTACGAGCAGCGACGGCGCCGTTGGGAAATGTTCTCGCCAAGGCGACTGGACGGCCGTACGAAGTAGCTCCGGGGGTTGTGATGAAGGTCGAGAGGTCACATGGCAGTTGGAACCAGGGCGCTGTGGCGTTTGGTGGCGGCGGAGGCGCCTCCGCCAGCCTCGCGTTTGCTGGCGCGGGCGCGGCCGCTGGCGGTGGTGGCGGTGGCGGCGGGTTCGGAGGCGGCGTGGAGGAGCTACCCGCGGTGCTGTTCCAATTCAAGGATGCAGGCGCCAAGCCAACGGCTAAAAGCGCCGCAGCAAGGGCAACGCCGCCAGCTCCGCCACTGCAGCGGCCGCAGCAGCAAGCTGCAACGGCAAGTGCCGTACGTCGTCTGCCCCGTGCAGTGGTACCTCCGTCGAGGGCCGCCGCCGTCAGGCCTGCTGCGCCCATCGTGCCGCCGGCACCAGCGTCGACGACAGCTTCGGCAGAGCAGCGACCGGCGCGTGCAGTCGTGCCGCCGTTGCGGAATACGGCACGGCCTGCTAGCTCCCTAGAGGTGCCGACTAATGTCGTACAACCATCGCCGCCGTCACCACCGCCGACGCCGCCTAAGGCGTCTGTCGCTCGCGCCACCGAAACTCAAAGCAGCGATAGTCCGGACACGGTCGCTGCCACCCCCTCCGCGGACCCAGCGGCGGCAGCGGTGGCGGCAGTGGCGGCGGCGGCTCCGTCGCTGCCGTCGTACGTCGACGTCAAGGCGCTTGCTGCAGCCGTTGCGGCAGCGGCGCTAGAAGCCCCGCAGGAACCCGCCGCCGTCTTGGCTGCTTCACCCGCCGCGCCGCAACAGGGGCCAGCTCCTGTCACAGCGCCCGACAGCTCCCTGGTAACCGGTTCATTGACGCCGCCGCCGCCGGCAGCGCCCGCACCGCCGCGTTCGGTGAGCGCCTCGCCTTCCGAGGTCGCCATTGAGCTAGTGGCGATTCTGTCGGCTGTCGGTGGCCGGGGCGGCGAGCCGCCGTCTGTCGACGACCTAGTCGCTCGCTTCGGCGAGGGCTTCGCCGATGTCGTGCAACAAATGCGGAGTCTGCGAAACAACGCTGCACTCCTGTCGGCGCACCCCGCGGCGGCGCAGGTAATGCGCGCGGCGTCGGCGCCGGCGGCGACAACGACGACGGCGTCAGCGGGCAACGGCGAGGGCATGTGGACACAACTGTACGGCATGTTGGGTGCCGTACGGCAAGCGACGGACGACATGCAGGTTTTCATGGAACAGTGTCGCACGATGTACCCAGACGTGCATGCATTGCTGGCTACTGGCGATGCAGAGCATGCTGTGAGGTGAGCGACTGGGACGGGGTGTTGGGAACATGCAAATACCGTACCGGATCTAGGATGGGGGTGGTATGTTTATCTTGATGCGTGTGCACGATTGTGGCCGTGGGGACGTGGCAGGTGTGGTAAGGATGGTGTCTCACGCCATTACGGCAACCTGTACCCCTCCCTCCGCCCTGCTCCGGTAACGGTCGTGGGCCGGGCACGGGGTATCGGGTTTTCGCCTACGCATGTTTTCTTACCTGCCCCCTTTCCCTTGCCCTTTCCCTTTCCCGCAGTGTGCTTTGCACCCTCTGCATCCTCATTCCTGAGGACGGCCCCACCGCCAGCACGCCTCCCTCAGCCCAGCGATGAGGCGCAGCCAGTGTTGTATTTGTAGAGGAACAGGCAGGAGGACGTAGAGAGAGAAGACAGGTGAAGATGCTCGAGAGGGCAGGAGAAGATGACAGGAGAGCTCTGTAGAGAGAAGACCAACCATAGGTGTTATCTGTTCCCAACTGTTTGTGTCGGCATGGAGGGCTCGTTGAATTCATGGTGTTGCAGAGAGATGCACGTAAAGTGTCGCATACGGGATGTTGCAAGAGTTGCTGTGGATAGTAGGTATTGAAGATCGTCTTTCCAGTGATGGACTAAAGAGGTCCTACTTAGCAGACAGCGCTAAATTGAGTGCTGGGACACAGTCCTCCCCGAAACCTAAAGCGAGAATTGGCTTTCAGGTTGGGGTTGCCCAAGAGGTTCTTAGAGTGAGGGTTGCGCAACAAACAGGTCGTCATCAAGTGCCGTACCAGCAAGCGAAGCCCAATGGCCACTCTCATGTCATTTGGGCTTTCTTACACACTTGCTGGTACCAGGTTGTTTCCTAAATGCCGCTTCTGGCATACCGTACCGTTACCATACCCGGTGGAGGCCGTGAGGGCCTGGAAGCATGTCCTGAAGTTGTAGCCAAGCGTCATGTGGCGTCATTGAGGCAAACTACCCCCCCCCCCGGGTTGGTATGCAGTCAGTCGTGAATAGCTAGGCGCTTGGAGGGGCGTGAAGAGTAGGTTCTTCAGTTCTTGCAGAGAGCGGGGCTTTGACGAGCCGCAAAAAATCTTTGTTTCGCAGTCGATAGCAGAAGAAGCTTTGCGGAGCAGAACATTCAACAGAGTTGGCGCCTGGCATTCACCTTCTTGATGGTGTGGCGGCATGTTTTTGCTTGCGCATGTTGTGAGCCCTGCCAGCCCGTAACCGCATGAATCAGCACCAGCAGGCTTCTCGCGGGAGTCGTTGGACTCACCACAGTCTCTAGGTGAAAGGGCGGGGAGACGTGTATGGGTATGGGCACGGCCCTTACCCACGCATGGAGACGCTTACGGGTTTGGGCACGGCACTCAGCCCCTCATCCAAGCATTTGACACATGCATTGCTTTCCATAGAGCCATTTGCAGTAGTATGCAGTCCAATTTGAGCAAACGGACGCGTGGGAAACCGTCAAGCATACACCGCCGCTACAGAAATTGCAGACGCCACGGGAAAAGTACCCTATAGATAGCTACTGTCCATTTAGCTACCACTATTGGATCCGGGAAATTGGAAAGACAGCTGTGGGCTCTTGCTCATCCGGAAAGTTGCGGATGGTTAGTTGCCGATGTTCAATGGACACGAGCCCCAAACTAGCAAGGTGAACGCCACAATTAATTCTAGCTATTGATATGGCTGAAGCCCTCCGTGGACTCATAGGCAAGCGCTTGACAGTGGCTAGTTGCTTCCAGGCCATCAGGCCACATCCACCGCATAAGGAAATCCTGGGAAATGATAGGACACTCTTTGTATGCCAAAAAACATCTTATGCACTTTGGTCCCAACAGGTGCAACTGACGAGGCTGTTGCTTGGACATGCGCGTACGGCATGCGCGTTGGCGGACTTCCAGCTGCCCCCATCCCCTTCCTGGCCGTGCAACCGCAGTCTATACTTAATGTACGAGTTGTTCACTTAGGTATTGTAATCTTTCCTGCTATTAGTATACCGCCAGTCTTCTACTTCGTCACCAGCACCGGCTTGCAGAAAGGTGAGCGCCCTTCAGATACGTTGAGAATGCATTGTTGATATGGCTTTTTGTTGCCGGAGGCTGCACCTTACTGTCATGCGTTGGGAGATATGTCGGTGGTTTTTAGTAATTCGGCGTCTTCCTATGCTTCCCTGTTCTTAACGGTGAACTCCTTGCGTTTAGGGTTACACCTGGGTTAGGATGGATCACGCAGTGACCATAGCGCAAGACGTCGACCGGGACAGCACGAACAGTGATGAAGGCCAAGTGCACCTTGAAGTGGACGAGAAGGACTCGCCCGTCTTCCTCGCATGGAAAGGGCTAACTGTGAACGCTCGAAGGTAAACTTGCCGCTTATGCACACTCGGCAGACCGGCCAGCGCAAATTGCCAATGGCCTAATCACTGAATTGCTGCTACACCCCCAGGGCGAAGCGGCCACTCCTCATAGACGTCACTGGAAAAATCACAAACGGATTCTACGCTATCATGGTAAGGCCGTTAACGGTGCCCAGCTTTACAACCCCACAACGCGAAATGGAGCCCCGCGGACTCTATCCCAAAAAAACAACCTACGCCCTAGACTGTGTTTGCATGGATCCCTATCGAGCTCCATAATCATTCCCCTTACCATCACCTCACAGGCCCCGCTCCACCCACATCGACTCCCCCTAACAACCCTGCTCCTAACCATGCAATCGCGCGCCCGCAGGGCCCATCTGGCAGCGGCAAGTCCACGCTGCTCAACACTCTCGCATGCCGCCTGGACCAGGGCGTGTCGGTGAAGGGGGAGCTCAAGCTGAACGGGCAGGACTACTCCAATGCGGAGCTCAAGAAGATCTCGGGCTATGTCATGCAGGTAGCGTTTGAATCCCATCGGCAGCGTTTGACTTCCATCCAGGCCATGCGACGGTATGCATGTAAGGCAGGAGGCGGCGGATTATGTGTTGGGTTTCCTACCGCAGCACGCCCTGCACTTGCACATCCGCACACACTTACATTCCTCTCCCCACCTCTTCTCACGTGCACCGCCTCCTCTCCCTCTGGGACCGCCTCATCACACCCCCACCTCCTCCTCCCCCGCCCCTTAGGACGACCTGCTGAATGCGCATTTGACGGTGGAGGAGACGTTGATGTACACCGCTGAGCTCCGCATGCCCCGCAGCTCCACCCCGGAGGAGCGCACGCAGCGTGTGCAGGAGGTCATGCGACAGGTGGGCGGAGGGGCCTGGGAGGGGGTGGCGAGGAGGTGGCGAGGGCAGAGGATGAGTTGGGTATGTTGGATGTGTGGACTGGACTGGAGTGCGGAGGGGTTGAGCGGGTTGAGGAGGGTTGGGGGGCTCGGTTAGCAAGCGGTCGAGCGGGCTGCACCCATGACCTGAGGAGTTGATGCCTTTTCCCTCTTGCGTGTGGCTAATGGCAGGTCGGCTTGGCCCACGTGAGCGGGGTGATTGTGGGCAGCCCCGTTAAGAAGGGCATCAGCGGAGGGGAGCGGAAGCGCCTCTGTGTGGCCATGGAGCTGCTCACGAAGCCCGCACTGCTCTTCCTGGTGGGTTCCGTAGTGCGACGTATGCTTAGGAGGAGGTGGTGGGACCCAGGTCACGTGCTGCTTTTTATGCCATTGCTGTGTTAGTATGGAAGAGCATAACCTCCCCTTCCGTCGCACTTTCTTGTTGTTGTTGGTGGTGCTTACCGCATTGCCGCTCCCCTACCTACTACGCAGGACGAGCCCACCAGCGGCCTGGACAGTGTGACGGCGCTGTCGCTGTGTCGGCTGCTGCGCAGGCTGGCTGCCAGTCGCACCTGCGTCGTGGTGTGCACCATCCACCAGTGAGTGCCGTGCCTTACCTGCCTGGGCCCTGGGGTGACCCTGCTCGGTCTTATGTGGGTTGCCGGCATGCACGGGCGACCTCCACTGGCGATTGGCTATGAGCGAATGCTGTAGGGACCTTTGCGTGGGCTGCATCACCCACCAGTTGCCGGAGGCGTTCTAGTTGTCCAGCACGCCCTGTCAGCCCTTCAAATGACCATCATCCCTCTCCTGCTGCTCGCAGGCCCCAGGCCAAGATCTTCCACCTGTTCGACCAGCTCATGTTGCTCAACCGGGGGGAGGTGGTGTACCAGGGGCCGGCGCAGGGGGCACTGGAGTTCTTTGACCGCTCCGGCTTCCCCTGCCCCGCCTACGAGAACCCCGCAGACCACTTCCTAGGTGAGCCGGAGCCCACCGCCGCTGCCTCGCTCTGTTTCTTGGCCGGATCCTATTCACTTTGCCACAAGATGCATGCGCCGCTCCACCATTGCCCTTCCCGCGTCGTGCCTGCTTCCCAACGCGCCCCACCTCCTCACCCTCTGACATGACCCCCCTTGCCCGTTCCTCCCACCCGTTCCTCCCGCCCAGACGTGATCACACCCAACATGACGGACAGCCTGGAGGACCTAGCCCTCAAGGAGGCGGCCCTGCGGCGGCACTACCAGGCCCCGCCCGTGGAGCACCTGCTGGACATCCCCAAGCCGCTCATCCTGCCACGCGACGTCACGCCCTGGCACGTGCAGTTCCGCGTGCTGCTGCGTCGCAGCCTCAAGGAGACGTGGCGCAAGCGTAGCACCTCGTACGTGCTAATGGCGCAGACGATTGTGATGGCGGTGCTGATTGGCACCGTGTTTTTGAGGATTGGGACCTCCCAGACGTCGACGGTACGGCGCCAGCCGGTGCTGTTCTTCACGGTCATTAACCAGGTGAGGTGTGTGGGGCGGGTGGATGGGCAGATGAGGGCGGGTGAATGGGTGCATGGACGGCGGGTGAGGGAGGGACTGGGGACGCATGGAGCTGAGTGAGACATGCTAAGTGCGTGCTGGTTACAAATCTGCTGCGTGGTGCTGTCAAGCCTGCTCTCTCAGCAATCCAGACCCTCGCATATCCCTTGTCTAGCTCCGCTATGCAGCCCGAACCTCCTCCTGCCTCTCCTCCTCCTAACTATCCCCCCACGCGCACCCCGCCCCACCTCAGGGTATGTTTGGCGCCCTCATCGTCATCAACTCGTTCCCCTCGGAGCGCATGCTCTCCCTGCGCGAACGCGCCGCGGGCACCTACCACGTGAGCGCCTACTTCCTCGCCAAGATCACGGCGGAGACCCTCTCGCAGCTGCCCGTGCCTATTGTCTTCTCCTGCATTGTGTACTGGCTGGTGGGCTTCCAAGCGGTCGCCTCCAAGTTCTTCATCTTCATGGGCTTCATGGTGCTCTGCTCCACCGCGGCGACCAGTCTGGCGCTGGCGGTGTCGGCGGTGGCGCGGACGACCGACATGGCTGTGACGATCCTGCCCATGGTGCGTATGCTGTGACCTGTGAGGTGTGGACTGTGGATTGTGGGGTAGCGCGGGGCTGTTCAACTAGTCCCTCGCCTAACATACCGGCAAACCTGATGCGCCTGCTTACGCATAAAGGTCTTGTGCGTTTACCTACTGTATTGAGGTTGGGATGCTCGCTAACGTGCATGACATGGTGGCCGGTTGCTGCTCAGGTGCTGGAGATCTGCCGTCTCTTTGGTGGCTTCTTCCTGTCGCCCGCCAACCTGCCCAAGTACTTTTCCTGGCTGGACGCCCTGTCGTACTGCAAGTACACGTGAGTACGGGCTGTGGGCATGTGGCTGAGGCAGCTGGCATGGCTTGCATTCCAGTCACTGTCGACCTTGGCGCGTGTTACTGTCACACCCTGTACTTTATAATAAGCCCAGAAGGCCCCGTCTCCCTCGTCTTACGAGTATGCGGCTTTCCCCTTATATACATTTGTGTCCCGCTTCCCCTACTGCGGTACGCACCACAGGTACGTGGGTATCTCCCTCAACGAGCTCCACGGCCTGGACCTGCACTGCACCCCCAACCAGCTCAACGCGGCCGGGCAGTGCCCCATCACACGCGGCGAGCAGACGATCAAGTCGCTGGGTCTGGACTACATCAGCATCGCCGACTGTGTGGGCATCCTGATTGGCTACATTGTGATTTGCCGCATCATAGCCTACCTCGGAGTGCGCTTCCTGAAGCACTGAAAGCACTGGAGGGGCCGTGAGCAAGAGGGGTGAGCTTGGCATGGTGTAGCATTTGGAGGCGGCAGTGAGGGAGGTATGGCGCGTTGGGGCTGTGCCAATCCAACTGGGTGTTTTGTGGTTGCTTGGAGAATGCAAATGGGTGTGTTGGATTGCGTTTTGTGAGGCCAGGGACTCGCCTTGTTATATTCGCATTACACGTCACAAGGCGTGGCAAGTAGATAGGGGATAGGGGAGGTATAGGATAGCTCTTGAGCATGGATGTCCGGCTGAATGTGAATATCAACGTGCGAGTGGACCCATGGGACACTCATGGACTGCATGCGTTGCATGGGCCTAGCTGCGTAGTAGGTTACATTCGTGGGCGTTCTGGCTGGGGTTTTCTTTGTTCTGGATATTAGACTGCTGGGAAAGGCAGGAGAAGTGCTTTAGGGTCCCTAGATTGTGTATTACAACACAGGATTTTGGTGGCGCTTGTTACCGCGCGTTACCGGCAGTGGAAAGTGCAGACGGGCATACACCGTGAGGGGATCACGGCATGGCTTACGGATCAAGCGTGGCAGTAGCCATTAACAGAGAGCATGTTTAGCGTTAGAAACCTAATCGTTTAGAAACTCCTTCCAGTGTCGAGGGCGAGAGCCCCTTTGCTGCTTTGCTATGTATCTATATACTCCGGTGCCTGTCCTATGGTGCTGGAAGCAAACTCAACACCGCGTAGAACAAGTCTGTACCGGTAGCCATTATTGCGTTCGACTATGTTTGTATTGGATATCTGGATTCAACCGGCATTGCATGTGCTGTGATGCTGTTGATGCCCATGGGTAGCTGCCAGACGCTTTTCCTCGGAAGGTTCTGCGCTGGGCGCCTGCATGTACTAGTAATATTCCCTAATATGCGTGGGGCTCGTACTCGACTGTTCGTACTGCCCTTTTTCATAATTTTCCTACGATTGGCACAAAGGCCTCAAGGCCATACGTTCTGTTTAATGGGTTGCGAAGTGGCTTCAAACAGGTATGTGTTCAACTGCTCATGCAGATGAAGGCTGTTAATACGTCGTACAATCCTCCCGTACAAGGGTACAATCATCTGTGATGTGCTGTCATGGCGCTTGATTAGTGCGCTTCTATGTCTTAACTGATGCTTCTGTTGCATGGCAATTTATCGCCTTTCACATAATGACTTCTGTAGGGGCTCAGCAGCTTTCCTGTAACGTACGCAACTGCCGCCAGGTCTCCCTTGCATCGGTGTCCGACTACGTGTCTCCTCGTGTGCCGCCTGTTCGAATATGACCATGGAAGATGCTGCATATACATTGCTGTCGCAGCAGGCCAGGGCATTTAGGGGACCCTAAGTGCTTGGTTGTGATGAGCTGATGACATCGCGGCCCCATCCATGTCCCGGTCAGAACATTACAAAAAGCAGCGTGCGTCCCCAAAAGAAACTTTACCGGTATCCTTGGGAACCATGACTCCCTAGGCCACAGACATAGGATGAGCCCACATCCACCAACACAAACGGCAACAACCCTATCGCGTCCACACAGCCAAAACATCCTTCACAGCTTCCTAGGTTGGCGGTTGAGGAAGCTGGATAACCGATGCCGTGCATTTGACAATGCGATCCTAGCCGCTGCAGCACACGGAAACCACTGGACTCTTGTACATCAGCAGAACGTCCAAGCCGTAGCCACGAATGCTTGCATAGTCTATGAGATGTTACGCAGTCACACACAAACGGCGTGCTCAGTCAAAGCCCATGAGCATGCGGCCTCTAATTTCAAATATCGACACGCTGACTAGCGCCTGCTGAGTCTCCTCGCGGCAAGCCCTCCTCATCAACACAGCCCACAACGGTCCTCGATGGCCACCACAGCACACTGGCCTGCAGTCCTGCACCTCTTCCCTTGGGCGCTTGGGACATTAGTTCCGGTCTGCCGTACCAAACAGGATTTTTGCCTCACATGCAGTCGCTAAGCCCTTGTGAGACGAGGTTGCATCCTGACAGACGCCCGCAGATGCGAACATTACCGCTAAGGAATCCATATCAGCAAGCCCTAAGACCCGGCAACAGTGACTGCGGGTAGGCTTTGCTGCAGCCACCTGCGTTCTACTCCAGGGCCTGTTCGGTTCTGCTAAAGCGACGGGCGCTCTAGTCTGTATAAGGCGCTGTAAAAGACCCATGGCGACCAATCCCCGTGCGGGCTTGGAAATTTCCCCTCCGCCACAGATGCCATTCGTGTCATACCCAAAGCCGACGCCAAAGCAACGCTTCGGAGATGCTGCTATCACTTCTCTTCCCGCCTTGCTTTTATCCGGCGTTTCAACGTGTTAAGGTAATCCCCACGTTGAGCTCCAGCCGATGCGCTGCCGCTCTCGACAGCAAGCGATTGCTTAATCGCTTGCGGCCGTTCCTTCAGTAACCGCACCGCTATGCGCGTGACCGCAAAGAAGTCTTTATATACTTGTTGTGAAGACATCCTAAAGCAGTGCTACTACAGTGTAGGGTATTTGGAAGAAATTTTAGTCGCGTGTCTGCGCAAATGGCTAGGTAACAGATAACGGCCCAAAGAAACACCAATCATTGCATAAGGCACCTGAAGGTAGTTGCTAACGTCGCTTTCATGCAAGAGGTGTACGACAGTCAGCCGGTAGTACTCGTAGCTATAGACGTCATAGTCCAAGCTCATTGCGTGTTTGCTTGACAGTGCATATGCACAATATAGGTGATTTGTGTGCTATTTATGGCTTCAAAAAGTAGAACGAAATGCTGACACTCCATACTAAACGCCTGCGTGGCGCCGGGTTCGTTGCTTCTGACGCTGGCGCCTTGCCGGTAGTTACTGCACGAGGCATAAGCAAAACAGCTAGAGGTTTAAAGCTGCGAAAGGAGAAGGCTGTGCACCCGCAACACCGTGCATCAGCAACGTTAGGACCTGGATCCTTCGCACCCCCATCCTCAGCAACAGAAGCATCAGGAGGGTCGACTCGCTCGCCTGAGGTTCGCGCCGCATCTGACTATGGGTTTAGCTTCTCAGCCGGTGGCTTGCTCTTCCCCTATTTTCTCGGCGTCGCACTACAGCTACAGGTTTGTATGTTGTTGCTTGCCCAATCCTGCACAAAACAAAGCCTGCTGCAGGGTGGGGGCTAAGGAACACGTCCGTTTGTTACTTGGCTTGAAATAAGAGCTATTGTACCTCGCATGTTCATGACATGCTTTAATCCTCTTCCTCTCGCCATTCACTTAGTTGCGCGGCACTACCCGCATGGATTTACCGCCACGCCGCCATTTCCTCCAGCACTATTTCGTAAGCCTCCATCACCCACACCAGCACGCCCGACTGCGCTTTGCCCGCACAGACAGCACGCATCTTGACCCATGGGTCATGACCTAGCCCTTGCGCAGCCCCATCCCTCACTCCTCCCAACAAACGCCTGCAGGCGCTGGGCGTGTTGCGCCCCGAAACCCCAGTAGCGGGCGCCAGCGCGGGCAGCATCATCGCGGTGTGCTGCAAGAGCGGCCTGAGTGAGGAGCAGCTGGTGACTGCCCTCCTGGACCTGGCGCAGGTGGGGAGCTGCGGTTGGGGCCTTGTTTATGCCTGGGGGTTTCAAAACGGGACACTAAGGATGAAACACGGGATTCAGGTGTCCCTGTAAAGAGCGACGAAATGGGCGGACGATTTCCTTGTTATAAACGTGCAATGGTGAATGCTCAGGGAACGTGGCTGGGCATGGCTATTGTTCGGTAACTGTCCGCAGCTCCGCACTTTACCATGGCATTCTTGAGTAGCCTTCGTCCAAGCGCACGCGCCAAACACCTACAGCCCAACGCCTCTTCTCACATACGGTTCCCTAGGACTGCCGTACCGGCGGCACCCGCACCCGGCTCAAGTTCGTGCTCCGGCGGGTGCTGGATGCCGCCTTGCCGCCCGACATCCACGAGCGCTGCGAGGGACGCTCTTTCCTGGCGGTCACACGCCTGTGGCCGGAGTTCGCACCGCAAACGGTACGACAACCAGTGGACAAGTTGGACCAGACTGCTTTTGGGATTCGTTTGTTGGTGGGGCTTTGTGTGCATGGCTTCTTGGAGTGCGGTCGCAGCTGGTGATGCACGCAGCAGAGCGTTTCCTGCTACGGTATGATTTCATGCGGGGCAGTCGCTGCTCAGGAAGATCACGGCGGTGGTGCTTTCCTTCTCTTTACTGGGGTTTTCATTCATGGCATAGGTCATGCTCCACACCTGCAGGTGAGCTCCTTCCGCAGCCGGCGGGAGGTGATTGAGACGCTGCTGGTGTCGTGCCACATACCCTACTGGTTTGATGGTAAGTTGGGGGGACTGGGGGCCTTACATGAAGGATCTTGGGGGCGGCTGTGGCTTGTACCGGCCCTACTTGCTCATGACGCCAATGTCATGGTCGCATGGCTCTGGTCAACTCATCCTAGCAACTTGACGCGCATATGAACTGGACACATATGACCGTCCGTTCCCTCTGGCCACTCCTGCAGGGAGCTTGTTCACATTGTACAAGGACGGCATTTACTTTGACGGAGGTGAGAGCGGGTGTGACAGCGGGCAAGCCACCCTAGGGGCACACACCTGATGCAGGGGGTGGATGACACGGGGTGTAGGCATCTGTGCTGCGGGCCCGCATGCAGCCGGACTGCGGGGTGTTGGCTGGATGGGCGGTGCGGACAATGGATACTTGCTGTTGACCTTGTTGCAGTGGGCGCATGCGCATAACCGATATGCATGTACCCGACCTCCAGGGCTGTTCCTCGGGCTTACTTGTGAACATATTTCCCCGCCTCCTCAACCCTTACCCCCATACATTGCATGCATGCAGGCATCACCAACTTCCTCCCCGGCACGCCAACGGACGTCTGCCACCGGGTCTGCTGCTTCCCCTCTCAGCAGCTGCGGGCCCTCCCAAGCATCAGCCTCAGGTATGCGCGCTTGCGAGAGAGGACACTGCAGTGCAGGGCGACCATGCGGTTCGACACTGCAGCCTGCTGTACACCTGAGCGTGCCTGCAGCTCCCAACCCCTCCTAGGCTTGGGAGCTCACTTTAACACGGCCGTGCTACACACGACATCATTGTGACCATGACGCCTCCCATCACTCCTCGTGTCCGCTACACATACAGCATGTGGTGTGCCCAACCACTTGCAGCCACACCCATTTGCCGTACTCCCTGCCGTACCCCGCATGCAGTCCCGACACCTTCGAGCCCTGGCCACACGACATGCGAACCATGCTGGGCTGGGCGTTTGAGCCCGCACCTGCGGACATGCTTGTGGGGCTCGTGGAGAAGGGCAAGCGAGATGCGCGGTCCTGGGTATCGAGGAATGCACCCCAGATCTTGATACCTACAGCTGCCCCTGCGGCTACCGATACGCCTCTTCTTATGCTGTGAAGTTTCTTATAACAAAACTTAACAGCGGAGGTAAAAGGGTACTGGTTTGTAGCATGGGGCTAATGAGCCTCTACTGTAACTGCCGCTTACCGATGATAACGTGTTGTTCCTGGCAGGTTCCTGGGCTGTTTCTTTAGCATTAGCAGGTGCTGGTATAGGGAGCTGGAACAGCTTTAGGGTAGGATTCGTATGGAGAGCGCGAGGGTATACGAGTGAGTTTGTGAGTCAGCGAGAGGAAATGAGCCGAGTACCGAAGAGAGCACGAGGGAATGATGTGAGCCGCAGGAGAGGGAAGAGATGCTAGCGCGAGCAATGTTTGAACCCACCTTTGTCCTGCCGAGCGATCTGAGCCATTGAACCGGCGCTAAACATGGTTCCCCTGTGTGGTCATCTATGAGACCGGTGTGAACTTATGTATTGCAGCTTGCATGCGGAGGGAGCTTCTGTATGCTACAACTGTAGCCAATGTACGGCGTGCACATACTAGGGTACTGGTATGGGCGTTTGGCGAGGATGGGCCATGTGTTTGGAGGTGGAACCGACCTCCACAGTCCAACGGTGGAGGCTGCTTGCACACGTGATGCACTATACGTGCGGGAAACCTTCGTGTATCCTTATGATGGCTGGAGCTCTCCTTGACACAAGGGCTCATGAAGTTGTAAAGTGTTTGCTCAACTTTGCTGGCGTCGATGCTTTCTTAATACCTCTTTTGTCAATGTCACTTATCCTCTTGTCTAATGGTTTCCAGGTTGCCATGATGGCGGTCGTACCGGTAACAAAGAACAGGGCAAGAAGCGGATGTGCAACAGCGATGACCGGTCACGTAGGCGGAGAACCTTTCCACGGCCCCCACTGGGAACTGACTGAGCACATGACTATTACTTTGATTCCCCGAAAGGGAACACAGGTAAATAACCCTCTGTCGCACAATGTGCAACAGGTGCACGCCCCGGTAAAGACCACTGCAAGCCGCCACTCCATACTCATGGCAGCAACTTAAGACGTTGACGTCAGGCCTTGAAAGGCCCGCCACCTAGAAAGCTGTTGGAACGTAACCATAACATGAGTAATAGTTACGGTTCTCCATCGCAAGTCGCACATGAGTATGTTGAAAGGCTTGAACACACACCCCGAGTTCTGGTGGATTGGGGCCCTCATCATCCGTGCCTATTAGGACCTAGACTTAGCTCACTGCACCTGCACAACTGTTCTTCAGGTTAACGCACGAGCCAGGATATCCTCCAACATCGCCACCAATGCAATCAGCATAAGTCATTAAGGGGCTGTGTCTACGCCTCAAGCATACTTCAGCATTGATAACAACCGATTGGGCTTCCAACAAATGAAGGACATTGTGGAAGGAGAGTCATAGGAAACCTAGAATCTTGCCGTGAAGGCCCCAAACGTGGCGCCAAATCCGGCCCTAAAGATCCGTCTAACGATTGGGTTGATGAGTAATGCACAATGCTATCCCAATGCTTGAAAGAAAAAACACATTAGCCTGACCAAAGTCCGGGGGCAGCGGTTGCTTCGGTCAGGATTAACAACAGACGCCACCGCATATAGATCCACATAAACAAGGAAAACGCCTTTCCTTTGGAATCCCTTATTACCATGTTGGCGCCCTTCTCGCCATAGCAACTTAAAAACACCTGTGGACATCAGCTTGCGTCTCCCGCCCGTGTACAAGCCGCAGTGCTGTGAGTGACCCACGGGTCATTTTAAGAATGGGAGCCATCCAAGGACCCTGCGCACCATATCGCCTTCGAGAAAGGGGTATCCTCAGGCTAGCAATACCTGCCGCCCCATGCCCTTTCGAAGACAACGTAGCTGTTTGTTTCTCGGTTACCTAAAGACGGCATGGCTCTTTCCCCGCATTACCGCAAGCAATAATGCAAAATCCACATGTCCCCATGCATCCCTCTACTTGACCGTGAAGTGGCGCCTCTCCCTCCACTAACCATCCTTTCGGCATCCATTCGCGATCACCGCCCAGGCCCCGTACTTAATGCATGCTTGCGCTTTCTCACTGGCTGAGCCGCATCTCACTATACCCTGCAACCCTCGTAACCACCTCCACTCCGACCTGGCCTTCACAAACCTACCAGCAGCGACCACCCTACATCATATAACCCACCTTCCTGTCCTCTGCACCATCAGGACATGGTTCACCGCTCCGTGCTGCCCGTGTTGTACGGCACCATGTTAAACTCGGGGTAAGCGGGGCCGCCGTGTTCCATGTTGTCCAAGCCCGCCAGCTCCGTTACCTGGTCCACCCGTAACCGGCCGGAGCGACGCAAGACCCAGAAGACCGCCAAGGAGAGGCACCCAGTCCATGCAGCGACGGATACCACACCTGTAAGTACGAAGAAAACGGCACCACGCGCAGTGTTGGCTGTCTCAAAGCGGGCGGGAGAGAACAAATTGTCAATGGCGATAGGCCGTGCCACTCTGACCCATGGGTCAGGCTCTCACCTAGTGCTTGCAGGCCCAGCAGGATGCCGCCCTTGCGTCCGTCGCCATAGAAGAGCCCGCCACAGCTGCTGCCTGTCAGCTGGGCCACGTAGGCGGGTCGCGCTAGCAGGCCTAGCAGCAGCGTCCCCATGCTGCCGCAGCCAAAGTGGATGGCGGAAGAGTCGAGCGGGTCGTCAATCTGCCAACGAAGCTGCGAGGAAGAGGCGCGCGAGAAAAGGTAGGGAAGGAAGCGGTACGGTAAGCAGATGGCGGCTCTTAAGTTACGGTGCGGCGGCAAAACCTTCAGGAAGGAGTTACAAGGGCTGCTGTACGCATCCACGAACGATCCCATCCGCACCCCCCACCCCCCTCACAACCCCTTCCGCGTGCAAACCCCGTCCAACCTCACCAGCAGCCTCGCTCCTCCCAGGTAAATCGCCGCCGCCACAAGCCCGTACACCACCGCAGCCCAGGAGGTGATGAAGCCGCAAGCGGGGGTGGCCATCACCAGCCCGGCTAGCAATGCGTTGCAGCAGACGCAGAGGTCCACGGTTCCGGAGCGAAGGGAGCTCAGCAGCAGCGCCGCCAGGCCGGACACGCTGGCGGTGAGAGTCATGTTCAGCGCGACTCGGTCGGATGGAGAGGAGAGGTATGCGGAAGAGGCGGTGCTAGCTGAGTAGGAGGAGGCGGAGGAGTCATAGGAGGGCGGTAAGGAGAGGGTGGCGTCCTCAAGGGAGGGTGGAAGGGAGGAGGTGGCGGCGGAGGAGGCTGCGAGGCTGCCCTGGTAGATGTAGGTGGAACCGCAGTTGAAGCCGAACCAGCCAAACCACAGGAACCTGCAGCAGCCGCAGCCAGAGGGTGGGGTCAGAGGGGTGGATGGGTGCATATGGGAGGCTACACAGGCAGGCGGCGGTCCAAAGGAGACCCCTGCAGCCCCCTCCCCTCTTAAGTCTTAACGCCGTCCACGTCCCACGCCTCCGTGTCCACAGTTCATGCCCTCCAGCGCCGCCTCCCTCACACTCACAGCGTTCCAATGGCGACTGACGACACATCGTGTCCCGGCATGTCCTTGGGCCGGCCCTCCTCGAAACGGCCGATGCGGGGGCCCACCAGCGCAGCTCCCACCAGCCCCACGAGCCCGCCTGCATGGGGGACAAGGCAGGGCCCGCATGAGGCATATGAGGCGAGGCAGGTGGAGACGAGCTGGGCTGGAGGCGTTCCTACGGCGGAACAGCCCAGCTAGGGATTATTCTTGATATCGAAAGAACCAAGGCTAATCATGCCGTGTGGCCATGGGGCATTCGGCTGCAAACCCTTTGCTTCTCCCTCGCCACTACCCACCTGCCCCCAGCTGGTACCTGGCCCCACAATACCCGCGCCCCTGCCACTGCCGCGGGCGAGCGGCAGGCAGAGAAGGGGAAGGCGGATGAGAGGCACCTGGCGCCACAGCTGCAGTGGAAAACAACGCCATTTAACACCAAGTACGAGTGCACAGCCGACGGGGTTGTGCGGAACAAGCGAGCAGAGATTGTCCTGGTTGATGTCCAGAAGAAACATTTGGAGGTTAAGTTGTCTGACAAACGTATGATCTTAAGGACGTGGTGGCACTCACCACGTCTTTTAAATCCATACGTTTGTCCGACAACCTAACCTCCTGATAACTGTTTCTGCGAAACCGCCAGGACAATCTCTGCTCACTTGTTCCTCACAACCCTGTCGGCTGTGCAATCATACTTTGGCGTTGAATGACACTGTTTTCAACTGCACCTGTGGCGCCAGGGGCCTCTCGTCCGCCTGCCCCTTCTCTGCCTGCTGCTCGCCCGCGGCAGTGGCAGGGGCGCGGGTATTGCGGGGCCAGGAACGCGGGTATTGGGGTGGCAGGGGCGAGGATATTGCGGTGGCAGGGGCGAGTGTATTGAGATGGCAGGGGCGAGGGCATTGAGGCGGCAGGGGCGAGGGTATTGAGGTAACGAGCTTACGACGGACGAGGGTGGCCGCAAGGTGGGCTGGGTTACGAACGCTAGTGCTACGTAGATATTAACAACCATTCCCACGTACCTGCTTGCTGAGACCCCCCAGCTTACCGCAGACATGCACCGCCGTGCCGCCGGCAAAGTCCAGGAAGCGGCAACCCTCTCCTGACCCCAACCCAGTCAGCCAAGAGTTCCGATGCCAGGCCCAATGCGCCGCCACGGGGTGCAGCCACGCCGCCATCAGCAGCGTTACGGCAGGGTACGACACGAGTGCCGTACGCTCGGCCAGGCAGCCGCTAACGATGGTGACGGTGGAGAGGCAGAAGGTCCAGCTGTAGAACCAGTTGCGGGTGGAGACGTTGATGCCACCGTCGTGGAAGAAGCCCGAGGTGCTGTTTGCGGGATGGTGTGTGGCGGTGGTGGGCAGCAGCGGGAATTTGACGGGGACAAGCAGCGGAGGTTGGGAATGGGTTAGGAGGTGTTGGGAGGACTGCAACATTCACAAGAGCGGGTAAGGTATGGGGTTGGAGAGGAAGTGTGGACCGTCCCCAACATTCTGGGTCCGCCGTCATTCCATCCCCCCAGCCTGAAAATACAGTAAGGGCCCCATCCCCCTAGCAAACACGCGGTGCTCTTACCCAACGAAGCCGCCAGCAGAGTTGCCGTTGGCAAAGGCATAACCCACGGACCACCAGACGATGGCGCACAAGAGTATATTGATAGTGTTCTTTAGAAGGATGTTCTTAACATTCTTTGAGCGTCCGTAACCGACCTCCAGCGACACAAAGCCAACCTACGCGACGCCATTCCGCCGACGAAGCCATTCAGGATAGCAAAGGTGCGGCCCTTACAAACCAACGTGGGCATCGACGCGAACTGACCTGAAGGAAAAACACAATGGCCCTGCGATGGGTCAAAGGGGACGGACACGTGCATCGCGTGGGGAACTATTATTCCAGGCGTTGCACGTGCATTCGTTGTTGAGCCAAAGTATTTGTCGGGAAACATTATACTAGGATGTTAAGCTGCGCCGTCGCAGCCGAGGTAGGCATGACCGACTGTCAATTGCAACTCAATTGACTTACCCGTGGAGAATCAGCAAGTCGCTATAGGCCGCTACCAGTCCATTTCCATCCGCCATTTGTGTGCTAGACTACCACTGCGTCCTTGCGCCTCAACCACCTTTCAGCCCACTACTATCGGTAGATAACGAAAGCATTTTGAAATAGGTAAGGTTGCTCAATTCTTTATAGCCACTTAGCTATAACCCGGCATAAATCAACGAGCGGTACCGGTAGCGTTGCTTGGGAATGAGCCAGAAATTCAAAGGTGAACCTGCGTAAGTTGGTGCTGTGGGTATGGCACATCGTGCGCGAGCTATGCCTATTAAGTGGAACTTCGGTGCGTCTTCCATTAATATAGCAGGGGATGCTGTTGTGCCGGTACGTTGTTGTCGCAACGGCATCAACATATGCTCCCTTTGCAAGGGCACGTGGATTATAACAATCTACAGTACCTAGCAAGTAGCACACCACTAGTCCTTAACAAGTACAATCGCCCGTGCAACAGTCCATAGCATGCAAACACGGCACTTGGACTTGGACGTCCTCACCTCGCTATGAGGACAGACGCACACGTTTTCTCCTGGTTATCTTTCTAATGTGTGTGCAAGCGACAGAAGGGGTGGGAAGGGTGGCTGATGTGCCTAATCGTTGTGAGTTGATGTCACTTACCCGGCTTGCATAGCGGGCAGTACAAGGCTAACATGAACTTTGGTGCTGCTGCAACACGGCATTCCTATCTTCTCACGACGCATAGTGAGTTTGTAATCCTAAGAATTACAATACGCGTACATGGGAACGACCCGGTCACTGCTGCTACTTGTGTATGTCATAATAAGCACTGCTGCGCTATGCTGGCTAACCCACAAAACTCCTTCATGCCACACATGCCGTGCAAAAGAAAGTGCTCGGCACATTCCCTCCCCATCACGGCTAGCGCCGGGAGAGGAGGGAGAGAACGCAGATTACATGATACGATGATGGAGCCATCGACAGAGACCGGTCATGTTCTTGCAACCCAGCGCGAGATGCTCAAGATTCCCAAAAGCATTTACGTAAGTTCACTTCACCATAGCACGGCAGCGACTCAAACACGCGTAACGCCAATCAACCGAACCCCCCGCGCACACACGAGCAACCCCTACGACCCCGCAAACCCATGCATGACCCGGGGGTCGCACACGTGTCCTACACGCAACTTGGCAAACCGGAAAACAGAGCAACACACAAAAATAATCACAGAGAACTACCCGGTTAACAACGTTGCTCAGCCTATCCCGCCCTGGAGCTGCATTGTCCCCGAGGGAGTTGAACCCTCCAGCTGCCCCGGCCCTAGTAGGCAACCGAAAAGGACAATTGGTCACAGAAGGGGATGCCGCTTCCGGCCCCCAACGGCTGTTTCCCCCGCTTGCATGGGCACAGGGGCTCCCGCTCGGCTCCAGCCATCCAAGGCCGTGCAGCGTGTGATGACCATGCAAGGGGGGCAAAGGGGGGAGACACGTCAGCAACACAGCCATGCGAGGAAGATCATACCGCCCAAGCAAGACTTAAGACATGCCCGCATCCCCCAAGCCTGCTGCGCTGCTGCTGCGCTGCTGCTGCGCTGCTGCTTGTCCTGCTGCTGCTAGATGCTGTGGACAGGGCTGGCTGGATAGCTGACGGAAAAGCTGGGGCCTGAAGCCGTGAAGCCGTGCTGCTGAAGCCGTGCTGCTGATGACTTGCTGCTGATGACTTGCTGCTGCTGACTTGCTGCTGCTGACTTGCTGCTGCTGACTTGCTGCTGCTGACTTGCTGCTGCTGACTTGCTGCTGCTGTCTGGGCTGCCGCTGAATGGCTGGCTGAAAAGCTGCTGGGGCTCTGAAGCCGTGATACTGAAAGGCTGTTGCGGCGGCTGGGGATGGAGGGGCATGTCTGGACGAGCAACAATCCCTGAACGTCCCGTGCTCGTTACGTTCCCTTCCGCAACCCCACCAAGCGGCCCCTACTTACGTTTACGACGCGTCCATCTGGCCGTGGCGCCCCGTTCCCCAAACGCGCTTGTCGCTCGTCGGGCTCCTCCAGCAACTCGGGAACCGCAGTCCAGCAAGCAGCAGACCACATGCAGAGGGCGGGTAGGGCACGAGGGTTGGTCAGAGGGAAGGGTACGTGGACAAGAGGTTAAGACAAGTTAACACGTTAACACAAGACGCACGCCGCCCCAAACCCCATAAAAGCTGTTGCTGTTGTGGCTGCTGCTGGCTGTGCTGGCTGCTGCTGGCTGTTGCTGCTGGCTGATGAGGCTGCTTTGGCTCTGGAGCCGGGTCTGAGGGGCTGATGCTGCGGCTGCGGTTGGAGCGGCGGCTATACACTTCCACGCATTCCCCTCTGCCCGGATGCACCCATTCGACCCACCTGCCTCTCCATTGCTGTGCACTGTCTGGCCGCACCAAGCTCCCGGGGCCCTCACAACTGGGCGCCCTCCGAAGCTTGCAGGAAGGAAGGGGGGCAAGGGAGGGAGCAAGGCCCAGTTGTGAGGCAAAGCCAGGTGCAACATGCCCCACCACGTCATGCCCATGCTTGATGCCCATGTGCATGCCTAATGTGACGTGATGCCCATGCACGTATAATGCATATACCGAAATTCCTACATGCATGCCTGATCGCGCCTTACCTTTTATGCACTGTATGGTACGCCGCACTTACCTGCAGACTCCCAATCTTAAAAGTCCGTCGCCTCTCTCAGGAATACCACGAAGCACTCCGGAAGCCGTTGACCTGACGCGCGCCAGTACACAACTGCGGGAGAGGGAGCAGGAGGGAGGTGCAGCACGGGGTTAGGAGAAGGTGGGAACCCGCGCAAGGTATGTCCCTAAATGCATGCTCATGCATGACGCCTAGTATGATGCAGCTAAAGTGGCCCCACATGCATGCACAGGATGCATGAACCTACCTTCCAAGCCCGGGGTCGTGCTTCGCACTTACCTGCCCCCGCCCATGCCTTGAGACTTGAAAAACGTTGCCGCGCCAGGTCTTGACGGCTCTAAGGCTCCGGCACCTTCTTGAGCATCCAGCAGCCGTCCCATTCCGAGGTCCGAGAGCGCGTCAAAGGGGAAAAGGGACCGCGGCGGGGTTAGAAACATGCGTCATAAGGGAAACCGGCAGGACAAGGTAACACAAAATGAGCACGCACATGTCCGCATGCCCAACCATTGCTACACTGTCGCTGAGTAATCCCCTCGGGGGGCCCTTCGGCTGGTTAGGCCATGCGGGCTGACCCCTTCGTAAAACCCCCTCGGGGGGCCCTTCGGCTGGTTAGGCCATGCGGGCCGACCCCTCCTTATAAACCCCTCGGGGGGCCCTTCGGCTGGTTAGGCCATGCGGGCCGACCCCTCCTTATAAACCCCTCGGGGGGCCCTTCGGCTGGTTAGGCCATGCGGGCCGACCCCTTCGTATAATCCCCTCGGGGGGCCCTTCGGCTGGTTAGGCCATGCGGGCCGAACCCTTCGTATAAAACCCCTCGGGGGGCCCTTCGGCTGGTTAGGCCATGCGGGCCGACCCCTTCGTATAATCCCCTGCCCTTGGTTACATACGGTTCCACACGCACTCCGAAACACAGCCCCCAAACCCAGGTATACATGGAAGCACACTTATCTGTGGTTGTGCTTGGACGGCGAAGATGGAATGCCCCTGACCTTGTCGCCAGCTATCTCGTATCCAGCTATCATCCTTGGCTTGGACGGATATGATGGAGCGGGAAGTCGACGACGTCTCGTTGTGTCAATGTGCATGACCTCGGCCGGGTCTTGCTGGATGATGGCAGGCGCTCCGGGGCCTCCTAGGCCTTGTGCCCGGGCCACGTGATTCCGGCCGCTTGAAGGAAGGGGGTTTAGAAGCAGGGCAAGCGTGCATGACAGCATGAGCAACTAATCACGACACCCCCGCTGCCCCAGACCCCGCTGCTGCTGCTGCTGCTGCTGCTGAGTCGATAACTGGCTGGCTGGCTGGCAGGCTGGCTGGCTGGATTGCTGACGGCTGTTGCTGGAGGGTCTGAGACTGCTGAGCTGGGGCTGAGCTGGGGCTGAGCTGAGGCTGATCGGCTGTTGCTGGTCTGATGCTGGGGCTGGGGCAGCGACATATTCCCTCCTGTAGCAAAATAAACCCAAAAATTATGCTATTCCCAGCTAATCCCCACTTACCGGTACGCGGAATATAATGCCCTTGGAACCAGATCCGGTGCAGCTGACGCTCGCCGCAAGAGCCGTACACGAGCAGAGGCCGACGAAGCGCCGGTGGACCAGATCGGAAGCCATTCGGAGATCCAAACATGCGGACCGGAGGGGCAAAAGGGAAGGGGTTGGTGGGAATGGGAGAACGGTCTAGAGCAGCGCACGGTTGGAAAGCAGGCAGAGAGCAATCCGAAGACAATCTGAAGCGCTCCAGTCCAAAAGGACCGTCATCAAAACAACAAGCCTTGCCCACGCACCCGGCCCAACAGACATGCCACATGCAGCGGTAGCCAGCCGCTGCTTGCGGCATGCCCGTTAAGCCGGCTGCGTAGGCAAAACCTAAGCGACGTCTACCGGGGTTCCAACTTGCCTGGCAGTTGCATGTGCTCGTGTCGGACGCCTTGGACGTGTAAGAGTCTTATGATCTTGGTCGCGTAGTCTCAAGCCTTGGAAAGCGTTCGCCGCGCCGTGCACAAGCCCGCAACTGCGGGAGAGGGAGCAGAAAACGAGGGACGGGGAGTACGAATCAGCCGGTGGGAACCCGCCTCAGGTAGGCTGCTCAATGATTGCTCAATGCCCGTGCATGATGCCTCGCACGATGCCTAGTACGATGCCTTGTGTGATGCAGCTAAGTATCCCTACATGCATGCACAGGATGTTTAACCTTACCTTCGAAGCCTAGGGTTGTGCTTCGCACTTACCTGGCCCCGCCCATGCCTTGAGACTTGGAAAACGTTGCCGCGCCAGGTCTTGACGGCTCGAAGGCTCCGGCACCTCCTTGAGCATCCAGCAGCCGCCTCATTTCGAGATCCGAGTGTGAGACCATGTCAAAGGGGGAAAGGGACAGCGGCGGGATTAGAAACATACACCAGGAGGCAAGGATGGAAACCGGCCGGTGGTAGAGCATGTCGTGAAAAGACAGGACATGCCCGCATGCCCAAACCCTGCTGATTGCTGATCGGCTGCTGCTGCTGCGTACTGCTGAAAAGGCTGGCTGACTGAGTGGCAGCAGCAGCTGGGTTTTCGGCAGGCGGGCTCCCCAAGGCATGCAGAACGAAATCCCCAAGTCCCCTCACCGGTACCGCAACCCCCCAGACAGCCCCCCAGACTTACGTGAGCAATGTGTCTCAACACCGTGGCGGCCGGGGTGACACCATGGGGTGACAAAACACCTTCATTTGCCAGCTGTCTTGGCTTGGGGGGTCTCAGGGTCGTCCTTGTAGCAAGTACTCGTGGGCGGTGACGGCCTCGTTAGATGCCTCCTGACGTCGCATCCAGAGGACTCGCGTGGCACATGCGAGAAGGCAGGGCGTACAAGGAGGGGGTAAAGAGATGTGCTATTAAGGAGGGGTCAACAGCGATAAGCACGCACGGCACAATGACAGGTGTCACACAAAGCAACTGAACCCCCCACCCACTGCGTTGCTGCTGCTGCTGAGACCATTGCTGCGGCTGCACTGATCTGACTGGCAACTGATCGGACTGGCAACTGATCTGACTGGCAACTGATCTGACTGGCAACTGATCTGACTGGCAACTGATCTGACTGGCAACTGATCGGACTGGCAACTGATCTGACTGGCAACTGATCGGACTGGCAACTGATCTGACTGGCAACTGATCTGACTGGCAACTGATCTGACTGGCAACTGATCTGACTGGCAACTGATCTGACTGGCAACTGATCTGACTGGCAACTGATCTGACTGGCAACTGATCTGACTGGCAACTGATCTGACTGGCAACTGATCTGGCTGCTGACGATGTTGTTGCTGTTGCTGCTGCCGTTGCTGTAATGGTGCCGCTGACAAATTGCAAATCCTCACCCGCACACAAGAGTCGTCACTACACGCAAGCATGCAGTGATCCACACGTCTGGACGCACCGTATGAAGTGCTACTGCCGAAGGGCCACACGCGACATCAATACTTGGTCTCCCGCAGGCAACCGCAGTCCATCATGGCGCCATAGTTCTGTGGCACAGGAGGGCGGGCGACACAGGCACGGTCAGGATTGAGGCTAATTGAATCCATACTTAAGCACGAGAACCGCAGGGCTCTTATAGAAAATGCACCGGTGCCATTTGCCAATGCGAAGGATGTCCATCGGCGGATGCCTGACGCGTTGCCAAAACCCTAGTCACCTAGCAAAGTTCTTACCTTATATTGGAATCATAATGTAGACGGAAAGCGCCCCGGCTGAGCCTAAACCTGTCGACGCTAGTACCGGTAGATAAATGCCGCCCGACCCGACAAAATGGTTTCTTTTAATGGCTCGACAGGCCCATAGGAATTATTGACTGCACTTCGACCTGCGGACAGTGAACAAAGCCGGTCAGTTGAGAAGAATGACACATAGCGGCCAATGCTCAGCATTGGTCAGCAGCGTCATCAGCAATCGCAACCTTTGCTGTATAAAAAGATAACGCAAAGAACGCAACCCTTAACCTCACAAGCGCACCTGTAATCATTTCAACGCCATTGGTCGAATAAGAAGCTCTTGGTATGCATTCAATAACATTCCGCCATGAACCTGCTGCTGACGGAAGCCAAGGGACGGACATGACCATCAGCCGAGTCCAGTAGATGGCTTGAAGGCAAACCTTGATACGAATATAGGAAACTCACCTTGGAAGCAGTCCCCGCGGCTCCACCTCGCAGTGTCGGGAACTATCAAGTAACTACTGAAAGTTTGAGTTAGCCTAATACCTAAGCCCCATAGCCATTTGAAGACGGACAGAATTGCTGTAGTAGTAGGAAAATGTCGAGGGAATGGCCTTGCAAGTATTTATCTCCAAACCATGTCGTATCCACAGTAGCGATTTGTACGGCAAAACCGGGAAGCCTAATGGAAGGTTATGCGAATGGGTTGATTACTGAAGAAGACTTTCTGTACAAGACATTTGCGAGAATGGCTGTGTTAAGTGGAGACTTTGGCGTCGTAGCTAGCTAGGTAAGCCGATGGCATCAACTTTTAAATACGAGGATGCGTTGCCGTTGTACTAGCTGTCCAGGAGCAAGGAAGTGTCTTGCGTGAGCGGAGAGGATAAATTCAGTCAGCACCATCTTTTGAGAATGCAACTTCGAGCATTCAGCAAATTGTCACAAACAGATTGTTAACGACAGTCGTGGCAGCCTTAACGGGCAGCTCTAAGGCATGTCCGCATTCGCATATAAAAGCATATGCAGTCCAGCACCGTTTCGGCGCTCCCAGCCGCTTTCTTCACCTCCAGCCACCAGCATCGGAAAATAGGTAACATCAGCAGCATTGCTAACATCACCCTCCCAGGCATACGCCTTGAACAGGAGTAAACCCGCATGCCGCATGCAAGGACTCCAAACAACGTTAGCTTGGCACCCCCCAGGCCGCTCACAGCATGGCACACCACCGCCGCCCTCCTTAACTTAGCCAGCGCACACCAGATGTCAGCTGCAGCAACACGCCACTTCCATCATTCCATTACGCCTCCACCCAAACATGCGTCTTGCCCCGGCCCCGGCATCATAAGTAACGCAAAGCCTTGCCCATGCGGCCGCATGCCCCAGTCAACTTGCAGCACACGACCTCCCCCACCATGCACCCACCAGCAGCTCCGCAACATGCACCCTGCCTCGTACACCCACGCTGCCACCCGTCACGCCGCTTCATGTTGCTCCGCAACCTTCCTTACCTGCAGCTTGCTATGTACCGGGGCCCACGGCCACAGCCCTGGCTGCCGGCTTTTCCGGTCGGCATAAGTGAGACTTCACGTGCCCAACACCAGCCTTGACACCCCAGCCCCTCCCATGCCCGGACCCAGCTCCTCCTCCCGCCTACCGGCTGCCTCCGGAACGCCAAGCCCTCCTCGCCTCTTTGCGTGCAGCAGCTCCGTCACCACGTCCCAACACCACGAAACCACCCCCGGCATGCACGTATCCTCCGCTCCGCCAAGGCCTGCTGCCGCTCCTCACCAGCGCCTGCCGCGCCTACGAAGGCGTCGTCGTCACCATCATCGCTGCTGCTGCTTGCACCGCTTTGCTCCGCAGCCGTACTCTGCCACTGCTGCTACCGCTGCTGTGCTAATGCTTTCATAAGCATTAGCCACAGCACGCTAATGCTCATGGAAGGGTGCAGCAAACCCACCACAAGGCCCCTCCTTCGCTGCTCCCTAGGTCCCCCGCAGCATCGCACGTCGCACCGCCTCCACCGCCTGAGAGCTCGGAGAGCTCCCCCAATGTGTGTGTGTTAAAATAACTGGCCGCGAGGCGAAACGTGTGTGTGTGTGTGTGTGCGCTCGCCCTCACGCGGGGCACGAGGGGAAGTGCACGTTGCTGCGGATGGGAGAAGGGGGACAGGCGTTAGGGTCACGCGTGGAGCTTTCCTTAGCACGCCCTCCCCATCATTCAGCGCGCTTTCACCCGTTACACCTAAAGGGAGACGTGCAACCCGCATTACCTCATACTCATATTGAGGCCTCCAGCCTCCTGAAAGCAGGGCCCCTACCCCGGCTCCCACCGCTGCTACAAGCACGCACCCCCTAGCACTGCATGTCCCCAGAGGCACCCACCCACCCTGCATCCTGGCCCCCCCTCCCTGACGCGCCCCACCACCCAAACCACCCGCTCACTTGATGTACGTGCCGTGGTGGATGGCGCGCTGCACGTACTGCTCGAACTGGCGCGGGTTGTCCACGAACATCTGCGCCGCCTCCTTGTTGAGCGGGTCGTCGGGGTTGGGGTCCAGGAACAGGAACTGCAGGCCGTACACCACGGAGCTGATGGACAGCACGGGCTTCCAGTCCTCGCGCAGGATGTTGAGGCAGATCTTGCCCTCCAAGTCGATGTTGGGGTGGTACACCTTGGGGGGGGGGGCGGGGGGGCGGGGAGGAGAGGAGGGCGAGCTGGGCAGCGAGCAGAGGCCTAAGAAAGGGAGGGTAAAGCCTAAGAAAGGGAGGGTAAAGAGGAAACAACTAACTGACTGTTCGATAAGACTGGGTTCGATAAGACAGGGGCATTCTGTGCGTGCATAGAGTGAGGGGCTGATAAACACCAAGTGCCTATATGGGCTCACCGCGGGTACAGTCTTAAGCCCAACATGCTTCACTGACAAACGGGGGGTGCAAAGGGGCCTGCTTGGCATGGAAAAGCTAGATAACGTGTGACACATACGACATACCGCATGGGGGTGGGCCCCACGTGTGCTGTGTAGGCCCGGGCATCGACCGTGACGCCCCTCACCGCTTCAGGTTCCTCACACGCATCCTGTGCTATCCTTACCTTTGTCGTGCACAGCACCTTCGGCGCGTCGTGTGGATACCCAGTTGGGATGTTGAACTCAAAGTTGAATTTGCCGCCCCTGCAAGGATGACCGACCGGTGTCACAACCGCGAACACGGGGCTGCGTGCGAGTTGACGCGCTCGTGGCCTGTGCCAGATCCCATCCCCAGGCCAGGACGTACCTGTATATCCCCTCGTCTGGCCGGATAGTAATGAAGAAGTGCATCATCTTATCCTTTCCATCAGGGAATTGGATCGTGATGTTTGGTGGAAGGTTCAACTCGGCCATGTCTGCGTGCGGCAGCTCGCGCCCGGTCACATTGCAGGCCTAGTCGTGCCGGGACTGACACTAATGTACCTTTTTGGATGCGAAGTTCGCCAGCTGATAGTTTCCCGGGCTTAGGGCCTCCGGCATTCGCCGCGTCTTGCTGCTGCTTCTGCTTATCCTGCGAAGATGGCCACCGAACCGCAGCCCTTGTGAGTCAATGCCTATCATGTTAGTTTGTAAGTAACCAAACGTTCCCTAACCTTGACGGAAAATAGCTTCAACATTTCGCGCCTCCCTAATGTCAGCACCTAAAGTTTTTTCGCTTTGTCAATGAAATGCAGTGCGCTACACAATAGGAATGGGTACAGGTTTACAAGATCTTAATGCTTTCTGTTTTCATTGAACAACGTTGCGTCGTTGTGACTAAGATGACATGAACCCTAACGTTGCATGGAGTTCAGTACGTCAGCGCACTAGGACAACCTACCAACCTTTCTGCTGCCTTCAATGCTATCTTATTACAATCCCTTATACACTACGCGTCCTGTACACTTGGATTCCAACATAGACCAGACCCCGACCCAGCGGGACGGTATGGGTTGGTAGATGGCAGCCATGAATCGGCAAGTCTGCGGCGCTCTACAGTCGACTGCTTGACACGTCCATGGTTTAGCGCGTACACGTGTCAGACCACGCCCAACCTTATGTATCATCACACATAATGTTACACATTTGGGCCACTATCACGTGGAATAATGGACGCCGAGGTAGCAACATCCTTCTAGCACCACCCATCCCCCAGGTGCATGTGAGACCTACATACCGGTACCACACCTGTGCCACATGGAAGCTCGTCCAGCCCAGCCTTTGCAAAACTACTAAGCCACGAGCATGTGCGACCCTTCTTTTCCACAGCGCATACCTGCCCAGGACCCCCCAGCAGCTGCACATCACAGCGCATGTCCCACTCCATGCACATCCCTCATGCTGCTCTCCACGCTGTTGCGTACCTATGTTACACAACTCATGCCGGCCCAAATCACTTCGCTGCGGACCTGCACGTGATGCCACCCGGTCGCAAATGCCCTTCCGACACAACCCAAGCCGACCTTGTTTAAGGGAAGTCGACGCCAGCGCCCCAGCATCAGCCTTATGTACCCACCGCCTGCACAGCGCCACGCCTCGGCGCCGAGTCCCCGGGGGCCACCAGGGGCTGTGGGACAACAGCAGACAACGGATCCGTGCAGCACGCCGCCGCCATGCGCGCATTATCATATATACACACCACCACTATCACCATGATGCTCCTCGCGTGCCCTCTCTTACGCTATACCCTCGTCATTCTCTTTAGTATACCCTCATGCTCGTGAAAATACCGGTACACCCCTCGCAACGCTACCCCTCACACCATGCAAGTCGCTGCCAGCAATGTCCTCCCAGTTCACAGTGCAACTGCCTCCTTAGACCGAACCGTCCCGGCGAACTCATAAGCGCCGACATGCCCACTGCAGATACCCGCACAATCACCAAGTACTGTCGTACACTGCCGTACACCGCCGTACACCTCAGTTTCCTGCATCCTCGCTGCTGCCACCTGCGCTGCCGCTGCCCAGTACAGGTGCCGCCACGTAATCATGTACGACCCATATCACCCACTGCACCCCCAGGATGTAGTAGCTCACCGCGCTGCCGAATGGTAACGTCAGCGGCGGGCGCAGCAGCTCGGGTGGTAGTGGCCCCTCAGACGGCGCCGCTGCCGCGCGCGCGATGCTTGCACTGAGCTCTTCCGCCGCCGGCGGCGCCGCCGACGCCACTGCAGCCGCCGTTTTGGACGGCAAATCCGAGGCGTACTGGGTCGCCGACGCCGCCGCGGCCACGACTGAGATTGCGCCCCCGTCGCCGCTGCCAGCACTGCTGCTCCCGCCGCTGCTGGTGCTGCTGTCATTATCACCCTTCTCCTCTCCGCTCCTTGCTCCTGCCGTCAACCTTGCCGTTCGTGCCCCAGCTCCACCACCCGCACCACCGCCCGCCCTAGCACCCGCAGCAGCAGCCCCGCCGGCCTTCCTCGCACTGGCTGCCCGCAGGTACAGGACGGGCGGCAGCAGCGGCAGCAGCAGCGGCAGCGCCAGGGCCAGTGCGGCGCCGCGCCCCACCACCGGCGCCCATCCGGCCCGCTGGTAGGGCTGCAGGGAGTCCAGGTGGGCGAGGTAGGCGGGGTGCAGCCCGTGGTGGCGGGCGCCTGGGGGGGGATTGATAGGGATGCCGGTACATGTTTCGTTTGGGTAAAGCAGTGGGGATAGGAAAGGGGGGAGGGGCAGGCTTGGTGGCAGGGCGGGTGGTGCTGGGTAGGTGGCATCGGACCCAACCACCTAGCCACCTAGCATGAGACCTTGAGCGCGCCTTCACCGTCTCCTAACCAGCAGCGCGTCGTAGACCTGCTCAGATGGGTTCTGTAGTCCGAACCTATGTTCTATAGTCCTCCCTAGCCCTCTGCCAGCCCCCCGCTACAGCCAGCCATCACCCATCAGCCAACAAGCGCCCCGGCCTCTCATCAGCTCCGCTCACCCTCTCGCAGCAGGTCGAGGTAGCGGCGCGAGGGCGCCACGGGCCGGGCGGGCGAGTGCAGCGAGGGCGGCTGCCCCTGCAGCGTCAGCGCGCGAGTACGGCGCCCGTCGTACAGCACCACCTCCACCTCCACCACCCGGTAGCTGCGGGGGGGGGGGGGCGGGGGGGGGGCAAAGACGTGCCACGGGGAATGGGGGGACGGTGCCATGGGGAACCAGAGGTAATAAGGGCAAAGCAATGGAAGGGGGGAGACGGAGGAGCTCGGGTGGCGAGGAAATGTAAGTGAACAGTGAGGCAGCTGGAGTTATAGTCCCATATCGCGAAACTCGTGCAGTGAGAGGGGAGTGGCCGCATCAGAACGATACAAGGAACACTTGAAGCGATATGCGGTTGGACGAGGGGTCTCCTGCTAAAGACATGGGACACACGTCCGGCACAGACACTTCCACCCCCTCCGTGTCTGTGCCCTCCTTCTTCGCCTCTCCTCCCCTACCCCCCCATCCCTCCTTCCTCGCCACACGCACCTAGCATCCTCCCTCGGGACGGGAATCCGCAACCCCTACCCTTTCCCTGAACCCTCAGCCTCCCCCCCTCCACCCCATCCCTCACCTCGTCTTGCCGCCTGACACCCCCTCCGTGGCCATCACCTGCACCCAGTCCGCCACCCGAACCCGGTGCAGCACCCCGTGCACCTCGCGGAGCCACCGGCTGGTGCTGCTGCTGGCGCCGTCGCTGTCGCTGTCACCGCTGCTGTGCTGCTGATGTTGCTGCCCAGGGCTGTGGGGGCTACCACTGCTGCTGCTGGTGCTGCTGTTGGTACCGTCGCTGCTGGTGTTGGTGCTGGTGCGGGTGGGTTTGCTGGCAGCGCTGGGGCTGGGGCTGCTGCTGGCGCCGGAGCAGTCGTTGCTGGCACGCTCGATGGTGGCGAACCCGGGTTCCGTGTACGGCAGGCCGAGCATCCTATGGATTCAGGACAGTGAAGGGACGTGCATGCAAGCATATGATGCGTTGAGCTGGTGCGGAGGTGGCCATGGGCTTGTGTGCATGCTGTTCATAGCTGGGCATGCAGCCGACGTCGTTGGAAGGGCAATTGTGACTGATGTGGAGCCCCACTTTCAGGCTTCCCACCTGAAGCTCAAGGTCCAGCCGTGAAGAACGGCAGGCCAGGACTCGAGAGGTACCACCTGCAGGAGGCAGCAGGCAAAGGGGGCGCGTCACACCAACAGCGCCACGTTGTGAGCATTGTCATGATTTTACATCCCAAACCACGACGAAAAGGTATCTACCTTACGACGACCAGTCAACGTATTTGGATTCATGTTGCTTCCATATGCGAAGTACCATACTCCGTCTGGTCCATGGCTGCTGCCAAGCGGTGATGGCAGTTGCACCGGAGGGATGGAGGACCTGCAACGCAAAAGCGTTTGACTAGCTTATGCCAAAAACCTAAGCGGGCACACCATTGCTAACTTACTGGGAAAGCGTAGGCGAAGACGTCGACGGAGCTGCACCCATTACAAGGAGGCGATGACCGCACGTACGCTTGGCAATAGCAAAATGCCTGTTTTTGGTTTTGGTTCTTGGCGAGAAAAGGTACTTTGCAATGTGTAATTCTTTCAGTGATGGGTCGTCTGAGAAAGCCTTCCTTGTGGGATTGTTGTCCGCCAGCAGCAGCAGTTGGCATTGACGTGACACCGTGTGGCATTGACGCAGCCTTGAAAACCAGAAGTTGTTACCAGTACACGACAAGCCAACGCCATGGGTGAGTAATCGTAATGTTGAGTGGCTTACGACGTTCCAACTCCTGTGCCGTACCCTTGGCCGTACCCCCCTCGACGCCGATGTAAGGGAACGGGCATGTACCTAGGCACATTTGCATACGCATGAAGTCATGTACAACCATTTACGCTCATTTACGCACCATTATTGCCCGTTCTACCTTCACCAGGGAACGGCCAGACCCATTCCAGCATGTGCATTCCCCAGCAATCCAACCTTCCGCGTGCCTCCCCCCCCTGCCCGGCACATATCGCAAGTACACGCATGGAGGCATCAAACATGGCTGTACGATCTTACCGCTGCGCCGAACCGAACCCTAGCATGCTACACACGCGTTAATTAACAGGCATAAGGGCCGCATAACAGCCCAATAACAATACTGCCGCCAGTCACATAGATTTCATTTCTCGGATCGCCATACATCACCCAACAACAGGAGCAGCACACATGTAACATACCGTAACATCCATTATTCTCCTGGTGCCACCAAGCATCCCAGCAGTCCTTGTTCTCCTAGCTGCACAAGGTGCAACAGACATCAACCGGCGCCTGCAAAGCGCGCCCTCCAGCGCCATCCTGCACACGCAAGCCCCTGCATGCCATCACGATCCCTGCATGGGTCCCTCACAGCCCCACACTTCTACTACTCCTATAACAAACAACATCTACGACCCACCTTGAGTACTATTCCCCGCCCCTAACGCCAACACACCTCCTAACCCTCCCCCTTACCCCTTGGAATGCCAACCCTCGAAGGGCCTTAGCATCCCTCTTTGCCCTTCCCCTGATTTCTTGACTCCTATGGTTTGGTCTTTCCTGACCATCCGCTGCCCCCTCACCTCTACCGCCTGTTCACTGCTAGCATCTCCCTCACTGCACGAACTCCTTCACCTGCCGCCCTTCATTATCACACCACACTTTGGAATTTCTTTTTTCCCGCCCTTCCTCCCGCCCTCACACCACCTCGCCTAATGCCTCTCCCACCTCAGCTACCACTCCACTCCCTACTGCAGCACCTGCTCTCCCCCTCCCGCTCCCCGCCCCCTCCTCCCCTCACACCACCGCCAGCATCTCCCGCACAAAGCCCTCCACCTGCCGAGTCAGCGCCAGCGTCGCCGCCAGCTGCTGCCCCACCTGCGCCCGCCCCTCCGCGCCCTCCGCCCCAGCCCCCCAGCCCGCCTCCAGCGCCGCCGCCTCCGCCTCCGAGTCCAGCTTCTGGTATGCCAGGATGAGCGAGGAGAGCAGGGCAGCTCCGCGCTCCTTGGCCTCGGGGGGAGCAAAATCTGGGGTAGGGTGGGGGGCCGTTGGGGTTGGGTTTAGGGTGAGGTTGGATTGGGGCGTGTTGGGTTGGGCCGGGCAGTTTTGATCGTACGGAGATCCGGGTTGAGGATGTGTGACGGGGTGGAGGGGCGTGTGAGGCAGCGGCAACACGGTGGAAACGCAACACGCCAAAGGAAGGAAAGGGGGTCCCGCGGTCAGGCTGCAGTGTCGAAGAGGCTGGGGTAGCGAGTGAGGCTGGGAGCGGTGCTACCGCAACAGCAGCTGCGCGCGAGGGTAGGTGGCTTGACAGCCCCACCCCTTGCTGCACCTGCCTCCGACCACCCACCCCGTCCATCCCCGCCACCCACACGCTTACGGATGTACCCCCGGTATGCCCTCACCCCCGCCCCCGCCACTGCCGCCGCCGCCCCCGTCCCCCGCCACTGCCGCCACTGCCCGCCCGCCCCAGCCACTGCCGCCGCCGCCGCCCCCACCCCTCACGCACTCACCCACAACGTTCTTCACGATGATGCGGAAGGTGCAGGGGTCGGACAGGTTGGCCGCCTGGGTGAGCAGGCTGGCGCGCGTCTCCAGCGAGTCGCCCGGCAGCGCCTCGAAGGTGTAGCAGTTGAGCGAGGAGGCGCGCACCAGCTGCAACACGTCAAGCATGCTGCAGGGGGGGGCGGAGGGGTTGAGGGGTGGAGGGCAGGAAGGGGCGGTGGTGGTGGTGGTGGATGGGTGCGGCGCGGAGCTCCAAGGGCTCGTGCGAGGGAGGCGCGGGGGGGGGGCAGTGCACTGTGGCGGGTTGGGGACGTGCATGCGTGATAGGGGCAGGGGCGGAGTGGTTAGTGGTGTTCAGCTCCCTCCACCCTGCACCCTCCACCCCGGTGGCTCCCCTGCCCTCACCTGCCGCTGCCGTCTGCCAGCATGGCTGCGGCCGCCTCCAGCCGCTGCTGGGCCACCTGGGGCAGCAGGGGTGGGGGGCAGCGAGGGTGGGGCAGCAGCGCGGGGTGGGGGGCAGCGCGGGGTGGGGGGCAGTTGGGTAATGATAGGGGTAAGGAGGAGGGAGCCGACTAGCCGGGTGACCAGGCACCACCACCGGGTGCATCATGGTGCAGCAGGGGAGGTCAGTGGGGGCGGAGGCGGAGGTGGACTGGGGCGGAAGGGGCTAGCTGAACGGGTGCACGGGACTCTTGGCAGTCATTGCACAGCGAGTTATGAGACGACACGGGGCCGCGTCACCAGGGAGTGCCCAGTTGGCTGCAGCTGACCAGGAGGGCAAACATGTGGGAAAGGCCAGAAGCGGTTGTGATGACTTATGCGTAGCCTCGTACGGCATTCCGGGTGCCAAATATTTGATTTGGAAGGCAACGCCGTACCTTGATGGGTGCGATGAGCTTGGCGCTGTTTGCCCGCTTGCGACCCTTCCACCACTCCACGGTGCCTGCGATGGTGGTAGCGGCGGTATGATAGGTATGCCGCAGGCAGGGAAACCGCAAACAGGGAGAAAGCGGGCGCTTGTGGAAGGTGGCAAGAGATGGGATTGAGACGCCACTTGGATGCTGGGAGCGTGGCAATGGCTTTCCGGTAACGTACTGGCGAATGACAGGGTTTAATGAAAGAACGGGTAGGTGTGGATAGATAGATTGGAATTTAGATAGAACTCGTACCGTCAAGCATTCCAGCTTTACTGGAAGGGGCCAGGGAGCCTTGGATAGCGGCTAGCGCGCCAAACAGTACGGTGCGGCGGTCAAGCGACATGCATGTGCGCGCGCTGTCGACCGGCGCGCCTGAGGTGCATTGCGCGCGGCAGATGCTCTTTGCGTGATGACGCGTTCTGTTGTTCCACAAGCAGTGTGTGCGTAGATCGCCCAATCTGTGTGACAACTGTGCCATGGGGTACAGCTTGCAGATTCACGATGCACCAGGGTTGGAATGGTCGCGTTCCAAAGGTTTCTGTTTATCCTAATAAGATTTAGGTTTTGGGTATAGCTTGGGAAGGCGATCACCCTGCTGCATGACCCGGCACGAGAGAGTACGACCAAAGCCCAGCTTGCACAGCGTTCGCTACGTTTGCATAATTTCTATATCCCTAATAAGTACGCTTGCAGTAAAGGACCTCCTCTTAGAAGTCTTGACCGCGTTGCAAGTCACTCACAAACTAGTATATGATTCCAATTTCCGATTATTAACCTGTGAAGGAATAATAATTCTACCTATGGGTTAGCTTAATTGCTCTTGGGCAGGCGAGGAGCCAGCAGGCGAGGAGGCACCTAAAGCGAAGCTTTTGGAAACATGGCTCGAGAAAGCAAGGCGCCTGTGAAGCTCAGCAGCGTGGTGGATGCGTCACGGGTGGGTCAACTCACGTCCTGCTATCATAGCACATCTGGCGAACAACATGCGGTCGGGCCATGGCCGGTTGTCGGTACACAGCAGCAATAAAATGCATAACTTATATCATACAACATTGTCCATTGATTTCTTGTGCCTTCTGATGACCGGTCCCGAGGGGTCCGGAGCCGCGCGGTCCTACCAGGCGGGCTAGGCGCCCTTACACCCCTGCACCCCTCCACTGCATATGCGCTCCAAACACCGGCACCGGACACTCGTTACTCGGTGGCACCTGAGCCTGTGTATTGCTGCTGGCGCTATCGCCCGCTTGCTGCTTGACGTCACACCTACCGTGCAGCCAGCTCCCCAGCCCCCCAGTCCCCTGGGGTCCTCTGAAACCCGAACTCCCTGGGGGCCCCACACAAGCCACACCCTCTCGCTGCCCTCCCGGCGCCTCCTCACCTGTGACAACCCAGCCACCCCGTCTCCTCCTCCTCCCACCCACCAGCTCCCCAGCCCTAACCTCTCCCTCCTCCCTCCCCTCTCTGCCCCTCCCTCCCTTCCCTCTCTGCTCCTCTCTGCCCCTCCCTTCCCGCCCCTCCCTCCCCCTCCCCCCAGTACGTGAGCGCCTCCACCGCCGCCACCCTCACGGTGGCGGTGCGCGTGCGGCCGCTGGTGCGCGCGGAGATAGCTCGGGGCGGGCGGCGGGACATCATCCGCGTCATCGACTCGCGGGTGGTGCTGGTTCTGGACCCGGATGACAGCAAGGTGGGGGGGGGGCTGGGTGGAGGGGGGATGAATGAGGAGTGAAGCAGGAGAGGAGGAGGATGGGATGAGGAGGAAGGGATACGAACTGTGTGGGAAGGCATGGGTGGGTGGGAGGGGGCAGGGTGGGGGTGGTGAGGGGGCAGCGGCAGCAGGGGCAGCAGGGGCGGTGTTGGGAACGATTGCGGTGATGGCGCTGGGTGGGTGTGAAGGGATGTGATAGCGAGGTGGGTGGGAGTGAGCCGGGAGGAAAAGGACGGATGCGACTTGGTTGGGAGAACTGTTGAGGACGGGCGGGGTGGACGGGTATGAAGTCCGGGTGAGGATCAGGAGATGAGGCTGTGGGGTGGGTGGTGTGTGTGGGTTGGGGCGGTGTTGGGTTGTCGGTCGGTGGGCAGGGGCGCTGCGGGGAGGCACATGGGGGTTGCCAGACCCGGACGATGCGGGGTTGGGGTTGGGGTTAGGAAGATGAGATGGGTATTCCGCACACGCAGGGGGAGGGAGGATAAGGTGGGTTTGCAGCTGACAGGGGGCGGCAAGAGCGAGGGTGTGCAGTGCAGAGTGTGGGAGAGCAGCAGGGCCATGCGGCAGCGGGGCAGTAGGGGTAGGCTAGTGGGTAGACCGGGAAGGTGGTGCTGGTGGTGGTTGTGGTGGTGGTTGTGGTGGTGGTGGTGGTGCAGCGGGGTGTCTGGGAGGGTTCCGGCGGTACACCCACTCACTCAGCTGGGCCGCACTGCACCGCACACTGCACACTGCGCACGCGGCTGGCGGAGCACTGCTAGGGGTGCCGCTGGCGAGTCCGGGGCAGCAGCAAGGGGGGTGATGGGGGGGCAGGTGTGCAGGAATGCGGGCTGGGGGGGCTGCCTGGCTGGCTGGGAGCGCGTGAGCGAAGATGATTGGGTGGCGGTGGCGGTGGCGGACTGGGTGGGGTCCGAGTGGTGCTCCCTTGGCGGGTGTGCTCCTGGGGGGCGGGGCAGCAGCGGCTGCCCGAAGAGGAACTCGGGTTGGGACGTGGGGGAGGAACGTGGGGGACTTTGAGTGCTGCGACTGTGGGCGGGGGTGGCCGGCTGGCTGGTGGCAGAGGGGTGGTGGTGGATGGTGCATGGGTGGGGTGGGGGGCTGTCCCATGGGTCGGCCGGGTGCAGGTCGTATGTTGTGCTTTACTTTAGAGGTGTTGGTGGGGCGTACGGGCTGACCTCCTGCCCCCGCGCCTTCTCCCTCCCTTCCCCAGGACTACCTGGACCAGGTTCAGAACCGCACCAAGGAGAAGCGCTACACCTTCGACATAGCATTCGGAACCAGCGTGAGGGCGGGGAGCTGGGAGTCAGGGGAGGGAGGCAGGGGTGGTGATACTGGGTTGCCGAGTGGTGGGAGTGTGGGAGGGGGCGGGTCCGCAGGGAATGCAACCAGCAGCCCGCATGCCGTCCGGGGATGCCTTGGGGGAGGCGGTGCTTCCTCCGGGGCAGGCCACAGCCAATCCCTGCCTCCCACAGCCGGCTTGCCGACTCGGCACACACGTGCCTTCCCCGTGTGTTTACCCCCCCTCCCCCCCAACCCCCAAAACCGTGTCGATCCCTCCCGTGCCCTGCCCGCCCTCCTGGCCTCCCCCCAGTGCTCCAATCGTGACGTGTACAACGGCACTGTACGGAACCTCATCGGGGATGTACTGCAGGGCATCAACACCACCGTGTTTGGTGGGTGGTGGCGGCGGGCAGTGGAGGGGAGGGTGTGCTAGCGGGGCGGGCACCCGCTAGCTGTCGTGTCAGGAGGAGATGGGCGCGGGGGGGGGGGCTGCGGGGCAGCTGGGGGAGAGGGTGTGGGGGGCAAGCAAGCAACGCGTAGGGGCGTGGGGCTTCTCATCTGGGAGTGTGGGAAGCTGGGGATTGTCTTCATCGACTCTGGAACACTACCTTTCTTGACACCTCTCCCTCACCCTCTGCTCTGCCTCCCTCCTGCGTCCTCCCCCTCCCCTCCCCTGCCCCCCTCCCTTGCCCCCCTTCCCCCCCTGCAGCCTACGGTGCCACGGGCAGTGGTAAAACCCACACCATGGTCGGCACACAGCAGGACCCGGGTGGGTGGGGGGGGGGGGTGGGTGGGAGAGGCGGGCGGGTGGGTGGGGGGTGGGGCGCTCCTAGGGGCGAAGCGGTGTGGTGGCAGGGGCAGGGCAGGGCAGGGGGTGTACCGTAGTAAGGGGTGCAGTGCAGGGATGACACGTAGTTGGTGATGAGGGGCGGGGCGGCTGGCGGCGGCCTGCCAGCACCTCCCCGCTCCACTCCGCCCTCACCTCCAGGACTGCCCCCTGCCCCCCGCCCCCCCTCCTTCCTGCCCACTCGCACCCACATGCCGCACCCAACCCAGCCCACCCTCTGGCTCCGGGCTTACCCAACCCACACTCACACCCACCACCACCCCTCTCCCCCGCCCCTCTCCTCCCCTCCCCCAGGCCTGATGGTGCTGTGCCTGGAGAAGATCTTCGCCGACCGGGATGCGGCGCACCGGGACGAGGACTTCTCCGTCACCTGCTCCTACCTGGAGGTCTACAACGAGGTGGGGGTCTTTACCACCACCACCACCACCTGTCAGAGGGTGTGGTAAAAAGAGGAAACAACTAACTGACCGTGTGATAAGGCGTCATCATGGTTCTCAACATGTGAGCCCTCCCCTCCTCTCCCCCTTCCCTCCCCTCCTCCCCTACCCCCCCTGTCAGATCATTTACGACCTGCTGGTGCGCTCCTCCTCCCCGCTGGAGCTGCGCGAGGACCCGGAGCTGGGGGTGGTGGTGGCGGGGCTGAAGCACATCACCGTCACCTCGGCGGCGGAGATCATGGTGGGGGGGAGGGGCAGGAAGGGGAGGGGGAGAGAGAAGAAGGAGAGGAGAAGAAACCAGCAAACCGCGGGGGAGGGAGGGGGATACCGGTACGGGTTGGGTTTGAAGAAGTAGCGGTGCGACGGGCGGTGTGTGCTCCCCCGCGTGGTGCACCATCATGGCTGTCGGCCCTTTCGGCCCAACAGCCCGGGTTGGTCGAGCTACTACGGTACAACGGTAGAGCGAGGGAGGGAACGAGCGAGGCAAGAGAGAGGGCGGGGCCTCTCAGCGCCCCCAGCGCCCCCCTGTGCTCCTCCTCCCTACCTCACATCCCGCCTGCCTGCCTCCCTCCCCCACCCTCCCTCTCCCTCCCCCCCCTCCCCCGCTCCCAGTCGCTGCTGGAGGAGGGCAACCGGCGCCGCAAGACGGAGGCCACCGACGCCAACGCGCAGTCCTCCCGCTCACATGCGGTGAGGGGGGAGGGAGGGGGGGGGATGGCGAGGTTGGTCTTGAAAGCCGCTGTTGGTCCCGTTTGTTTGCATGCACGCATGTTTCTTAACACGCTGAAGTCAACTGGTATGTGGCGCCCCCTCCTCCCTTCTCCCTCCTCCGAGCAGGTGCTGGAGATCACGGTTCGGCGCACACCCAAGAACCACTACAAGGTGGGAGGGGGAGGGGAAGGTGAGGGGGGTGGTGGGGAGGCAGAGGCTGGGGCGTCAGGCTGCTGGGGCGAGGCCCCCTTCCCGCCATCGTCCACAGCATCGGCGCTACCCACCCACCCACCTGCCTACCTGCCTACCTGCCTACCCACCTACCTAGCTGCAGCAAACGTGCCTCGCAGGCCGTTGCACCCTGCATACCTGGACCGGGTACTCCATCAGTCCTTACTCCTCAGTACACCTCCTCAAACATGACTCCCGCCGCAAATGGCACTGCCCGCCACCCCCCCGCCTTCTGATGCCCTCTGCTGCCCCCCCTTACCCCCGCCCCCCTCCCCTCCCCTCCCCCCCCGCAGGTGACCCAGCTCCGCGGCAAGCTGAGCCTGGTGGACCTGGCGGGCAGCGAGCGAGCCGCGGAGACCAACAACGCGGGGCAGAAGCTGCGAGACGGCGCCAACATCAACCGCTCGCTGCTGGCCCTAGCCAACTGCATCAACGCACTGGGCAAGTCCAACAGCGGCAAGGCGGCCTCGTACGTGCCGTACAGGAACAGCAAGCTGACGCGACTGCTCAAGGTGCGGGGGCTGTGTGTGTGCGTGTGTGTATGGGTGTTAAGAGCACTGGCGTGGTTTCCTATGGTTTGGTCTATTTTGCCCCTCCCCTCCCTTGCCAGGCTCATCCAACACATTGGGTATTCCCCTTGTTTCTCCTTCCCTTCTCCCCTCCTTCACTCCCCTCCTCCACTCCCCTCCTACCCCTCTCCACAGGACGGTCTGTCCGGCAACTCCCGCACCGCCATGGTCGCCACCGTGTCGGGTTCCTCCGACCAGTACCACCACTCCATCAACACGCTCAAGTACGCGGACCGCGCCAAGGAGATCAAGACGCATGTGGTGCAGAACGTGGGCACGGTGGAGAGCCACGTGGCGGACTACCAGCGCATTATAGACAACCTGCAGAGCGAGGTGCAGGACCTGAGGTGGGGGGGGGGAGGAGCGGGGGGAAGGAGGGGAAAAATTAAATATGTGAAACAACGAGTCCCAATCCCATATCCCGACTCATGCAGTGAGCGCATTCGGAGACACTATTCTAAAGACACGCATGTCAAATTACTTACGGAAGCGTTGCTTACCGTAAACCGAGACGACTTGAGGAAGAAGCCGCCTTGGGGAAGGAGGGGGGGAGGAAGGGAGGGAGGGAGGGGAGGGGAGGGAGATATACCAAAGCCACAGGTCAGGGCAAAGCCTTGGGGGTAGAGATGGAGGGGAGGATGGGAAAAAAGAAATTCCAAAGTGTGGTATGATAATGATACAAGTTGCTGACAATCCCTGGTGGAATCAACCGTGAGTCGAGCCGAAATGGTGGTTAAAGCATTGCGAGCTAAACTTACCGAACTTACCAATTATGGAGGAACCTTACCATAGTCTTGGGCATGTGTGGAGGCTGCTGAAGGTGAGCTGGAGACCCACCGCGCCGTTGGGCAAGGGCAAACAACAGGAACAGCACAACACGAGCACGCATGAAAAACAACACAGACTGACACACGATAAAACACGTACCTGCGTGCACAGGATATAGGGTGGGAGGGAGATGTGCATTGTAATTCCAAATGCATGGCCCAACTCGTGCAGCGAGGATATAGATGCCAGGGGAAGGAGGGAGGATGGAGGAGGGCGGACCAGCCATGCATCAATCCTGTCATGCCTAAACTCGTCCTCCCCCCTGCCCCTCCCCCCCCTCCTCCTCCCCCTCCCTTCCCCTGCTGCCGTACCCCCCAGGGCCCAGTTGATCGAGCGGGAGGCTGCCGTACCCCCCGGGGTGGCCAAGCCGCGCACCAGCGAGGAGGACCTGCTGGTGCTGATTGGCAAGTGAGTGGCGGGGCGGAGGAGGGAGGGGTTTGGGGTGGGGGCGGGGACGGCGTAGGGGTGAGGTGGAAGTCTGCTGGGAGGTGGCGAACAGGAGTGGGAGGGAAGCGGGCGCGCGAGAGGAGCGGGGGGCGGGGGAGAGGGGGCACATGGGCGTACATGGGTGGGTGGGTTCCTTGCTCTTCATCTCTCTTTCAACTCCCTCCTCCCCGCCCCTTTCCATTCACCCCCCCCCCCCTCCCCTCCCTCCCTTCAGTGTCTCATTATATTATTTCTTATCTCCCCTCTCCCCTCCCCTCCCCTCAGGCTGGTTGAGGAGATGAATGACAACATCGAGGAGCGCATCAACCTGCAGAAGGCGCTGTTCGAGATTGAGGACGCCAACCTCTACAACAAACACGAGCTCAGCCAGCTGGAGGAGTTCCTGGATGGGGGTGGGGCAGGGGAGGGGAAGGGGAGGGAGAGGGGGAAGGGCGGGGGAGGGGAAAGAAGAATACCCAATGCGTCAAGTGGGAATGGGAAACAAGACGACAAGCTTGAGGCAGAGCCTGCAGAGGGGAAGGTGGAGAAGTGGATAATGTACGAGAATTGAAGCACTTTAGTTTCGAAATCCATGTCCAGATTCATGCAATGAGCGCATCATTCCTCCTTACCACCCCCTCCCCCGCCCCCGCCCCCTCCGCCCAGGCAAGGGCAGCGCCAAGGACCTGGCTGAGGCTCGCGAGCGGCGCAGCGAGGTGCTGGAGGCCACCCGCGAGAACGATCGGGAGCGCGAGCGGTACCGCTCGGAGATCAGCGCAAACGAGGTGGCGCGCAAGGACATTCAGGCGCGGGTGCAGGTGAGGGGGGGAGGGGAATAAGGAGACTGACGAACTGCATGACGAGGCTTTTCCATGAAGGGGAGGGGAGGGGGGGTGGTGGTGGTTTGGCTGCCTGGTCCTCGTCGTTGGTTTGGCGCCATAGGACGCCCCCCACCGCCACCTCTGCGCGCTACCCCCTCCATCCCGGCCCCCCACCACCTCACCCCCCCCAGGCCATCGTGGACTCCAACCAGTCCGCCGCCTTCCTCAACCTGCTGTCCACATTCCGGTTGCAGGTGGGTGGGGGAGGGGAGGGGAGGGGGGACAAGATGAGAGGGGAGCAAGGGTGGGAAGCGGGGTGAGAGGACACACTGGCGGACCGTGGCCTTCGTGGGTGTAGCATGACAGGATGCGGCCGGGACGGTCTCCCCGGCCTCCCCAGCCCCTGCACCTCTCCACTCGGTGCACTTGGCGACTCGCACTGGCCGGACCCCCATTCCTGACCCCTCTCCCGCCTCTCCCCCCCTTTCCTGCCCTCCCCCCCCAGTCGCTGCACCTGCAGGAGCTCAAGTTCCAGATGGCGGTGCGGGACCAGATCATCAGCGAGCAGAGACAGGTAGGGGGGGCGGGGAGGAGGGAGGGGGCGGGGAGGAGGGAGGGGGCGGGGAGGGAGGGGAAGCGAAGAGGAAGGGAAAGAAACAATGAAACGTGCAATAGTTGGAGTCCCAATCCCATAGGAGGGAGGGAAGGGACGCGACTCACCCCCCACCCCCCAAGGTACCAGTCCGGGCCGCCATCACCAGTACTAGTACCCTGGCGCGCTCGTGTCTCCCCGCTGCCGCTCCCCACCCCTTCCCCTTCCTACACTGCTTCCTCCTGACCCCACCCCCACCCCCTTCCCACCCCTACTTCCCCCCAGGTCATAGGCAACCTGTGGAGGATCATCGAAAAGTCGGGACTGCCGCGGGAAAAGTAAGTCCCGTCGCGCGCCCGCGGTACTGCCCGCACCCCCTGCCGGCCCCGGGGCACACATGCGCCGCCATGCGGGAGCACACTCACCACCACCACCCACCCCGCCTCCCTCCTCTCCCCCTACAACCAATTTCTTATACCAACTACTTTTCTTTCCCGCCCACCTCCTCCTTACATACCTACCCGGTCTTCCACCGTCACTCAACGCATGGATCTTCTCCCTTCCCCCCCCTTCCCCCCTTCCCCCTCCTCCCCTCCTCCCCCTTCCCTCCTCCCCCTTCCCTCTCCTCCCCTCCTCCCCCTTCCCCTCCCCTCCCTCCCAGGGTTATGGCGGTCGCCAAGGCGGAGGGCATCCTGATGGACGGGCTGCAGGGCGGCGACGGCGGCCCCCCCACCGTGGGCCCCGTGCCACTCAGCGAGGCGCTCAAGGCGGTCAAGGAGGAGATCATCGCCATACCCGAGCTGCGGGTCACACCCGAGTTCAACACGCCGGCGCTGGGCAGGAGGGCCAGCGAGCGACACCTGAGGTGGGGGGGAGGTTAATAGGGATGAAGATTCCGCAGGTGGGGGGGCGGGGGTGAGGGGTGAGGGGGTGTGTGTTAAGAAAACCGGCCGCGAGTGTGTTTGGCAGTAGGGTCGGGGTGGGGGTTGAGGGGGAGGGCCAGGGCTGTGGTTCGGGATGAGAGGGGTGTGTGTGGGTGCAGGGCGGTAGGGCTCTGGGGGAGGGTTGGTCCGATGTTGCGATGGACCCTGACGTCCTCCCAACCTCCCAACACGCATCCCTGTGTCCCTACTCCGTCCCCAGGTACCGAGCCTGGCCCTCCACCTCTCCGGGCCCGGGGGGCGCCTCGGCGGACGGCCGCTCCGCCGCCTCAGCCGACGCCTCGCCCTGCGGCTCGGACGACGACGGCGGCGGCGGCGGCGGCGGCGCCTCCGACGACGCGACCGACGACGACAGCCAGTCCATTCGCTCCGACAAGTCGCCACTGAGGGGGCGGGGAGCGGGTCGGCGGCACCGGCACCACCACCCCCACGGCAGCAGCAGCCACAACAACAACACCACCCGGAACCGGGCTCGCAGCGAGGGGCAGCAGCAACAGCAGCAGCAGCTAGCGATGAATGGCGGTCGCGGTGCCGGTGACGACCCGTACCATGCCCTTCGCCGGAACCCCTCCCAAGTCGTGATGGGAGGGGGGGGAGGAGGAGCAGCAGCAGGGGGGCCCTACCAGCAGCAACAGCAGCAACCCTCCCAGCAGCAGCAGCAGCTGCAGCAGCAGCAGCAGCAGCAGCTGCAGCAGCAGCACTCCTCCCCCGCACAGCTGCTACAGCACCACCACAGTCATCCCGCCTCCCAACAACTCCAACAACTGCATTCCAACGGCCACCCAGTCGTACTGCAACCGCAGCTTCCGCAACCGCAGTTACAAACGCAGCAGCAGCAGCAACAGCTCAGCGGTGAGCCGCACCGGTTCGAGGGCGGGCGCCCGCTGCACCCCAGTCAGAGCTACCAGCAGCTGCGGCCGCAGTACAGCCTGGGGCCCTCCGTGGAGGAGGAGGCGGGGAGCGGTCCGAGTGGGGTGATGGGGGGGCCGGGGGGCGGGGGGCAGGGGCGGCAGCAGCTGCTGCAGCTGCAGCAACAGCGGAGAGGGGGGCGAAGGAGCGTGGGTGGGGGCGTGGGACCGCCTAGGGGGTACGGGAGTGGGTTTGGGGGAGGGGGAGGAGGAGGGGGAGGGAGAGCAGGAGCGGCGGCGGTGGTGGCGGCGGCGACGATGGCAGCTGGCGGGAAACGGAAGATACCAGGTGAGGTGCACGCGCGGAAACACATCCAGCATCCCGTCCCGGCTTCGGCCTCCCACCTCCTGATGCACGGACGGGTTGATAGCTGATCCCACCCCTACTCCTAACTACTCCTGCTGGCGCCCTCCCGCCCCCCCCCCCGCCCCGCCCCCAGGTCCGCCTATCAGTGCCCGCCGAGGCGACCCGCACGGCCCCTCCGCCGCCCACCCAGCCGCAGTGCACCTGCCACCCCCACCGCAGCCCCCCCTGGGCCCCCGACTCGAACACATCAAGTCCGGACGAAGAGCCGGCCAACAACGCCCAAAGCCCATCATCGAAATAGCAGACCTGCCGTCACCACCGCAGGACAACAGGGCCGCCGGGGTCTCAGCGGCGGCGGCTGCTGCTGCCGCCGCTGCCGCCGCGGCGACAGCTGCAGTGGCGGCTGCTGCTGACGCCGCCGCCCTGAACGCCTTCGCCGCCTCCTCCGGACCCCTCCCGGGCGCCAGCCGGCACTCGGAGGCGGGGCCTTTGTTCCAGGCGGCGCCGCCGCGTCGCAGCACTGGCGGCGGAGGTGGCGGCGGAGGTGGTGCCGTATCGCTGGGCGGCGCCATGTCGGTTGCTGCAGCGGCGGCGGCTGCTGACGCGGACTTCCGGCAGATGTACGGCAGGCGGCGGCACACGGTGGCACATGACGTGGGGGTGCTGGCGGGCGGGCTGGGGCATCTGGTGGGGGGAGGCGGTGGGGGTGGGGGTGGGGGCGGCGGAGGGACGGAGAGCGCGGGAGTGGATACCTCGGACGACGGCTACGAGGCGCTAGGGGTGAGTGGGGGTGGGGTGGGGTGAGCGCGGGGAGGTGGCAGGGGGCACGGGGCGGTGAGGGGACTGGGATTGGGATTGGGATAGGGCGGAGGAGGAAAGGGGCTGGCCGACACGAGGGTTTGGCTTGGGCTCTTGTGCTGTTCACGACGGAAGGCCACGTGTCCTCCCTTGCACCCCTCCCTCCTGCCCGCAACATGCTTTGAAAGGGGTTTCGTGGCTGCCTACGCCAACAGCCCAACACACCTCCGCGAGTGTCTGCTGCCCCACCGCACCCTACCCACGCTGCCCACCGCCTCCCCCCTCTTCTCCCTCTTCTCCTCCCCTCCTCATCCTTCCCTCCCCTCCTTCGCTTCTATAACCACTCCCCGCCTCCCACCCCTTCCTCAGCGCACCGCCTCCTCCGACCTGGTCCGCTCCCCCGCCACCCGCTCCGAGTCCATCAGCCTCATCCTGCAGCCGCCGCTGCAGCCGCCGCTCAACGAGCGCCTGGCGCGGCTGAAGGGGCGGCTGGCCTCCGCGGCGGCCATTGCGGCACTGCCACTGCCCGGGGAGGCGCCGGGGCCGCCGGCGGTGCTGGCGGGCGCAGGGGCGGTGAGCAGGAGGGGAGGATGAGGGGCTGGGGCGGGGGCGGGGAGCGTGTTGTGGGGTTGCGAGGGAGATGCTGTGGGGCCGAGCGTGCGGCTGAGGCTGAGTTGAGGCCGGGGTTGGGGTTGGGGCGGTGCAGGTTCGGGAGGATGCCGGGTGGGCAAGGGCGTGAGAGTGAGGGGGTGTCACGCGAGAAAGAGGAAGAGGGGAGGAGGTGGAGGTGCAGGGTAGGAAGGGGTGGGTGAGGGAGGCTGAGGTGCCAGCTGATACGGTGTTGTTGTGTTATTCATCCTATTCATGGTGTGGTCTAGCGAAAGAGAGGTGCGTGCGGGGCGCATGCTTGCTGCCAGCCGGCGGGGCGTCTGCTACGATGCCACAAGCTGATGACTCGGGTGCCTACCGGTACCGGTATTCTGGGGACGTGTCGTGCCTCACATGAAGGGGCGGTTGAGTCGGTGGGTGGGCGCTGTGGGCCGCCCGCTCGCCACCACCGACCCCCGACATGCCATACCAGGCAGGATGAGGCTGGCTCATCCTGCATACCGGTATTGCCAGCAGCCGCTGCCTGCCTGCCTGCCTGCTGTGGCAGACGGGGCGAGCCGTGACGCGAGATGGCGAAGGAGGGCGAAGGAGGCCTTGCCAGGGCACCAGGGGGTTGCAGGGTGCGAGGGGTTGTCCGGAACCTCCGCTGAAAACGCGGGGAGAGAGGAGCGCCATACTCGGTTGCTGGGGCCGCACAACCGCCTGGCAGGCTCCGGAGCTGCAGCAGCGGTTAGGAGGAAACTGTAGTATTGATGGTAGGCGGCAGTACTGGCGTTGGTAGGGCTTTCGAGTTGCGATCCTGGTCGTTGTTGTTGAATTCTGGCCCTGGCAGCCGCGTTGGCCGGCTGTTCCCATGGCCGGCTGTTCCCATGCTGCGCGTGTGGCTCCCTTCGTTATGTACCTTTGTTAGGAAGGGCGTTACCCCTGCTGCTGCGGCGGCGGCACCAGTAGTGGTGCAGATGCAGGACTGAAATGCGTGATGTAGCCGGCTTCTTCATCCACTTGAACACCCTTCTCGAGTGTGTACACACAACACTGACAACACGTGAACATCTGAACAAGTGTGTGATTGAGACCGTTTTGACAACTCGTGATACATATATATCGCGCGCACACAACACCCGCAAGAGAATAATGTCGTTCTATTTCGTCTCCACGTGGTGTATCGTACAAGTCTTTGTTGCTGCCGTACACCGGGTGGAGAAGTTTGGAGAAGTTGCACGGAAATGTCTTTTGCACATGATAGGGCGGATGGAGTGCGCTAGGAATGCTCTTGACACCTCTGTTGCCTGCGATGTTGTTGCCTGGTGATGAGTCCGATGACACGTCGCGTGGCTGCCCACCCACCGCCTCCCCTCCTTCTCGTTGCTCCCGGCACCATGCGAGGTGCGGGGCGGGGAAGGTACCCATCCGCAGTTGCACCCTTGGACCCCCTTGCGGCCCGTGCTGCTGGAGGGATGGTTCTTGGATGGCAGCGGGGTGGTCCGCAGCGGCGGCGTGTTACTCGGCTCGCAGCGTCGCTTGGCGGTCGGTGCTGCAGAGGCTGTTGTTAGGGGCCCTACTGGCGAAGACCGGGAATGAGGGTGTAGGGTGGCAGCAGGGAGGGGACAGGGGAGGCGTGGCACGGGTCTTGGGGGCTCTGCTGTGGCGCATGTTGGCACGTAGCCCGTCCGGTGTTTGGGGGCGTGTTCGCGGGCACGCGAGTGTGTAGTTGAGTAGAAACAAGAGCAAGCAGTGTGATAAACGCCTGGGTTGGGCGCGGCTGGGCGTACGGCACATTCCAACGCATGTGCGCTTTTTTGCGCTTCTTGGGGGGTTTCGTATGAGGTATGAAAGGTATGCTACGAGATGAGAACGAGCTGACATGAAGGTGTTAGGTTGTCTTGGTAGATCCGGTGTACGGCAACGACATGATCGCTTTCGGCGTGGAAAGAGATGACTGCTTCTGGTGTCGGCGTGAAAGAGATGAGGCATACTGAGGCAATCATTGGAGCTACAGCAGCTACTAGGTGACTGGGTTCAGAACCCCAACTTGGGTTGAGTCCCATGGGACGTACAGACACATATTGCAATGCCTCGAAGGCTTCAAAACTTTCGCAACTTGTATTGTAAAAAATATGTTACTAACGTTGGCCAGAGCTGTAGCTGCGCCAAACATGAAGTAAAGCACTTATAGCGTTTCTGGCTTACGCACGACTGTTGTCCTAGCACCCGGTCCGCTGGTGTGCTATTTGCATCTACGCATATGCATGCGACAATAAATTGATTAACAACTGCAAAGATGATGGCCCTTGTGCGGGCTGGTTCCGCGTGGCCCATCGCGGCAAGCCGATGTGCGTCTCGGCTTTTACACGTCCCGGTAGAGCGAGACCCCTCGTTTGCGCAGCTTCTGGATAAAGATGTTAGTTTCTTTGAAGGAGTACTCGGTCGCTCCGGCGTCATCACTGACCCGGATGCGCTCGAGCCATTCAATCGGTGCGTTTAAAGGTTGCTAAATCTCTTAAGATAGTCCTGCCAGAGCCGAAACTCATCATCCGTTGCCATCAATTCATTTAGGGATTGGCAAAAGAAATACTTCGGTCACAGCAAAGTTGCTCTTCGGCCCAAGACTACCGAGCAGGTACAACGCGAACCGGCTGCCTTCCCTGGCCTTTACTTTTGGGATAAGGATGAGGGTAGAATGGGGGGTGAAGGGCCTGCGGAGGGGCGGACGCTAGCAGTAAGGAAGCTGCACAGCGGAGGGGTGTGGACTGGCGAGTGCGCTCTCCCAGCACTGGGAAACCCAGGAGGAGCGGCTACTGAGCTGCTTTCCCAGGGCGTCGTTCCCCGTAACTATGCCACCCGACCTAACCTGCGTCGCACATGCACGTGCAAAGTTCCTTCTTCACACGCGCACACGACACTGTCGTCCTTGCTAAGACGACACCTAGGTCAACACCTCTGCGCTTCTCGTAACTCCCCTCCAACCCGCCCCCCAAACACACAACCCACACGCACCCGCCCGCACCCCACGCCTCCCCTGCCCGCCAGGTTGCCGAGCTGCTGTCGTACTGCTCGTCCCGGCGGTTGGCGGTTGTACCGCAGGGCGGCAACACGGGACTGGTGGGCGGCAGTGTACCGCTGTACGACGAGGTTGTAATCAGTACGGCAGCCATGAACCAAATCATCGAGTTTGACGATGTGGGTAGTACGGTGGTGGGCGCGGGGGTGTGTGCGAGGGGGCGCGTATCGGGGGCGGGCGGGCGGGCAAAGAGCATGGGTTTGGGAGGGGATGCTGTGTACCGCCGGTGTGAGCCTCGGCCCGGGTTGCGTGCCTCGCCCCCGGTGGTTCCTCCCCTCGTGCGTTTAACCCATATACCCATTCCCCGGGTAGGCGCACACACCTCCCATGTGCCTTCCTCCGCTTCCCCTGCCCCCTCATGTGCTTCACTTAGAAAACTATTGTGCCCCCCTGCCCCCCCCCCCAGGTATCCGGCACGCTGGTGGCCCAGGCGGGGTGTGTGCTGCAGGCGCTGGACGAGGCGGTGGGGCAGCGGGGCTACATGATGCCACTGGACCTGGGTGGGTGGGCGGTGGGTGGGGGGGATGGGAGGGGGGAAGAGGGGGTCAAAGGCCAGGTACCAAACCATAGGAAGCCACAGCTTCGGGCAAAGCAATGGGGACAGGAGGCGGCAGGGTGGAGGGGGGAGCAAGGGGGAGGCAAGCAGGAGGGGGGGAAGCTCTTCGTACTCCTTGCTCCTCTCTTGCTCCCCGGCGTCTCACCTCCTCGTCCTCCCTACGCCTCCCCTACACCCTACCCCGCTCCTCACCTCCCCCCCTCGCTCCGCCGCCTTCCCCTCTCCCCCCCGTTATTCCACTTCTCATCCCTCCCCCCTGCAGGCGCCAAGGGCAGCTGCCACATCGGCGGTAACGTGTCCACCAACGCGGGCGGGCTGCGGCTGCTGCGCTACGGCTCCCTGCACGGCAGCGTGCTGGGGCTGCAGGTGGTGCTGCCGGAGCCGCTGATGGCGGGGAACACGGGTACGGCAGTGGGGTGTATGGCAGTGGGGTGTGCACGGCACAACAATGCCTTCCTGAACCTGCTGTGCCCCGTGTATCAAGTGCACTGCCGATTCATCTGATCACCCATGTTGAGTATTACCGATTTCCCTCCCGTCTTCCGTACCAAAACACACACACACACATGTACGGACCCCCGCCCACACACACACGCAGCAGCAGGCGGATCTTCTCCCGACGCCGGGGGCCGCATCCTGGACCTGCTGCGCACCCTGCGCAAGGACAACACCGGCTACGACCTCAAGCAGCTCTTCATTGGCGCGGAGGGCACGCTGGGCCTCATCACCGCAGTCGCCATCCAGTGCGCCCCGCGGCCTCCCTCCGTGCAGGTCGCGTTGCTGGCGTGTCCCTCATTCCAGGCGGTAACCGACACGCTGCGGGCTGCCCGGCAGCGGTTGGGTGAGGTGCTGTCGGCGGTTGAGTTCCTGGACGCCTCGTGTTCCGTGCTGGCGTGCGAGCAGCTGGAGGGCGTGAGGAACCCGCTGGTGGCGGCGGAGGGGGAGCAGGGAGCAGCGGCGGTGACCCATGGGTCGGAGGCGTTGTCGCCGTTCTACATGTTGGTTGAGACGCATGGCAGCAATCAGGAGCATGACTTGCAGAAGATGGAGCAGTTCCTGGAGGTGGGGGAGGGGCGGGAAAAGAAGAATACCCAATGTGGTGGGAAAGGGGTGGGATAGGGTAGAGGGGTTGGCTGTACTACATAGGCGTTAGAGGGGCCAGCCATGAGAGGAAGGGGCCGGGTGCGGCCTTCCCTTCCGTGCTCGGCTGTTTCAAGCGGGGCTCAGCAGCTCCCGAAGTGCCCCTGCAACCCGCACACTCGCTCTCCCCCGCCTAAACGAGAACGCGTGTGCAAGCCCCTCCCCTCCAGTTGGTCAGTTTTTTCCTTACTTTTACCCCTCGTACATTCACTTGACACCAGCCCCCGGCGGCCCCCAGGCAGTGATGGCAGAGGGCTGTGTGAGTGACGGCACGTTGGCAGCCAGTGAGGCGCAGGCGCGAGCCATCTGGCGGCTGAGGGAGGGGGTGCCGGAGGCGCTGGCCAGGAAGGGTGAGGCGGAGGGGCGGAGGGGGGGATGTGGGAGGGGGCTTGCTGATAAGGCGCGCGTGGGTGGGGGGGGTGAGGGGTCTGAGGTGGGTTGAGGGGCTTGGTAAGCCGCGGGGGAGGGGAGAGAAGGGAGGAGGGAGGCGGAAGGTACAGGAGGCGGGGAGGGGCCGCAGGTAGGCGGTTGTACCCATCATCACCCGATAAACGTGCTTATGCCGTGCTCTCCCGCCTACCTGGGCACCTGGGGACTGGTCCTTACCCGGACTGTCACCCTGCTGCTGTCATTCCCACGCCTCTATCTGCATGGTCGCATGGCGTGCATCACGTCTGCCCTGCTCCTGACCCGCTCCTGCCCGCTGCCCGCTGCTCCGTACATGCCGTACCCGGCACGTACCCAGGTGCCGTATACAAGTACGACGTGAGCCTGCCCACCGGGGTGATGTACGACATGGTAACGGCGCTGCGGGGGCGGCTGGAGGCTGCCGGGTTTGGTTCCGGAGCGGGTGTGCAGGTGGTGGGGTACGGCCACATCGGGGACGGCAACCTGCACCTCAACGTGTCAGCGCCCAGGTGGGGTGTGTGTGTATTGTTTAGGGGGGAAAAGAGGGGGGACTTGGGAGGGGTCGGGAGCTGTGGGCCCAGAGATTCGCCTGTGGGGTCAAAGTGGGAGCGAGTCCACACATGAGCCCTGAATAGGGCTGCCACCGACCGGTCCTCACAGTTGCGCCAGCCCCTTACCCCCCCCCCCCCCGGGCTACCATGTTTGCACCCCATGGTGAAGCCTTGTCACACAGCTCATCAATTGCATCGTCAGTGTCTCATTATATATTGTTAACCCCCCCTTGTGCGTCCTTATCCCACCCCACCTCCACTCACACCCCTTACCCCCCACACTACTTGCCAACAACCCCACACCACACCTCCCAAGGTACGACACCGCCCTGCTGGATCTCATCGAGCCGTACGTGTACGAATTCGTCGCACGGCACCGCGGCAGCATCTCCGCGGAACACGGCATCGGGCTCATGAAGGCCGCAGCGCTGCCGTACAGCAAGAGCGCGCTGGCTATCGAGCTGATGCGGCGGATCAAGGGCGTGGTGGACCCACATGGCATCATGAACCCGTACAAGGTGCTGCCGCGCGGCTAGAGGGTGTAAGTACCGGTAGCGTTAGTTAGTTAGGTAGCTAGGGTTGTGTTGTGGGTACTTGTGCCGATACACATGGAGAGAGGTGCTGTTTCCTCGATGTGATGTGTGGGCAGTGGGCAAGCGATACCGGCGGGCAGAGATACCAGAGGCGGACTCGGTTTGCGCCCGACGCTTGCAGGCATTCGGCACCCCGCAGCAGCACGCATGACATGCACATACCTGTCGTACAAACTCATCGTATAGGATACCGGGATATTGAGGAGTGTGTACATGCATGAAGGAGCGAGGAAGCTGCTATGTTGTGGGGTGCCAGAGGGGTGGTGGCGAAGCTATATCGGAGACTGCGCCGGGAAGATGTTTTGGTTCCGTCGAGAGGGAGGCGGGTGAGGTTGAAGAGCGCACCCTGTGGCTGGGATATAGAGCTCACAAGTGCCTTTGGCCTGGGGTTTCATATTGCATGCGTGATACCGATGGCTGCTGCAAGAGAAGGGTGCGAAGAGTGGGAAATTCAAACGAAGCCGTTGACCTCCGCAGCTGCATTTCTGAAGGTGTGCGGCGACCACCATCACTGGCACGTCGGCTCGCATGGGGCTGCACCCACACTGTCACTCCACACATGCATTCCGACATCCCGCAGCACACAGCGCACACAGCACGCAGCACAGCAACCTACACCGCACATGGACGGGGATGCTGTATTGCTATGTACCCTCCTGCAACCCAATACGCAGTAAGCTTCACCCCTGCCTAGCGACGTCGCAAAACTCTCATCCCTTCTGCGCCCTGACAAACAAACCCTCCACCACAGCAATCAAGGCAATCAAGGCAGACCGCCCACATCACCGCTAGTGCCTGCAAGCGGCGACGTGTGCCGCCGCTTTACTCGCAGCCTTTGTCTCAGGCTTCACAGGAGCCGCACAAACCTCCTCCTCGCGCGCAACGTTGCGCTCAAACACACCACAACGCGCACACCGCGCCAGGCCTCCTCCGCCGGAAGCTGCGTGCGGGCCCCCTGTACCCCACACCCACACCTGCACGACCTCCATGCGCGGAGAGCCCCCAACCCCCGCCCGAACGCTGCTGTCGCACGCTGCTGAAGAGCAACCTCCGGACATCCCACTCACTCGGGAACGCCCGCCCGGGCTGTGTAGCAGAACCAGCAGGACCTACGTGCTTAGGAGCAGCCAACGCCCTCCCGCAACACACCTGCCCGCCCAGTCCTCATGTACTGCACCACTTTAGGGCGCACGACGCCATCCGCCAACACTTAACTTCCCAAGCCAAGCATGACTCCCCCGCCAGGTAACAGCCGCGTTCTGCACTGCGGCCGCCCTGCAAATGTCGCCGCGCTGGCAACCCAACATCCACCCACTGCCTGTCCTCCACCTCCCAACCAGCACCCCTCCCGAGAAGCGCACGAGTGTTGGTACTTGACGGTGGCTGTGACGCTCACATTCCAACTGGCATCGCCGTCACCCAACCTCCCCCCCCGCAGCAGCAAACCAAGCAGCAAGCAAAGCCTAATGGACGACCCGACTTCCTCCATCCGTCTTGCCCACCCACCCCCACCTCCACCTCCTCCCAAGATCTGCGGCCACCGTATCTAAACAGCTCCCGCACCCCACTCATTACTTCTTGCCGCTGGCCGTGACGTTGAACTTGAAGTAGATGATGTCGCCATCGATCACCACGTACTCCTTGCCCTGCTGCCGGTACTTGCCCGCCGCCTTGACCGCCGACTCGCTGCCCAGCTCCTTCAGCTCATCGTACTTCATCACCTCGGCGCAAATGAAGCCGCGCTCTGGGGGAGGAGGAGGAGGAGGGGTAGGTGGGGAATGGATAGGGGAAGGGGGCGGGACGGAAAGGGGCTGAATGCATGGCAAGGAGTAGCCCAGACTACCCAGTTGACCCCATGCCCCACCTCCTCATGCGCTGATTACCAGGCCCCCCCCATGTCTTGCCGCCTCAAGTGTCTTGCCGCCCCGCCCCAGGCCCCCCCCCCCGCCCCGCCCCCGCCCCTACCGAAGTCTGTGTGGATGGTCCCTGCCGCCTGCGGCGCCTTGGAGCCCTTCCGGATCTGCCAGCACTTGACCTCGTCCTCCCCAGCCGTGAAGAAGTAGATCAGGTGGATGGCCTTGAAGCCGGTGGTGATGATCTTTAGGGTGGGGTGGGGGAGGGGGTGCAGAGGACATTCGTAGGTGGGCCCAAAGGAACGAAGAGGTGAAGCAGGAGGAGGACACAGGTGTAACGCCAGCAGCTCGCCTCCCGCTCAACCGCCAGCGTTAAACCACCCCAGCCCAGCCCCCTAACGCATTGCCCCTCCCCATTGTCCCTCCACTGCCCCCCTCCAGCCACTCCCCCCCGCCCACCTTTGGCAGCATGCAGACCACTCCCTTCTCCTTGCAGTACGCCTCCTTCTCGTCGTCCGGCATCTCGAAGATCTTGTTCTCGAAGGCGGCGGAGAAGGGGATGATGGGCTCGCCGCCGTGCGCCTGCACCCACTCGTGGATCTTGGGCAGGAACTTGTTCTTCTTGCGAGCAAAGTCCGCCTCGCTCATGTTGACTGGGGGGAGGGAGGGGAGGAGGCATGAAGCATGGGAAGAAGGAGACAAATACTACTCAACGTAGATGAGAGAGATGGGCGGCGGTGGGGCAACGGGTGGCGGAGTGAGACAAACACGGCACCCCTTTTCTAAACACGCTATGTTAAACACTACCACCATCACTACCAATTCCCCTCGTCTCCCGCCCTCCTCCCCTCCCCCCACCCACCCAAGTACACCGCCGGCTTGGCCGTCAGCAGCTGATACTCGTTCAGCCACTCCACATCCTTGGCGCCCCACTCCCCGAACCGCACGTCCTGCTCCTTGTTCAGGTGCTCCAGGATGCGGTTGGCGCACTCCAGCTCCTCCAGCTGCTCCTTCTTCAACCCGCGGCTCTTCAGCTTGTTGATCCCCTCAATCACGCCCTCAATCTTGGCCTTATCCTTGGCTCGCAGCTCGGAATGGATGATCTCCAGATCCGCAACGGGATCCACGCGATCCTCCACGTGGATGACGTCAGCATCCTCGAACGCGCGGCACACGTGGTAGATTCCGTCCACGGCGGCGATGTGGGACAGAAAGGCGTTCCCCAGCCCCTCGCCCTGAGCGGCGCCCCGCACCAGGCCGGCAATGTCGACAATGTCCAGGAAGGCGGGCACGGAGGACTTGGGTTTGTAGAGGGAGCAGAGCCAGGTGAAGCGGTCGTCGGGGATGTTGACGCGCGCGGAGTTGGGGTCGATGGTGCAGAAGGGGAAGTTCCTGGGAGGGGGGGGGAGAGGGAGGGAGGGTGAGGAGAGGGAGGGAGGGTTAGGATGGAGGGCGTTAGGAGGAGAGGGAGTGGGCAGAGGGTTGTGAGCCGGGGAGGGGGCTGGCAGGAGGGCAGCGGGTGAAGCAGGCGGATACGGGGGAGGGGTAATGGAGGGGCGCACCGAGGACGTGTGAGAGAGCTGGAGCTGAGGTGAGGTGAGGTGGGTAGCACGAATGCTGGGGAGCTCTCCCTCTGTCTGTCTCCCTCTTTCAGCTCTGCTACCCCCGTGGCGGTCCTCCCTCCTCCTCCCTCCTCCTCCCTCCTCCTGCCACCCGCACGGCACCCCACGCAAGGGACACCCGCCATGGCCCACACCGGCGGCTCATCCACCCCCCGCCATGTGCGTGTGCGACCCACGGGGCGATCACCCAGCGAGCCGGGGAGCTCCGCTGCCGCCAACCCCCCCTGCCTGGCTGCCTGGCTGGCGCAGTGGGCGCATGCGAGCGCACCCAGTGACGCTGTGTGCACATGCGACACGCACTCACACGGGGTCGGCAACACGGCGACCCAACACCCAACAGACCCAACACCGAAACGCAACAACACCCAACATGGTAATACCCAGAAAGGAGCTGGCCCAACAGGATGAACTCAAGTCCGCTGCCGCTGCCACCCACCGCACCATTGGTACATACCGCCCTCATCCAGCGCCATCCCATGTACGGCAGGCAGGCAGGCGGGCAGCTAGGAAGGGCCATGCATACCCCCCATGTGCGCGCGTGTGCGTGCTAAGAGTATCAAAAGCAGCTGCCGCCCGTCGCATCGGGGGTTGCCTGGCTAACCGGCGGCGAAGAACGGGTCATAGGGCCACGAACCTAAGGGCTGCCTCACTCCCCTATAGTCCCTCCACTCTTTGCAACCCCCGTTGTTGTGTAAGTCATACGTACAGTGCTTACTGGCGAGCTATGCATGACATGCTAGCTTAATGGAGGGATGCATTGCGCATGCCGGGGAGGCATGCGTTCAGCCGGTCTCAGCAGGATTGAGAACCCAGATCGGATGGAGTAGATGCTATTTATGCGGGTATCATAGATGGTACGTGCATCGCAATACATGATGTGCCCGAAGCGACCGACCCGCACGATCGCCGCCGCATACGCTCACTTACTCAGCAGGCACGCCGACGCGCGTGAGCAAGTTGAACAACGTAGACTTGCCTACGTTAGGCATTCCCACAATGCCCATCTTCAAGTGTGACTTGAAGCGGCCAAGCAAGGGCCGCTCCTTAGGGGCCTCCTGCTTCTTCGGCGCCATATCGACCTAGGTCGCTTTCAGCAAATCTACTTAGAGTTGATGTGTGAGTTCTGGAATACCAAGCGCGCCCTGTAAGGACCAGACTGTCGACGCAGTGCCGCCGAATAGTGCTCTAACGAACGTTAGGTGATACGCAGACGGCCCCGTACTTGGCAATCTAACAGTTAGTAGCACAAGGAAAAAGACTTTGACTATAGGAAGCTTACAAAATAAGCGGTTGTAGTGCTCGGACGTTTTGGACGGTGAAGGTGCACACGATTCCTTCAATCTCAGTTTTTACCATCTTGCCGTCTACGGCAAAGACGAATTATTATGTCAGAAGAAAATGACGTCTCACTGCCTCGAAGTAAGGTCGTTGTCGCGCTCGGTCGATTAAAGGTCTCCACTGTTGACTCCTTTCCTGGTTTCGCCCTTACTCAGCCACGTTACAGAAAATGATAAAGGACCTCTTACCACCAGACATGCGCGTTGCCAACGATACTGTAGACCTGGTAATGGCATGCTGCACAGGTGCGCAATCAATGCCGGACGGGTCCACACGCTCCCGTTCGTCCTCCCCCTCCCCTATCCCCTTTCTCCCTTACCCGCTTCCCCCCCCTCCTCTCCTGATCCTCCCAGAATTCATCCAGCTGGTGTCCTCCGAGTCCAATGAGGTGGCCACACGCGAGGGCCGCTCCATCATCCACCCCGACCACGTGCTGCGGGCGCTCAGCGAGCTGGGCTTCCCGGGCTTCGTGGGGGAGGTGACGTCAGCCTGGGAGACGTTCAAGGAGGAGACAAAAAGTGGGTTGGTTGGGCTAGGTTGGGATTGGAGTTAGGCTTGGTATGAGATTCTGATGGAGGGAGGGTGAAGGGAATTATGGAGCTGGCAGGCACAGGGAGGGGGCCCAAGCGGGGTGTTTTTGTACGACAAAGGGCCACATGTCTGCACCTTGCCCTCCTCTGCACCTCTTCCTCCCCTCCTTCACTGCCTTCGCCCTCACCCCCCCCCTCCCTCATGTTGCAAACCATGATGATGCCTTATCACACGGTCAGTTAGATGTTTCCTCTTTACCCCCCCCCCTCCCTCCCCCTAGCCGCCCACTCGCGCAAGGCCGACCTGCGCAAGACGGGGGCGGAGCAGGCGGGACTGTCCGAGGAGCAACAGGTGGGAGCCGGGCGGGCGGGGGGGCGGGGTGCCGGGGACCCTTGGAGCAGGGTGGGGTTGAAGAGAGCCCAACAGCCCTTCATACTTGAGTACGTCTTACAGCGCTAATGTGCATGTAAACTACCTCCCTCCTTAATCTCCCTGCTCCCTCCCCTGCTCTACCCCCCTCCCCCCCTCCCCGCACCTCCCTCCCCGCACCTCCCCTCTCCCAGATCCTGCTGCAGCAGCAGATGTTCGCGGAGGCTCGCGCGCAGTCCATGACCACCTCCGAGTCCGCAGCGGCCATGCACGCCGCCTACGAGCAGGCGCTGGCGGCGCAGGCGCAGGCGCACGCACTCGCGGCGGCACAGCAGCAGCAGCAGTACAAGCAGGAGGAGCTGGAGGAGGAGGAGGACTAGCAGAGGGGAGGGATGGCGGCAGGAATGGAGGGATGGATGGATGGGGGGGATTGCGGCGGCAGAGGCAGGCGCATAGGAGTGTGAGGTGCTGTGGAGAGGGAGGGATGGAAGAGGCTGCTCCAGCCTGTCGACCTGAAAATTGATGACCAGGGGAAAGAAGAAAAGCCAGGAGAGGGAGGGGCAGGGTCACAGGAAAGGGTATCAGGAGCGGGGACGCATGGGGGGGAGCGGTGAGTAACCAGCCGGAAGCATGAGGCAAGTAGTTATGGGAGGATTGGGGAGGGAGGAGGTGAATTAGGGGATGGGTAGTGTGGTGGTATGAGGAGGTGTGCGGCAGGAGGCCTGTAGATCCAGGCCTGTATACCCGGTAGCGCATTTGGCATGTGGCGTGTACTGGGGAAGAGAAGCCGCCGGCGGCTGGAGGGTGAAGTATTGCAAGTACTGCGAGTGTGTTTTGTGAGGTGGCTAGGGGCCGCGGGAGGGGCCGGAGACGGGTTTGGGATGTCTAGACGCTCCGTTGTGCTCGTCCAGGTCCAGGTGGTGCCCTCACGTGTGGGACAGGGCGCCGTGCCAGGTGTGAATGCCTCATTTACATGTACACGCATGTTTATTGCTCAATAATGCATATGCCGGTACTTGTACTTGCTAGGCATGGTAGAGAGTGCTAATCAGCAGGTGTCCCGGTTGCATCCGACCCATGGGTCCTTAGCTGCTTACGGGTACGGAAGCGACATGGGATGTCGTCCTTTCCGTTACTGGCTGTTGGGTGGTCTGACGGGTGTGATGGCCACGTGGCGGCGGGTGGGGAGCTGATGACGTACCATGAACACGGATACCGAACGGAACCACGCAAGGCAGGAGCTGACTGATCGGGGGATACATGCATGGGGGTTACCGTATGACGGAGCGCATGGGGCTCCTGTCTCCTGCTTCTGGCGCCTTTTCGGGGCACAATGGTCAGGGAGGGGGTGTTTCAGGGGGCATGATACAGGTATGTGGCGCGTGGCGTTAGTCTTTAGTAGGGCGCCTGCTGTTGCATGCCCTTTTGCCTGTTTACGTGTGCATTGAGGTAACGCTCTTGAGAACGGACCGGGTGCGTTAAGAGGAAAGCGGGGGATGAGGGAATGATAGCCCGGCAGTGGCAATGCTTAGTAGCCTTGATAACTACAAGTGTTGAACGCGAACAGGGCACGCATGCCGTCTTTGTTGTTGGAGTTGTTGCTGTCCGCCCTGTAAGGTGGCGTCAGGGCTCTAGACCCGGGGGGCCGTTGCTTGTGATGGTGGGTGCGTCGTGCGCTTGTCGGTACGACCGTTTTGCATGGGGGTTGCAAGGATAGTAACATACACATACGCGGCCTCGCGGCCAGCTTTCTTAACACATACACGCTTGATCCCAATTGCTTGCTCTTGTCCTACTCAACTACACATGCATGCTCTCCAGAAGCAGTCCTTAGGCAGCATGCCTCGAGCATGCCCCGATGTAACTCTTTGAAGGCTACCATGTCATGGCTGTAGGGCAGGACAGAGGTCAGCGGATGGAGGGCAGTGACAGGCCCAGCTGCCCCACCAGGGTGGTGCTGTTGCACGCGGAATGAGCGTTACGGTTGCTGTCTTGTCCTACCTACCGTACCACTGACGACCTGGCCACGATATGCTTCCTGCGGCGGCTGGGCTGCCCCTGGGGACTCCGCGGGTACCTCTTCACAAGCTGCATTCGCCGGGATTGCTGTTGCCAAGTGCTGAGCGGCTTAGTGAAGGAGGGCTGCCCGGTAAACTGGCTGCAGCAGTGAAGGAGACGCGACTGGCCGCGCAGGGTAGCGGCAGTGGCAGCGTGCGCGCTGGGGAGAGGGTGGAGTGGATGAGGGAGATCAGAGATGGGCGGGTGGCGGACACAGCAGCAGGGCAGCTGAGGCTACTCTGGAGGCACACACGGATGGTATGCGGATGGCGGCTCAATCGTTGTGTACAGCCTGGGGTGCGTGCCGGCGCTGAATGTGAACAAGTGGAGGTATCACCTTTGTGCTCCTCGGACACCGTAGTAGGGTTGGAGCACGAGGAGGCTGCCGTGCACCGTCCAGCTGCCTGGCCGGCCCATGCCGGTAGCAGCCTGTAACGGATCCAAGTGACGCACCCATCCGGTGTCCTTTGGTTCATTACCGTACATTGTAGAACTTAATATCGTAGCAGAGAAACGCAGGGGGGGAGGATTGGAGGCCTAAGCCCGTCAAACATACCGGTATGTCTTGCCCATCTGTTAGGTCTGATAGATGACAGTGCGGAAGTGTCTTGAGACGCGGCAGACCCACGGGTCACGGTTATTCCTTAAAGGGTCCTTTATACCAGGCGCTTGGTTGCCGTGTGTGAAGCGGGATGTGTGGTGTAGGGTTTGCACACAGGGACCTAGGGTTTAAGGCAGTAGCAGCGTGTCATTAGGTTGACTGAGTGGGATGATGCACTTTGCCTAGCTTGGTTACGATTGTTACTTCATGCATGTGTTGAACCTGCTGGATATGCGCCATGTACATCTATAAAACTTCAATCAGGCGGCGCTTGTAAAACATGTAGGAGCGGAGGGAGACGGGGAAGAGCGGCGAGGGCTTAGGTGTGCACTGAGGGAGGGAGGGAGTGGGAGTGGAAGAAACGACATGGGTCGGGCGCGGAGCATTTCAGAAGAGCGTAGCGTTGCACTGTATGTACAACGGCAGTACAATGGCCTCAACGCCTTTGAGCACCGGTACATACGCCATCCATCCGCCGACCCATGAGGTGCAATGCAGGCCATGGCAAGCTGAAAACGTACGGCAGGCAGCAGTGACATGCCATTCTGCACGCAAGACAACCGGCTGCCCAACTGTTACCTCATAACATGCCACGACATCACACGCACAACATACCGTACAACAGCATGGACCAACTCCTCTGTTCGGCGCACTTGAACAACCGACATGCATCAACAAGTCTCCACAACGACAGCCAGGCTATACCCACCCGTACCACCGGTACCAGGTGGGTAGGCAAGCACCCGCGACACAGTGTGGTCCTGGACTCCCTGCAACACGTGCGGTGCGGTGCGTTATGCCCAACATGCCCCGCCTCCCCAACGGCATGTAACCGCACACCGGCTCCCAATCTATCAGGCCCAGCAAACGCCAACCAACGCAGCGTGAATGCACTGCTGTAACGCCAAAGCCGCCTAATAAAAAAATATAAAACAATCAACCGGCCTTCCGTGCATCCATAGCCTTCCATTCGTAAACCTTTACTAGCCGCATGGCCTCAAGTCATCAGGTCCTCTTGTTATTCGTGCCCCATGCGGATTTTACGTACCCTCAGCTCCTCACACTAACCCCATCAGCAGCCGCAAACCTGCCCCCTCAAGCTGCCCATACCGCCCCTCTCACACAGCAGTTCCCACTCGCTCCTTACACAGTCCTCCGCCCCCCGCGCCCCCCGCTGCCTAGCTACTTGGCTGCAGCCAGACGGTCCGCCACGTTCTTCCAGTTGACCACCTTCCAGACCGCCCGCAGGTAGTCCGGCCGTACATTCTTGTACTGCAGGTAGTAGGCGTGCTCCCACACGTCCACTCCCAGCAGCGGCACCAGACCCTGCACATGCGCGCGGCAGCCGGCGCAACATGCATGAGCCCGTACGACAAGTAACCCGGTACGTGCAGCGGGTTAGGTGAACTCATGCTGTCATGCAGCTAAACACCTCTCCCTGCTGGGTGCCCCTCACCACCTAGCATTGAAGAGGTCAAGATCTCCCGAGGAGCAGCACCCGGGGGCAGGGCCCCCCCCCCCCCCCTTCCGAGCAGTGTCAGTGTCTCATTAAATGGTTTACCCCCCCCCCTTCCGAGCGACACGCGCCTGCACGGCTGCTCACCTTGATGGCCAGCGGGTCCTGATTAGGCGTGGTGGCGATCTCAAGCCGCCTCGCATCCCGGTTGTAGCCCAGCCAGCCCCAGCCAGAGCCCTGATTGGGCGGTGGCGGGGGAGCAGGTGCGGTGAGGGCGCCGATGGAGGTTGGGTGGCAATGCATGGTGGCGAAGGTAATCAAAACAAGAGCGGCCGGAAAAGCAACATAGCGGACCTCCTCAGTTGCTACTACGTACAAACGGGCTTCAGTTAGCGGTACTAGCGCACCTTCTGTTAACCCAGTGCCCCCGACACTCGTACACCATAACACCAACCTGCACTGCGGCCGTCTGTGTGTTGAAGGTAGAGATAAAGCCGTCCACCGACCTCCACTGGTCCTCAATGAGCTCCTTGAGCTCACCCGAGGGCGGCTCGAACTCCTGCAAGAGGCGAGAAAGGCGCGATCGGGCGACGATTCCGCTTCCCGCCCCTCCGCGACGATTCTTATTCCGCGACTGATGAAATTCTGATCCGCACGGAATGAGTCATGCGCCGTTATCTACCTTGTGCGGGCAGAGGTTTGTCCAGAAGATGTCGTGGTTGATGTGGCCTGCGTACGGCAAGTTGGTCAACCGTTATCTGTCCTCAAGGGCAAGGGGGGGCAGGACAGTGAGGTCCCACGTTCGTCGTTCGTTCGGTTTCGACGCACCTCCGCCGTTAAATTTAATGGCGCTCTGCAGCTTTATGATCTTGGAGACATCGCCCTTCTCCTCCGCCTCGTCCTGCTGCTCAAGCGCCTTGTTCAGGTTCGAAACGTAGGCTGCGTGGTGCTTAGTGTGGTGGATCTTCATGATTTCACCCGAAATGTAAGGCTCCAGAGCGCTGTAATCGTAGGGCAGATCTGGAAGCTTGACCGTTGTGAACGCGCGTATCGCAGCAGCAACCGGAGAAGCGGAGCCTTTCGGACCCTTTCGGGAAGCTCCAGCCGCAGCAGCTAGCAGGCCGCGAGCGAGCATTTTCTTGCAGGCTGTTAGCTAAGGAACCTTGTGCTGCCGCTGTTTATGTAGCAGGTGATCCCAACTGCTTAGCAGATGTATCCTGGCACGCGTTCTGCAAAGGGAGAGTTATTGGGTACCCACACCAGTGATTCATGCTCAGTCATCCGTCAACCGCCGCTGCCGTATAACTTTGCCGCAGCGTCTCCGAAACTAGCCAATGAATGGATACTCTTGAAATCGAGGGCCCCGAGTGCGCTAATTGAGGGCAGCGATGGATCCATGGAACCCTTGGGGAGACCTGCCGTCTGAGCTACCGGCGATCAAACAACACCGGTGCAAGCAAGGATATCAGGGAATGAGACCGCAGCGGCCTTTTTGCAAAACTTGTCTCATCCAATCTCAAGTCGTCCTGGGTTTACGGTGTTCCTTGTAAAGCCGGCATACGTCTTCGTCAGGAGCGGAGCCTAAGGTAACAATAATGTGAAATACGCACTAAGACGCAGCCGTAAAAGACAAACACGTCGCTGCCCGCGCCGGTAAAGGTACAAGACACCGTCAGGCACAACACATGCGAGCGACCACCCGACCAGGCAGGTAGGGGGTTTGCGTGTCCTGCATTGAAGCGTTCACGTCATCACACAGCACAGGACGTTACACAGCACACACACAGCCCCAACACAACTCAAACAAGCTCTGTTAACCATGCGCCAAGGCATGAGGGCATGCCTCGCTTTAAAAGTCCCAAATGTTCAAGACTCAACACGCACATCACACAAGGAACCATTGTTACGGTCATTCATTCACATACAGAAACACATCGGTTTGCGCAGGTAACTGCTAGCAGCCAATTGACTCTCGCCGCACACGCTCGCACGAGGCGGCACACGCAGCGCCCACTTGACTCGTGCGCGGGTCATAGCATCCTGGTCGCGATAACAAACCTAACACATCACTTCACACACACCGCACATCAAACCGCGTAAAAATAGGACGGTACAGGACGTCAAGCAAAGAAGGCTGGGTTGAGGCTACAAGTCGTGCGGTTAGGCGCTGCCGGGGTGCACAGAATGAATGAGAGCACATGCCACACAAAGCAACAAGACAAGGCAAGCATGCACTAGTTACACCCACAACAGGGCGGTAAAAGGTAGGAGGTGCACAGGCCCACCGTAAGTCGCATGTTCGTTATTGTTAGCAGTTAAGCAGTACCAGCATCGCCTGCGGGGAGCCCGGGCGCGCCGCTGTGCTTACCGTGCCAGCAACACACGCTCAGCGGGTAGCTCATCTAGGGCGCACACGCATGCGTGAGAAGCGCGTGTCATCAAGCCCCATGCAAGGAAACCAACACGCCCGGAAACCGTGTGGAATACACCAGCAGGAGCTCATGGCTTCATGCATGCAGCATGCAACATCGGGTTTAGCCGTTTGTTTCCCCACCGGCCATGCAGCAGCCTCTCCTTGCCGGGAATCACAGCCCCTGCAAAAGCACAGCGCCGCAACAAGGATGGCAAGATTGGCAACAGCCCGTACACACTGCCGATAAATCCTGCCGTGTTCAACCTAACACCTGATACAATAGTTTACGTTGCGCCCCCCCCCGAGGCAACAACCAAGCGACCAACTCGTGAAATGCAAGAGTTATCACACCCTGCAAGTCCAAGCGTCCCTACCGTCAAGACTTACACCACTTGCCCCCGCCGCCGCCCCGCCGGTGGAGCCCCGCATGCCACTTGACTGACTGCAAACCCCACCACAGCACCAGCACCAGCACCAGTAACAGAAGCATTTACGTAAAATACACCCAAAGTACTATGGCACACATTAAGGCATGAAGGCAAATGATGTCCGCTTGAAGACACGTGGTCTGAGGCACCTCGGCGCAATCCTCCTCCAATTGCAGCACCAGTTTACTGGCGGTGTCATCTGGTGACAAGGACAAACCCCCAACGTCTTTCTCAGAAGTACTTTTCTACCGCAGCGACCCATGGGTCACGGCTGGCTGTCCTTGCTGGCGCCAGCCTGCCTCGCCGCACCTAGTGAGCAAAGGTGCGCAGCGCGCACTCTGCCATTAGGCCTGTAAGCACACCCTTATACCACAGGCATGCACCAACCATTACCATGTTATCATTATCATGGTAAAATTGGGTTTCTAGACCCCCGTCGTCATCAGTGCCAACTCCATCTCTCAGAGCGCTTCTCTCCTCCTCCTCGCACATCTTACCCCCACATACACCGAGCCATCATGGCCATTGATCACTCATAGCCCCGTCACCTCGCAGCGCCTGCCAACGCTTGTTAGCCCCCGTAGCCCGCCCTTTCCATTTCCATTTCCCCAGGCCATGATTCCCACTACAGCTGCTGCATCTTCGCCACATCACCACACCATTCATCGCCACGTATCACACACACCATTTCATCAAAGAATCCCTCCACAGCAAACAAGTGCCCGACAGCAAGCACACTAGGCTCCGGAACCGGTCACGTAACACGTAACCGGTCACAAGTGACTTCGGCAGTCCTCCCTCCCCCTAGCTCACAGGTCCAAGGGCTGCTCAACCTTATCACCTACCGCGTCCATTCCACGACACGAATGGTACCGTCTGTGCTTATTCAAACCTTGAGTTCGTGTGGGTTAGTATTAGCACACCGCTTTCATGTCGAGGCTAAGGGCGGGGTGTGGCAGCGCTACGGGCTGTCTTTCAAGAGAGACGGGGCGATGGAGAGGCTGCGGGTAGAGAAAGTGGTGCGCGCCCCAGCCCCCCAGTACATCATACACATACAAACACACAACGCGGGTGCACGAACACACAGGCCACCCCGCGGCCAGTTTCGTAGCACACAGGACACCGCGCGACGGACGTGTTCACCAGTCCCCAGCAGACCCACGGGTCGTGCTGCGGTGTGTCACAACTCGGTCGCCGGCCCGCTCTCCGGCTGCATGGTGGGGCTATGTGTGCAGGGAGGGCGGGGAAGGCACCAGCAGCAACCCTAGCAGCACCTGCGGCAGCGTCCCTATCAGCCGCCACTGCAGCCCTGCAGCCGCGCTACTAGGGGCTGAGGACCACCTGCAGCCGCGGCGCTGCCTCCACCTCCGCCACCTGCAGCGGAGCAGGCAGCAGCACCCCGCTGGCACCACCTAGCTGCTGCTGTTCCTGCTGCTGCTGCTGCCGCTGCTCCTCTTCCTCCTCCGCAATCTGGTAATGGAAGGGAGGGCGGGAGGGCACAGGGTTGTGTATGCGGGAACACGGCACTGGCTATGCCACCTCCCACTATGCCACCTCCTGGCGTCATGCCGCGCCGCACACACACACCCCTCACCGCCAGTGTTCTAAACACTCCCCCTCCCCTACCTCTCCCCGCAACCCGCACAGCGCTACACCCTGACAGCAGGGCAACACCACCGCCCTGCCACATCCCCACGCAATGCCTTTTCCCAAAGCATCACTCCACCCCTCCCACCATGCATGCGCCCCCTCACATCCCCACCCCACCCCTCTATGCACCTATCTATAATTTTCACCCCTCCCCTCCCCGGTCCCCGCTCCCCCCTCTCACCACCTGCTCCCCCCTCTCACCACCTGCTCCCCCCTCTCACCACCTGCTCCCCCCTCTCACCACCTGCTCCCCCCTCTCACCACCTGCTCCCCCCTCTCACCACCTGCTCCCCCCTCTCACCACCTGCTCCGCCGTCTTGCCCGTGTCCGCCAGCTTGCGGTAGCGGGTGCGGTTGGTCCTCAGCTGAGCCAGCTGCGGGGCCAGCTCCGGCAGCACCTCCACCAGCCGCTCCCACAGGCTGGTCACCACGTAGTCCTGAGCAGGGGGGGGAGGGGGGAGGGGTCAAAGACCATGTACCAAACCATAGGGTTGTGGTATCCTGGAGTCAACGGGAGCGGGACAGTTAGCCGCGGCACAGCCCTGGGGCCCCGTCATGAAGATGTTCACAGCTCTCAAGTGCTCTCCCCACCCCTCTCCACCCCACCCCTCCCCTACAACAACTACAATTACATGCTAAACCAACTACCCAGCCTAATACGGAATATGTATCCCTGATAAACCCCACCCCTCCCCACCTCTCCCGACCCGCCCCACCCCTCCCCAGTCTATCTAATACCCCTCCCCACCCACCGCCCCCCCCCCTCACCAGGAAGTTCAACTCCACTCGGGCGCACATCACATGGTCGCGCGTGTCCACCGCGAAGGTGACGGGCAGCCCCAACCGCACCTCCGTCGCCGCCTGCGACTCGAACTCCGCGTGCACGCGGCGGCTCATGGCGTGGTTCACGTGGAAGGGGCGGACCGCGTTGCCGATGTCGGCCGCGTGCAGGATGACCTGGGGGGTGGGGGCGGGGGGTGGGGCGGGAGGTGAGGGTGGAGGGGGGGAGGACACGGGTTTGTGCTGCGGCTAGGGCAAACCGGCGACAACACGTGGACATACTGTGAACATCGAGTGGGGTGGGGTGAGGTGGGATGGGGTGGGATGGGGTGGCGGGTGGGGGCTACATCACCTAATCCAGCGTCCCCACCACCACCACCACCACCACCACCGCCACCACCACCACCACCACCACCACCGCCACCATCCGGTACGTATCATCCACAGTCACCCAAGTCACCCCCCCCACTCCCCCACTCCCTCACTCCCTCGCACCTTGAGCAGCAGCATGCGGTCGGACTCATTGTCCGGCTCGTACGACACGCCGTGTTTCTGGAACTCCTGCGTGAGTGCGAAGTGGTTGGCCATGTCGGTGCAGAGGATGGCGGCGATGACGGCCTTGCGCAGCGCGCGCCGCTCGGGGGGGCTGAGCGGCTGCGTGATGTCGCAGTCGGGGCGGGAGAGGATGGCGAAGGCCATGGCGCAGTGGTGGTTCTCCATGACGGACTGGTCGTTGTAGATGCGGGCGATACTACCGGGGTGGGGGGTGGGGAGGGGAGGGGAGGGGGGGTTTGGGGAGGGGAGGGGAAGTAGGATGCGAGTCATTCCGCGGTGTGAGAGGTGGGTGTGTGCAACGAGGGGTGGCACAACAACCCTGCCTCTCACAGCACCGATGCCGGCATCTCGCACTTTTACTACCAACAAGGTACATCCACAGCCTCCTCTCCCCAGCTCTCCTGTTCCTTCCCGCTCTTCCTGGTCGTTACGTTACACTGTCATCCTCATGTGCCTCCTTCCCGCCTCTCCCCTCCCCTCTCGCCCGTCTCCCCTCCCCTCTCGTCCCCCCTCCCCTCCCCCCCTCCTCCCCCTCCCGGGTATCTCACGCGCTGCCGCTGTTGACGTGGAAGCTGTTGGAGTTCCCGTCGTGGTCCAGGTCGTGGCACAGCGCCGCCAGCAGCAGCGACAGCCGCTCCAGGGGGGTCAGCACCTCGCGCACGCGGGTGGTGGTGGCGATCTGGCGACCCGTGGGTCAGGGTGGGGGTCAGGGCGGGTCAGCAGTAGACAACTACATAATAATCACCCCGCTATGCAGCTCGCAGGACAGCCCACAGTTCATCGCCATCGCGAACTCGGTATCGGTACGCGGCAACTAAGCCTACTTTGCTTCATGACAAACTGCTTCCCTCTATCCCCAATGCTTAGCCCTAATCTCTGGTTTTGGAATGTCTCTTGACACCTCCCTACCCTTACCCACCCCTACCCCTCCCTCCCTTTCCCTCCCTCCCCTCCCCACCCCTCCCTCCCCTCCCCGCCCTACCCCTACCCCTACCCCTCCCCTCCCCTCTCTACCCCTACCCACCCCTCCCCTTACCCACCCCTATCCCTCCCCCTCCCCCTCCCCGCCCCACCAGGAAGGTTGCATGCAGCACGTGGCACACGTGGTTGAAGTTGTGGTAGGGAATGTCGTGGTAGTGGCTGGCCACCGCAGTCAGGAAGTTACGCAGGGTCTGCAGGAGGGGGGGCAGGGGGGGGGAGGTGGAGTAGGGCGCATGCGGGTTGGGCAGGGTTGAGCAGGGCCCGGGTTCGCGGGTTGGGCAGGTGGCCGCATGCTGCAGGCGGACCCCCTTCCACACGGTTAACACGGTGCCCCGCTGGCAGCCGACATCCGGCCCCCGCACCCCCCCCCCCACCTCCCAGCTGCATCCCCCCCTCCTTCCCTAATACCCCTTCCTCCCTCCATCCACATTGGACATTCTTCTCTTCCCCCACCTTGGGGCTCAGCGCAAAGTCGTCCAGTGCGCCCGACACCGTGAAGATGTCGTACGCCAGCTTGATGAGCTCCTCGGTGCCGTACTGGGTGAAGTCCCAGTCCCAGGAGCGCAGCTGCTCCTCGGGGTGGAAGCAGGGCGAGCGGCAGCTGTCCACACGAACCAGGTTGGAGCAGCTGAGGTGCGAGCGCAGGGCCTGGGGGGGAGGGGGGGGAGGGGTGGGGGGGTGGGGGGGTGTTAAGGAGGGAGGGAGAAAGGTTGGAAGGGGGAGGCGGGAGGGAGGGACATGGGTAGTGAGCAGCGTTGAGTGGAGGCAGCAGGGCAGTGTGTTCGTTCATGAACGCACGGGCGTTAACCACTTGCCCAGTAGCCCCAACCACCACTACCGTCACGGTCAGCGCTCCCGCGCGGCTCAGTCTACCCACCCCACCCCAACCACCATTGTCAAACCCCTCGCACCTGCGGACCCCCACGACCAATCACCCCCCTCCACCCCCTCCCCTCCCGCCCCACACCCCGCACCTCCAGGTCTGCCACCCCGCTCGCCCCCAGCGCAGTCGCCTCCGCCGCCGCCCGCAGCTCCGCCAGCACGTCCGCATTGAGACCCGCTGCGAAGGGCTCGGGCAGCGCAGCAGCAGCAGCAGCCCCCTCGCCACCCCCCGCCGTCACCACCGCCGCCACCGCCACTCGCCGCCGGCTCTTGGCGCGCAACAACCCAGCCGGTGAGGAGGCGTCTGCTGCCCCTGCTGCCCCTGCTGCCCCTGCTGCCCCTGCTGCCCCGGCAGCCCCCGCCGTTGCAGCTGAGGCCACCTGCGCTGAGGCGTTCAAGGCCCCCTCTGCCTCACCATCCGCTTCTTCCTCCTCCTCATCAAAGCGATCCCGGTACTCCTCCTCCTTCTCTTCCTTCTCCGTCTCCGCCGCAGCGCCACCGTCGCCGCTGTCGTACCCGCCGCCGCCGCCGCCGCCTCCGCCCGAGTCTCCGCCCGCCGGCCGCCTCCATGAAGCCATCAGACGACCCAGGCCGCCTCCCGACGTAGTCACCCCCGCCGCAGCGCCCCCTAACCCCCCCGACGCTGACGCCCCTCGTCCAACACTGGTCCTCTTGGACTGCTGCCCCTGCACCTGCCCCTGCACCTGCCCCTGCACCTGCTGCACCTGCTGTTGATGATGCACAAGAGGCAGTGCAGGAAGCGGCAGCAACCGCGACGCCAACTCCGGCGGCAACCGCTGCACTGGCAGCAGCAGCAACGCTTGTACGGCAGCCGCGCCGCTGACGCCGGCGCCCGCCGACAGCGACATGCTGGAGCGAGCCGGCAGTACCCCGCCGCAGCCGCCGCTCCCGCCCCCGCATGCAGTGGCCGCGCCCACCTGCAGAGATGCCCTCAGTGCTGCCGCCGTTTGCTCCGCTAGGGTGCTGGAGGCGCAGCGGAGGGATGCCAGATCAGGCAACATGGGGTCTGAGGTGCCGGAGGGGTCGGAGCCTCGCTCGTAGGAGGGGGGGCCTGCGGGCTCGACCACGTGCGCAGTGGCGGAGGGTGTGGCGGTGGCGGCTGCGGTGGTGGTGAAGTGCGGGGGGAGTGGGGGGGCGAGGGGGGCGGCGCCGGGGAGGGGTGGCTGCGGTGACGGCGCGGAGCCGGGAGGGAGCTCTGAGGGGTCCTCGAAGCCGGGTATGGAGCGGCCGTTCTGAGGGGTGGGTGAGGGGTCGGGGGGAGAGGGGTGCGAGGCAGGCGGGAGGTGGTCTAAGGGTCGGGAGGTGGGGGACATGGAGGAGACATGTTGGGAGCACGACACCCTAGCTGTGCAGACCCAACATCGCTGCACTCAGCCAGCCATCGTGCCAGCATGGCCCCGCAGATGACCGCGTACGTCGCATTCCGTACCTACTCGGCCTCCCTCCTTTAGTTACTAACCATTCTCTCCCTCCGGCCCTCTCCCATCTCTATGCACGGCAGTCAACCCCCTCCCCTAGGTCCCTTCCATTACCTCTGCCCCCTCCCTCCGCTCCCCCTCCTCCTCCTCACACACCTGCATGCGGCTGCTGCCCCAAAGTGACCCACGGGTCGCCAATCCCGAATTGCCCAGCCGCCCGCAAACCGACACCACATTCCGATGCCGCGAAGCGCCACCCGCCCCGCCTCCGGAAGACGAGCAGCCGCCCGCTGCTGCTGCTGCTGCTCCACCAACAGCCGCTCCCGCATTCGCTCCTGCCGCTCGCCTGGAAGGTGCTTCCGCGAAGAAGGCGTTACGTCGTCGCTCCAGGGAGGCTCGCACCTGGCTGGCGGTGGAGAAGGAGCTGCGGTTGAAGACGCTGCTATGGGAGGCGGACCCTTCCCTGCAGGGGGGGAGGGTGCAAGGGGAAGCGGAGGAGGCGGGGGAGTGGGTGAGGAACGGAGGTGATGAGCGGGCTCTTGCATGGCTCAAGCAAGCTACCATGCTAGCAGCGGACCCCTTCCTTGAGACACCTGATGCAGACACAACCCATACACCCCGCACCCATATTCCCAGCACAGCGCGCCCTCACACACAATACCCCCAGCACCCCCACCCCCACCATGACGTTACCAACCCCACCCCATCCCCCCCGATCCTCCCCTCCCCCACTTTTTGAACTCCGGTAGGTACATCTGGATGAGCTGCGAGCGCAGGAAGTCCTCGTCCCCAGACGCCGTGCTGCCGCCTCCCAGACCTCCTCCTCCTCCGCCTCCGTCTGCACCCCCGCCGCCGCCGCCCGCTGTTCCCCCCGCCCCGCCGCCTGCCCCCGCCTCTCCCCCCGCTGCTGCCGCCGCTGCCGGCGGCTGCGCGTTGGGGTGCGCCCCGTTGTGCCCCACCACCGACAGCGCCGACATGAGGGACAGCTCCAGGGTGCGCTCCGACAGCAGGTCACCCACCTCGTAGGCGAACAACTCCATGGCGCGACTGAGGGGGGGGGAGGGGGAGGGGGGGATAAAAGGATAAGTGCAGCAAGAGGGGGAAGGGGGGTGAGAGGGGGAGCAAGAGAGGGGAGGAAGAGAGGGGTGAGAGGAGAGGAATGGAAGGTATCCTGCGGTAAGTGCCCCGCTCGCGGCCCACTGTGCCACCCCCCCCCAATTCCCACCGCCCTCCCGCTCCCTCCCCCACCCCCGTGTCGTCCCTTCCCCCCCCTCCCCCCCCTTCCCCCCCCTCCCCCCCCTCCCCCCCTCCCCCCCTCCCCCCCTCCCCCCCTCCCCCCTCACCAGTCCGCATCCGTGAAGAAGGGCTCAAAGAAGATGTCATTGGTCCCCTCCGCCTCGCGCTTGTTCACCGCCAGCACCACCGCCAGCACCTTGCTGTTGGTGGAGCCCTGGATCGGCTGAACCAGCACGCTCTTCACACGAGCAGGACCACCGCCCCCGCCACCACCGCCACCACCACCACCGCCACCGCAACCCGGCCCGCCGGCAGCTGCGGCCCCACCTGCAGCCGAGCTGCACCCCGCGCCGCCACTCATGACGATGCCCGAGGCGGGCGCGGAGGGGCAGGAAGAGAAGCCGGGGGTGGAGGCGGTGGTGGCGGCGCCAGCAGTGGGGTCGGCGGGTGCGGAGGAGGAGGATGCGCAGGGTGGGGTGTGGATGCTGTGGTAGGCTGCGAGGGCGGGTGCGGAGGAGCGCGCGGGGCCGCCGCCTGCGTGTGAGGCGCCGCGGGGGTGGCAGGAGGCGCCCAGGAGGGGCGCCAGGCGGCGCAGGGCGGGGTCGGAGCTGGCGTCCGTGAACTCCTGCGGGGGGTGGGTGTGGGGGGTTGCAGGGGGGGGTGTTGGGTGGAGAGTGGGGTGCTGTAGGGGCGGGCTCGGGGTGCGCTTCGTGCCAGCAGGCGGAAGTAGGGGTCCTGCAGCCACGCATGCTGAGGTCCGCTACCCCTGGGCTTCTACTACCTTTGGCTTCCTAGCCCGTCCTCTCGTTGTGCCCCCCTTCCCTCCTGTCTCAACAATCCTAACCTCCCGTCCAGCCCCCTCCCAGCCCCCTTCCCCCCGCTCACCGCCCAGCTGCTGGACCGCTTGCTCTCCGCGCACAGGCCCACCACACCGCCCGCCTCGCCCATGCGCAACCGCACTGGCTCAGCCTGGGGGGGGGCACAGAGTTCACCAAAACCACAGGTTAGGGCAAAGCGATGGGGATAGAGGAAACCAGTTTGGCTCAGCCAGGGGGGAGGACGGAAGGAAGAGCAGTCATGCGCTTGGGGCAGTGGAGCAAGTTGAAGGTGTCCATGTCCGACATTGCAGAAGTGTCCGCCGGACACTGTCATGTCAGGCATATGGCAAACGACCAAACCAGACGACAACCAGAAGACCAGACGGCCGACACGCTGACGCACGACTGGGGGCCTACAACGATGCACTGCCGTAAGGGTGAATCAACACACCTAACACGGGTACAAGCCGTACAGGTTGTGTCTCAACACGTCCCCGCCCCACACGCCACACGCGTGCACGAACAAACACCCACACACACAATCCAGTGCGTTCCTGCTCGCGGCTAGCTTTCTTACACACAGCCACCTCAGGCACTCCTTGCTTCCTGAGGCGTTGATTGTGTGTGAGAGGCGACATCGCCACACACACACAATCAATCAACGCGCGGCGGAGGCAACCACAGTATGTTCCGACTCGCGGCCGGGGCGACTCGGGTCGGGCTGGCTCACAAGTTAATAACCTGGCGACGCCTTATCACACGGTCCGTTAGTTGTTTCCCCTTTAACCCCCCGCACCTGGTGCGTGTGCAGCCACAGCTCCCCCCGCGGGCTGTCCACCAGGAAGAAGAACACGCGGTCGGCGTGGATGATGTGGCGCTCCAGGGCGGCGGTGGCGCACACCACCATCTGGCTCACCTCGTCCTGGGGGGGGGGAGGCGCAGAAGGCAATGGGGAGGCTTGCTGTCAAGTATCCCCCTTAGGTTCCAGGCATGTGCCCAGTCCGGCCCCTGCCTCTACCCTCTCTTCCACTCTCGCTCCCCGCTCCCCGCCCCCTACCCCATCCAGTTCGTCAGATTTCCTTATTCGTTACCCCCTGCCCCCCCCCCCCCCGCCCCCACCGCCGCGCTGAGCGACTTGAAGCAGGTGTAGATGGCCGTCAGCCGCTCCTTCTCGCGCCTGCAGGGCAGGGAGGCAAAGGAGAGCAGACGGGGCTGGGAAAACTCTGGACTGTAAACTGTGTACTCCCACCAGCTTAAGCATATTCGGTAACACAGCCACTTCGCCTGGTGGCGTGGAGTCACAAGCGTCCAATTCTCTACAGCCAGCGCAGCTGCCATCCCTCCCCCCCCCTTCTCACTTTGCCGTCTCATGCAGCTTGGCCTTCACCAGCGTGTTGCCCAGGTGCGTGCCGAACAGGCGCAGGTGCCGCTCGTCAGCGGGCTTGAAGGGCTGTCCGCTGTTCTTGTTCAGCGCCTGGGGGCAGCGGGGCAGGAGCAGGTGGTTACCATACCGTTACCACAGAGCTGCTTCCTTCGCACTCCCTCCTCCTCCGCCGCCCTCCTGCACTAGGGCTGCCTGCCTGCTCGCCCTCCTGCCCTCCCGCCCCCCCCCCCATGCAGCACCATGCGGTCATGGGGGGGATCCCAGTGTGTCTCACCCCTACCGGCGCTACCACCACCCCAACCGGCGCTATTACCACCACCCACCTCCCGCCCACCACCCACCTGCAGCACCGCCACGTTCTTGCCCGTCATGTCCGACACCGCCATACACAGCATACTGCGCGTGCGGAAGCCCGTGGCGCGGTCCACCTCCTTGTTGAACATGGGGTGGGAGTACACGTCAGCCACGTTCATGCTGCCGCCTGCAGAGAGGGGAAGAGAGGAGGGAGCAGGATTGGGGCCCGAACAAAGGGACGGGGCGGGGCGGGGGGCAAACGGGGTAGGGGATGGCACAAGGCGGTGGGGTGCATGCCAGCGGGGGAGGGGAGCCAGAGTCCGGGAGGTGCAGGGGGTTGAGGAGCTTGGGGGTCTGGAGCGGCATGGGTAGGGAGGGTTCATGTACTTGCAGGGAGAGAAGTAGGGGTGCAAGTACGCATTGGTGTGGTGCGTGGCTGCTGGCAAGTGAGGACCGGCGGCATTTGGTTAAGAGTGAGAGAGAAGGGAAATGGGCTTTGTTTGGGAAGGGCAGGTGTCCCAGGAAATCGAGGGAGGTGTGCACGTGAGAAGGGGCGCGGGGCGGGATAGTGGGACGCAGTGGAAACCCGTAAGGGCTGGCGAGGTAGTTTGTGTGTCGCATGAAAATTGGAGTAAGGCGCGTTATATGTGCGAGATTGGGTAGGTGTGATGCGGTTGGCAGTTGCTCGTGTCGCGCTTGCTGAGGTAGCAGCTGCATGCAGGCGTCCCCTGCGTTGCTTACCAGTCTGGGCAACCAATCCGGCGATGCCTTCCCCAAACTTAATGCGCAGTATTTCGCCTTGCTCGATAATTGCTCTGTATGCGGAAAGGAAACAGCTTAGCGCGTAACGAATGGCATCAATCCGCGTAAGCGTCCCGTTGTTTCCGTCTGTTGGTCACACCTCAATTCTTGTCGCCGTTCGAAGATTAAGAACAGGGTTACACGCTCGCAATCGAGTAACTCGAGGGCCACTTGGCGCACATTCTGCATCGCTGTGTGAATGTCCAGCTCTGCTGCAAGCTGGTTGAGGACCGTTATTGCCTGCGACGACGAATCGCGAGCAAGGGATGCCCATTTTCACATATGTGATGATTACAGCGGCTCGCCAGGAAGCGAGCCGCTTCTCGACGAGCGATTCGCCTAACCTTGTGGAGGCTATCCAGCTCCGCTTGGAGATGCGCAAGCTTCGTTTGCGCGGACTCCTCCATTTTGTAAAGCCAATGTCGCTCTTGGCGCTAGCCGAGGGTCAAACTTCCGGCAAGCAAACGATGTTGGCTTAACTTCCCGGGGTTGTACACCCCCACTGAACACCCTATGTCAACACAACTACTTAACGTGGTTATGTTTGTGTTAAAGTATATGAAGGTAAGGTTATAATCGATTTCCACTTAGCTGGGGCAAACTGGATAGCATCGCGGCACTTGCCGAGGTCTCGCATACTGCACAGCCATAGCTAGTCAGCAAGCCTGCAGCAGTATAAGAGGCAAAGCTGCTTGCCCCAAAGAAAACGGCCGGCCGTAACGCAATTATCCGTACACTGCAAGGTAAGCGCTGTGGCGAAAGCGACCCTTCTGCGTACAGGTAATCAAAGGCTGAATGCACCTAGCAATTCCCTCTGCAGGGCTCTTAAGAAGACATTCATTGCCGTACAAGTCCTATGCGATGGACGAGCAGACACGAACCCTTGCGATCCCCGGCCGGCCGTCGGTGGGGTGAGTTCAGTGTACAGCGCTGCATGAGTGATTACTTCACACTACGAATAGCTCACACAGCTCACACCTGACTACCAATGAACTTCGAGGCAGGCGCTTCGCAGGTTACGTCCACTGCTGTACAAGCACAGCACGGCCCTGGACTCACCGCCCTGACGGCCGGGCGGGTTGATATCTCCTCATGTTGGGTGCTCCCTAGCTCAGTACATTTGCTGAAAGTACATGGGACGCACGATGAGCACAAACAGCTGCTTTACACGCAGAACATGGGCGTTTGCTCTACCCGGATTCGACTGACCCCCGTACAGTGGCCAAGGAAACCAAGGGCAACCAACAAGACTCCGCTCTCAACCCTCAGCCTATGCAGCAGGCCACGCACGCCCCTCCTCATAAGCCCTCGTATCATGAGCCCTCGTGTACCAGCCAACACCCATGGCACAGTGCACCCGTTCAACGGGACCCGATGGGCAAATCAGTATGTGTGGAGGCAATGGGGCCCAGACGTCAGGAGTCTTAAACCCTGCCAGCAATGGGGCCAGCAACACGTCAGAGCACCACCAGAACACATGCCGCAGCAGCTGCCAACCCAAGTCTGTGAACTATCAGTAGCTCAGTCGTCAGCAGTAAGTGCCGTAGTACGTGTAAGCTCCTTCCTAAACCTGCAAACCAGGGTAGCCATCGAGATGCCTGCACGGCCCCCCGCTCATTTGTCGGCCCAAACGCGGCGAGCCCGTACGGCGAGTTGTCGTACACTGCGTCGATTGTCGTCCAACGCCCGTACGATGCAGCCCAAAACCTGAGCATTATCAGAAACATGGGACAAATTCGTAAGTCAGTTGTCAGTGCTATCATCCCATTAGCCGCATCCCACATCCACTCCCGCCAAGTCCAAGCGCGCTCCATCACCCCAAAGGTATAGCATTTGCCGCCGCCACTGTCTACACGTTTTACCGGTTGTCGTAGCCCCTCACCTGTTGCCGGAGCGGGTGCAGTACATGGTACGGCACAGCATCCATGAGATCCGTACAGCACCGCATCGCTTCCTCGCGCACAGCAACCGCCGCCGCTGCTGCTGCTGTTGACGCCGATTGCTGCTGAGGGGCGACCCATGGGTCGGCGGCGCCTGCGAGGTGACCTCTGCTGTGGGCCGTTGGCGCAGCGGTTGAGGCTGCGGTGCAGATGCACCTCACCAGGTCCGAGACGTTGTCTTGCAGCACCTGCGTCCGTTGCGACAGTTGACAGCGCTAATGTTTCGGGAGCGTATGTCCAGAGGAGGAATACCGGTAACCAAAGGTGTACCCCCTTGAGCCCCTTCGAACAAGGAACTAAACAACATCATGTTGGCTGCGTATCCAGCACCGAACTGGTGCATAGGTGCAGGCCCTTCATGCTCAGTACGGCACTTCCGGGTCGCCCGCGCACGCACCCTTCCTAGCTGCTCCGAAGGCGCCACCTTTTGCTGCCGGATCCAGTCATGCAGCACAGCCATGCAATTCCGCAGCGCTGAAACCGCTGTGGCCGCCACCGGCCCCTCTGACCCCAGTGGAGTCACAGCAGCCGCCGCAACCGCCTCAGCAGCAGCAACGGCTCCAGTGTTTGCAGTCGCGCCCGCACTGCCAACGGTTACAACAGCGGCAGCAGAACGGCTGCCACTGCTGCTGCTGCTCCTGCTCAGCTCCTGACCCAAGCGCTGCACGGATCGCAGCAGCAGCGGAGCCAGCCGGGGCGCATCCTGCCTGCAGCAAGAAGGCGGAGGACGGAGTAAGATGGACGTTGCATGGTCTTATGGGAGGCTCCTTCCAGCAGCCCCTCGAAGTCGCGATCAACATGTACGACAGAGGCTAACTACCGTACTACGGGAGCTGCAGCACTCCTTACCACTTCTCAGCACAGCATGCACCCAGACGCACGCACACACGTACCTGCACAGGGGGCGAGGAGCCGCGCCTGTAAGGGCAGAGACCGCTACAGCAAGCGGCAGCGGTAGCGGCGCAGATCCGGCCCGGGCTGCAGGCGGGTGTTGCTGCTGCTGCTGCTGCTGCGCCGCTGACGCCTCCGCAGCCACCCCGCACAGGGCCTGGTGGGGCCACACCGTGGGAAAAGGGTTGTGGAGAGACTCGAGCGTGAGCATGTGGGGTTCATGCAGTGTTGGTAGTGCGAGGATAACACATTCGGGATAAGCTTGCGGTAGGTAGCTCGTAGCGCATTATGCACTGCAATAAGCAACCCTGTACGGTAAGCAACGTCTGCTGAGCAGCATGCGTCCCGGTTGCCGCCTCAGCTCAACACCGGTCCAGCGTTTCGCGCACAGCGCATTGCCAGCTCTCATAGTGGGCCCTAACCTGGCTCCGTGCCAAACCCTGGGCGCGGTAAACCTAGCCGTGTGTGAGATCCAGCACGGGGGTCCGCACGCTCGCCTTGTCGAGTTGTCGAACCCTGGCACACCCCACCCAACCACCTGCCCCACCCACCCACCTGCAGACACAGCGCGTACGTCCGCTGCTGCCACAGCACCCGGCACACAGACACCGCCGGCCGACCTGCCAGCACCAAACCGCCGCAGCCCGCCTCCTCAGCCACCAAAACCCCGAACGACTCCGCCGCCGCAAGAGCCGCCGCTGACGCCGCCCCCGCCGCCGCCGCCGCCGTTGCCGCTGGGCCTGCCGTGTCGACATCCATTGCAGCGCCGCCGCCGTCAGCGAGTGCCGCCGAGGTGACTGCGGAAGCAACGCCGGGCAGAATTGCCCCGTCCTCTTGGACCCGCAGGCACTGTGAGAGCGTCCGCAGAATGTCAGGCAGCATCGTCGGGTGGTTGCGGAGTGCGAGCGCGCGGCCAATCCAGCCCACTGCGCGGACCGCCGCCGATGTCGCCGTTGACCGCCCTGACTCCGCCGCCGTCGCTCCCACCGCCGCTGCTGCTGCTGCCAGGGGTTGCAGCAATGCCGGTTGAAAGGCCGACGTCAGCCAGGCGTCATCCTGCCAACGGTTAACCGTCGCCGCCAGCGCTACGGATGCCGTACAAACCGCATGTTGATCCGGCAGCAAGGCAACCGCACAACCGCTGTTAGCAGCCCGGTTCATCGCTGCTGCCGCCAGCAATCTGAGCAGGCTGTCGGCTAGGGCTTGTGAGCTGTGGGTGGCCAGCAGGCGGGGTCGCAGGCCCGTCACGACGGCGCATGCGAGCGGCAGGCTAGCACGGAAGGAACGGGACGCGGTAGGGAGGAGGCCGCTGCTGCTGTCGCTGCAGCTGGTGCTGGCGCTGCAAGCGGCAATGCGGTCCGCGCTGTCGAGCACCAAGGCTGTGCGGGAAGTGGAGGAAAGGGAGGAACGGAAAGGAAAGCCAGGACCCGGCGCTTAACTGCTTATGATTAGACAAGGTAGTTGGGCTTTCAAAACACGGGTTTGCTACGGCACTTGTAGTCCTTTCAGGTGCGGTAAGCATTGCATTTCCGAGACGCTAGTTGCAGTTGTGGGATGCATAAATGCAAAAGAACAATGCGGCCACTCCGCTCATCGACAGACCCTACAGTCGACAGCCCCTCCCCACCCCCCACCCCAACCCCCCACCCCAACCCCCCAACACAACCCCCCCAACACAACTCACCCAGCTGCTGTCGCTCCTCGCAGCACGCCACCAGCTGCTGCACCACGCCGCACCAGCACGCCATGAGCGACCAAGAACCTGGCCCCGCCGCCGCCGCCGTCGCCGCCGCCGCGTCAGTCGTCGTACACCACGCCGTCGCCGCGGCGTCGCCGTCGCCGCCAGCGCTGCCTCGAAACGGAAGGCCGGCGTTGCTGCCGACCTCCTCCGCCGCCGCCTCCCATTCTGCCGCCGCCGCCAAGGTCGCGGTCACAAGGCGGTGTGACGCCGCCGCCGCCGCCGCTGCTGCGGTGGTGGTAGCGGTAGAGGGCTGCGGCTCAGCCGGCGCACGCCCCGCTAGGGCTGGAAGCACGCGGCGGGACAGCAGGCTGAGACACTCCCGGACCCATGCCTGGTGGGAACGCAGCGGGGTACGGTCGGTACGGTGCCGGCAGTAACAACAGCGCCGCGAGGAGAGGAAAGAGGGATAGGAAGGCAACGCCGGCGATTTGGGCAAGGTAGGTTGAAGTAAGGTCACCTCCGCCGCCTACCGGTGCAATCATAGGTCATAGCCCGCCCGCCCAGCCCGTTCCCGTGTTACCTCGTCCGCTGGCCCCCCGCGTCGTCCCAACAGCAGCGGCGGAAGGGCGTCCAGAAGAGCCGCAGTAAAGGCAATCGCACCGCTCGCCGCCTCCGCCACCGCCACCGCCTCCGCTGGCGCCGCAAGTTGTGCCGCCAGGCGCAAAGCCGCCGTCGCCCTGGCGGCGGCCGCCGTGCCCTCAGCGTCGCCATCGCCGTCAGTGGCGGCCGTCCGCTGCTGCCCCATCGCCGCCGCCAGCTTGCTGACCAGCAACGTAACCACGGCGGGGCCCGGCGTCGATGGCACCACCGCTGTCGGGGATTCGCCGTCACCGGCGCCGCCGCAGCTGCTGCTGCTGCTGCTGGGTGCGGCAGTCTCGGCTGCCGCCGCTGCCGCCGTCGCCGGCAACGGCGCCGCCAGCTGCAGCAGCAGCTGCAGAACGCCCGCAGCCTCTTGCTGCAGGTCCACCTGACGTCCCCAAGACATGCGACTCTTCACAGCGGTGGCAGGCGCTCCCCCGGCTCCACTCGGCCCAGCCGCTGTAGCAGCCTCAGCTGTTTGCAGCGCACATGCGCAGAGCTGCTCAGCGGCCGCCGCCTGCTGGGCCTCAGACAGGGTGAGATGCCGGGGCTGCTGCCGTGCAGAACTGTTGGGTACGGCAACCGCAATCGCCGCGTGAAGCCGTGCTAACGCCCTCCAGGCGTTGGCAACCGCCAGCCGCAGCTGCGATGCCGCCGATGCGTTGTAGCAGCAGCCAGATGCTGCTTGTGGCTGCGACGGCGGAGGCGGCAGCGCCTCCGCTTTCGCGGCAATCATGCTTACGTCATCGCCGCCGTTGCCACCGTTGCGGTCGTTGGCCGTTGCATCGTCGGAATGTAGCCGACGGTGTACGGCAACGAGCGCCCCCACCAGCGCTTCTCTAATCTCCAGAAGGCTGTTAACGCCGCCAGTGTCGCCAGCGGATGCGACGGCGGCGGCTGCAGCTACCCATTCACCGCCGCCGCCGCCGGCGGCCGCTAGTTCCTTCGCCACGGCGTCAACTACCGCCGCCAGCACCGTGATGCCGTACAGCGTCTGATCGTGCTTGTCGTACACTTCGCCCGCCGTCAGGGATTCATGCAGGACGGACTGCAGCGGGCGCAGCACTGCGGCGTGTGTTCGTTGCAGCGCCGAGGGGCCCGCGGCGGCGATCTAATAGGCAGATAGGCATTGGGGAAAGGTGGGGAATGAGACAGCATGTAGGGAGCTGAAGGGGAAGCGCGGAACACGGTGGTGTTGTGCCGTCGCAATGCCATTCACTCGCGTTGGGCGCGGAGACACGTGTTCAGGTAAACCAAAACCAGTTTACGTGGAGCTGCCAAAACCGGGAGATACAGTCGAGCCTGAACACGTTCAGCCGTGTTTCTCTGCTTTCCTGAACGCTTAACCCATCTTGCCCTTTCTTGCTCTTTGCTGTGCGCCCCTGTTACCGCACTCACCGCCCCCAGCAGCAGCGCGCCACACAGCACCTGGCCGTCCGCACGCACTACTGCGTCCGCAGACCGCGCCGCAACTCCTGACCCACGGGTCACGGCGTTGCGCACGACTTCGACCAGGTCGCCCACGAACGCATCCTGCGACAGAAAAGGAAGTCAACAAGCAGAGAGTACCGGTGATTGCGAGAGGGCGCGTCGCGCAGTCCATTTGTTCACAGCTTGTCCCGCCCCGGCGACTCGGCACCCCAGCACAGACCCCTCTCAAGCAATTTCCGGTAAACTACGGTCAGGGTTTCCGCGGCTCAGTTTACCTTTTACCCCCTCTCAAGTCCCAACCGCCGCCTCCCTTCTTAATCCCCAAAGCAAACCAGTCTCCGTCTCACCTGCAGTGCTAACGCCTCCACCCCGCCCGGCCCCGCAGCGCGCACCACCACCGTCAGACTTCCCGCGGCCTCCGCGGCCAGACCTACAGCCGACTCGCCCTCCCCTCCTGCCCCTGCTCCCGCTCCCAAGGAAAGGCCCCCTCCAGGAGCAACGGCACCAGCGGCAGCAGCAGCCGGCGCCATAATTTCAGCTCGTAGTGCCGTCCACAGCTGCGCAGGGTGGGCATGCAGGCAGGCACGCAGGCAGGCAGCGTTGAGCCGTTACGGTAGGGGCACGCAGGCAGGCAGGTAGGTAGGTATGCTAGCAAGCTAGCAAGGCAGCCAGGCATGCGCCCAGCCAGGTGCAAGCAGTACGGAAAGCCATGTAAACGCGCCCACTCCTTCATACCTCACGCAGCCCTCACGCACGCCCCCTAGTACCGGTGTCCCCAGCCCACCTGGCCGACGTGGGGACCCAGCGCATCCGCTCCGAAGGCTGGGCAGCAGCGCCGTAACGCACACAGCGCATCCTGCTTGGCGGGTCTGAGGCAAGGAGGGCCAGGACAAGGCAGGAGCGGACAGGGGGGACCAGGATAAAAGCTGTGCTACAAGTGGCCACTAACGCTGCAGGGTGTTACAGGTTGTGAAGACGTCACTATGACTTGGCCTGTTTTGTAACGGTTATAATTGAATCCAGGAAACGATATTCAATATAATATATTTGGAAGCCAGAGAGGCAAGGGGAAGGAGGGCGGGCGGCGCAAGGGAGGTACCGGGAAGCAAGCAGACACCCGCGGACCCACTTGTAAGTGGAGCTGAGCTTCTCCACAAGCAGTGGCAGCACCCCGCCAGCTAGGAAGGGCGACGCCGCCAGCGCGCTCTCCAGACCGGAGGCCAGCTGGGCGCGTGTGATGGCGCGCGACCCACGGGTCAGGTGCGGCGGCGGGTTGAAGGCGATGGGGAAGTAGGAGGCGGCCCAGTCCGCGAGCTCGTCTGCCAGCTGGCGCAAGGGGGTGGGGTCGACACCCGGGGAGTGGTATAGCCGGCAGAGGGCCTGGGGGAGAGAAGAGGAAGGGGGAGAAAGGGGGAGGTGGGAGGGAGGGCATTGAGAAATGGGCAGGGAGAAGGGAAGGAAAACATGTGAGGTAAGGGCGTGGAAGATGACCCCATGCCGCCATGAATGAAAAGGGCTTCTACCGGTATTCCCAGATCACAGGGACTAACAAGTAGGAAATTAATTGCCGGTAGTTAGTATCTCTCACAGATTGCCTACAACGCATCTCACCGTCACAGCCTCGAATGCCAGCAGCAGACACCTCGGGTCCTTCTCGCCGTCCGCCGCCCCCAGGAAGGCGTCAAGCAGCGCCACCGACCCGCGGGTCACTGCCAGCCGCCCCCAGCTGCCGCCACTGCCGCCCTCCTCCTGCAGGGCCGCCAGCAGCAGCTGCAGCAGCGCACAGCGCTCCTCCTGGCGGAAGGACTGAGCGCTCCGGAGCTGGCGGCAGGGAGGGGGAGGAAGAGGAGGAGGAAGGCGCGCGGGGTAGCAGTCGTGGGGTTAGGCAAGGGGAAAGGTACGGCAAGACGAAAAGAGGGAGGCTTGGATGGACGAGAAGGGGCGGTAAGCTCGGGGGCGCAGCAGCTGGTGTTGTTCGAGTTCCTTTCATGCGTCCCGGCTCACCCCAACGAGATGGCTAGCAGCGGGCATAAAGGCACCGGCGAGACGCAGTACCCTCAGAAGCCTAAAGCTGACCACCGAAACGACATGCGAGTCCTACATCCCTTTCTCATACCCCTCCTCCACACCACAGCGACGCCCATCGCCTCCTTCACCCTCGCACTTGACAGCCGCACGGCTAGCTTGTGCTTCCGACCCGGCCCCGGCGCACGCCCACCCACCATCTCCTCTAGAGCTCGCATGATCAACAGCCCTCCCTCCTCGCCCAGCTCCGGATTCGGCCCAGATCCAGATCCGTATCCCGAAGGGCGCTGCAGGAGCGCGCGGCAGGCTGCGGCAGCTGCCCCCACACATGGCCTGCAGGGGCAGGAGAGGCGGTGCGGTGCAGCCCGGTGGTGCAGGGGGTTGTCAGGGCAGGCGGGCAACATAAGAATGTTAGCAACAAGCGGGCAATACCGGTGAGTAGTCAGGAATACCTCAACGCAAGGGTTGCATGATGACAAGAGGAAAGCGACTAGTTTTCGCAGATCTCCAACACGGGTCTTCCATCCAGGGCTTTAGGCACCCGCAACAGCGGCAGCCAAGCTGTCAGTTTTCCAATACCCGTACCCTGGGGCAAGAGACCGTGTCTCGCCCCTACCTGACGGCTTGTGGGGAATGGGGAATGCGCGCCAGAGAACGCCTTGCCCGCCTAACTTTTCTCCGTACCAAGTATCAGCACCTAACCCCCACCTCCACGCCCCGACCCCCCAGGGTAGCAAGTCTGCTCCCACGGTTAAGGCATCCTTACCAGTCCTTCAGTCGCGCTGCTAGGAACTCGGCAAGCGTGTGCAGCTCCCCCACGTTTAGCACGTCGCGGCATCGCAGGACCACCTTTTGCGTGGGGCGGGTCAGCCGGGCGGGTCATCAGGCGGGGGTGGGGGAGAGCGCGGGACGGCAGGGGGTCATGCGCAGTAGGGGGGAACATGGGTGAGGTCCGAAGGTATAGGACAGAGGTGGGGAAGCCGTCATTATGCCGGAGACTGACGCTGACTCCTACACAGCTGCCCAAAGCGGTTGACTAGTTCGGGCGGGTGTGCAGTAGGTAAGGGCTCGAGTGGATAAGGAGGGAGCTCGTCCAAGACGCACCTCTCCCAGCAATCGGGTGCCATGCTCTCGGGCGTCCTTTTCGGGCGAAGTCAAAGGGACCGCTAACCCCACGGCCTGCGAGATGAAAAAAGTGTTAATGTCGTAATTAGGCCTTGCAATGTTGTTTGCAAGTGTGCGTTCCGCGTTTGCGAATGGAGTCCCATCGCGGATGGCTCTGCAAGACGAATACTCACCAGATCAACCAGCAATAGCTTCCTCTCGTTTATTGCTCCAATAATTTCAGTCACAGCCGTTTTCCTGGATTCCTCATTTTCAAGCTCAGTATTACAGGCGCGCTCGACTAACGGCTGGTAAATGCTAGAAAGTGCCATTAGCGCAAACCGAGGGTGGTATCCTTAGTGTCGTTGCATGTACCTATGTCAACTTAGTAAAAGTAAAAACAGATTGGAAAAATGCTTTGGGACATGGCGCCGCCCAATGTGTTTCGGCGTGTCTGCCGTACCGGTGCTATTGCACTCCATCCAACTCCCCAACGTGATTGGTTCAAAACGCAACCCCGATTCATCCAGCTGTTAACCAGCACACACCAGCTATCCATGTGCTAAGTGTCTCTCGCTGCTGTGCGTGCACAGGTGTTCTGGGATACCCATGCAAACCTAAACCAACGTCCGAGTTCACGGAAACCTGGCAACAGAACGCATGCGGGTCAGAGGATCATGACGGTCTTTGCGGAATGTGGCACCAAACATGATGTCAGTTATGATAGGGCATGACGACAGCTCAGTGTTATGACATAGGGGCAACACAAGGCGGCAATGCACATTACGTGCCATGTGTGCGCACCTTGGGTGCGTGGGAGTACGGTACCGGTGTTACACTAACAAGAACGGCCAGAGCCGTCATGCACCTCCCCGCAAGGCTATGGTCGCAAGCCTCAGAATCAGCCATATCCTGGCACGCACGGGGCCTACAAGACAGGACATCAGTACACATGATGCTACAGGTAGGCGTCGAGGCGGCGTGCCCTGAATCGTAAAACCGGAAACACCCTGCACGCGAGTGCGGCGAATGGGTACAAGGTGCGCCCTTGGTCCTCACCACCGGCCCCCCTCCAATTGTATGCGCCAATTGTATGCGACAAAAGTATTTGGACGAGCTGCAACAGGAGAAACACAAAGTTTAGTAGAATCACCTTCACACGCATCTTCCCCTTGTATGGTATATGTGCAGATGGCCGTTGTACGGCCAGAGATTTCACAATTTATCACCGTAGTGAAACATGTCGGAACATACCTCTTAAGGGGCCAGCTCAATGCTGACTCCCCTGTGCGACTAGCATTCAGCTCGATCCCCAATAAAACTAATGTCTGCACAGTAAGTACACGACCAACGTCAGTTACCACTGCAGGAGCAACACAGTCGCATGCGGTCACTGGGCATTCCCAGGGCATCGGTCCGCCGGGGTACACAGGGTCTCAAAAAACGTTCAGAACACGACAAGTCCACAGTACTGTTAACCCCCAATGAACCATCAGCTCTCCAGTATCTAGCCAACGCAAGGACAGCATTTTTGACCCCGCCAACCAACCACCTCAAAAGCATTGCAGCACGTAGAGTCACCCCCCACATGTCAAGAGAACAACCCGCAGGCGCATGGCCGCACCCCATCGCTTAGGACCCAAGTCATGGCTACCTGTACCGTGACCCTCACATGCAAAGTCCTATGCTCAATCTTACGCATGTTCATTTTCACGAAAGCACCGCGCTTGCAACGCCACACTTGTTCACAACATACACCTTGTTCGCACCTGCTGCATACATAGGATACACGTTGCTTTCTCTTCACTGACCAACGGTACAACCAAGCGCATTCGGGGGAGGAAATCCTCTTGCAAAATTCGCCCGTTTTTCGGGCTGTACCGGCCCGCATTCATGAAAGGGAAAATTAGTCAGGAAATGCATGCACAGGAACGTGGGTAGCATTCAGCCTCCTTCGTCATCGTCTCAGATGAAAACAAATGTGCAACAGCAGCAGCAGCAGTCAACAGCAAGGAAGACAAGCAACAGCAACAGCAACTGCAACTGCACTTCACGGCAACAGCAAAAGCTCACCACGCACAACCCAGGGCCCCTTTGCAACGGCAGGGCCTCAGCCCGCTGGACCGCAAGACATCGTACGTAAACCCCCTGTAAGTAAGCAACATACTTCACCCAACATTGGCATGCGTCTTAAGAGGCAATCTACCTGCCACCCAAACGCAGTGTAAAGTACGACCATTTTCCTTAGAGAACCCCTATCGCACCGACCCCGCGAAATGACCCTCCCGCAACGGCCCCCTAACTCCCACACATCTCTCATTACCTATCGCCCTCATCCAGCCTGTCCCACTCATTCACAGCCACCCTCTCCATCGGTCTCATGCCCCTCCTCCGTGGGCGTCATCAGTCGGCTGCGTTGCGGCGTGGTACGACCGCCACCGGTCGCGCGAAACGCCGCCTGCAGCCCGGAGAACTCCCACAAGCTCCCGATGCTGCCACTACCACCGCCCGCAGCGCCCTCCTGACCGCCGTTGCTGTTGTTTGCAGCGCCCACGATAATAAGTTGCTGGGAGGATGTCGATGTGGAATGCAGAAACACACCAGGACCGAATGCGGGGGCAGCCGCTGCGGTGTTACCGCCTCCACCACCGCCTCCACCACCGCCGGCGATGACCGACAAGGTGATGCTGGGAGTGGCGCTAGGGTTCTCGTACGACGTCGGCGCCGCCGCCGCCGCGGCGGCTGCTGCTGCAGCGCCGGTCGACTCCTCGTAGCTGCCGTTGCTGCCGCCGGCAGCCGCCACCACCGCCGCCACCACGGCAGCCTCAGCTTGTGATGCCGAGACTGCTCGTTGCGTCAGCGTAATGCCGTTGGTGCCACAACCGTCACCATCCTCGCAGCTAACGGCCGATCTGTCTGCCAGCGGGTTTGACACCATTACGGGATGGGGTCCAAGGTGTCGCATCACGCTCTGTAGCAAGGATGCGCCAGCCGTGGATGGCCTGGCGAAGCCGGCACTGCCAGTTGTGGCGGCGTAGCCATGCGTGGGAGGGGCTGATGGCAGCGGCTGCCTGGGCAGGGGCATGCTGGGCGTTGGGCCATGGGTGCCAACTCCGTACGTGGTGTGATGTCCGGTGCTGTACAAGCTGTTGATGTACGGCAATGTGGCTGAAGCAGCGGCGGCGTGGGTGGCGGTACTGCCTGCGGTGCTGCCTGCGGTGCTGGCGTTCGCTGCGGCTGCTGCGGCTGCTGCGGCCGCTGCTTGCTGTGGCGGCGGCAGCGCTGCGAGGAGGTGCTGCGCGGGGCCGCTGACGCAGGTGGCGCGTTGCACCCGCTTCACGTTCATCGTTCGAACCTGTGCAGGATGGGGAGCGAAGCGAATGAATGGCAGGTGAGATGGACAGCCTTGTCCTAGATGCCTTGGATAGTGGAGGAAAGGCGGCCAAGCGTGGAAGGGCTGCCAACTATCAAGGAGGAAAGTAAACCGCCTGCAGCTGCGTCTAGTAAGTTTAAGCAACCATGGCCAAGCCGGACCGAACGACACCGCACGACAAGCCAACGTACCTCCCCCTGCGGTAATGCAACGCCGCCATACAGTGCATGCCCCAGGGCGCTGACTACGAGACCTTGCCGCCGCTTGGGCGAGGTGATATCCACACTGGCTCGACGGAGGCGCCGCATGAAACTGCCGCCGCCGCCGCCGCCACCAGTCAGCCCGGCGCCGCGGCTCGCACTCCGAGCGCTAATCGCAACACTCCCACCCGAAACGACGTTGCCCCCTAACGGCGGCAACGGCCCCAAGTGTGGGATTACGGACGGTGACGCGAGCTGCGCATGCGTCATGTTGTTATCGCAGCAGCCAGCACGACTCGTCAGGTTCATGCTGCGGCGGGACAGCATGTCGTGCGCTCCGCGGCCGCCGATGAAGCCCGTGAGGCTGGCGCGGCGGACCGCCTGGCCGGGCACATGCAGGGGAAGGAGGTGCGCAGCAGCCCCCGGCGGCTGCGGATGCGAACCGGCTGCCGCTGCCGCCGCAGAGTCATGGCTGGCATGCCGTACTGTGCCGCTGAACAGCCCTGCCACATGCTTCCAATCAAGCTTCTCTAGCATGTGGCTACCGGCGGCAGCACCGCCGCTGGTGCCGGCTGCAGCTGCGACTGCAGGTGCCGGTGCCAAGCCGCTGGTGCCGGGGCCATCGCTGAGTTTGTTGTACGGCAGAGGGGAAACGATCCCGGCAGGCGTGGCTTCCATGGTCATGGAAGACGCGACGGCGGCGAAGGAAGCTTCGGTGGCTGCTGCTGTTGTTAGTGATGCGTTGCCGGAAGCAATGGTAGCAGCAGCCGCGGCTGCGGCAGTGACGGCTGCGGCCGCTGCTGCGGTTGTGTCGCCATGGCCCATGGTGACAAGACGCTGCTGCATCTCGCACATCCTAGCACTGCTGGCAAACCTGTTTAGAGAGAGGCATGCGGCACATTGCTTAGAGAGCAAACACCGTGTCTATAAGGAAAACCTGCATGCATGTCGGGGTGCTCTAGTTAAGCCATGCCTGTGCGCGGCGTCTGATCATAAGCCTCTTCCCTCACCTCCCCAACTTGCGTCGAGTCATGCTACCCCAGTATGCCTTTCCTCCTGAGCTCGTCCGCCATGTACCGTAACCTCCTCCCACCGTGCCCACCCATCAACCATGCAGCAACCCCACCTGCACAGGTAGACCACCAGCGGCTGCGAGCTGCCCCTCTTCTTCAGCGCCACCGGCAGCATCACCACCTGGTCCAACCCCACATCCAGTGTCTTGCGCAGCGCCACTGTGGGAGGGGCACCCGCCTCCAAACACACAGCAGCTCCGACGCCGCCACCAGCGCCGCCGTTGCTCCCAAAGGCGCTGCTGGCATTGGCAATGTTGATAGCCGCGGGCGCGGTAGTCAGCGCGGCCCCGTTCATGCCGCAGCCGCTGCCAATCCTGGCACCCGCGTTCAGGAAGGACGCGGAGGTCGTTGCAGCAGGCCACTGAGCCCAGTGGCCGGGGCTGGGCCGCTGGCAGGACGGGCTGGCCAGCGCCGCCGCCGCAGCAAACTCGGACCGTTGCTGCGGCGGCGCCATTGGGCTCCGCGAGGAGGACGAACCGGGCCATGGAACCTGCGGCGCGGACCCATGGGTCGGTGTCTGCGGCGCCGGTCCGGCAGCAGCAGCAGCAGGCAGGCCGCTGCTGGAGTAGTGGTGTTCGGGCTCAATGCTGGCGCAGCGCAGCACTACAGCGGAGGAGGAGCAGACGCCAGATGCCCCGCCTCCAGTTGTACCGCCCAGGCTGCTGCCTTGGCCGGCGTCACCACCAGCAGAGTGCGTGTTGGAGCCATTGTAATGAAGGTGGTGTAGGAGGTGGTGGTGGTGGTGCAGAGGGTGCTGCTGATGGTGGTGCGCAGAGTGGATGTGGGGACCTGAACCATGCTCCAGGGACAGCACCTGCACGCTAGGCAGCACTGCCGCGCTGCGCAGCCCTGAAGTTGTGGTGTGGCCCGTGCATGGAAAGACCCGTCCTGAGTCTCGCTGCTGCAGCATCAGTATCGGCGACGGTAGCTGCTGCTGCTGCTGCTGCCGCAGGGCGTCGAGTGGAGCAGAGGACACAAGCGGGAAGGGCGAGGAGCTGTCGCTTACTCGGAGTGAGGACGATCGACCCACCGCGATCAGCAGCGGAACGCCTGTGGGTGCATCGCCGCGACGGAGCGAGGAGCAGCGCTTGCCCGCACTGCCTAGCGCCGAGCTCCGGCGCAGCGACGAGGTGCGGCCGCGTGCGATGGCCCCCAAGGTGTGGTTCAGCGAGCAATCCTCGCCGACTGTGGGTAGCAGCGCGCCTTGCGGCAGGTCCTGCGACCGACGACCCCTGGGCTCGGGTGCCGGCTCCTCGCCGTTGGCGCGACCCAGGCTGCCCCCGCTGTCACAACCGCCGCCGCTGCCACTGACACGAGCAGCAGCCTCAGAGCGCAGCTGCTGCTGTTGCTGCGGGGGGATAGCTGGAGCTGGGGGCATTGGCAACGAGGTTGGGAAGGAACAATCGCACGCGTCAATTGCCGCTGACTCTGCCTCCGCCGCCGGCTGGGCTGCTGTTACCGTCTCCTCCAATGTCGCCGCAACCACCTGTCCGGATGGCCGTGGCACCGGCGGCCTCACATGACGCTCATGACCCGTCTCAGCCCCAGAACCCGTCAGCGAGTCTGAGGGTGGTTGCGGTTCCGGCCCCAATCGCAGCCCTTGAGAGCGGGGAGATGATGCCAGCGGCAAGGGTGCTGCGGCTGCTGCGGGATGTGCATGCAGACGCCGGGAGGCTCGGCGACGTCGCCTCAAGGGCGCTACCTCGAGGCCCACCGGCAGGCGCCTGGGTGTAAGCGGCGGGCTGCCGCAATCACCCGAGCTACCAATTGAGCCCTCCTTCGCCGGATCTGCCGTCGCCACCGCAGTGGCTGCGGCGGCGCTGCGCAACGCACGTGTCGAGGGGTCACGCGGGGCATCTGAGATCGAGGATGCGTCTGAGCCATGCGACCGCCTAGACCGCCGCGAGGTTGCAAGCGGCGGCCCATGCGATGTTCGCAAAAAGGCATCCACGGCGCCTGACGGCGGCGAGCCCACCCACAGCGGGCTGCCCTCGGGCAGTGCGCCTGCGGCACGCGCATGATGCTCCCCAGGCGCCGCTGCAGCTGCGACGGGTGATGTCGGCGTGGAACAAACGCCATTGGTTCCGCTGGCGTCGCGCTCCATGTGCGCATGCGCGGAAGGGCCCCTCGTGACCTTGGAAGCCCGCCGGCGCCGCGCCGCTGCCAGCGGCCGCAGCAGCTGTTGCAGCTGCGCTGGCGGCAGTGGCGGCTGGTACTGCGCAGGCCCTGCCGGAACCGACAGGCCGCTCGTGCGGTGCATCATGGTACGGGAGCCCTGGCGACTGTCAGGGTTCAGGTTTGACAGCGCCCGGACCGCAGTGCGCGAGTGCGCGCGGCTGTCTGGTCGCAGCGGTGAGGCAGCGCCGCTGCCGGCGCCTGTGCCGTACAACGGGTTATGTGTGTAGCTGTAACTCGGACCGGAAGCAGGGGTGCTGTAGCCCGAGGGGAAACGCGAGCCGCCCGCGCCATCCGCAGCCATGATAAGAGGCCCGCTGGGCGCGTCCGCGGCGTCGGTGGCATCGGAGGTCCGCTTCTTCCTGTGTGCACGCGCTGGTGACCGGCGGCGAGAGAGGGGCCCCGAATTTGCGAGGCCCGCTCCGTTCGGTGCCCCAAGCGCTGCTGCCAACTGCGCCAATGAATCCCGGCGCGAAAGCGAATCAAGCGGAATACTGCGACGGGATGAGGACGCTGAGCCCCCCTGCACGAAGCTCCCGCCGCTGGGCGCAAGGTTCAGCAGGGCGGCAGCGGCGGCCTTGGCGGCAGCTGCCATCGCCGCGGAAGGTCCCTCCGGGTCGTTGAGGAAGGAGTCCGTGCGGCTGATTGTCAGCTGCGGCGGCAGCGGCGGCGATGCCGGCCGTACGGGAGCGGGGAGCCGCAACGTCATGCTGCATTGCCGCTGTTTGTCATCAGGGGGCTCGGTAGCAGTGCTGACCTGGCGCGGAGTGCAGCCGCTGGGGACTGTCCCGGCGGCGCGGCCGCCTCCCCCTCCGCCTCCGCCAGGAGTACCTTCCGCTGGAGGGGGGGAAGGACGGTTGGAAAGATAAGTAGTGTTATGCCAGTATATATGGGCAAAGGCGTGTTCCATGCAATGCTTGTAGTCGATGCGCCGTCGTTGATGGCCCAAAACATGGGATTCCCCAGTGCTAGCGCGAGCAACGTCACAAGGTAGACCCCATAACCGCACAAACCGCACAAAACGCGGCAACTCACCCTCGCTGTCCTCCACATGCCCAGCCTCCACGGCCTCCACCGAGGCGACCACCATTCCGATGGCCGCGTACGACATCATCTTGACCGCCTGCGACACCGCCTTGCCCTCGTAGCGAACACGACCTGCCGCATGGGTTTTGTGTGGAGGGTACGGCTCAGGCAGAGGGATTATGTCTAGAGGGGTTCAGAGTTGCGCTACAGGTACTGACAGATGGCAAGACAGCATCAACCATACGCAATATGTCTTGCTAAAGTAGCGTGCATATGCTAAAGTAGCGTGAGACAAGGGGAACACAACTCACCCGTCAGGGGGTCAAGCGATGCCTTGAGGGCTCCAAACGTGATCACTCCCTTGATCCGCGGTCCTCGGAACAGCACCACCTCACCCGTGACGGGAACCGCGGCTGACGCTGGCCCCATGCCGGTAACGGTCACGCTCCCCTGCGCTGCCTGCGCTGGCGGCAGTGCCGGCGGACATTTAGGGTTGCTGTCGTCAGAGACAGGCCACTGTTGCTGCGCTACAGCTCCGCATGACGCATGCGCTTGCAGCTGCGGCGGCGGCGGAGGAGGAGGATGCGACGGCTGAGGAGGCGAGGTCGGCGATGGATTGGGTCCGTAGATGGAGGTGCCTGCTGCTGCCATTACGGACGAAGACCAACCGCTCAACCCAGATGGAGTGGGCCTAGCTGGTATAGATTCCCGCTCGCCGTCCGTAGTGCAGATCTCAATCGTGCTCTCGCATCGCGGCATGGTTGCTGCTACCGGGTTGTAAGACGAACCCGTTGAGGGGGCCGCCGCCGCCGCCAATCCCGCCGCTCCTGTCTGGGAAGCAATGGAAGCCGAGCATGCGACAACGGCGGTGGTGGTTGCGGAGCGGGGAGGTCCAAGGCGAGCCGCAGCCACCGTTGCGGCGCCTCCGGGAGCGCTGGAGCGGGTCCATGACGGCAGGGAGGAGAGGCCCCGGACGGAGTTGCTGCCGCAGATAGAGGACGGGTCGGAAACCATGAGCCCAGCAGCCTGGGTGGGTGCCGCCGTTGCCCCCGCCCCCGCCGCGCCTGTGACCCCGTCTTCGCACGACAGCAGCGAGCGCTCGCTCCTGGTCTGCGCCTGGGTGACTGCGGCCCAGGCAGGTAGCGGGGGCGGGACCGCGCTGGCGCCGCCGGGATCCGTTGCAGTGCTGTTGGCGTCGCCGTCACCAGTGCCTCGGCTGCCGCCGCCGCCAGCGCCGCCACCACTGTACGGCGGCGGCGGCACGCCTGGCGCACCACGCAGCTGCTCCTCCGCCAGCTCCTGTCCCCAGGGCCCTCCGCGCCGCAATGTGGGAGCCGTGTTTGGGGACACGAGGGCGTCCGCCGCGGCCTCTGGAACCACGATAGCCTCAAACTGCTCCTGCGACAGCATCTCCTGACTCCAGGGATGCCTCAACAAGTCCTCCTGCGATTGCAGGGCCCACAAGACCGCGTGATAGGGGTTCCTGAAGGCCCCCGCCACAGCGCCCACACCACAATGCGGCGAAGGCGCAGCCATGACTCCATGGCAGGCGAGCAGCTGGTCTGCCGTGATGGAGCCCAGCGCGGTTTTGGCCTCCGAAACCACTGACGCCGGGATCGACTCATGGTGCAGTGCCATCTCAGCTAGGTTGTGACACATCACCACGCCGTACGCCACACGCCCTAGCGGCGCCTCCAGCGCCGACATCCCTAGGGACTGTGCCGTACGAGGCGGCCTGTACAGCCCCAACCGCGGCAGCAGCTTCGGACTATACACAGCGTACAGCTCCGCCACGGCCCCGGGTGCGGGTTGCGGGGGGTCATGGCTGGCGGCAGCTGCCGCTGCCGCAGCGGCAGGGTCGCCGCCTCGCAGCACGTGCCGTCCTAGGTACAGCAGCCGACAGCGCTTGGACAGGAAGTCATGGCCGAGGCGAGAGAGGCAGGCAGCGCTGATGAACACGTCCCCGCCGTTGGCAGCGTCGCTGACCGCCTTTGCGGCCGCCAGAATCTCGCCGCTGTACTTCCAGCGCGCCGCCACTTCGCTGTACTGAAGGTCGGTCATGTGCCGTACACCCGAATGCAAGCCTGGGGGATACGGTAGCAAGATGGCGGCGCAAGGGTAACCAACACATACGGTAGTAAGGCGGCAGTGCTTGGATGACCAGCGCGGGGTTAGGTTACGCTGGAAACGAGATGGTAAGGAAGTAGACGGTGTCGGCATTTACAATAGCCCTGAGCGCAACTAGAAAAAAACTCCAACTCTCACTCCAACCCACCTATTCGGACCATGAGACCTCGCCGTACAAGCGTGCACTGCTCCGGAGGCGCGGCTGCGCGTTCCTCCGCATGCTCCAAGCCGAACGGCGGGGCGAGGTGCCCGCCGCTAGTGTGCCGGAGGTGGTACTGCGGAGGGCCCTGATGGGGTGTGGTCGTCTGCGACTGAGGGGCCACATGTGGCTGGGGCTGCGACATGGGCCGAGGGTGATGGCTTTGTTGCTGCGTGCTCCTCAGCAGCAGGTGCTTGAGACTGGCCCGCAGGGGCGGCGTCGATGGCGTGAAGCGGGAGGTCTGCAGCGTTGTCGCCGTCTGTGACATCGCGAAGCCAGATGGATCCGTTCGGCCGCTTGCACTCCTCGCCATACCCAGACCAGTAACCGTCGCTGCCAGCCGCCGTCCCAGCGAACGCGGATGAGCGGACGCAAAAGCTGCTGCTGCGTTGCTAGCAGCGAGGCTGCCCCCGCTACCACGCTCTTGAGTGATCTGGGTTTGCATCGCCGCCGCCGCCGTTGAGCTGGTGCTGCAGAACCTCGAAGCACCGGGCAACGGCAGCTGCGGTGGCGCCTCCTCCTCCACCGCATGCCCATGCCCGTTGTCTGAGAAGCAGCGCTGCGCCGCGTCGTCTTCCACGTCGCTGACGGCAGCCGCGGCGGCGGCGCCGTCGCCGCCCAGAAGGCCGTGGCCTACGGAGGTAAGCCTGGGAGAAGTGGTGCCGAGCCTGCCACGTGCGTCCTGTGTTCTGGCAGGTAGGGACCGTGAACGTACGAATGACGGCGGAGCGTCTGCGGCTGCTGCAGGCATGGCTGACGCTAACGCCGCTGCTGCTGTCGCTACGGAGATTCGCGACGACATCGACGTCCGCAGCGCCGTTTTGACGTTCTGCCAGCGTCCCAGGCCCATCCCGCCACCATTGTGGGCCCATGGGTCAGGTGCCGAGACGTTCACCTCGCGCCACATTGCCCGCAAAGCATCCGCGACGCTGCTGTACCTCACCGGCAACGCCCCAATCGTCATGCCAGTTGTTGAGAAGACCGGCGCTATGACCTCTTCATGCACCGACCCATGGGCCGATCTGTCATCCGCAAACGCCGCAACGCCTCCACTCACGCTCACATCCTGCCCTCCCGCAGCCGGCCCCAAGTCGCCTGCACCGCTCTGCCGCCTTGTCTGGCCGCCGTCCCCCAGACTATCCGCAACACTATTCACGCGCCAGCGGCTGTTCCCGCGCCACGCGACAAGCCGCCGTAGGTCCAGCCGGGAGCCACTCGGCGTGGCAGCGCCCGGGCTGCCATCGCAGGACACCGTCCCATGCGGCACGGCCAGCCTGCCTCCGGAGTGCTCGAAGCCGTTGCCGTTGGCCCGCTGGACTGGCAGCGGTGGCGGTGGCGGCGGTGCGACCGCAGTGGGCTCCAGGGGAACATCCAGCGGCACCTCTGCGCCGGTCCGCACCAGCCAGACGGGCCGGCACTTTTCATGCGCCAGCAGCTCCCGTGGCCATGGCTCATCCAGGAGCGCTTGTTGGACCGCTAGGGCGAACTGTACGGCGCTGTCGGCGCAGTGGAAGGCGATGATGAAGGAGTCGCCTGAGGAGCGGGACGCGGCATCAGGAACAGGAGGCGAGGTTACATAAGGAGTAAGGCGGGAAGCGGAAGAGATGGAGCAGAGGAGGGTTCCTTTCAGACCCCCACACCGTACCTTCTGTCTGCGATTCGTAGCCACCGAAGCGAACTGCCGTACGGCGCATGCAGTCGTGGTGCAGGTTGAACACGACGTCCATCACCTCCGGCTTAATCACCTCCCACAGCGCCTGCACAACCCAATGTGGAGCCAGCGGATTGCCACGTCAGCAGTGAGGACATGCTTGCCAATGCACACGCCTTGAGGACTTTAAACATGCGACATGGGACGCCAGGCAAGAAGACATTAAGCATTCGTGAGCCCGTGCACGACAAGAAAAGGGTAGCCACGCGTCAGGAGTAAAGTAGGTAGTCACGCGTCATAGCCACGACATGGGCCCCGCTAATGAGGAAGGCCAGGCCACCCTGCCATTCCAACCTTAAGGCAGCAAACCCTCTCCCCACCCACCGTGCTGCCCTCCACATCCGACACCATCAACTGCAAGCGGGGAGCAGTAACACAGCAGGGAATAGTCATGGAGCGATGCACACAGCTTCAGGGCTTGCATCTGGTCGAAACTTTGCACAGCAACAGACTGCGTGAAAACAAAAACGTGTACCGCAGAATGCTCCCGCAACGCTCATGGCATGTGTTGTCAGACGTATCACTGACCAATCAAACACACGACCGGCGACACAGCTGTGCGACCAGCTCTCCCCCAGCCCAGCAACCCCTAAGCCCTGCCGTCCAGTCCCGATACCCCTATTCCCCGCAGCCACAGCGCCCCCACTCACCGTCGTGTCCTCACCCAGCCCCGGCGGGCCCTTGGGCGCCTGCGCCTCCTCACGCCGCTTCTCCCGTACGGCATTGAACCACACCGCTGCCGCCCCCGCCGTCACAAACAGCACCACCAGCACCGGCACCACGACAGCCAGCGGAACGACCGTGCGGAGGCGGGAGGAGGAGGAAGAGGAAGCTGTGGAGCTGCCGTCGTCCAGTTGCGGAGGCATCCAATCAGACTCAGACGTGAGGCCAATGCTGCACGGAGGGTGACCGAGTCGAGAGTAATTGGTAAAAGGCCGCAGCCCAAGGAGAGTAGCACATCCAGCCAGGGGTAACAGGTATCCGCTTACACCCATGGCTCAAGTTCATTCCTCGAACTGAACGCACGTGATTTCGAACCCCACCCTCGCCATGGAACACCCATAACCCGTGTAACACCAACTAGAAGCCCTTTAACCGCGGCCTTCCAGACCCCCCAGTAAACAGCATCTGCGCTTCACCAACAACCACCTCACCTGTACAGATAGTACCTCCGACGTGCGGCCGCACGAGTGGCATTGATGCTCCCGCCCCCGCCTCCCACATACACCTCATTCAACGCTTCCGCCAAGCCCTGCAGTGCCGCTTGCACCTGGCGGTCCACTGCTGCTGACGGGTCGCCTGTCCCGCTGCTGCTGCCCCCACTGGCTCCAGAAGCAGCCTCGCTCAGCTGTGTGGCAAAGGTGTCCAGCAGGTGGCGGTAGGCGTAGGCGTCCAGTGTGCGCACCTCCAGCAGCACGTTTGGCGAGTCCAACTGGTGATGACAGGGGGCGGCAGGGAGGGCCGGCAGGGAGGGCCAGGGTCATGAGGCCAGGGAGGTACCGGTATGACTTCAGCAGGCAGGGCGGTTTGCGCATCTGGGACATGCGGCAATTCACCGCATTGGAAAGGTGCAAGGCAGACCGTACTCATGCATGGTGTACGAAGTTTATGGCTGCTTCACGCATGCAGAGAGTGCGTCGTGCCCCAGCACAGTTTGCATGTTCCTTGACATGTATGTTGTGCAGGGATGTGCGCGATTTCCCAACCCGCCCCGCATGCGCCCACAGCGCCCCACCTGTGCCTTCATGACCGACAAGAACTCCCGCACGGCGGCCCCGGGGTAGCCGCGCCGCACCCACTGATCCAGATTGGCCGTATCGAAATGCTCGTACCTGCACAGGAGCCACACGTACAGTTCGATCACAGGGCTCTGGAGGCATTTCCTTCTACCAAATGGTCCCTCACGCCAAACAGCAGCACCACGTGCAACCCCTTTGCAGCCACCCCTGCATGAGGGCAAACCCCAAGACACCCGGGTGTCTTCCCTCGCAACTAGTACCGATACCCCTCCCGCGCTCACGCCACATCAGTACACCACCCCATGCGGCCATGCCACATGCCCTCATGCGTCTCCTCCTCCTCCTGCGCCATCGCGCACATCGCACCTGTACGGCCCCAGCTCTGTCGTGCTGCTGGTCACAAGGTCCCAAGACACGTTTCGCGAGCTCAGGTACGCAAACATGTCCAGCAGGTGCGTCTGCTGCTGCGCGCTGGAGCGAGTGGACACAGCGACTGAGACGCTGGCAAGCGCCAGGTAGGGCGCGCGGTTGACGAGGCGGGTGGTGGTGGTTGCAGCAGGGGTGCTGCTGCTGCTGCTACTGCCGTTGGAGCTGCTGCTGCTGCTGGTGCTGCCAGCAGCGGGAGTCTCCTGTGCGTAGGGGCAGACGAGGGTGGAGGAGCAGGGCTGCAGCTGGCCCGAGGTGCGGTTGAGGACCCTGGTGCTTCCAGGCAGCAGCGCCACGCTCGCCCTGTCCCGTACATACGAGTACGGCAGGAACGTGTTTGCCTTGAACTGGTACCCCCAGCTCAGCGTCAGCGCGCAGCGCCCACGCACAAAGTGCTCGTTGAAAACCTGGCAGGGTGCGGAGACTTCGTCGGGCGGGCCGTAGTCTTGCAGGGCGCGGTAGATGCGCAAGGCCTCCCGCATGGCGCTGTTATTGACAAGGGGCTGCATGGTGGCGGGGTCGAAGAAGGCGCCCTGCTGGGTGCCCTCGCTCTGGATGAAGGAGGACCAAATGGACACCAGGCTGAAGCTGTTCCAGCAGTCTGCGACGGCATCGGGTGGTTGGGTGGGTGGGGTTCCCAGGAGGTCAGGGAAGATATTTGCAAGCGGGAGGGAGCGGGCGGAAGAGATTTGGCGGTGGGTAAGCATCAAACAGACGCCCCAGCCACGGCCGACCCAAACCGTGCCCAATCAGATATACCCCCTGTAAGGGACCCACAAACGGCCTACATTCCCTCGTCCCGCTCGGTCCAACAACCCGTTTCCCTCAACCGCGCACATGGACCCACATCTCGCGCGCTGCAGGCAAACCCCGTAGTCCGGCTGTCCGTCCTCGTTCATGTCGGTGCCGTTGACACGCTGGGCCGCCGCCAGGAACTCATCCCAGGTGGCGGGCGGGTCCAGGCCGTGAGCCGCGAGCACGTCCCTACGGTAGTACATCTGGGAGGAGGGCGCGGCAGGGTACCGGTAACGAGACCAGACCGGGGTTGTAGGAGGCGCAGGAGCGGAAGGCGTGAGTCGGCGTGGGAAGGAGTTGGTGGGGTTTACAGTAGTAGCGAGCGCTTCTAGCAGACATGTTTCGTTACCCCGCAGCCTGTGCCTTCAATCACTCATAAACACCGGTTATCCCAACTGCTTCCAGCAACCATGGCTGCCAACGTGCCAAGCCAGCCCACCCACCCACCCAGCCGCAAGGCCAACCACTGCTCACTCGCCACCACCCCGACCAGATCCCGGCTGCCTCCCAGTACTCTCCCACCCGCCCGCCCGCCCAGCAACCCAGTTGGCCCCCGCCCTTCCATCCCCCATGCGCCTGGCTTGGCTGATTTGGGTTGGGCGGGATAGGTCGGCTACCATGTTTGCACCCCATGGTTAAGCCGTGACATCCAGCTCGTCAGCTTCCCCTTTACTCCCCCCATGCGCCGCCCGTACCTGGTACACCAAGCCCCCAAATGGCAGCGCCGCCACCGAGCCCTCCGCCACCACCACGCTAGCCCTCAGCAGCTGGTGGATGCCCACCCACTGGATCTGCTCTCTGTACGAGTCGTCCAGCACCAGATGGCTGAGATCCAGTGTCAGGCCGCTGTCGTACAAGTCAGCCAGCGCAATGGGGTCCACCTGTAGGACCAGCGGTGGTGGGTGGTTGAGTTTGTTGGGGCGTGCGGGGCCGGATTGAGCTATGTAGCGAAGGGGGCAGCAGCCCTGGCCCACATGCGGCCTGCTGTCAGTCTGGCTCCATGCAGCCTTGCAGTTAGGCGGCACCACAGGCATGGAGAGCAGGTACGCCACAACCACTTTTGTAACACCACCTAGCACCAATGACCAGCAGGTTGTCCACCTAGTCGCAGGAGAGCTTTCAGTCCACGCGCCTCCCGACCCGCCCAGTCCGCGCTCCTGTAACTCGACATGATCCTCACATTGCCTGCCATGAAACCCGCGGTCTCTACCTCACTCACCCCCCCACACATGCGCCCCTCATTGAACCATTCGTGTACAGCTGTTCCCAGCCCGTCCTGCCTCATCGAGCGTCGATGGGCGCTACCCACCAGCCATGCGTCGTAGGTTTCATCCACTGTCGCATTCGCAGCCAGTCCTACAAACCCTGGGGCCACCCCACCGATCTGCGCCAGAGTACGGCCCCATGTGGCCATGCCGGTCAGTGTGAAGTCAACGTGCGCCGGGGTGGCATTCGTCGCCTGCTGTCGCTGCTGCTGTAGATAACCAATCTGTGCCCTCGCAAAAGAGGTCGAAGACACGTTGGGAGCGAGGATTGATAGGCTCTGTTTGGGAAAGGGCACACATGATTGGGGGAAGGGTGAGTGGCCAAGTGGTTACGGGGCAACCGATTTGGGTTGGCCAAAGGCAATCATCAGCGGGAGGGACGAGGGCATCAAAGGGTTCTTAGCGAGGATTAAAACTCGGTCCCGTGTAAAGAAACACTCTGGGGACAAAGTTATGGGGCCACGGTATCAGGACGGACATGGGATGTTGCCATGTGGTCTGGATTTGCTGAATGAGGTGTTACATGCTCATGACTGACACAGATGACATACAGGCCGTTTTGCGAGTGTTACTGTTTATCAGGCATGCGCGGCGCCCGTTAGTCCGCCTATCCCGCAGGGGTAAGGTGGTTCCATATGTTGCACAAATAATCCAACCCTCTTCCCGGTATGCAAGAGGTTGACGTCAGTATACACCACCGGGCCCCTCACCTGGTTAAGGTCGCTAAAGCAGGCCACGATGTCTTGCACGGCATTACGCAAGTTGATACCCGACGAGTTTGAGCCAGTGTGTAAGCTGTTCTTAGGAAGTAATTCACACCTATTGATGTAAAAACAGCGAGCGACTTAGGAAACGCCATGGGTGCCAAGGTGGGAGCCGCAAGAGTCGATTGCCTTGTTAAATATTGCTAGAGCTTACTCCGTGATAAGCCTTGGAAACACAGCTCGAATGCAGACATCTGTTGGGTTCGCAAGAGCTGACAGTGCAAGAGCGAGCAACAATCCAAATACGAGTAGAAGCTTGGACATGCTGCGAAACCGCTCCCGCTCCTCTCTTGCTGAGAGGGAGTTGAACTATCATCTACTTCATCTTGCAACTATTTACTTGTAAATTTATCTTCAAAATAACCATTTACGGTGCCATATACGGTCACCCTACGCTCTCTACTCCGTTCTGGTGAATTAGGTGGTAGAAGTCATCATCTTGAAGTGCACTGTTGTCGACAGCTGGCGGGCTCGTTGGTTCGCTTGCCCAGTCTGAGGAAAGACCAGGTACTTCGTACAGTGTACGGCCGGTAACTTTTTCTTCTGGTGTGCCCTGAGGAGCATACCGTGCTTGGCAACCTGGAACCGGTCGTGCTCTCATGAAACGGTGAAGTTTAGGTGACTCTTTTGGAGGTTGGGAGGCATGGACGAAGCGGTCGAGCTACCGGTACTGCATGGTATCCGCTTCTACATTTGCAGGTCGTTGCAGGTATTTGTCCCAGACCAGAGCCATTTCCTGTAACTCATCACTCGTAGCCTTGAAACTGGCTGCGTGCTTTCTGTCATCCGGTGAGGGCCTGACTGGCGTGTCCGGGGGTTGGGATACCCGTACTGGCAGCTCCCTAGTACAGGCCTGCTGATGCACGGCCATACTGTCCTCTACTAATCCGGCTCTACCGACGGGCTGGCAGACGGCTGGCACGGGTTGGGTGCAACAATAGGCACGTTTTAACCCGTTTTAACCTGTTTCACCGTGGTAGATAGAAGCCATGCAGTATATGATGCCGGCGCCAATTGGCTCTCAACATCGTAAACTCCTCACTGCCGCCTTTGCCCAGGTGAATGCTGAGTGCTACCTGCTTTCCTGCTTTTCTCATACCTCAGTGAAGTGCAATGACCCAATTAGTGTGGGCGAGGGACACCGCTGTTACACCAAAACCCTTTCGAGGAAAGCAAATACCGGTACATTGAAAAGGAAAAGGGCTTTCGCATTGTCGTCCTGGCTGCTACGCCGTCGCAATTGGTGACTGAGCGTTGACCGTTGACTCTTTCACGACAAATCGAGCACAAAGGAATCATACCATTAATAGTGTGTGTTGATTGCGTGCATCGCGTTATTCTGTGGTTCTATAGCGCGACCAGTCTTACCCTAGCCCGGCTCAATTTTGGTAATTGTGACTGCCTGTGTTGCCGGCGGCTAGTGCTACAATGGACATCTTACAAGATGTGTATCAAGGACTTGAACGTATTGCCGATAGCATGGCTGCGTCCGCGTCACCTTTTCTGGACATGGCAGGCCCTAAGGGGTCGTTTACACGAGTTTACGCTGGAGTGGTTCTCTCCGGTGGGGACTGTTTGCTTATTTAGCGTTGGCATGAACGCGTTTCTTTGGAACCTAAGTTTCTGAGCCTGACGTGGTGCGACTTTGCAGGCTTGTCTTTTTGGCTGCTTGAACTAATTTTCCTGGCGCTTCTTAAGCCTTTGCTGATTCGAGTTTATCAAGATCATGCCGCTGAGAAAGGCAATGTTAAGGCGCAGCTGCGGAAGGCGAAGGGAACGGCGACTCTGACGGTTGCTCGCCTGGTTGGCACTGTCCACAACAGCATCCAGGTGCGCTGTACAGGATGCCCTGTCCTAAACAACTTGCGGTGTTCACCATGGTTATCTGTCCTGTGCGCGAATTTCCCACCCTTTAAGCTTCAACCCGACACAACTACCGGTACCCCTAAGTTCCCTCACAACAGAGGTGAAGCGTAGCACGCAATCCTCTCCCCACGGTCCTTACCACCTTCCTACACACGACATAGGCAGTGACTGGCTCCCCGCCCTCCACTCACAACGCGCCGACGTTGCCGCCGTCCCACCTCATTGCGCAGGTCCCCGTGGGCCTGATGATCCTCGCGGACCCCCGCTTCCTCGGCGACCGCATTAACACGATCACCAACCTCTCATGCGCCATGTGCTACATCAGCGCTGGCTACTTCTTTCACGACCTGGTGATGTGCATCAAGCGCTTCTCGCTGGAGGGCCCGCTGTACACCACGCACGCTCTGGCCTGCCACATCGCTTACACGTTCGGCATCTACAGTGGCTTCCTTCACTACCACGGTAGGTGGGGTAGGGGTGGATGGTGGGTAGGGTCGCGGCATGTTGCGAGCATATGGACTGGCCTGCGTTCGGCAGGAGGGTCGGGGGGGTGCATTCCAAGAGGTGGTGTCAGGGGCGTTGGGATGTGTCATGGTGGGAGCAAACTGGCAAGGGTCGTGGGAGGTTGCATGGCTGCGGGTTCTGCGGCCGCACCTTGAGGATGCGGCCCCATGCAAGGCAGGCCTGTTCAGGTTTTTGGACTTGCATCTACCTCCACCAGAATTTGATGCTACGCACCCCTCGCTGCCGCAGGTGCTGCGTTCCTCATGTGGGAGATCAGCACGCCGTTTGTGCACGCCAGGTGGGTAGCATGGGCGCTACTTGTATGCGACCGAAATTGTGCCTGCAGGCAGAGCACGGGCGTGTGCCATTCTTGGTTAGGAGCATTCGTTGTGGATAGGGAACGGCAGTTTGTGCCATGGACACGGGCTCCGACCCTCCGAGGCTGCACAGGCTGAGCCAACCTCGGTTACTCCTCCTGAGCTGGCACGCGGTCCTGGTAATGAGGAGCGAACGACGTGTATACCGCTGCTGTGGAGCCATGTCCAGCGACGGCAAATCAGTTTAGTTGTATAGAACACAGCTGTTTATCCGCAGGCCCAGCTATTCTCTCCCTCGGTGTCAATACTCTCTCCTCCCCGCTCCCTGCACACGCCCGCCATGCATGCGAACAGGTGGGTCATGTACAAGGCCGGCCTCGCCAACACCACCGCATACCTTATCAACGGCCTGTGCATGCTCTTCGCCTTCTTCGGCTGCCGCATCGCCTGGGGCTACTACGAGTCGTACCACCTCGTGTACGACGTGGTTTCGGAGCGCTACCGGGAGGGCTCGACCTTCCCGTTGACCGGCACCGTGGCGTACTGCATCATCGCGGTGGTCATGAACTGCCTCAACACGCACTGGTTCCTCAAGATGGCAAGCGCGGCGGTGGCGCTGTTCATCAAGGGCAAGAAGGGCTCCGAAGTGGGCTCGCACAAGGACGAGTGAGGGGGCGAGGTGGAGTGTACGGCAGGGATGTACTATATGGTGATGAACGCACTTGTCGGGGATGGTTGCTGATGGGTTGTGTGGCCGTGTGCCCTGTGCCATGTCCGGGCGGGCTGCGGTTGGCGGTGCTGGTGGGTATTAGGTTTGTAGGAGGATGTAGGGATAGGGTAGCGACGCCTGCTGTTGGTGTTCAGAGCTTGCTGGATGGGGAAGGGTAAGAGCGGCGAACGAGCTCTTTTGAAGCAGCGTCTGTACGGAAGATGTATTAAGGACTCGTAATCGTAGGGGTGGTTTTGGGTGGACGTGGGTTCGTTGAAATTTGCGTGCTGCCCTGCGTCATATGATGTCCTAGCAAGATTCCATGAGGTTGGGCTGGGGCTATGTCCCTTGCGTTGCTGCCAGACTGGCCCCGCATATTGCGGAGCGGAGCTAGTGCATCGCTCTGTACCGGTATGGGATGGCGATCCAGTTTTTTTGTGACCAGAAGTCCATGTCTCTTCTATACATGTAGTTTACGCGCAAATTGCTTCCTCCACGTATGTGTATGGTACGATGTCTCAACGGGGTCTACTTTGGCGTTGGCTGCGTGGGTTGGGGCGGAGCTGGGTAGGTTGGTAGCAGTTCTGCAAGAATCCTGGAGCGCTGCGACAGAGAGCACTGCGAGCGGTACTCTATACATGTAATAAAGCGGTACTCCAATTGTTTCGGTTGGGTCAACCGGTGTGCTTTTTCAACGGTGTGCCAGCCAAAACTACAGCCGGGCAACAAAGCAACCAGCCTAATAATAACCGGGCGTTTCTGTGTATCCCGAAAAGACAGTTTACATGGAGATTCGGACAACGCGCACCAGTCTGGTGAAACAGTGCAACGTGTGAAGTAAGGTAACCTTCTTTAGCTAGGGTTCCGCGTAAAATGCACCTCAAGTTCCTGTGGATGATGTCGCCTATAAGACGCATATATATGATAACCCGACTGGCAGTTAGGTACTGCGATGGGGAGCTAGCGCAGGTCCACGGCGATAAAGGGAATGTACGGAAAAGGCGTTGAAGATGGTGTTGCCCCACATACCCTTAGCTGAGTCGTCCTTTCTGAACACTACGCCTGAGTGCATTCTAGAGTTCAATCTACCTGCAGCAGGACTTGTGCGACAGCAAGGGGTCTTTTGAAGCTATCTGTGTTGCGGCTGTGAGCAAAAATGGTGTCTCTCGGCCTTGAGACCGTCCTTGCGGGCACGCCTTCCAACATTTGCAAGACTAAGGCGCGTACCATCTTTGGCAGGCTTTGCGCGTCTTCAGGATATTGAAATTAAGCTGAATTTGGCAAACCGTGTTCAGGTAGTCTGTACCCTTGGCCCTAAGTCGCGTAGCGTGGAGGTGTTGGAGGAGCTTCTTCGTGCTGGCATGAGCGTTGCACGCTTTAACTTCTCGCACGGCTCACACGACTATCACCAGGTGCGTTGCACGCGGGCGGCGGGCGTTGCACTAGCGAGCGTTGGCATTCGCGCTAAGCAACCTTTATTGCTTTGTGCACTTCAAAGTGTTCCCTTGCTGGTGTTCGTTGAGTGCAGGAGACCCTCGACAACCTGCGCCAGGCAATGAACAACACCAAGGTCATGTGCGCAGCGATGTTGGATACCAAGGTGCGTTTCCACACCATATAATCAAGCATATTTAACATATCAGTGCGACCCATATGACCAGCTCAGCATGGTGGTGTTGCATTGCTCCCAGGGGCCGGAGATCCGCACCGGCACGCTCAAGGACGGCAAGCCGGTGCAGTTGACTGCCGGCCAGGAGGTGACCATCACGACTGACTACTCGATTGCAGGGGACGAGAAGACCATTGCAATGAGGTACGGCAATGGCTTGCTATTGCCGCTCTGGGGCCAACACAGGGGGCAACAGGCGCGCAAAAGCACATGGGATATTGATGCTTCCCGTTACCCTGTGGCTGTTACAGTACCGCATCCCTCAACCCCCCAATTTCATCAATGTGCGTTGCCCCTCAGCAACATGAGCCGCACTGCTACATACCCCGCTTCTTGCCCCTCCCCTTCAATGCATGTGTTTTCGCCCTTCCCCCCTTTTTCGCCTCCCAGCTACAAGAAGCTCGCCCAGGACGTGAAGCCGGGCTCTCAGATCCTGTGCGCGGATGGCAGCATTGTGCTGGTGGGTTTAGGGGGCAGGAGGGCAGGAGGGAGGGAGGGCACGAGTTGGAAACAACCAGGTCCTGAAGGGGAGGTAAACTTGGAGTTGGGTGGCGCGGGGGCACGAGGGGGGGATCAGGTTTGGGAGTGGTATGCCACGCCCGCAGCGCACAGCTACACGCAGCAAGCAGTCACGTCGCTGCACAGTCTGCGGGGGCACTTGGGGAGCAGCGAGGTATAGTGCTGATGGCAGGGGCATGCGGGGGAGGAGTGCACTAGCCCCCCATATAGGTGGGCAAGCCGGCATGCCAGGGCCATTGAGGGGTTCTCGGGGCATCCGGCGCCGGCTCCGTTTTGTTGCGCCCTTGCTGTGGCTCCTCATTCCCTGCCTCCCGCCCCCCCCACCTTGTTTCGCCTCCCCCCGCTCTGCACAAATTATCCACACATTGGAATTCCTTTTTTCGTCCTCGCAGGAGGTGATCTCCACCGACCCCGCCAACGGTACCGTGCGCGCCCGCTGCATGAACACCGCCATGCTGGGGTGGGTGCGGGGATGGGGAGGCAGGGTGGCGGGGGTGGTGATGTGTTCACCGGAGGTTGACCCGTGGGTCTGTTGGGTGCTGCGAGCCTGGGTTTATCACACGGACGATATTAACCAACCGCGCGGATGTCATCAGCTCATCTCACCGTGGTGCGAGGCGGAGCATTATGCGGTTTTCATTGGGGGAAAGCGTGCTCACCCCTTCTGTATCCGAGGCGACAGTTACGCCCCCCACCAACAGCAGCAGCAGCAGCTGTCACAGCAGCGGCCAGCAGTTCTCCAACCGCAGCGACATGCCCGGGTGCCGTACGGCGGGAGGGAGTTGCCGCCCCCCCCACCGGTGATCGTGGCCACTCGGCCATGAGAGCTGAAGTCCCCTCCGCGGACCTCCATGTTACCAAGCTGGCCACCCACCCCCCTCCTGGGGCCCTCCTCTCTCCCCTCCCCCACCTGCATTAATGTTCATCCCTATGAATCCCCCACCTGCACTCCTTGCCACCCTCCCTCCCATGTCCTCCCCCCTCCTCCGCCCCTACCCCCCTCCCTGCACAGCGAGCGCAAGAACGTGAACCTGCCGGGGGTGGTTGTGGACCTGCCCACGCTGACGGACAAGGACGTGGACGACATCCTCAACTGGGCCATCCCCAACGACATCGACTTCATCGCGGCCTCATTCGTGCGCAAGGGCTCGGACCTGGACACCATTCGCCAGGTGGGTGGGTGGGTGGGGGGGCGGGGGGGGGGGGCATGAGGGGGCGGGGGGGGGCATGAGGGGGCGGGGGGCATGAGGGGGTTGGGGCGGGGGCAGGCGCCAGTATGGATGTAGTACTAGCTAGTACTATGTATGGATGCGGCTGGCTGCATGGGTGGGAGTGTGCGGTGGTGCAGGGAGGGAGGGAGGAACCCCACCAGGCGCTACCCCGCCCTCACCGCCACCCCCGCCCCAGGTGCTGGGCGAGCGCGGCCGCTTCATCAAGATCATCTCCAAGGTTGAGAACCAGGAGGGCATTCAGAACTTTGATGAGATCCTGGCGGGTACGGACGCCGTCATGGTGGCGCGCGGCGACCTGGGCATGGAGATCCCCACCGAGAAGATCTTCCTGGCGCAGAAGATGATGATCCAAAAGTGCAACTACGCAGGTGGGTGTGTGGGGGGTGGGGGTGTTAATGAAACCTGGCCGCCAGTCGGAACGTGTGTTAAAATAACTGGTCGGAACGTGTGTATGTGTTAGGGAGGGAGGAGTGTTGCGGGTGACCGGGTGCAATTGATGCGGGGGTGGCGATGCGACTACATGGGACCTTATGCCTTGCGTTCGTTGAAGTGTGTTTTCCGATGCCTTGCTTGCTTGTCACTCCACCCCGCATGCCACCTCTCCCTCCCCACCTCCCCACCTCCCCAGGAAAGCCCGTCATCACCGCCACCCAGATGCTGGAGTCCATGATTAAGAACCCGCGCCCCACCCGCGCGGAGGCGACTGACGTGGCCAATGCGGTGCTGGACGGCACGGACTGCGTCATGCTGTCGGGCGAGACGGCGGCGGGGAACTTCCCAGTGGAGGCGGTCAAGGTGGGCGAGGGGGGGGGAGAAGAAGAATACAACCAATATGTTGTGGGGAGGAGGAGGGGTTAAAGAGGGGTAGAGAGGGGTAGAGGAAGGCGGCGGTCAAGGTGAGTCTGTCCTGTCCTGCGCGTTCATCGCTCCTCAGCCACCCCTTCCGCTTCTTCCGCCGCCTCCTCCACCCTTCCTGCACGCGTGCACCCCTCTGCCGCCGCGCTGCCTCCCGCGCATGGCTGCCCCTCATCCACTCCCCCCACCGCTCCCGCCACCAACTACAGTAATGTGCTAACCTAACTATCCAGCCTAATGCGGATTCTGTTTTCAAATTACCCCCACCGCTCCCGCCACTCTTCCTTACTCGTTACCCACTCCACCCCACCCCTCCCTCCTGTCAGGTCATGACAAAGATCTGCCGCGAGGCCGAGGCCTCCCTGGACTACTACGCCATGTTCAAGAACATCCTCAAGCAGGCGCCCATGCCCATGAGCCCGCTGGAGTCGCTGGCCTCGTCAGCGGTGCGCACGGCACACAAGGTAGGGCGGGGCGGGGGCGGGTTGCAGAGCGAGAGAGTACACAAACACCACAGCAGAGGGAGAGCGGGAGGCAGGGAAGAAAGATCTGGCAACACAAATCAGCAACCCCCACCTCACCCCACCCCAGGTCCACGCCTCCTTGATCGTGGTGCTCACCCGCGAGGGCTCCACCGCCCGCCTGGTGGCCAAATACCGCCCGCTGGTGCCGGTGCTCACGGTAGCGGTGCCCGTGCTCACAACAGGTGGGCGACCTGTGTGTGTGTGTTTGGGGAGGGACGCTGCCGCTACCGCTCTTCTCACTTCTCCCCTCCTCTCTCCCTTCTTCCTCCCATCTTCACACCTCTCTCACGTCCGTCCTCACCTCCACTTCCGCCCTTCCTTTCCTCCGCCCCCGCAGACAGCCTCACCTGGACCTGCAGCGGCGAGGCGCCCGCGCGGCAGTGCCTGGTCACCCGCGGCCTCATCCCGGTGCTGGCGGAGGGCAGCGCGCGAGCCACCGACAGCGACACCACGGACGAGATCCTGGCGGCGGCAATCGAGCACGCCAAGCGCATGCGCTACTGCGCCAAGGGGGATTCCATTGTGGCGCTGCACCGCATCGGGAATGCGTCGGTTATTAAGATCGTGGATATCAAGTAAAGGTGGTGGTGGAGTTGGGAAGGAAGGGGAGGGGTAGCGGTTGGGGAGGGAAGGGGATGGGAGGGAAGGCGGTGTGGAGGAGGGCAAGGAGGGGGATAGGAGGATGGTGCGGGAGGGATTGGTGCGCGGCTGGAAACCGGGAAGAGACGTGGAAAGCAGGAGCGGCGGTTAGCTGGTAAGCAGCAGGGGAACCGGTTGCGCTGAAAAGGAGGGTCAAATTGGGAGATGGAGATGGAGAAGGGGTAGGCTTGAGAGGTGTGTGTGAGCGCGTGAGAGAGAAGCACGTAGAGAGACATGTAGCGAGGAAGAGAAGAGAGAGAGAGGGGCACAGAGAGTGAGAGGGAAGCGCAGGATGTCACAGCCGGGCTGCGACAGGGACCCGGCACGCGGGACAGGGCGGTTCGGCAGCACACTCGGCAAGGGAGCGGAGCTAGGAATAGGGTTCTTGTTTGGTCGGTTGAATGGTCCACAGCTCTGCATGCACACGCCGGTGCTGCTTCCTTCCCTGCTGCATGGAGCTGCAGGGAGCTTCAGAGGTTGCAGGTCTCGCCGCAAGGGAGATCTGGCCCGGGCGCCGCTTTCGTGCTGTGTGCCCTGAAGCATACATACTAGACGCCCTGCCTTGGCCGTAGTGGGTCACCGTCATGTCATACTATCTGTCGAGGGCAAAGGAAGCAGGCGGAGGGAACGACGCAAACGACCACCCATCGGTTCTTCGCTTTCCGCCGGAATACAGCGATGACTGTTCTTTTGACTTGAGGGAATGCGTCCGGCGGTACTGATGGGGCGGCCTGCTAGCGCGCGTGCTGCGGGTCCGTTGGGGGTAAGAAAGAGGCCTTTGGGAGTACGGTAGAGGCGCTGTATTGTGGTTGCGGGTAGTACTGCTGCCGCCGCTGAGGTTTCTCAACAAGGTACTACCGCTGATAGTGTTGGCGGGGTGATGAGGGAAGAGGAGGTGCGTCGTACGTCCGCAGCACTGTTTTGGTGGAAGGGCGCTTTGTCGGGGCCGCACATGGTATGTCAACAAGAATACGCATGGGGGAACGGCTAATCCTGGAGCCTGAAGCTGCTTGGACGGAAGAAAGGAGCTCGGAGCACGGGTGTTTGTGTATGGCTGGGTATGTCTCCGCGTCCTGTTGTCTGCTGGGGTGTGACGGGTGTGCTTTCGTAATGTCCCGTTTGGTGTGTGCGGATGATGGGTTTGCAGCATGGAGACGGGTAGGGTGGGCAGGAAGTGTTTTGCTGGGTTTTGGGTGAGTCGCACAAGGGGTTGTGTGTTGCGTGCCCTCCTGTGCTCCTGGGCGCGGATGGAAGGGCGTTCTTTCTTTCCGTACCCCTGACAGTGAAGAAAGCCATCGTCGTCGTTGCTCGTCTTATCACTGTTCTGTTTTGTTGCTGCTTCATGTTAAGGCTGTTGTTGCTGTTGTCACACAACAGGCTCCGGCAGGCGGTCTGTCGTATACTAGATTACTCCTAGGCTGTAGAGAGGTGATGATGGCTATAGCGCAGTGCGAATGTCGTGAAGAGTGTGTTGTGCTTCATCGTGTTGTGCTTCACAAGAACCGGTAGGTTACATCGTAAGAACCATGCAGTAAATGGCATGCAGGAATGGGTTGTGGGCGTGGGTTCTGTAACCCTTGAAAGGTTTGCTGTTATGCACAATCCCGGTTTATGGGATGACTGGAGTCTATAAGAAGGTTATCATACACACATCTATCGATGCAAGAGAGAAGAAATAAGAGGTTTTGTTTGGAGGGGAGTGGGCTTGTTATCGTTGCGCGGCTGCTGCCATGCTGTGGCTGCCGTTGCCCTGATTGTACCACCAGCAGTGATGAACAGGGAAGGCGCTGCCCTTGTAAATATCTGGATACATAATAGAGTTGTTTGTGCCACCTCTTTACGCACCCGTAGTGGCACTTCCTTTAGCACGGATTCTGGCAGCGTCTTGGGGCTGAGTGCACCTGAGGGGGGCGGACGACGCAACCAGGCCCATTGCCTGGGTACACCGGGATTCAACCCAGGGTACGGAGGTGGGGACGGGGTGCAATCCTATGTGATAAGCTGGTTGGTCGGTCGTCGTCGCATACACTTTACCTTCGCACCCGCACCCGCAGTGGCAATTTCCGTGTCAGTGAATGGGAGGCAGGACCGGGCGGGGGGGAGCCAGGCGGCAGCGGTCATTGGTGCTGCACCGGTGCAAGCGAGGGACGTAGGCCTGCTGGGGGTCAATACCGGTGTGCACCTTTCCGCCATCCCCCGCCTCAATCTCTACACCCCCCCAGTTTTCCTTATTTTTACCCCAACTTCTTGAGGGGCCAGGCGGACGGGTAGATAGATATACGATTGCATAGTGCCTTGTTTATGGGACAAAGACTTGTCAACGCAGTGTCAGTGATTCAACAATTGCAACAGCTTGCTCGACACTCAGTGCCCAAGTTGTTAGGTAGAAAGCTTATCTGCACGGTGACCTGTTGCCGACTTATCATACACAGAGGGTGCACATGCACCTCGTTTTTCCTCTCTCTCTTCATCTCTCTCCGTACACCAATTCCGATGTCCTGCCGTACAAGTCGTGCAATGGCCTCTGTTCAAACCATGCTTGGCTTGCGCAATCAAGTGGTCTTATGCAACCCCGTCACAAATTGCCTCAGTTGCCAACAGCTTTATCGAATAGTAATGAAGTCCTAAAACAGTCCGACAATCATTTGATCGTTCAAATGCAACGGTAAGCAAGCCATCCCAACGGTACCAAACCCAGGCAAATAAACGTACGGTAATAACCTCTCCTCCTCGATCCTCATGTCCTGTATACCGGTATATGTCCCAACCAACAACGGTCAAAACGTCCCCCGCCCTTGTCCACCCCTCTTAAGTAATTTTCCGCCACCCGCAATGACCAACCGACAACCGTCCTTCAGTTGCCGGTCACCGCCGCCAAGTTGGCTCCGCTCCGCCCATATCCCAGGGCCATACATGCGTGTAAGGATATAATGTGTGTATCACGAGGTATCATACGCGTCTTCAGCTGTCAATGCATCAATAGCGCGCAGAGAGAGCCGCGGTGTTGCAGTTCCCACATTCCTCTAGTACTGGGTACCACATTGCCGCACAACATCCTACTGGCTACTGGTAAGCGGGAACCGCCGTCCAACGTTCGCCCACATCGCCCAGCAACCGCAAAACCGTACAGCATGCCTCGGGTAAGCACAAACCCAAAGGGGCCTGCATGCGTAAAGCCCCTGCAAGCCATGACGCAAGCTGGTCAGGGTTCCTATTTCCAGAACCCCAGTTTCGTCCTTCTGGGACAAGCGCAGTACGAAACCAAAAGGTCAATCACAAATGCCCCCGTTTGGCCCTTCCCTGACAACAAGAAATGACGTCACGGTCGCAATCCGGTTCACGAAACAATAATCACTTCGTAGCCAGCAATCCCGTGGCTGTGTGACCCCTCCCAACGTGGACAAACAATCTGCCTGCCGACCATGCAAGCGGCGGTGCTGGTGGGGCTACCAGCGCGATTGTTACTGCTACATCTGGCGGTCATAAACACACTCCCTCACCCGTCATTCCGTTGCCCGCGGCCGGCCGCTCTGCGCCCGGGGCACTGGCACTGGTACGACAACACCTGGCAGCACACTTCCCGCCACGGGGGGTACGACAGACCCCATGGCGGGCATGGAGCGACCGGACCGGGGGCTCAGCGGCGAGTGCTGCTGGTGATGCTGCTGGTGGGGGTGGGGGTGCTGGGAGTGAGGGTGAAGGTGGGAATGCAGGTGTGCCGCAGTGCGTTCAGGGTCGGAAACAGCGGTAGCCAACTGCACCTCCCTTGAAGCAGCTCCTCCACCTGCTGCTGCTGGCGCCACGCTCGTGGCGCCATCCCCGCCGCTAGGAGCCCAGCTGACCTCACCCGAACGTGCGCCAAACACCGTCGCATTAGGGCCGCTCGTGGACACCGGTGCGGCGGCCAGACCCGGACCAAAGATCCCCGTGTGAGTAGCGCGACCACCGCCACCGCCACCACCGCCAGCACCCACAGCCGCCCCGCCACCGCCGCCCTCTCCAGCCAGGGCTGCCATGCCGTCATGCGTGGCGAAGCCGGGTGGTGGGGGCGGCAGTGCCGGTTCGGGGGTTGTGAGTGCGGAACGAGCAAACAACAGGTCTATGAAGCCGCCCGACATGACGCTCCAACGACGGGGTGCCTCGGGCTGCTGCTGTGGCTGCGGCTGCTGCCCGCCCTGCTTTGCAGGCTGCTGCTGTTGCTGCTGGAGGTGATGTGGATGGTGTTGAGCTGGAGGCGGCAGGTCCAGCGGCGCCACCGCATTGCGACTGGAACGGCTGATGTTGACATGATTGTTGTTATGACTGGCAGGCGTGGTGGGGGCAGCAGCACTGCCGGGGCTGCTGAGGGGCTGCTTGACGGGTGAGAGAGCAGCGGGCGAGGTGGGAGACTTGGCGGGTGGGGCAGCCCTGGGGGATGTCACCGTAAGGAAGGGATGCTGCCGGTGCTGCTGCTGCTGAGGGGGCTGCTGCTGGGGGGGTTGCCCCTCGCTGGTCCCAACTGCGTCTGCCGCCGACTTCGGGGCTACTGTTGCCACTACCAGCGGCGGCGGCGGAGGCGGCGACGCAGCCGACAGCGAATGGGAGCTGCTAGGGCGGGACGATGACTGCTGCTGCTGGTGCTGCTGCTGGGTGGGAGGAGGAGGGGCCGCGGCTGCTGGTGCTGGCGGCGACAGCTGCACTCCGCTGAACAAGGAGCGCGGCGAAAGTAAGGGCAGCGGCGACAGGCGTTGCCGCTGGTGCTGCCGAGAGGTTCGATCGCTTGGGGACGGTGCACCGGGGGAGGCCGCACCACCCTCGGAAGCCGCACCACCACCCGAACCGGCAGCAGGACTACCGGCGGCCGGCGTGCTAGGGGTCTCAGTGGGTGTGGTGGGCCTGGGTAGCCCCGGCGGCGTCCTCGCCCTGGGCTGGCACGGCTGGGGCGAATGCAGTTGCAGTTGCGGGTGTGTTGGGGGGTGTACGCAGCTGCATGGCCTGCTACCGCTGCTGCTGCCGATGCTGGCTTCTCGAGCGGAAGGCGACGTGCTGAGCGGTTCGGTGCCTGTGCTTCGAGGTCCGTCCTTACATGCCGCATCTGGCGCACAGCCGCCACTGCCGCTGCCGTCAGTGGCGGCGGCGGTGGCGACGCCCTCGGCTGCAAGCACCGGCACGACCCGTGGGTCAGGGAACACACGGCGACCGCTCCGGCTGTGCGCCAGGAGCTTTGCAGCTGCGCCTGACGGCGACGGCGCCCCCGCCGCCACCGCAGTCGCCATTGGCTCCGTCGCCGGCGCCGCCGACGCCGCCGTCGGCAACTCCACGCCAATGCTGCTACTGCTGCTGCAAGACGGTCGCGGACCCGTGGGTCCGGCGGACAGCGACCGAGGCCGGCGGAGGAGGCTGCCACTGGGCTCACGACCGTGCGGTCCGTCGCGACCGCCGAATGCGGCGGCGGTGGCGGCAATGACGGCAGCAGCGGCGGCGGCGACGGAGCCGTCGCGGGAGACCCGGAAGGACCTGTTGTGCGGCGTGACGCCGAGTTCTGTGATGGTGGGCATGTGCGCCGCCGCCGCCGTTGCAGCTCCCTCATTGCCGCGGGAGGAGGAGGACCGAGCCATGAGTTGCACCCTTGGGGGATCCTGCGGCCCTCGACCCGCTGCCTGCACTTCTGAAGCAGCCCTCGTTGCCGATACGGCGGATGCTATCACAGTGAGCGCATGGCCGCCGTCGGTAGCCCTATGCACCACTGGCACCTTCGCCATCGCTCCTGTCGCCGCCGCCGCCGCTGCTGAAGCGGCCTTATCGCCCTGCTCCACCTTCCCGCGTAACCCCGCGGCATCTTGCCCCAAGTCACAGCTACTGCCGCCAATCACGATGACGCTGTCGCCAAGCCTCAGGCGGGAAGGCAGCGGCGATATATCCGACACCTCAGCAGCAGCATTGCCACCACTACCACCACCACCATCACCAGCAGCTGCCGCGTTTGTTATCACAGGTAGCCTTCCATCCGCTGCCGGCCCTAGCTGCCGCCGTTGCTGCTGCTGCTGCTGCTCGCAGGCTTGCTTCTTGTCCTCCACCAAACTGATAACGCTGGCAGCGCTACCGATGCTGCTGCGGTATGTTGCGCAGATCTTGAAGGAGATGCGCGTACGGCAGGTACGACCCCTGCCCTGGAAGACGTTGAGAGCGTACGGCGCTAGCGGCATGGGCCTGTGGAGAGGAGGAAGGGCGGTGAGTTATGGGGGAGGGGTTGCGTGAGAGAGGGAGGGAGGCACTCGAAAAAGGGAGGTAGAGACGAAGGGAGAGGCATGAGGAGACGGGGCGCCGAGGGTTGCAAGTCGAGGAGGGACAGGGGGCTACCTAGAGCGGTTAGGTAGTGGCGACGACGGCCGTGTCTGTGTTAGTTTCGGTCAGGGCGCCTCAGGAGTGCACCCCCAACTCCCAACTCCTTCGGTCAGGGTCAATATTTCCGCGGCTCAGTTTATCTAATCCCAACTCCAACCCCCGACGCCCGACCCGCGACTCCAATCCCATCCGTTGCGTCAGTCATCACTCACACGTTCAGCCGGCGGTCACAGCAGGGCATGCAGCGCCCCAGTGCGGCTGCCAGCGAGGTCAGGCGGGTGAGGGTGGGCGGCACCATGAGTTCGGCGCGGGTGGCACCGGGGGCGGGCTTGAAGTGGGGGCTGCGCAGCAGCACCTCACACAGGGCCCGGGAGAAGTGGTTGCAGTTGCGGGTGAGGACTGGAGGGCAGAGAGCAAGGGAGGGCAAGGAAAGGGCAAGGGAAGGGGAGAGGGAGGGCAGGGAGGAGGAGGGCTGAGTGCAAGTTAGGTGGAGGTGGGTCAGGGTGGTTGGGGTGCGGAGCAGCGGGCCCGCTGCTAGGAGGTTGTACAACAACAAGGCGCGCGGCGGGAAGGAGTAAGAATTACCGTAAGAGGAAAACGGGATATGACAGGGAAGCAGGCGACGGTGGCTTTGTGTACGGCATGGGGTAACGGTTGCGGTTGTGGAGCAGACAACGGCCGGTCGCCGCGAAACGCCGTGCAACAGGGCCGCCAAGGTCCTCTCCCCGGCTATATTGACTGGGAGCAGGTCCCCCAGGGCCCTTCTTACGTCGGTAAGCGGAGCCGACCCATTGCTCCTGGGGAAAGGGGTGGGACGGGAGCGGGTGGGGGCGGGGCGGGCGAAGGATTAGGGAGGGACAGGTAAAGTGGACGGGACTGCAAGCCAGGCGGCAAGGCTCTCTCGAACCAACCCCTTGAAAACCACAGCCCAGCTCCCCCTCCTCCCCTCACCGCCCCCCCACCTGGTTCTGCATGTGCCGCATGACCAGCTCCAGGTCCCCCAGCGGCCCCATCCACCAGCCCACCACGGAGCGGGAGCGCAGCGGCGGCAGCCACTCCAGCGCCGCAGCAGCACTGCCGTCGGAGTCTGCGGAGGAGGGAGGCAGGGGGGCAGGGGGGACAGGGGGGTAGGGGGGCAGGAGGCAGGGGACGGGGCGGGGACCAGCGTCGTCAGCCCAAGTGGGCGGGGTGTAGGCGGCTTCTGGAATACAAACGTGGAGGTATGGGGGTCGAGGATCACGTCACAGGCGATTGCCGGCGTCTGGGCCCAGTACATCCCAACACACACGCCTGCCGTACACCGCACCCCTCCTGCTGCACGCCTCTTCCGCCCGCCCCGCCCCGCCGCTCCTCACCCTCCCCTCGCTGTGCCGCCTCCTGCGCCTCCCTCCGCGTGACGTGCAGCGGCTGCCGCAGCTCCATGAGCCCCAGCTCATCGCTCCAGTGCCCCCCGAACGCGTACTCCGTGCCGCCCACCTCCACCCCGGAGTGGTAGGCGCCACCCAGACCCACCACTGCCAGGCAGCCTGGGATGGGAGATGCGAGGTGAGGAGGGGAAGGGGAGGGTGAGGAAGGGAACAGTGCTCCGTGTGTGCGGTATGGGGGCTGTGTGACAGAAAGCAGGGAAGCGGGGTTGTAGAGGTGTGGCGGAGCGTTGCGTGAGGGACTGACCATTGAAACGAGCGGGCAGGAGGTCGTAGACGTTGAGGATGACCTTATGGCCGCGCAGTAGGTGGTGTCCATGGCACCACACAATCTGAGAGGGGCCCCATGGGTCCAAGTAGCGCACCACTTGGTGCTGCCGAGCTAGGCCCGCACCTGCGGGGTACCAAGATACATACACAGGGCCTTGTGCGGACAGATGTATATCGACAAGGTAAGGTATACGCAATGACGCCCAGCCGGCTGTTCATTTCTCGAGCTAAAAGTCGTCCAAAGTTTGGAATCGGCCTGGGTAGGCAAGTTATTTGTTCGTTGAATATATTGGCTAGTGCTTACGGTCTCCATCGGCGTTCGGCGCTCCGGTTGACCGCGGTACGACGTGAGCTGGAGTAGACATGGCGTCTAAGCCGTTCAAAGCAGCTTAAGCTGGTGGTTACACAACAGCATTGTTAATGTGTATCTGCAGTACTGTCCCGAAGTTTGCGGGCGCCAAGCGCCAAGCGCTTACACTCCATGCATGCGACCCACACAAACGTCCAAGAAAGGCTGTTAAAAGGAGTATAATAAGCGGTAAAGCCCTGTACTTAAATGCACGGAAGCCTAGTGCTTGGAGTAAGGGTCTGCGGCACAGAAGCGTAAACGGCCATCAGAACGATAGGCTCTAGTTCCGGGTTGCGGGCAATATGCAACACTGTCCTAGATATATCAGTGCTTGATAAGCCAACACGCCTAGGCAACTTCTTCCGAGAGCGCTGAGTGTCTAGCGTGTAGTGGTACGGTATGCGTTCCAACGAAGTAGCCGAGTCGTTGGCCGTCGAGGCTTCATTTTTCATTATCACAAGACGTTAAAGCGAAGAGCTTTCACGAGTTTTTGGAGGCCATCTACGCTAACGTGAGAAGCTGTAAAGTCCCCTGCTGCGGTAAAAGTCGACAGTCTCGTCACGAACTATCCACCTGAACGCTATTAAGGAGCGTTGCAGTATAGCAAAACTTAGAAACTCAGTGCTTTATTTTCTTTAACGCACTTTCTTTGTTTTCTTCGTTCGTTTATCCGGATGCTGTTACCGTCGGCAATATGCTTGCCGCCTTCGCCTGCCCTATGCTTCACTCCTTTAAACTACTTTCCCAAATGCTGATTTTGGTACGTAATGACGTCCACCAAACGATGGCCGTAGCTTACTAACACCCTCGGAGCGACACCCCGACGAAGAGCTGCAGGGCGGAGAGCACCGGTTGCGACGCACGCATGGTTTGTAGGAATAATTTATGATAATACAGGCAAATGCTCCACCTTAAGCTATCGACCAACAAATGCCTTTCGCGGCTACTGCCTTAACAATTGCTGCCTGCGCTGAGCATCGCCATTGCGTTGCGTTTACCAAGGCAGCGTTTGCTTACTCATGTTGCATTAAAGCACTAGCGTAGTAGTGATGGCGCTGACGCTGACATTGCAGTAAGTGGCCCAGAGATGTGATGTTGGCGACCTCACCAAACACTGAATCCACGCTGAATGGAACATGGAAAATTCACCAATTTCAGCAAGACGTAGTTCAGTGACGCATTTCATTTCTTGGCTAGCGCCTCTGCGTTACCTCCTCCTACATTTGTCTCCATCCACCTCAGGCCATTTCATGGGAAGCAGCGTCCATTTGAATGGAGCCCTGCGGTCAAGTGCTACGCCAGCCGCATCCGCGATGTACTGTGGGAGCTGCTCGACACCTCCTACTTCAACGATGTGCTGCAACGACACGTGCACCCGCTGACTGAAGGCGAAATGCAGGTTAGCAGCGTGCGCCAGGCCTAAACAAGCGCACCCTTTTACGTTTACCCTTTTACATTTTTCGTTCCGTAGGAGCTTGTCATTCGCGTCAAACTACCAAACGGAGAGGACTGGCCGCCGCTGGATGTAATGGCGGTCCTGGTGAGCCATGTACGGCACCTCGAAAAGCACCTCGACGAGCCTAGGCGCTTTGCTATACCCGCTGTACGATAAATGGGGCCAACCATGCTACCATTTATCGTACAGCGGGTATACCGCTAACCGCTACCGGTATTTCTGCTGTCGTACATACCGCTAGGAAACACCAGGACTGTGCCGTACCTCTAGCTTGCGCATATCCTGTTTGTACCCCCACTTGTTTTGTGGCACCCTGCCGCTTCCTATCCATTGTTTTGCCCCAACCCTGCTGTTTCCTATGGTTCGGTATGGTCTTTGACCCCCACACCACAGGCAGGTGTGACGACCGCTGCCCCCCAAGACGTCGTCACCACCGCTGCTGCTTCCACTCCGACCGCCACCCCTGACGTTACAGCCGTTGCTATCATCACACTACCGGTACCAGCTGCATTTGAATATGGCGGCCCTGCTGGGCGGACGCCTGCAGGCCCTCAGGTGTCCCAAGCGGTTGACTTGGGCCCCCTGGAGCAGCTGTTGGAGCTGGAGTGCGGGCTGCACAAGGGGACCACCTATCGCAAAGGCATTTCCGTGGTTGAGGTGCGTCCAGGTAGTAGTCATGTGGGCTTGTCTGTGCACTGCGTTTCGCTCGATATGGTCTTTCTTTATTGGGCTGCCGCCAGCATGAAACGACTTAAGGGTCAGGGCCAGGGAAGGACGCGGCTGCGTACCGAAGCGACGGAGACGTGGTGGAGGGCCTTAAAGGCGGAAATGCGACTGCACTTGCACTAGCGGCTCAAAGACATAATCACTTTATCGCCCCTGTTTGCACACACAAACAGATACTGGAATACATGAGCTTCACGTGTCTTTCCCACACCCATGTGCACGTGCCCGTGTGTGCAGTGGCTCAAGCAGCGCGTGATGGCCCCGGGTGCTCCCCCACTCGCTCAGTTGGCTGACGGCCTGCGCCGGGCGTACGGCAGCAGCAGCTCCCCGCAGCAGCAGCAGTTGCGGCAGCAGCAGCCGCAAGGTCTGACGCTACCGCTGCAGCCACAGCAGGAGGAACAGCGACTGCAGCAGCCACCGCCGCTGCCACAGCAGCTGCCAGAGTCACAGCAGCAGCCCCATGCGGATGCAACGCTGCACTGGGTCATGGAAAGCCGGCTGCATCACACTCTCGAAACGGCGCTAGGGCTGCTGGTGCAGGCGCGGGAGACGGTCGTACGGAACTGGCCGAAGCACGCTAGCGACGTCCCCATTGCTCGGCTGGTAGAGGACGCCACAAAGCACCTAACGACCAACACCTCCTCCACCCCCGCCGTGGAAGCAGTAGCAGTGATCACACATTTGCCCTCGCCGACCTTGCCATTGACATCCGCCTCCATCGCAGTTACGTCGTCCTCTTCACCCTCAACGACGCCGCCATCACCCGACAGCTCCACGGTCTCTTCTCAGCTTTCGTTGCCCTCGCCAGTGCCGCCGCTGTCGCCATCACCTCCACCGTCCGTCCCACCTCCCGCTGCATCCTTACATGCAAAGGAGAAGTCGACGCCACCCAACCCACAACTCGCGCAGACATCCAGTTCGCCTTCCACGAAGGAACCTCAACTGCCGGCGACGGCGGCGGCGGCAGTTGCCCGGATCATCCGTTCGCCAGCACTCCTTGCCGCCAACGGTCGACGGTCGGCGTCCGCTGGTGATGGCGCGCGTCGTGCAGTGGCAGTTACGGCAGCGACCGGCAGGCAGCAACCGCCGCGGGTGGTGTCGCGCGTGGTGGGAAGACGAACCGTCGTTCCAGCGGCTACATGCCGCCCTGTGTGCGCCAAGGCCGTCGCAGGCGCAGTGCTGCATGCAGCGAAGCCTTGGGCAGAGGCGGCGGATGGGGATGAGGAGGCGCAGGTCGCATCGTTCAAGTTGACCAAAAAGGAAGGGGTGAAGGGACGAGTGCGTTGGGCTGACCTAGAGGCTTGTAAGAAGGAGGATGCCCCACCCCGCAAACTAAGGGTAGCAGTGACGGCGGTACTGGCGGCGGTGGCAGCAGCAGCTGGGGTGATTGCGGTGACGGCTGCTGCGTCATGGCTTGGGCGCAGGTTTGGCTGTAACGTCTTTAGGGCTGCGTGGCCCTGCTGAGTGGGGTGTATGCTAGGTGTGATGTGGTAGGCTTAGGCCAGGACAGGGCCACCTAGGTGCGAGTGATCTGATGAGTCGGGCTAAAACTTGGAAATGGTTTGCAACCAAACTTGTACGGGATGTACGTGAAGAGATAGCTAGACATGCATCAGGGCTTGCAGAACTGCTGAAGGGTAGCGGGCGTTCCCGTACGTGTGGGTCCTCCCTGTGTAAATATGACTGTCACGAAGGACCCTATATGTGGGTGCTAGCCATCCTGTTGGCACGTCTAGCCGTGGCATGTATGGGCGACAGCGCGCCAATTGGTGTGGCATTCAGTTAGCCGTGCTGACTTATTGAGTGCGGATGGGCCGCATGGGCGGGCCATGCATGTGTATGGGGGCAGCAGAGCACATGAGGTTAGCGAACGTACCCCAGGAAACGCTTCCCTGGGAGAATAACCGTGTGCCGTGCTCTGCTTGTTTTGAGGACTCTGTGGCTGGCAGCGGTTGTCTGGAGCTGGTCTCGTTACCCGTTGTACAGCTGGTTTGGATGGACTTGTGCGCCCTAGCTGGGAACCCGCCCGCGCCTTCTACGTGCACCCCCAATGCAGACGTGCGCACCGCGCGGGGGCTTCATTCTTCATGGGCGGGCCGTGTCATGAGTGGACACGCGCTTTCTTTGTTTCCAAAGGCAGTGTTAGGGCTGGGCTAGGATCTCACGATTTCTTTGTAAGAAAGAAGCCAGCTTTCATGGACCTTACCGGTATGGCAGAGATCGAGGCCTTCAAAAAGTCCTTCTCTTGTGCGGCGGAAGGGCAACAGGTGGGATTGCTCCCTTGCACGGCAGATGGAGCACAAAATGAAGCATTGCCAGCAGGACAGCCTATAAACACTGCACCACTCCTAAGGGAGGTTGCAGGTAGAGCAAAGACAACACTACAACGCGACCCAACAGGAACCTTGGTCACATAAGCGTTGCAATCCAAACGGTAACAAGCGACCCACGGGTCATCAGCCAACGCATGCAAGACGGAACAAACGCAGCATGCTACGTACGAGCAAGGTCATTGGTTCGGAAACCACTGCGCTCAACCACACCATCCCAGTACGCACAGAAACACGTGTGGGCGAAGTCCTTAGATTGCATGCGTGCCCCAGTCAACCTGCAAGGCACATTGCAGTGCCGTACCATCCGTACACACACAACGGCGCTCAAGCTGTCAAGCGCTCGAGGGACGGACAAAGCATGCAGACAAAACGAATTATGCAGAATTAGCAATGCCACTCAAAGGCAGAAGATCAGTCCCATTTTGCAGCGTGGAATTGCATGAATCCCATGCATGAAGGCGAGCGTATAACGCAAGAATGACCGGATATACCTGTGGGTTCCAGAACACGTCCTGTCGGCCTCTTCCTGTTCCAACCTGTAACCAACAAACGTCAACATCGTTCTTCCGCACCCCCCAATAACAATGCCGACATGCGCCATGAACGACATCGGTAGGTAGCAACACCAACCCTACCCACCATTGATGGCCACGAGGAAGCAACATGGCACCACAGCAGCATAGCATACAGCATCCACTAGCTCCAAAACACCAACCGCAGCAGAAACTGCTGCCTGTGGAACTTAGTGCGCCGAAAGAAACGGGCAAGCGAGACAGCCACAGGAACTGCAAGGAGGATGCAGGAGGCGTGCGCTGGGCAACAACGTT